AACTACGTCTCTCCTCTCGAGTCTCAAGGAAATATCGTTACCAGGACGAATGGACGGACGGTCGGATCGATCCGGTCGATCCTCGTGGCAGACCGGATCCGACGGCACCATCCGCGCGAGCTTATTCGCGGACTGGCCGACGGATCCGCCGCGATTATAGGCGTCAGCTGGTGGATTTCAGGATTATTGCGCGCGCGTCCTCCGGTCGAAATGTCAGAAACGCGCATCGGGAGCTTTCGCGGCAGATAACAAGACTTTATGATAGGGAGAGAGAGAGAGAGAGAGAGAGAGAGAAAGAGAGAGAGAGAGAGAACAGAGTCAGTCTAAAAGACTAGAATTCTAAGTCGCTAAGTCTGCAACAGCGCGGAGTTATCCGCGCGGTAGACAGTAAAGTTTTATGAGCGGATATAGCTGAGGTTGGCCCTGTTAAATACTACAAAATCTTGCATATCGACGTATTCGAGCAAGATCGTCGACGGTAAAGACCAGCGGAGTCGCGCGCGGTAAGCACGCCGAAGACACATGACACACACACACACACACACACACACACACACCAGCCGTCAGTTCTGCCGCGTTCGGGGATTCGAATGATGTCAACTTCCGAGATCGAGCGTAGGAATCGCTTCCTCGCGGTAATAATAAGGCCGCCTCGAGGATACGCCGGGGATTTTTCTACACGGGGATGATTCTAATCGCCGAACGGCGCGCGCCGACTTCTCGACTCCGGGACTTCTCGTTCCTCCGGCGGAGTGGGGTTTGATGCCCGCGGACATGAAAGTTCCTTCCAAGATATTTCGGGGTTTCCTTGAGTTTCGACAGAACGAGTCTTTACGACTCGGCGCAAGCTCGCTCGACGGCGGTTTGTGTACACTTAATGGCATCTCTGTGATAGCCTACTTAAGTAGTCGAGATAAGGAGCCGAAGAGGCTCTGAAAACTCGGCACGGTTTGGTACCGGTGCCAGAAGATATGGAACGGAGATAGGCGCGGCACAATTTATTCGTGCCGCAGGATTTCAACAATCCCCGAGGAGCATCAGGACGTAATGAGGTGCATAGTGACCGAAAAGAGGACGAGCAGCGACTTGTGGTCGAGAAGCGGTGGAGAGTGACAGCCGGGCGAGTAAACGTTCTAGAAGAAGCACAGCGCGTATAGCGCCGTCAAGTACGCGTAATATGTATATTTATAAATGAAAAAGAGAAGCAGATAAGAGAGGACAGCTATCACAGCACACGCGCACTTTAATTAAAAATTAAATGGGACCGAAGTGCGGCCGAACGGTAACTGGATTAGATTAAATAATCAAAACGAGGCATGCGAGCAAAAATAGCGGCGGAGTAATTAAGATCCGAATTAAGTAAGAATTGGTGTAACCAGAAATTCACGCTGTTACGTAGTTGGTAACAACGAAGTGCGCGTTCCGGCTCGACGAGCCAGAAAGAAGGGACTAAAGGAGTGCAGTATAAATTTTATTGATTACTCATGACAAATCGGAGGCGCGCGATGGTGACTTATCGATAAGACCATCAGGTACCTACCGTACTCGAACAAGACCCGATAACGAGACAGTGATTTCAGTGATAGGCGAGAACATGCTTAGTGAACACCACGATCTGGGCCGATCGGAATGAAAAGAAACAGAAAAAAAGAACAAAGACAGAAAAGAGAGAAGAAAAAAGAGCGGAACGAGATACTCGAGCGATAACGGAAATGTTAACCGCTTGTCGACGAGCTGAGATCTACGAACGTCGAAATCCCCGTTCGCTAACAAACTCGTCACGTGAATCTTGTCTGTAACCTTGATATTGGTAATATCACGATTCTCTATGACGCTCACGATATATCCCAAAAAATGCGCATTTGTTAGAAGAAATGAGCGCTCGACGGACGGGAGAGACTGACATACAGCAGTAAACAAAGCAATAACTTCAAACGTGAGAAACTGCGTACACCAAATCAATTGTCTCGATTCTTCAGATTCTTCGATTCTTCAATGGCACTTCAGATCAACAGCAATTAAAATATTGAAAGGATTTATCTGAAATTTCCAGCTCATAGATTTTTTACATAAATCATACCCCGATTTTTCTCCCACTGCTTCTTCCTTTTTCTTACTTGTCAATAATTTTCGTCGTTAAATAGAAATTACCTTAACTTGCAATAGCACAGATCTCTAAAGACGCAATATAATAATATAATATGTACAATACTAACAGAAAGAACTCGGAAGGAAAGAAAAAGAGAGAGATGTCATTATGTCATTAATGATTAAGATATTAAAAATATTAAATAAATATTAGCTTGGTAGTTGAGTTATATTAGAAACCTATTAAAACGTCTGCCTGAAATCGCACCGACACACGAACGTCGACATCAAAATGCGTCCTCCTCTCGAGGAGATAGGCGCGAAGATATCTATTATTGTCTTAATCAGCTAGTTGCTCACATTAACCAACTGTATCGATGTAAATATTAACTTATCACACTTGTCGCACTTCGTTGAAGAAGAAAGCGGCTTCGACGAAATGAAATCACCAATGCCGTGAGTACACCTTGAAAAGAAAGAAATTACGCCTCAAGATCTCTCCCGCCCTGCTGATTTCATATTTCAAGAATAATACACAAGATATCTTGTGTCGATCTTACAATTGCAATAATTATGCCTCGGTATAATTATTACGTCCGTATTGCTTACACTCTCCCGATAATTTGGTTCGATTCGAGGTCTCCTCGATAATTACATTCCTCGTCTCTCTCTCATCATCATCATCATCATCATCATCATCATCATCAGCGCAGTCGTGTTTACGCTTCTTATATTCCATAACTAGATTTTCGCGTGACAAATTCCGCTTTGATCGCGCAAACTCAGCCGCGACGAAACATCTCGCGTATCGAGAATTAACGCAGGCCGATGAACAATCGGGCTCCAGGCGAGCATTTAGAGGCGTTTAGCCGCGCGCGCTAAACGAGAACGAACTCGAAAAACCAGTTCGTGCGGCGTGGCCTAATGGAATTTATCAATCCGCCGTCCAATTGAGTCAACTGTCACGCGTGCGTGTCTGTACGCATGCGCCTCTCCGTGTGTTTGGCTCCGTTATGTTCGACGTATTATAAGCGTTACTCAACTATGTATACAACACACGACGTTAACGAGCCGCGTATGCGCCCAATTCATATTTGCGTGCGACTTTAGCAACCGGCCAGACATGAGCACACATAGGCTCCGAGGACCGTTTTCTGCGTATCAATTCGAGGAGAGCTGCCGATACAGATATTGCCAGCACCACCATCCACCACAGGTGGTGGTGGGCTGAGTGCCACGATGACGACGGTGACGACGTCACAGACCAAAGTGAACTTCTCAGACTGAAACGACATTCTTGAACAGATTCTTCTGGGATCCCTCCGCGTCATCATCCTGCCCCACCCCCCGCTCCCACCCCCGTGACACTTTACATCCTTAGATCCTCGAGATGGCAGAATTTCAACCAGACACACAGATGGATTCTTTCCGATTCGAATGTTCGCGTTCAGTCAGGTCGTCCTCGGGCCACCCCGAATCGAATCCTCCTCTCGGGATCTCAGAGCCTCTCGGCTAATTTGACTAATTTGGCTCGTCCGCGGGGCTCTCGTGGGGGATTCTGGAATCTCCAGAAAAAGACTGCGATCTTTAAATCCTCCTTCGTACTTAATTTATTATACAATCGTCCAAACGAGTTTCCGATCTTTGCATAAATAATTTAACGCCTTTTTGCGCGACCCCTTTCTCATTAAATACTTGGCTGCATGATTCGACTTGGCTCCAGCGGAATGCTAAGTTTTCCACTGCAATCGTACCGCCGATGACGCCATTCCGCTGGTACATTCGTAAATAATGACAGGAAAGCAAACGCGGGAATTAATGCGAGCGCATTGATATTCGTCTGGCCCAAAATGCGTCTATGTTCCGCGAAACATGTCTCTTGGATTTTCAGTCGTCAAGTTTCTCGCAAACTCGCGCCGTTCTCAGATCTGAATTTCCTTTTTCTGCTCATCTCCAAACCCACACGCGATGCATCCGTGCGAGTTCAACGGCACATTGCGCCCGGTAAAACACAGGCATTAATTAACAAAGGAGTCCCCAGAGTTGTCAAGGAGGATAATCAACAATTTCGACGAGTTTCTTCACCCGTATTTGTCACCCTTGCCGGTCGCCGAACTTTCGCTATTTTCGACGGCAGCCGCTCTACTCGAATATTGCTCCGAACATCTCAATGTCCGCGCCGACTGTTTACCGCACATCGGCTCCTTGCACTCATTCCTTATTCCTCATAATATATCTTGTTCTCATATTTCATTGTGTCTCGAGCGCATATCGGCGGCAACCGCGAAGGTTATCTCGAATCGCGCGCACGCTGCCATCTTCTCGCCAGCTAGCTCCGATACTAGCGTAGAGTGTTTTAAACAATAATAATGCCGGCGGGAGATAGCACGGAAAAACATTCGTCGGAAGTCCATCGACCCCGCAAAAGCGCGCGCGCGCGTGCGCCGTTTCATCTTTAAAAGTCTCTGAATCAGTCGCCGCCATATTGAATTATGATGTCGGAAACCATACGTAATCTTTTCGCACGCGTTACATTCCGAATAAAGAGAATCCACGTGTATAATCTTCGACTCCGTGCGTAATTCCACCCAGGAAGAAAACGAAGAAGCTAATATTGTGGAAATGCGCGATTCGTGTAATATCGAAAAATTCCAAGCGCGAGGTAGATAAGTCAGGCGCGTTGACGGCTTCCGAGAGAGAGAGAGAGAGAGAGAGAGAGAGAGAGAGAAAGAGCGCGCGCGCGGAGAACGAAAATATTTATCACGAGGGTTAATCGCGCTTAATAACCTGCCGCGATACGAATATTTGGCAAATATATTGTTCCACAAATACCAACACGCGCAAACGTGCGAAGACGGGAAGACGATATCGCGTCTTTAATTTCTCGTCAATGAAAGCGCTTTAGCCGAATAGAAGAAGAAAATCGTGGAATCGCTCCGAATTCTTCTATGAGACTAATGAGTGGAATAAAGTAATCAACGGAGAGAAATTAAAAAAGCCTTAAAAAGAGATTGAGAGAGAGAGAGAGAGAAAGAGAGAGAGAGAGGGGGGGGAGGAAGCGAAGAGCGCCAATAATATTACCTTGAAATTCCTTTATCCATTCTCTATACAGATACATGTCCATATTTGCGAACACGTGTATCTTTTCCATGCCTATGTTCCACATAACGAGGAGGGGGTTTTCTTACATCTGAAATACTTTGATCAAGCGAACTTTCGAAAACCTAGCCGGTAGTACGGACAGCTTGCATCGTCACGTCGACCATGTTGCCAGTTTTTTCCAAAATCCTACAGGACTATTCGGTTGCGCTGAGTGGCGCTCAATGGCGGCCACAGCGCACCTTCGTTCTATTCAAACTGCGCGATCCTTTGGATCCTCGATTCCTCCTCCTCAAAGGCCTACGCTAATTACCATAACGATAGAGGTTTGTCAACGTGCCTCCCGCGCATCTCAGCTGCAGAAGCATGCTCAAATGATCGTTGACATGATCCAACGTCCCGCTGCTACCTCTCCTGAGTTCCTCCTGACGCCTCTTTTCGAGATCAGGTGCCATCAGAAGAGCATCCCTTGCCGAAGACCCGTAGACCCTTCGTCGATTTCGCGTCGATTTCGACGAGCAAAAAAGAGCCGCGCGCGCGCGCGCGCTCACGGATCACTGAACAAGTCCCCCATCGAACAAATCGCTCGTTCTCACTCCCGCGGAGGGATTCGTCGCTGCGCGGGGCTGAGGTTGATCCCTTTTCGCGATGCCGAAGTCCCGCGACGAAGTTGCGAAATATCATACGATGTATTTCACACGCAGCACGTGACTCGCACTCGACTGCCGCGCGCGCGCGCGCGCGTTGTATCACTCCCTTGGAAAACCGTCAAAATCGCAAGCGGCCGCACACTGCTTGCCGATGTTCACATCAATCGAGAGAGTCCACTTGACTCGGAGTCCACTTTCTCTCCAAATAATCCTAGAGTCCTAGGCCTTCTTCGAGACTCTGAATTCTCTCGGGTACGCAAGGTCGTGCGCGTGATATCACAAGGATATGTTTCGGCCGCGCGATCGAGGCTACAAGCCTCGATTTTATCGACGAATAATCTAATCTCTAATCCGCCCCGAAGCTCATCAGGCCTTAAGGCCCGTAGTTCGTACTTTCGTACAAAATATTGATCCCATATCGATCGAGCCAGTCCTGTATCATCATAAACGCGAAAGCGCCCGAACTTACACGACGAAGACACGACGTTAGGCCAGGCTGGAAGGGGAGATATATGGAGAGAGAGAGAGAGAGAGAGAGAAAAGCGAGAGGGAAACACACAAGATCTAATGGAAACGCGCGACGACCGTCGTACGAAGACTGCCGCCACGCCGTTGGCGCGAGATCGGCGTGACCCAAGGCGCCAAGCGTAAATAAGCCCCCCACCACTGCGCCGTGATGTGTGGGTTCTGCTACCGTCGCAGCGACGCGTTGACGAAGGTGACCAATCAACGGGCGCTAATTAGACGAGTTATCGACGGAGGCACTGAAATTTCACCGGGCATCGATACGTTCGATCTGACATTTCGAAGGGATGAATATATACACTCATTCATCTTCCCCGTACTTGCTTAGTCACCTCGTCACTTGCTCCGATAAGGAGACACTTACCCCGAAGCCCAAGATTCCTCTGCTTTATTCCAAAAGCCGTCAGGGACGAGCGTCACACTCGGGGAAAGAACAATCAAAAAGCAGAAAGGCAGAGACCAATCAGAAGTCTCTTCCGATAGTCTGATAGTCTTTCTTTCCCTAATATGAATCCTCTCTCCCTTATACTCAAACCGTAAGCGGGGGATGTTTTTTTTTTTCAGAATAAAAGTTTCAGCGCCAAAGTTGCGAGTTGCAAAGCGGCGCATGAAAGAGGCCTATTGCGAAATTCGACTAGCACCACCAGAGGGCGATTGGCCGCACTTGAATTTCGAACTTTCAAAAACACCCATCCTCGGTCGTCGGTTCTGGGACAGGGTGTGATGATAAGAAGGAAAAAAGCAGGAAACGATTGGACACGAACGCGACATACCTCCTCGCGCGGCTCGCTCTCTCGCCGTATCATGAGCGGCAATTTTGGTGCAGATCCGACGCATGAGTCTTCGCGAAAGCCGTGAGAGAATTCCGTTCCGTCACGACGGTACAACGATTAGGTAATCGAGGCGAGCGTGATCGATTAATGCGCGCGAGCGAGCAAGTTGGCGAACGAACGAACGAACGAACGAACGAACGACGAACGAACGAACGAACGACGAACGAATGAATGTGCGCGCGCGCGCGCGAGCACTAACGCGTCACGACGATCTCTGGCGTCGATCGTGTGACGTCAAAGGCCGATTATAAGTTTACGATTCGTAGATCATTTATGACTCGCGCGTAGCGACTTAATGCGAGATGCACGTCGCGATATCGCAATTATCAATCCGTTGGGTAATACATTCTAATTGCTATTTACACTTGAATCTGTAAATCCGCAGTTCCAGCCGTCCGTAGATCCTCGCGTCAGATATTGGCGTGACCGCGAGAGCCCAACAAACAGTGTGTGCGGTCTAGTCGGCCAGCAGGAAGAAAGGTTGGAATCAGTTTTTTTCTTCTCAATGGATTTCCCGACACGTATGAATCTGACAAGAAAATCAGTTTTTTCTTCTTTTCGCGGACTCCTAGAGGTGAATTTTTCCATCGGACTCACCGAGCGCGCTCTGAGACTCATCGAGGCAACAGTGTGGCAATCTTTCCACCGCTGACTGTACACTCGGAAGCAGAAGGGTTCTTCCGCGGCGAGACACTTTCTTTCCGATGCATCTTCGGAAGAGTAAGCGATAGCCCAATCGGAGAATTTACTTCCGATTAATCCGAAGCGAAAGACGTGTATCCTTTCGTGGCGTATCCTGGTGACCTCAGAGGCGTTTCTCGAAATGCATCAAGACAAGAGCGTCTTTCTGCTTGCGAGTGTACGAGTATATATCGAGTGAAGAACAGCACACACGCAAGGCTCAAGATAATGTCGACGATTCCCAAATGGGGAAAAAAGTTCTGACAAACGATCGATTTCGCTGAAGAAGCTCTATTATGAACGATTGAGACGCAAACACGGACGAATAGAGAAACTTTTATCTTACGGCCGGAAAAAACGCTGCAACGAAAGGTGACTAACCCGTGTACACCATTGAATTAATTGGAAAGTTTTCAGACTATAACTGAGAGCATGTTAAGAGGAGGAGAGAGATAAATGAAAGGATCCCAAGTAGGTATATACGGTATCGACCGGAAACGGCGGAGAAAACTTCGTAATCGGCTCTCATGAAAAAGGAACATCTCGCCGCGTGTGTAATTCAGCGCGGTGACATTACGCGGTAAAATAATCATCCCGCCAGCTCGAGCCAGTCCTCTTCAAAAGTCTTACGTAACGACGAGAGAGAGAGAGAGAGAGAATCCATTTCGACTCTCGAGACGTGCCGTATTAATGGCGGATCGCGTCCGAACTGCCAAAGTCCGATATCGAAGAGTTTCCGGGAGAAACAAGCGAGAGAAGCGCTGCTCCGAGAACTTTAATCATACCTTTGTCCCTGTAAAACAAATTTTCCTCATCGGATATCGAACGTGGACAGGACGGCCGTTAGGCGCCATTAAACACCGGAATAAATCGGGAATTTTCCGTTCCGATTGGATTTCGGATTCATTTTCACAGACTCGCGCGCTCACACAGCTCCGCGCTCATGCGGATCGATCGATCGATCCGCGGATCCCTCACACATCTTCGCACAGTCTATACCTAATTACGCCGACGTAATTTAAATGACTCTTGTTTTTCTTACGTATTTTCCTGCCTAACGACGATCGAATCATCAACCGACACTCCGCGGAATCCCCCGTCACTCGTGAGACATCGTGAACATTCGTGATCTGCGTAGCGACACGAAACTCCGCTCGCGAGCACTGCGCGCGCCGTGCCGCCTGTGTGTACGTGTGTTTGTTATTGTTTATCGTTTATTGTTATCTCAGTCGTCGCGGGAACCCGAGACACCGATCTAAAAAACGCGTCGCGTCGCGTCATGAGCGAAAAATCAGTGGGGTGGCAACGATGTGACACGATTGAGAAACGTTTATCGCGCCAGCGTTCACCCGTTGCGTGGAATCTACAGGGCGTCGTGAAAAAAACTGACGTGCGCGCGCGCGCGCGCCATCTGGATTCGAGCAAATCAAATTTGCGGGACTGAGGCGCGAGGGTACGTCTGAATTTTAATTCCGACTGCGAGCTTCCACGTCGGTTGCGTGAACCGTGTGCTCTCCGTCTCCTCTTCTCGCTCACGGAAGAAGAGACACGAATCGACTACCCGATCGTCCCGTCAGTCGTGCTCTTGCATCATGAGTCAGCGAATGCAATAATAAAGTCCAATGTGCAGAAATTGATCGCGCGCAACAGCATTGCTTTCTTTTTCGGTGCGCCCTCGCTCTCGTTGCCTCACGCGTATCTCATACGCGTAATATTATCCTTCAAATACGCTTTTTCTACGCTATCCTTTTTTTCGCGAATCTGAGGAATCAGCTCCTCCGGAAAAACTGCACCAACTGCATACATGTGCTCATGTGTTTTTATACACACATACATTGCAAAAACGTATGAATATTTATGATTGACAAATATAGACACGCAGGCGCACGTATAAAATATGTACATCTGCACGTCTATCGTGCAATTACATGGCAAACATATGCGCCACGCGTATGCCCAAACGCGCGCAAAGACGATTTCTTATGCGGGCGCATCTACAGAGGCAGGAGAGACATATAGGTGTTTGGTGTTGGTGTTGGGTAAACTCTTCCTATTAAGCTCGTCTATCAGTCTATCAGTCTATGGATTGGAATTGAGATTGAATTGAAATTTGACCAACTGAAAAAAAGAAAATAATATCAAATATAGTAAACTGAGCCCTGATTGATGTTAAATTTCAATCCAACACTCAATCCCAATCCCAGTCTGACATGGGCTTTATAGTCACGCTAGACGATTACCACAGCCGCCCCATAACGACGGCTCATATCGACATTTTGCGAAAAATCGATCGCAGACGTTCGAATGTCGGATGTTTATCTCACGTATCCGATAACATTTACTTGTGTGAAGCTTGCTTCTTAATGAAGCATGATTAAAATAATAATGAAATAATTCTGCCTTCATTAGCACGACATTGGCACATATCGGCCGACCCACCATTACCCCCGAATATCCGATATACCGAACATCGAGATGCCGGTAGGCCAGACCAAATGCTCATTCCAAATGCAAAAGCTCGCGAACATTCCCAGAAATCAAATACAATGGATTCCCGCCGTCGAGCGGCGGCGGCGGCAGCGGCGTCGATAATACAATTGGAATGTCGTAATCGCCTTTGGGCATCAAATCGGAGGAAACGTCGACTCGCGTTTCCTTGTGTTTCATCGCACGCTGTTGATACAGATGCGAATTTTACTCGAAAGAAGAATCCCGTGATACGCGCGCATACGACGTACGCGGGCGACTCTGCAAGCTCGGGCTCTGCCGCTTGTTTGTATAAGCGTACACACACACACACACACACACCCAGTGTTCTCCAACTTTATTTGCTTTCTGATATTTGGTTCAAGTTAACTGAACCGTTTTCCACGATATATTAATACTTCGGTACTATCGAAGTACCACCGGGCATCGTAACGCGCGTGCGCGCGCGCGCGCATCAACGACGACGGCGGCGGCGACTCTAGTCTCTACGGCTCGTTGAACGTGAATCTCGTCCCCCATTGGACGATGACCCGCTCTCGCTCTCTCTCTCTCTCTCTCTCTTTCTCTCTGTATGTGCTTATTTATCGTCGTTGCTTTTACGACTTGAACTGTTATTCGGCGCGAGTACACGCGCTATGCGACTACATTTTGGTACTCGCGCGAGCGAGCGTACCTCGCGGGGGGAGGGGAGGGGGGGCGTGTTAGCCCGTTCCGCCGCCCCTCCAGTCGATCGATGCGCTCCCGATAAGGGCCACCATCTTGCAGCTTATGGGTTCATGATCCATCGCTTCGTAGGCATGTACAAATTTAATTGTTTCAATTTAATTGTACTCGCGCATGCGTACACACACACACACACACACACACAATGTATCGCGTGTACGCACGAATGAAAGCAAACGCGTTTTGCTTCGTTTGCGAAGAAGTTTGTTTTCTTTCACGACGAGATCATGAGTGGATTGAACAACCAAGTATCTAAAGCACGGACCTACCCCAACTTCTGTGACGTAATCGATTGCGTTTACTAGTTATCCTGCACTATGAGTAATCGTACGGAAAGATTACTAACGATCGATATCTGCTGTTGTAATCTAACGGGAACGAGCTCGGTAAACAGCTCGAGCTCGATTAAATTTTGCAAATGGCGCCTTCGAGGGGAAACAGCGGATTCCATATCGTAAAACTGCAAAACTGTATCGAAAGCGCGCATCTGGCCGCGGCGAATCGAGCGAGAAGAAAACACATCGCTCTCGACGAGAGGGAGAACCGAGTGAGGGAGGAGGGGCGAGATTTTATTTTGCCGCGGCCATGAGAACGAGATGAATATACTGAATAGAGAGGCATTTTTGTGGACCGGACTCAGAGTCTTATCTCTAGGTGGACGGCCTGCTATCACTGCTGCTCTCATAGAAAGGCTGATAGTGCACGTGATACAAACGTGGAACAGAGAAGAAGCGAGATCCAGAAGCTCTTCCAGATCCGTATGCTTTCTCAGAGCACTCGGGGGGGATTGCTGATCTAGTCCGAGAAATTCTTCTGAGATTTTTGGGAATTCAGAAATATTTGTTTGAGGAATTTTATCTACATGTAGGGAGACTACCGAATGCTCATTTGGTAATCTAGAGCGTCCTTTTCCAATCTTTCTCGCCGACCGGGAGATTATGAGGGTCACACTAGGGAGAGTTTCCAAGTTTTCAAGATCCCGAGAAATATTATTCTGAGCTGAACGCTACTGCAATCGTCACAACTACCGAAACTACCATGTTTCGTGATCATGTGCGTTAGCTTCCAAATCTGCTAGTTTATCCGTCCGCTCGGCCGGTTGCTCGATCAGCTGAGGTTCGCTGGATTATAAATAAGGCCCATTACTTCAATGACCTCAAAAAACAACCGAACTTTCATAAAGTTAGCCACGATCTCAGCGGATCAAGCACACACACACACATGCCAGCCGAGCGCCTCGTGAATAAAAAATAGTGTTATGCAAATTCGTGAATCGGACCGCAAAAATATACGTGAGGCGGAGCTGTGATGGCCGTTGATGACCGCCTCAGACGGATCTAAAGATATGCGGATTCAGCAAAGAATGGAACTAGAAACGCACAGACGTCGGCGTACTGAGAGTCACGTGGTTCCCTATTGTCAATTTCGAAGTTATATACGTATTGGTATATCGAGGGGCGCCGATGCCGCAGCAAGATAGCGCCGTTTACGAAAGTGTACGTATATCTAAAAATTCGCCTCAATTCTCTTCGTAGGAGGATAATGAAAACAAACATGGACCGTTTGAAGCAGAGCTCAAGACGGAGCGGTTTCTTCGAATGTCGCTGACTTGAATAATAAGCATGGAGACCGTAGAAGAGACAATTCCTTTCCTGCTGCGAAAGATCGCAACATCGAAAGGTATTCACTGTCGCTGACAGTGTTTCTTAAAAAAATTATTAACGATAGAAGTTTGGGAAGTATAACAAGTATCATCACAGTGTTACAAAATATGATTTCAAGATGTAATTTGGGAAATCCTTCGCTTCGCTAAATTGATAAGTCTATCTAAAAGTGTACTGAAAATGGAGATTAAATTTATATAAAACTCGTTATACAAACCTCTTTACAATGTCTCCATTTTTGGTACATGACAGACCTGTCGATTCAGTAAAGCAAAAGATTGAATAAATTTCGTCCTGATATAATTTTCCGTAGCAATGATATCTATTATATTCCTCCAACTTCTTTTGTTAATAATTTTTTTTAAAAAAACAACGAGCGACGGTGAAAACCTTTTGATTACTCGGTTATTCAGTTATTCGGAGTGGTGACTTTGGCAACATATGTCAAGGTCATCATCATCAATGAGGTCGCTGCTAATGTAAATATTTATCGAAAATAACATTGACGTCCGCACTGCTTATCTTCCGATACTTCGTATTGTCAGCCGCGCAAGATTCTACATGAGTTATTTGGTACGGAGCATAATTCGAGATTATATTCGAGCATATATCATATAAAAGGTATCAGCTACGAACTCCTGCAGAACTTCGTAAGAAGCATAATTTACTTTCAACGTTGAACACTTGTACCACCGATACTTCTCATTCCATGTTAATGATAGATATCGGTATATCGGAGCGACGTATCTAGATTAAGAGCACGATACTTCAATACGGTTAGGTTGCTCTACAATTTCAAAGACCCTGACTTCCTTCAAGATGCAACTGTGACGGTATTTAACTTACGACGCTACGATGCCTTCGTAGTATCAAGAAGGGAAATACGATAAAGTATCGCTATGAAGTGGCGACGATCAACGACAGAGGCAGTAGATGTAGTATCGATACTCGGCTGGTAAAAGCATCGAGTATCGATGCTCTGCCAGGACTAACTTCACCGTCAGCTGCGACTGGTCGAATGTCGACACTCGCATACTCCCACTCGACCGATAAAAGCATCGAGCATCGATACTTCCGAGTATCGCTGACGACGATATCCGTGTTTTGCCTTCTAAGGAGAAAAACGATAGGTTAAGTGTGGAACCGTGTCCCTGAACGAACGTGGAAATCTGAGAAAATCTCAGGAGGAAGGAGGAAGAAAAGATACTGCTTGTCGCCGTGTTAAAGCTGCCACGAAAATGCCGCAAAAGAGCAGAATGTGGTTTTACTTCAAGAGGATAGACGAAGGTACGGTGTCGTGCAATTTGTGCCACAAACATATCAAATCCTCCGGCAACACGTCCAACATGATGAAGCACTTGAATATGCACAACAAGAGTGACAGTCCAGACAAGGATATGCCGAAGGAATTGAGGCCGCCTACAAAGAAAGAGAAGAAATCCACCGAGAACGTATTTTACAAGTAATAATAAAGTATATTTTTATACTATACTTGTATTGTAAAAAATTCGACTAGAAAAACTTTATACAGTTTCCTGTCATCTCGCAGTCAATGGTTGGAATTCGAAAATCCTAATAACACAGATGGTTCGAATCCTGGAACAAGTTATGAGGCTGCAGACACGGTATACATATACTTTCTCGTTAGTTGACAATTTCCATTGACATTACCAACAATTGACATTAACACTATATATTATAAATATATTATAAATATATAAGCAAATCACATCTGCAATTGGACATTTTACCTTTTACTTATTATTATATTTCCATTTCTCTCCATTGCAACAGGAGAAATCAGTTTCTGTAGGAACAAATACACCTCCTTTACTTGCAACTATTGAAAGGATATCCAGCTATTCTGGTGAGACATTATTCTTATGTAAAAAATTTGGGTCATGTAAAAGAAAATATGAAATTGAAATAAATCTATCAGATACAAAGATAATGTTCAATTAAAATATGTATATACACATGTATATCTTAGCAGCAGTTATAAGTATATGATTTTGTACAAATTTTATACAAGATATCTTTTATAGACAGCAAGGATCGCCATATGCGGATATCCAATGCTATTCTTTACTTCATCTGTGTCGACAACCAACCATTCACTACCATCCAGTGTAAGGGATTCAGGCACTTGATGAAAGAACTTGCGCCGCTTTACAAAATACCTGATAAAGACACAATCAAGAAGAGACTAGACGAGAAATACGACGTAATGGTGCAGGTGTTCAAGCAAAAGCTGAGCGCAGCATCGTACGTGACAATCACTACTGATATTTGGACTGAGACGACGTCGTCGAAAAGTTACTTGGGAGTAACAGTACATTTCATAACGAACGAATTGAGGAAACTGGAATCGGGCAACATCGAGATCGTCGAGTTGCCTGAACGCACAGAAAATCACATAAGATGCATCTTGCTAAGCGCCCTGATGAAGTGGAACATCGATATCAACAAAGTCGTCGCGGTTGTCACGAATAACGAGTCAACAATGGTAAATGCAGTCACACAAACCTTCGGCCAAGACAAGCACATACTTTGTTTTGCTCACACTATCAATCTGGTGGTGGAGAACTCTATAAACAACTGCGAAGGCCTCGGCAGTGTCATCGACCAAGTGAGGAAAGTCGTGAAGTTCGTGAAAAACAGCGTCTACGTCACCAACAAGCTGCACCAACGCCAGATTGACTTGGGTACACCTGAGAACGAGAATAAAAAGCTTATTTTAGACAGCGAGAGCAGGTGGAGCAGCACGTTCTACATGATCGAGCGATTCATCGAGTTATGGAACGTGGTCAACGAGGTCTTGTACATGAAGCATGAGATTCCCGGGGCACCTACCGCCGAGGATTTGGACACGCTGAAGGAGATTCTGGATCTGCTGAGACCTTTGGAATTTGTGACGCAGGAATGCTCGACGGACAAGTATCTCGCAATCTCGAAGATGATACCACTTATCAGTTGCATCATGATCGAATACAACAAGATGACGCAAACGAAACAATTGTCGCGGAAGCTGAAGCAAGTGATCCTAGAGGAACTGGAAAAGAGACTCGGTCGCACAGAGTTCGTCCGTTCGGCCTCCCTCGCCACGATCCTTGATCCCCGTTTCAAAAACATTCACTTTCAGAACGCGCAGGCTATGTCCGATGCTATGTACCTGTTGCGCGACACGATCAACAAGCTATCCAACGCGAGCTCGTCCGGCGAGTCCGATACCGAGCAGGAGAAGAGCAAGTACGATCTATGGATTCACCATAGACTCTTGGCGAACATGCCGAAGGATGAAGACGACGAAGCTCTGAAGGACGAGTTGTCTCTGTACCTGGCCAGCCCGCTCGCCACGCTGAAGGACAACCCTCTGGAGAAGTGGGAGAGCACGAGAACGTTGTATCCTACGTTGTACAAAGTGGCGATCAAGTACTTGTCGATCGTCGCAACGTCCGTTCCCGCCGATAGCCTCTTCTCGAAGACAGGACTCGCAGGCGTCCGATCGAGAAATCAACTGGCTGACAAGAGATTGCACAAGCTGCTATTCCTGAACTCAGTAGATCCGGAATACTGGTTTCAATGAATCGAGAAAAACCAAATCGCCACTTTGTTATTCATGACGATGACGATCTAAGGAATGCGAGCATCCGACGGATCGGCTCGGAACTTCGCGCGGATAATTATCCTATATATATTCCTTCCAATAGCCGCGAACTAGTCGGACTCACTCCGAAACATCTCAAGAGAGAAGATATTCTTTACAATGTATAAATTATAGATATAAAACAGATAATTGTTATCTGATGATGCTGATGATAGTTACGACATTATTTTTCTAATAAAGAATTTCACCGTCACAGAGCCGTCGCCTTTCGTCGAGCCGTCATCGAACCGCGGTTTTTTTATTTCAAGACTTTTTTATCGCCCCGATAATAATGTTGATTCTTCCGAAGGAAAATCATCGACATTAGATGAATCATCATTGAGTATATATCAACGGCTATTTAACTTATCGACTTTTGGAAATTTCAAAATCATCAAATTAACAAAAATCAGGATGCTACAAATAACAATATATTCTCGAGTCTAAATAGAGTAAAAAGGCCCAGTACCATTTTTTCTTCCAACAAATAGTTCGCGAGATATCGTAAGTCGAATATTGAAAAAGTTACCACAGTTTTCCTTAAATATCTCAAAAATATTAAGTAAATGAAAAAATGTTTCAGCCAAAAATTATTCAAATTAATTGGTAGAAATAGATAGATGGTGTAGTAAGAAATGGAGGTTTCCATTTAAGAAAAGTAATGATCAGTGAATATATCTCGAAAATGGCGCCATCTGTAAACAAACTGATATAGTTGTGTTTTGTATGTCCCCCTTGAAACCATACAACTTTTGTCTGGAACATTTTTCCGTATCTTCCATATTTTTCGAGATATTTGCCTGGGAGATTTAAAATGGGACACCCTGTGTAGAGAGTGTTAGGTGTTGTGGGAACTACCAAGAAACCGCCGAGACTTCTGGAAAGACTACGCGAGAAGTATCCTTCGGGAAAGAAGGAGCACGGCTGGGGTTGCCAAATCCAAAAGTTAAAAAATTACCGGATATTTCTTCTTTGATAAGAAACCCAAACCGGACTAAACCGGACAGAAATAATAATAATCATAACGTAATCATTAAATACAAAATATCACAAGAATTTATTTACAATATTAATTTCCAAACAATTTTATAAACAAGATTTGATCGAATAAAATAATAAACTATTACTTTTTTAATATATATGGAATGACGAATCGGCAGATCATCTACTAGATGACTTTTCGTGGCGCTTGAAACGGAGAAACTTTGCTAAAATCTAAACTTTCATTCCGTTGATTGGATATAACTTAAAAACCGGACATATGACGTCCGGTCTGACTTATTAACCGGACACTGGACAAGACTTCTGAAAACCTGACAGTCCGGGCTCAAAACCAGGCAGTTGGCAACCCTAAGCACGACAACGTCTGTATACAACAAATTCGATCGAGCGTGTTCTCTTTCGGCTCCTGCGATACTCCTTGGCTCGCAAATGCCGCTTGAGATCGCTCGCAGAGGCAAATTGTTAAGACCCGCTCTGTAGATTGGCGGTGATTGAGTCTACATTGCAAAGACCTTGAAGGCCTTTAACGCGCCGGCTTTTGACGACACTCCCTCCACGTGGCGTTTTCAGCGCCATTCGATCGTCAGCCCTTTCGGACCCTTCAGGATATCCTCGGGAACTTCCTGCTTCTTCATTTCGCAACGTGCCTCATCGAGCGAGCGAGCGAGCGAGCGAGAGGGAGAGAGAGAGAGAGAGAGAGAGAGAGAGAGAGAGAGAGAGAGAGGAGAGAGAGAGAGAGAGAGAGAGAGAGAGAGAGAGAGAGAGAGAGAGGAGAGAGAGAGAGAGAGAGAGAGAGAGAGAGAGAGAGAGAGAGAGAGAGAGAGAGAGAGAGAGAGAGAGAGAGAGAGAGAGAGAGAGAGAGAGAGACGGTGTCGCCGAAAATCAGTGTTCTCCAATCGCAAGATCGCGGACAGGAAGGTTGCCCGTAATTTTTCATATAAGTTTCAACACGCATCCTCCCCAACGGCAGGACCCTCCCCCGTTAGGAAACGGGAGGATTTAGCTCGAGCGCGATTTGAATTTTACATCAAGCCAGGCCACGATAAGTTCGAGGCGAGCATAAGCAATTATGCAATGCGACGTGAGCGTATCGCGAGCGGTAGACGGCAAACAGCGGGGCCCGATGCGCTCTGTACGTGTCCGGACACCTCGTTGAACGTTCGAGCGTGATTTACGATAAGAATCAGGGGAAGTTGAAAGTCGCGCCCGACGTCGTAATTCTGTTAATGTTAATCCCGAGCTTAAGGCAGACAACCAGACGCGATTTACAATCGCGTGCACTTCTCGTTCGCATTTTGTATTCGCGAGCGACACTGCGGCTCGGCGGAGGAGGGGCCGGAGGGAGGGCGGGAGGGGAAAAGTGGTAGTGGATTGCCGCCTCGAAATAACGCGTACTTAATTCGGCCACTTGAAACTACTGTCCGATGCTCGAGTACCCGTCGATAGTGAGGCGCGTGACACGGTGGCTGTTCGACGAGACTGAGAATACGCAATTATCGAGTACACTGCTCGTCCGCTCGCTCGCCCGATTGAAAGATATCGCCGGTCACGTGGTCGCGGCGAGCACCACGTGGTCACACTAGCGCCGCGAGTTACGTCGTAAGTTCTCACATGTCGGAGCGAGGCACGGTTACGTGTGTACGCGTGTATGTGGGTGTATGTTTATACTGCGCGTTTTCCAAACAAAATCGTGCAAGTCCAATTTGAAATTGCACAAGAACCACCAGATATGGGAGCGTGCGAAGCCTCGTCAAGGCGAAGTTCGCCTTGAAACGAAACTGCTTGAATCCTGTTCCACGCGCGACTCGATGATCGATTCGCGAAAAAAATTATGACTAATATTACTTCCCGCCAATGATCGTATAAAAATATCGTATATAACTATATTATCTAAGTAATAATGCCGATGAAAAGTGTGACTAATATTTCGGGATACAGAAATTTCCGTTGTTTATGGTTTGTACTAAAGAAAAAAAAAATACCCGCATGAAATGTGACGCTTTATTTAAATCTTTATTTAAAGCTTTATTTAAAATATTTTTTTGTCTTCCGATGATAAAAATGCTGCAACACCGAGAACAGAAGAAGAGAAAGATTTAAACATCGCATTAATTATTTAGCTCGATGACGTCGGATTCAGAATGCGATCTCGATTGAGTAGAAAATTTGTATTATTATTGTCTTTAGATATTTCCCATCAGCCTCCGACACACTTTTCCTTATTCTTAAAACTTACTACGTCGGTCTCTTTCTATTCTCTATTATACTTTTATATTTTAATACCAAGTCGGTTAAAATTATAAACTTTTTCTTTTCATTTCTAAGAAATTTTGAACACATTTTCGTCGCGCAGCTGATTTTTCCTCGCTTTTTGTGATGATTTTTACCACTTATCATTACGCTAAAGAACGCTCTAAGAAGCGTTGAACATTAAAAAAGTACTTCCAGAAGATGTGACTCCTATATTGCAATTCCGTCAGGACGGTCACTGGACTAATCGACGTTCTACATTTAAGTGCTTCCCGAGTCATATCACACGTACTGGAAGTTTAGCTAAAAGTTCTATCGACGGAGTGCTCATAGAAACCGAACGACACTAAGCCGAGAGTTCATTTTAATCGAAGTTTCAGCAAACTGCAGTTAAAACCAAAATTGGTGGAAACGGACATGAGACAAAAATCAGCCGAGTCGAAAGCGGGAAGAAGAGTCGCGCGTCCGTCAAACGTGGCCCGAAGATGGCCGGAGATTCCACTTAATGACATTTGATTCACTAAGCAAAATACTATTGCAGCAACAAGTAAAATGATGACGCGGTCAAAATTAACGCGTGATGTTGAAAGATAAGCGCCATCCTGCATCGTGTGACGATCTATGACGCACATCTCAAATATGTGAGTTTCTACGACCTCTCTCCCCCAGGTTCCTTATCGCGCTCGTCCTTTCGTCCCTGCTATCGCGCTCTATTCTTATCACGACGCGTTAGGAGTGCATTCTCACCGTGCGACGCATCTTCCTCGAATGACGCGCTCGCGCGTCTCAGGCTTTATCGAAATGACTCCAGGGATATTTTTAACGAGCTCTCGTTAACGAACCGCCGATTGCACCGCTGCGGCCGCCGCGAGAGGAAGGTGCTCGCTGTTACCAAGGGGGTGCGAGAAAAAAATCCGGACGATTTATCGCGCTACACGTCACACTCTGTACACGCTCTCTTCGCACGCTCGCCTCCTCTCTTTGGTTCCCCAATTAATCACGAATATATTATATTATATAACGCGGCATAGTTTCTGCGGATTCCTCTGGATTCGCGTATTACATAACGACGCGCCGCCGTCAAGGCGCAGAAACAAAACTTTTTATTACAATGAGTCGATTATAAGATACCAATTATGAGAGAGGCCGATCGAAGAGACGCCTGGCGGAGACACTAACAGACGCCTGTGTATAATTAAATACCCGGTACTGGCTGTTGATAGCGGTTTTTCTTCAGACGCACAGCTACGTGCAATAATGAGGCGAGTCGTCGATGCTTCCAATTGACGAAATTCGCCGTCGTTATGTCGGCAGATTCTCCGAAGACGTTTCAAGCCAAATCTATAAATCTACGAAAGCCAGGTAGGGCAGGAATCATAATGGAAAAAAAAAAAAAGAGTTTCCCTCATTTTGACATTTGTCATCGCGATTTTCTGTTCTGCCTGAGAACACCGGTCCCATTTTTCGAAAAGATACGGCAGCTAGCTCGGAACGAATCATAACCGCAAGTTGCCAATTTAAATTAACGATTTCAAACGTATTTCAAACTGCGCAAGGGAGCACGCTGCTCTTCGAGGTTTCTCTTCGACCAAATGAGAATATCTTGAAGTTGATAAAAATATCCGGATCTCCTTCCGTTATGTGACGGAACTTCGTCAAATTATCCCGAGAGAAGAAACACGCTCGGCGATTCGGCGAAGCTGAAACGATGCAACCTTCAGAACGCTCTTATTAATTCGCGTCGGCCTCCTGAGGTTTCCTCTAAATTGTCGATAACTTTATCGATGTGATATCTCGCAGAATCGGTTTTCTTCACCTTTGAAAAGTTTGTATCCGGCAGATAAACTTATCCGGTACTTGAAGTAGCGAGTATCTGGCAAATATTGCTTTCAGTGCTCTGACCTAACCTAAAAATCGCAATACGTAATCGTTGCTGTTTTTATAAAAATACAAACATAATTTTATTGCTCGTGAATATTAATATTTATAAATCTGATAATGATGATGATGATGATGATAGTGATGAATTTGTAGAAAGAAGACGAAGAAAATTTCTGGAAACAGCATTAAATTCGTCGCAAATTTTTTCCCAAGCTTCATTTTCATCTTTCCATGTTGTTCCATCGGTTTTTTTTATTTCTGACAATATGTTTACATTTTAATGTAATGTCGATTATCAAATCAATTTCAGTTTTCGTAAAATTTGCTCCTCTTTTTTCCTTCTCTACTGAGCCGGATAATTGTTTTTCGACACTTTTCTCAACAGTTAACCGAAAATAGGCTAAAAAATATTTATTTCCACAAAATATAATCTCACTTGAAATATGTTGGTTGGTAGAATATGTCGCTGGCAGAATATGGTAATTTATAGTAAATTTCTAATATTTTTGTGTCGAAAGTTAGTAATATGAAGAACAAGCTATCTGTTAGATACCTAAGTAGAGGTTTCAGTGAAGAGAACGAAGCATTTTTAGTCATCTGACGGATATCTTTATCTGGAAGATAGCTATTGGTGGATGCGAAGAAATCGGGCATCGATCTTTTTCGTCGGCGAGCTGCTTTCACTCAGCTTCGTGTTGGATCGATATGCATCGATACATTGTGACGGTCATGCGTGCACGGATAATCGATGCTCCCAGATTTGGACTCACGCGCCACTTGACGTGCTCGCATGCGACAGCATCGCGCTGCGCCGCGCCGCACCTGGACGGCCCCCGCAATCCGTCGCGTTTTCCTCAATCACGTTCCATAAACAAACGCAAATCGCGCGACTACGTTGCGTTGCGAGCACAGTCGATTCTCACTGGAACGACACAGCAGCGTTGCTCGCTCGCTCGCGCGCGCGCGCGCGTCCGCGCCGCGCCGATCACCACTCGAGCGCGAAAGATCGAATCCGAGAAGACCGATCGCCGCCATGTCGCCGCGACCTGCGAATTGACGAAGCTGGCGAGCTCGGTTCTCTCGGGGTCGGTGTCGAAAAGCTGCACCGAAGGCGGAAGTTCAACACGACGACGGTCTGCCTTCAGCAGCCCGATCTCTCGAGCGGTTTCAAAAACGAAAGCAAACAACCGAGAAGAGAACCCATAGGCCTACCCTACACCTTGCCACGACAGTCTCGTTGTCGTAATACAGTCGCAACTTTCCCGTCATGTCTTGCACGATGTAACGACAGCGGCACTGCCGCCAAAAAGTACAGAATAGACCTGGCCGGAGAGAATAACTCGGCTACGCCGTAGACTCTCGGCGCAGTAGACACGAGTCTTCACGAGGTTTGAACCTCGCGCTTGCGACCGCCAGCAGATCCCTGATTTATCACGTGGCCGTGTTGTGCATCGTTCCAGCTGGTATGCGCTTGTATTCTGATCGATATCGTGACGAGCATGATCGCGACGACGGCGCCGGGGATGGCGGGGAGGACGGGGTGCAGAACGATGCACACAGTGCGACGCGCGGAACAGGCCTCCCGGCGGCGGTAGAGGGGAGCGACGAGAAGAAGGTGCGCGGCGATCTCGCGATTTCCTGCGTGGCGATTGCGAGATTGCACTTACCGGCCGCGGATCTGATGCCGCTCTTTCCATGATGCCTGCGGTACTTCTTCGACGTCGTGTTGCGACCCTTCAGCAACATCGTACACGCACTGGCACGCGTTTGTTTCCGGCGACGGCGCGCTTGCTACGCATTATTATCCGGCCGCGCGGCAGCCATATTTGCCCTCCGCTGCTCGACTGGTGGAGCCTGCGGTCGCGCCGCGGCGGCTCGGCTCGTCTCGCTCGCTCGCTCGCTCGCTCGCTCGGCCTTTGGCTCGCGGCCATGCCACTGCCGCGCGCGCTGACGTCACGTGGCACACCGCTACTCTCTCGCACGCACGCGCGCGCGCGCGCACGCGTACGCGTACGCGTCGCGGCCAGGGCCGTCTCGCCGGCGGGGAAGGGGGGAAACGCGCTCGCGGCTAACGGGATCTCTCGCGTCGCCTGCGTCGCACGATCGAGCAACGATGATATTGCTTTGACATTCTCCCAAGTATTTTGATATTTCTCTTCTTCATTCCGCGCGACCGATTGATAATTTTTTTACAAATTCTGCAAAACACAAGCGGTAAAATTGACTTTTTGCAGATATATATGTATATGGTTCACACAAAGGTGTTTATAATTGCAAAATATCGAGAGACCCTCGTCGTGAATCGAATATTGTTAGTTACGCAATGACCAATAGCGCGGTGCATCTCTTATGACAGCTACGATTGTTAATTCACAACGAACGATAACCGATAGCTCCAAGGGGGAGCATAGGAGAGGAGGGGAATGATTTCAAAGGCGATAACGGAATAACAAAGACGTTCCTGGTGCGTGTAGGTATGGCCTTTTACTTCACACACAATCGAGTTCTCATTTGACACACATTACCTCAAACTGAAACCGAAAGAAGTATATCGAAGGCAGCCAATGCAAGACGCGATTAGTAATATCGCGACACAATAATCTTCTCCGTCCGCTCGCATATATATTTATATATATATATTTCGTTTAATTAAGTTTTTCTCGCACATTCTTCATCATGAGAGACGATACCAAAGCCTACGAGACACACATGTTATACGACATGGATCGAAAATCGCGTAATCATAGTAATTTAATATCTGTAATAAATATATCTATCGCATAGATATCAATTATAGCTGATAGTAGCTATAGGAACGTTATTACAGTAATTACGTCTACTTTCATATGCAGGACATTATATGTGATGAAATGCATTATAATTTCAAAATATATTACCATGTGTGAAACACAATCGTCATATATATATATATATATATATAAAATTTACATCTAACAATTTACATATTAAGAAAATAACAAAGAAAAGATACACTAAGTTATGCGAATAAAGTTTTTATATCTGTAAATATAAAATTGTGAATATAATTAATGTAAATAAAATAACTGCGATTTCGATTTCTTTCTTTTAATTTGTTCCCTTTTTATTCTCTCTCGAGTCTCTCCCGAAATCACTGAGAAATTTTTCTCATTTAAGAGTTCACTCTTAAAAATATGACTTTCGATCCACGGTATATAACACTGTACGCGTCATCGTATAGAAATCTATACACATTTTTATACAGAGTGTCCCGAAGAAAGAATACGAGATTCTTCGCTTTTAATATAACGTGGTTTACTCGGAAGTGAATATTTAGTATTCTTGCATACTTTCTGCGGGTCACCCGGCATATATCGTAACGCAAGTCGAGGACAGTGATGCACATACATCGCGGAGCGCCTACAATCATTACACGATGATACAATTTCCAAAAGATCACAACAATGATGCAAAAATAGACGTTACCCACCATACTCGTCGCGACACGGCAAGACAAATTTCTCTTCGATTCACCTGAAAATTCTCTGGAAACTTCTCGTTGCCTACTCTTCCCTCCATCTTCTTCATCCTTACACTCGTCAACTTCCACGCTTACTTAGTGTTCGGTGCAATTAGGCGTTTTGTGAGAATTCCTTACGTAGTGTCGAAAACGCACATTTAGCTCCTTCGTAAATCACATGGAAATTATATTAAAGAATTAAATTACAATAAATGAGTTACGCGCAAAGAGGAGAAATTATTATATTGATATTAAACTTAACGAAAGGATTCTAATCGTAAAACAATTTGCTTTAACTTTAGGCACAACTAAATTTTTGTAGGGTGTGTGATACGGAATTTAAGTAAATTGAATTGTTCTGGGACAAGTTTGTTATTCCAAGTTAGTTATTTTAAATTCATATATATAATTATGTTAGAAACTCAGGGATTTATAAAAACAAATTCCATAATACAAATAAAATTAGAACTAAATGCGCGTTATCAATGCAAAAACGATCAGATTCCCAAGAATCAAAATACAAAATAACAAAGACCTATTTGTTTTTGCATAGGAACAGCAGCAAAATGAATTACAATTCGTACGTGAAGTATAAGAACTGATGAAAATATATGAAAACTGTAACATGATGAATACAATACAGAAAAATGACAGAGTTAATCATGAAGAATCTTACAATCAATAAAATTCCTCTCAGAATTTTAGCCCTAAGAATCTTCAGATTTTGAAAATCGTAAAATCTACAAGAATTTAGGAGACAATTTTGACAAGAAGAGAATCATAACATAGAAATGGCTTTTTCCATTCCCAGTAAAATTATAGTTGATATTGCGCAAATCAAATTAATCATATAAAAGAATCGCTCAAGCTTGGGAATTACTGATCCGAATTATGAGACACAAGCTGATGAATATTATGAATACAGTTACGATCTGTTGTGTTTCTAGCCCCTTGGATTGCAGCGGTATTGTGACCAAGGCTTAAGTTCTTATTAAATTTTATGTTCTAATTGTTTTTTTTATATCCGCAAAATTTACATTAGATCTTTGAAAAATTTTATATTTGCATTCTCATACCATGTTTAATCCTTGCTATCCAAACTGCTTTTCACATCCTTTTCAAGAGTTTCAAAATTTTAGCCTTCTCTTTATCTTTAGCTTCTTGTATATACAAGTAGAAAAAGCAGTCGCGCGTCGGTAGGACAAACTAATTTGTATCATTACCGATTTCAAGATACACTCAAGGATTATCTATAAGTCACCTTAAGCCAGGTTAATTTTAAAACTCGTCTATAAAAAAATATCGTAACGTTTATCCTCTTTTATCTTTTCAACTTGATCCTTGCGCGTTTCGTATTTATTTGCGCCCATGTAAACTTGGCAATTGGACCCGACGCTTAATTTCGACAAACTTTCAAACTTCAACTTTCTAAGACTTCGATGTCGTAGAAGCGCAAGAGAATAACGACCGCATTTGTTCGCAAACTAATAATATAATACGGAAACGATTTGAAGTTTATCTCCGCACATTGGAAAATTGATCCGTGCGAGACTATACCGCCGTATAAATGTTAATTTCTTGTCACGAGTGAACTTTTTGCCTGGTCACGACACCGTGCTAACTTGAAGAAACAAAAATGTCTTTCTCTCTTTTCTTTCCTGTATTTTTCACACATACACACATACTCTGTCCCATTCACTCTATCGCTTTCTTTCTTTCTCTCCCTCTCTCTCGCCCGCACTTAAACGCTACACATTTTGACAAATAATTAAAGTCATCACAGAAGCGTCACATTATCATATTCCGTTAGACTACATGTCTCGTGTAAGTGAGTGTTTCTCATGTCGGTTAGCGCAGTAATATTACAATGAGTACAAAATGGTTTCTCAAGTTTTCAAGCCTAGTATAAAGCACTATTTATTATTATTATTAATATTATTATTATATCATTATAATTATATGTATATTATATTTATATATATATATATATATAATCATGAATGTGCTTAACACTCCGGCACACACCGCACACACACACACACACACACACACACCCTCCTGTGTGTGCGCGCGCGCGCACACAGAGCCGCAGTCGCATCACTTAGGATCTAGTTGTAGCGATAGTGATTTATTAGTATTCCGTTAATTTCTATCCTCCAATTCCCATACTTCTCTCTCACCCCCAATCCTTTTATCTATCTCTCTCTTTCTCATCCTTGGGAAACGACGTACTGTATGTTGCGATTCAAAACCAACTACTCGGTAATCACGGTTAATCGATCGCAGCTGTCATCGAGATTTCTTTCTCTTCACGTTCGACGACAAGATTGAGATAGTGATAACATGAATAGAAAAAAAAATGATTACTTTCCCATATAAATAAAAATTCTATAATTATTTAACATAAAACGAGGATATTTTCAAATATATTAAAATATTTTTAAGATCTTGCCTTAACTCCTTCTTCTCACATTAAATATTAAAGGCTCATAGGAAAAAAACTTTTTGGAAAGTTTGTCTTAAACAAAACACTGATTTGAATACTTGTAATTCCTTTTTGTTTTTTGAATAGAAAACGAGAAACAAATTTGGTACATCTTTCAATATTAACATGAGCGACAGATATTTTGGAAACTATATTTAAATGAAGTCACTTTCGCTTTAAACCTTTCAAAGGTGTTGTAAATCTCATTTTACCTTTTATAAATTTATTCTTTGTATAAAAAAAAGATTGTTTCTTCTTTTTTAAAAAATTCTTCAAGTTGCTGCGAAAGTTCTTTGGATTTCACATAACTCACAACGTTCTTGTGCCATTCGAGAAGAAACGCAAAATTTCTGCGACTTTAGAAAAATCTTTCTCTTACACTCCTATATCTTCAAATATTTTAACTTCGAGGCACACAATAGATCTCTTCCTCAATATCTTAGACTTTTAAGTAATAATAATAAAGAAAATAAAGTTCTCTCTTCGATTCTAAAAAGTCCTGAATCTATAAGTATTTAGGTATCTCAATCCTGAATATGCCAATCTAACGTGTAAACTTTTTCGAACCGGGATTATTACGATCTCGGTTTTTCCGAGCCCTATGAACCAATATCTAGAATTTCAAAGAATCGACATACCTGTCGGATACAGAACTCTCTCGCAGCTAAACTTTCGCAACAATCTGTTCAAGTCACCTCGCTTGCTCCCCCCCCCCTCTCTCTCTCTCTCTCGCTAAAAGTCAAAGAACCGTGCGGACTATGCATAACTTTGCCGAAGTGGGAATATCGTGACGAAAGGCAGTATTGTCCGTGCGATCTCGAGAAACCGGGAGGGAGACACGACACGTTCTGTCTCTCTTCTCTCTCCCTGCTCGAAATGCGGACAGGATGCGGTGCGCGATCGACCTCCCGTTTTACTTCGAGTCAGAAAATAATGGCACAAAGCGAAACGGAGCCTTGCGGGGCGCGCTCGGGGCGGCCTTGACGCGGGGACGCGATACTTAGCCGGAGCTGGCAGTCTCATTTTCCACTGGCAGAACGACCGGCTGCGGCGCGTCCGCGAGATTGCCGTCCTGGCGATCCAGGGCAGCCTTGTTCTGTCTCACGATCTCAGCGCGCCTCTCCTATCGGGAACAGAGAAAAAGAGTCCGATATTAGAGCGGTTGTCACCATGCGTGTGGAAAGTACGCCATGCTGTCTAACTGCAAGCTGATGTAACGTGTTGCCCGGCTGGACGTAACGGGTGGCTAGACCTTTACAGAGTGCGTCGTAGAAGTTCCCGACGGCGTGCGATTACGCTGGAGAGAAAATATTTTATGAGAAAAGAAATGTTTGAGTTGGAACACATGTGGAAAAAAAAAGAAAAAGAAAAAAGAAAAAAATTCAAAGCGTTACCATGTTTCTTAGAATACTCCTTGATTTCTGTATCCTCGAGAATGTCAAGATCCGCAAAAGAGTTTATTTAAAATGGTTTCTTTGTCGTATCGATTGTCTCGTATCTATTTTATTGCGAGGCACGAAGCTTAAATTTTGCAAGCGATTTTCCACGAAATGAGCAAAACTTCGCCGTCACAGCGTACTCCTTCTGCGACACACCCTGTATGAACGATCACGTATGAGCCATAAGTGAGCACGGCCATGCTGGAAGATAACTATAAACCGAAGGCTGCAACATAATTTGGCAAAAGCACGGCATTCCTATTACAAAAGTAACCATCTTCGTCCGCGTGGTCCTACAAAAGAACAGTGGAAGGGGCCGAGGGACGAGACAGAGGAAATAATACGTAATTTTCATATGATCGCTCGCGGGCGTTACAATTTGTCGCACTGAACTGTCTGAAATCAATGTTAGCATCATAATAATTATGCAGAGAAAGCTTAACTTACAAACTCAAATCTCTTTTTACATTATTATCTCCCTTGGTCATCGATGCGTCAATAAATGAAGGAAAAATTACTGAGATGAATGAATCACATCGCGTAGAATCTTATTCTGCGACAAACTGCCACGTTCGCGGGTATCGCAATTGTTTAAAGAGTCTGTGTGGGGAAGGAATTACATGGTGGCGGCGAATTGCCTGCACGCGACGTTGGATCTCTCGCTGTCGATTCAGCTCCGCAGTCGACACCCTCTTGTCAAACTCGAACTTTTTCACCAGGATCTCTCTCGCCGCCGTCTGACGCACTTTCTCTATCTTCACCGTGTTCTAAACCACCATCGCGCAAGCGCGCGCATTCAATCAGTGCTTGTATCTTCGTTGGATACCTTGGGACAACTGGTGTTGCCCCCGCTTTGTCTTCTTTCTCTCTTTTTAAATGCTCGCGGACTATTTAATTTTTAATTTTTAGCAATTTTCACACTCAAACTCGAAGCTCTGACACTTTGAATCTTCGAATTATCTTTGAGAAAGAGATAAAAGAGATAAAAGTTGTACATTTGGTCAGAAACTTACATGATTGCGCAGCTTCTCCTTCTGTTCGCGCTCGATGGTCTCGCGACGTTCGCGTGCCTGCTCCAGCTTGCCCTGAATTTGGGACTCCAATTGCTGCACACGCTCCGACATTCCCTGACGTACACGAGCAACTTGCTCTTCCTGAAAAAGCAGACCGTGAATCGATAAGTTACTGTCTATTCTTAACGAACCTATTATTCGTCTATACAGTTCGCCTGCTAAAATATGCAAAACAAGGTAGCAGCTTGCTAGGGAAAAAAGGGAAAACGAAGATGAAACTAAAAGCGTTACAATGCAAAACTGAATCCTCGAAAGATGGAAGATTTGAATTTTTAGAAGCACTTCGCTGTGCTTTTTCGTATATTTGCAAGTACAATGAATTCCTATCGAACGCGATTGATCACATACAAGCATGTTTGTATCGTGGAAGAGGAGGGACCGATGTATGTTTCCTTAATTTTCAATGAACATCTTAAAAGATTCATGAATATACCAAAATTCCTAAGACTTACAACTGACAGACAACTGAAAAATAATTAAACAGGTATTGGTTCATCCTCTATGAAGGAAATGAAAAGACACTAACATGCTCTTTGAGACGATCCAACATCCTCTTGATATTTTCATCACGTTGAGCCGCGGCAGTCTTCAGCTTCTCCTCCACGGCGCATCGAACTTCCTCGGTTTGCAGCTCGAGACTTAGACGAGTCTTTTCGACACTCTCCAACTACAAGACAAAATATCACCAGATATTAATATTACAGATTATCATCAAACTTGAATGTTTCAACTCAAGTTGAAACTAACGAGTAAAAATCTTTCGTTAACAAACTGTTATCGATAGAACTCCAATTTCTCGCAGAACGTGAACGAGAAAATACTTCTCGCTAATTACATCTCTCCACTCACATGCTCCTTCAGCTTGTTCTTCAGCTCGGCGATGTGAGCCTCTCGCTTCTCCTCCGTATTATTCATCTTAGCGTCCAAGGACTCGCGAGTGGCGGCGATGAAGGCCGCGCTCAGCTCGTCCTTCTTGCGAGAGGCCTCCTCGATCTTGCTGAGCTTAGCAGCAAGACCGGCGAGCTTATGCGCTTCCAGCGACAGTCTCCGCTCTTCGGCAGCCCTCAGCTTGTCCTCGATCGCAGTCTGCTGGGTCGGAGTCGTCTGCTGCGGCGGTGACGGCGCTCTTTTAGGCACCGTCGGCTCCGCCAAGATCACCTCGTAGCACAGTCCACCCTTGGACTTCTCCTGGCATCTAATCTCGGTTGCTGCAATTTATACATATTATATGACATTTTCCAGAAATATATTATTAATAACTGGAACATCGAACAATCGCAATAACAGTATCATTTTAATATTGTTTCAGTGTAGATAATATGACTCGTATAAATTGCTTCAATAGTCAATTATTACAGCTGCTGATACCATGTCGCAGTTGCAGAATATATCATACTCAATCTCTCAAAAGCATTAATATTAATGTTTCAACGTTGCGGTGCCCTTCATGGTACAGTATGGTACGGTACGGTATCGCCGGGACGTTTATGACATTCACGGGCGTGCTCATTTTGATCTATTTCGATAGTGAGAGTATCGACGTTTTGTCTCAATATACAAGTCGTTCCAGGCGCAATTTGCGCTTCCAAGACTTCCGGCGCCGGCAAGTTACGGAAGTATGACTCACAGAGCGGAGCAGCGCGGGAAGGAGGGATCGATCGGGGAACGATCGGCTGTAGGCGCCGCGACGTCTAGCGTCGCCGCACGCACCTCTCCTTCTCCTCCTCCTCCTCCTCCTCATTCTCTTCTTCCTCCAGCCGCGCTTGTACACTCGACCGTTGCCAACCGTACCGTAATTACCGTATATCTCATTCTGCAACTTCACCATGGCAATTTTTCTCAGCAACTCCAGTAGTTGTCTAATTCCGAGGTGCAGGATCGTGGTTTCGTCAATCGCTATTTTTTCCTCCATTTTCCTAGCATGAACAAGATCGATCGAGCGCCGAACTTGTTGAACGCTCTGTCGAGTTATCAGCGATAGATACGAATTGATGATGCTGAAGAATAGATAACACAATTTTTTTAGATTTGCAAACTGTTTCCCAAGTTTGCACCCTCGGTCGTCAATATCCCCTTCACTTCCACTCGCTTTCTCATTCGGCAGAAAAAGATATTGTGTTAGAGTACTGCGTCATGAGAACTTGTCGATAGCGCAGCATGTATGCGTGCGTACATCTCCACGTAATATAGTATAGAGCGCGAGTTTCCAATGTTACCCGCTATCAATGTATAATTCAACGGCGACACATTGGCGCGACCATTCTCGCCCGAGGGCATTGCACCAACCTTTCGACGGGAGCGAAGCTGCTCCTGCAACCCTTAGATACGATAATTCATGCGGCAAATAAAACAACGCGCACCACGAAGTGATTGCGCGAATCACAGTTGCTTACAGTCGATTTTTTCTCACGTGAGAAATCGTCCCGTCGAAAATTCAAATTTAGAACTTTCCTATCCGAAATCAATAGGAAATTCGCCAAAACCGTGGTGAAAATGACAGTCTCGGGTTTCTCAAGGAATCCTCCGAACCCTGATCGAACACATCCTATCATCGCCGAGAGAATTTCAAGGTAATCAATCGATCAAACGATCCGTTTCTTTTGACGTCATTCAACGCCGGCTAAAAGCGCTGCAACAAAACATCGACTTATTCGAGTACTTACTGATGAACTTCACCTTCTTCGGCTGCTTGGTCCGCGGCTTGCCTTTGCCGTTAGGCTTCTTGAAGGGCGCGTTATTCCTCCTCGGACCGGCTTCACAAATTCAGACTCGGTCAAAGCGCTTAAGTTTTTCAAGAGGATTCACGGGGATAGCGGGAGAAGCTGGGCTTTTTAACCCATCGAGTCGTCTTTGCGCAATCGATTGCTCGGAGATGCAGCGGTAACGATAAAATTATCGGTCTTTTTAGAGCCGCTTGGTGAAATAGAATTTAATTATAACGAAAGGCAATCTTTGCGAGAAGAAAATGATAGTAAGTTTCGAAAATAAGTGAGAATTACATTTATTCTTGAAATCTTTTCTTAATTTTTATTTATCTGAATCTGAATCGGATATGCTGCTGTCTGCTTGAAAGAAAGACCGAGAGAGAGAGAGAGAGAGAGAGAGATCGATTGGCGTCCCAATGGGTTAATTATCGGGAAATCGATGCGACCGTTTCGCGTAGCCATGTTGGACCGCACCCTGATCGTTTCGGCAGCCCGAACACGTGCACACCGGCATCACGGAATCCGCGATATTAAAGATCGTGTGAAAACAAAAGAGACTGAATGACGAACGATTATCGTTTCAGCTAATACACGTCCCGTCGTTTCGAAGGAAAATTATTTTTCCAAAGGTAATTCAACTCGTTATCATTATCCTTAAACAAAAATAAATCGCATAATTAGGAGATGAATTTATCGTGAAATTATTGATACATTAATGCCTGCTAACGGTAACACAAGTAATCTAAACAGTAGTCCATCAAATGCGATACATAATTTGAACTACTGGTTGCTAAAAGAGAGAGAGAGAGAGAGAGAGAGAGAAACGTTATAAAAAGAAAATATATAATATTGATCCGAACATAAAATAAATATGGACTTTTTCGTGAACTGTATATCGCAATATTAATTTTTTTAATATTACATCAATTAAATTGAATATTGAAAAGCTACATCCCTTTTTAATCAACTGTAAATTTGCTAAAAAAATTCATTAAATACATGTTCCTCGTCTCTCCCAATAAATTAGCTACTCGGACGTTAAAAGTCAGATATACCGATAAAGAAGAATTTTCCCGAGTTCGCCGGCGAAATTTCGCGACACCCTGTAGAGAAAAATGGTGGACCGTGAGTATCGATTCGCGGACGGTCTGAGAAATTGATCGAACTGCAGGTGTCCCAGGATAATGTCGCGATACCACCTTGGTATCGACCATCGTACAATGCAGTAAGGACAGTGCTCCACACGTTTGAAGAGCACGGAAAAATGTAATCGTCTTTTCGGGGGAGAATAGATAACGAAAATCTTTTGAGATTCTCGAATTCCTATATAAATTGTATAGCATTCTAAATGGTCCAAAATGATTATATCGTTAGACTAAATAGACTAAATAAGATCAATGAAATAAATAATTCGTGACGATTGAGACAGTCAAAGCAATTAACGAGATAAATAAGGAAAATGAAGCAGTGATTTTCGGTCTGCACGTGTCAGCGAGAAACCTGAAGAAATCATTTGAGAAATCTGAAAGCGAAACGATTACACCTGCTCCCCGCACCTGACACTCCCATTTATGAATTGCTTTCTCCAAGGATAAAATAAGATGAAACAGTACGTTGGGAGATTTTCCCGACGGTACTTTCAATAATTGACGCTCTTAATTTTCTTCCGGTTCATTTTTTTTTTTTTAATCAAGTTGAAAGTCCGGAATACATTTCCGGAGATTTGCTCCAAAAATTAAACGTAATGCTATGAGATCTCTAACTTGAAGGAAATTTTTAAGAAGAATAGCCATATGTGAAAATTCCCCAAAGACCTTACATCACTAAAGGTCAAATTTCCTTCAAAAATGCATCTTGAACAAAACCTCACGAATGCTCGATAAAAATCTCAAAATTATAATTGTAAATTGCTGTATACTTGTTGCTTTCCAATAAAAGTAACGCTCCCGAAGTGTAAAAGAGAGTTTACATCTACGAAACTCCACCCACTGTTAATTCGACGTAACAACCTGTATTGGAAGTACCGAAAATTTCCATACAAATTTCTAATATTTACATTTCACTATTCTCTATAACGCGAAATTTTGAGGACTGACAGTGGGCCGTTCTAAACCCCCATGATCCTTATAGGAATAAAGAAGCTATACGTCCTCTCCAAGTATGATCTCGACATAAGATGGAGAAGCAGAGGAGAGAGCTCAGTAAAGAGAGAAGAGGATGAACGCCCAAGGACAAGGACAAAGCCAGGCGAGGAAGGACTCACCTACGACGCCCAGCGGGGCCTTGCAGCTGTGACAGAAGCACTGGAGCACCGAGTCGCGCACGAGACCGATCAGCATATTGTCGTTTTCGTACGAGGAGTTGTTGGTCGGGATTGTCTCGCGTGCCGGGGTGAATCGACGACGGCGACTAGGAGCTGAGCGCGCACGGCTGGGAGGCGCGCGAAGAAGAGAGGACGAAGAGGTGCTGGAAGGACGAGAAGAGGACACGACCGGGAGAAGAGGTACGCCGGAAGTGTCGCTCGGGTCGTATCTGGGGCGGTGGCTGGTGGGCGACTGGCCTGCACGCTGCGCCGCGACGCTCGGCGTCGCTCAATATCCGACCACCCCCTGCTGCTCCCGATCCTCCCCCATGACCGTTCGACACCCTCGTCCGCGACGAGCTCTTGCCAACCAACAGCCCACGTACCCGACGACAAGCCACCCTTCCAGCTAGCGACTCCAACCTGCGATCGCCACCACCGCCGCCGGCCTCTCCGAGGGGTGTTATGGCTTATACGGGGTGTCCCGAGAGAAGAGTGGGTGGTGGAGGACGTGGAAAAGTGGACTCGGTGAGTGGCGCATGAGGGAGGAGGGACGACAGTCGGAGTGGAAGGTTCGACGGAGGGACGATCAAAGTCGGAAATTAGGCGGAACTTTGGGAACGCTTGGATCCTCGACAACGAGTTCTCGAACATCGGACTTCGTCAGAGATTCGTTCAGAGATTTCGCATGTCGCATCGAGACTATTTTGTATCCCAAAAAGGCGCACCCTTCGAGAGTCCTGCGGTCTCCTCAGAAGATCCGATTGAATTTCCGAAATGACCGATGAGATGAGAAAAGTCCACATCTAATGAAAGTTCGCACCCTCTGTGAAACTTCGCTGAACACGTTACGGCGAATTCGAATGGATATTTCGCCTCGACTATCTAGGACTTCAGTATGTCCTTTCGCTCTCGCAGGTGTGCATCTTTGGCATCTGATTGCTTGACGAGATTTAAAGATCTACTGCTGTTGTTCACTTCGAGATGCTTGAAAGAAACTCAGATCTCGGAGTCTCTTCAAATTTTGGCATTCAGGTACTTCGAATTGATCAAGAAATTCCTAAGCTTTTGAGTACTCATATCCACAAATTCTCAGATTTTTACATACTCAGATATCAACATTTTGGGATCTTCACTTTTGAGGATTATTTGTCTCCTGAAACTTGGACTTCGGCAAGCCCATATTCAATGTCCCTCCTTGAATCAGATCAAAGCGAAGCGCGAGAGCTTGAAATTGGATCGTCACGATGTCCTCTCAACGTCTGAAACGCTGCAAAGATCCTGTACGCACCTGTAGATTCGATAGAGGTATTACAATGACGGTCGGGAAATGTGGGGCAAGTAATAGTCGCACTTTGTGCCAAATTTTCCGCTGGACGAACGATCGAAGACGCTGTTTGTCAGAACGCGTCTTCTGACGCAGCGAGGAGATACCGTCGAGTCAATTCCCGGCGGTAATCAATGAGAAATGAAATTTTCATGACGCACGCGGTCTCGACCGCCGAGTCGAGGAAATGGATGGACTCATTAGAGGAAAGGGGAAAGCGGATTTCTTGCGCTCGGCTTCTGTCCTTTGATTGTATTACGTTAAATTTCTGACGACATGGCCTGTCGCATCGGATAATTCGAGCAGCGGGTTTGACGATAGTTTAACAACCAATAAATTCCTAATGAGCATCTTAAACCCGGTTAGAACCTTGCAAATCGAAATGACGTGTCCTAAAATGCGAGCCACTTTTGAACAGTTGCTAGGTTCTTTAAAATTCGATAATCTCGGTTCAGTAACCGCGCAAGAGTGGTTATTCGTGAAAGTCGACTTATATATTTTAGGAAGACCAATAAGGAATACCAATAAGGAGCAGAGGTAGAAATATTTAACACGGTAATGTATTTAACATGGTCCATTTGCCAACGTGATCATTTCACGTCTTAATTAATTTTCGAACACTTTAAAGCGTAATGAGGCAAGATAGAAATTGATTAAAATAAAATCTTCAATCCTAAATGAATTTAATTTTAATTTCAAATGTGCGCGAATGTCTGAAAATACCAAATCGAATATTCAAGATCTAAAACTCTAAAAATTAGATCTTTATTTCCTTAAAAATCTCGCCTCTTCTTCCCTCGAAAATACTGACTCTTTCGTTGGCTTGACAGTTTTGTCAGACGAGAAAAAGAGGAGCAGCATTGCGGAGACAGCTTTCACGACTTGTTTCGTGTTATTTACCAAAGAACAATGCAACGTTAAAGGGCCGAGCGTGATCGCAAAAAAGGAGAGGTGTTTGTCGCAAGCGCATGTTGACGATCGAGAAATCTCGACCTAGCGGGAACCTCGTAATGAGCCGGACTCGATCGTTACGGTTTAATTAGACCCGAGCGACGGCGATAACGAGAAAAAGCGAGCGGAGAAACCGGGAGGAAAAATCGAGTTTATCGTCGCGTTAACCCTCCTGCTGATTTCCTACCGGTGAAAACTGCTTGCCAACCAAGGGCGAGAAAGTCTCACTTTTCGCACCATATGTTCCGGTTATAAAAAATGGTTATAAAAAATGTTCCGTGAATATTTTCACCACGAAACTGCGCTCAATAACATGAAAACAGCATAATAATTACGCTAAAAAACCTGATATCATGCTAATAATTTCATTTCATTTCCCCGAGGGTGCATTAAATTTCGAACATATAGAAATACTTTGACAGTCACATCAACATGAAACATTCCCAGGTCCCACCGACTGCTCAACGCTCAAGATTTATCTTCCTCCCCGTGTGCACACGAGCATTACGAGATCCGCCACCTACCCATCTCCTTCCTACGCCTCTCTCATCCAATAGTCGTCACGTTAAAAGGCGAAAAAAAGCGCCGCGCGAACAAAGGTTCGTGTCTAAAAGGGTTAAACTTCCGCGAAAGGTCACCCCTACACGTTATTATGTTCGTCATCTGAGGCTGCTCTGCCCTTTCTCGTCCTGCTAAATGTCGATCATCGACTTCGTCGTCGAAGGACCTTTTTCATTTTCATATGTTTCCTTTTCTTCCATTCGTCCGTCGAGAGATCGTCACTTGCGCGAGAAGCGACTTCTACAGGTCATTCTCGGGTGGAGTTGAGAACCGTTGCCGCATAGGCGACGGGTCGCCGGCGTTGCACTGCGTCGCAGTCGAGTCGACGGGTTGCTGCTCTGCTGCTGCTGCTGCTGCTGCTCTGCTGCAGTCGTCAGCCGCGATATGGCGGCCCGCCCGGCCGATGCAGGCTACGCTCCTCCGCAGCGTTCGCTCGCTAGCGAGGACACGGCGAGTCAGGGGGCTCTGACCTCTTCCCGTTCCCGTTCCCGTTCCCGTCGCCGCCTGCCTGCCTGCCTGCCTGCCTGCCTGCCTGCCTGCTCGCCTGCTCGCCTGCCGATCGTTCGGTCTGCAACGTTTAGGGTGTGTTCCCACCGCGGCGCCGCGGCCTCCTCTCTAATTGCCGCGGGTCCCTTTGTTCCTCCGCCGACGTACCGTCGTTTTCGCGAAAGGACACGCGAAACTCGCGTGTCTCCTATCGAATGCACCGCCGCCGGCCTCCTTCCAACCTCCTCTTCGCTCGTTGTTGCACGAAAATGGACAGGCGATTAGAGAACGATGAATACACCGCGACTGAATGACGACCCAATTTATCGTTACTCGTTGTTGACATTTTCGGATGATTTTGTTCGTCTGACTTCTGAATTTGTTTAATTGAGAAGTGACTCGGTTGTGTCGTTCCCTAATCAAGCTAGAGCGCTGTTCTACTCGGATGAGAAAGAAAATTGAGAAATACTAAGGATAAGAACGCGGTAAGTAGAGATACATTGATCCTGCTCGTGCCCAGGATGGTGTTGAGAAATTGAGACTACGAGCTAAAACTGATCTCTCTCAAAGTCGCGAATTAGCTTCTGCGGAAATCAGTCTCAGAAGTTTAATCACAATTCCAAAAATAATGTTTGAACATTCTTAAATATTTGTAAATGATTATATTTTGCTTGCTCCTGCATACATACGATCGCTTCAACTGCTGACATTCGTCGCATAAAGAGCGGAACGTAATAACGTAGGCATATCGATCTTGCGCTTAATATTAATATCTCGCGTATTTTTCAGTATAAAATGTTACTCACATTCCTTGTCGATAGATGACTCCATTGCGGTGGCCATAGCGATGCCTCTGCAACAAAAATGTTCCGCATTCGAGCAAACATGGCGAGTGCAAATTGTTCGCAGGTGAGTACAAAAGGCGGGCAGAACTCTCCCGACAGGAGGTCATAAAGTCATGTAATATGAAGAAAGGAAATTTACGCTCTAACAAAGCGGTCGAATGAGTCTGCTTTCCTACGTTCGGCTCGGTTGCCATTATTCGATCGTTACTTCTCTCTAGCACATCGCGACTTTGTGTATATATCCTTCGCTTTATAACAAAGTGCCTTCCAAATACACGCTTAACACTCATAACACGCGTGATATTTTCATTATTTTTCTATGAAATGTAGCCTCTTCGAGGCTACGATGCGCCTATATTTCAATCGCGAACAGTTCTACTTTGTTATTCTGACCGAATATCGTCGTATATCACCGTGTTGAAGCAACGGTTCTCAAACTGTTAAGTTATAGGAGAAAAAAAAGAATAACCTTTTTGATCACATGCAGAATTGAAAACTGAAGTCTTTCAATGTCTAAACTCTCATGTATTTGTATCAATTCTAGTAAAATTGTGTTGATAAAAGATCTTTGTGACTTGACATCAGTAACTATATCAAGATATATAGTAGATTTATAAAATATTGATATTCCCTCGTGTCTTACTTCAAATGCAATCGCCAGGACGAATAACAATTCGTAATAACAATTGAATTCTTACTCATATATGTCAAATAATTATTACCTGCGATTACGCAATGTAATTTCCCCAAAAGATACATCTTGTTACCTTTATTTAACTGAAAATGACATGTATCGATAAAACATAGACAAGCCATGACTTCGGTATATATAGTCAAGATGAGTTATATAGCGACATCTAGTGACTACCATTATTTACTTTGCTCTAGTTAACTTCTTCGCAAAGGACAATATTGACAGATTCTCCTTTCTAAAAATTGCGTTTCGTACAAGGAAAATCTTGCACGATCTTGTGCTAATTACATTTCCGCAATTTTCTTTAATCGCATTTTACCTCAAATTTGTCTAAACATTAACCTCTAATCTTTTCGGAATCATTCCTGTAGCTCGATCGTATCACTAATAAATTTATCGTAATTTACTGCTTCGACGTCCCAAATACCGAATTCCAATCAACGAGCGACTTTTCTAGCCCGAACTATATAGCGTGTGCGAAAATCGAAGTATATACTTTGTAGTTGTAAATACTAATTAATTAAGAGACACTTGAGATGAACAAATATCATGTTACCGCGATAAGTTGAATAATTAGCCGAACGCGATAGACGCTCAGCGGCTTTATTTACAAACCATTCCGCCATGACCTCCCGTCAGGATACACCATCGCGGAAAAGCCGCTGACAAGACGGCGTCATTAACGCGAGCATGGTAAATAACGACTTTCATGCGCCGTCGTGCATACAAAAACAAAGCACAATCGACGAGTTATAATCGTTCATCCGGGGGGAAAAAAAGCTTTCGAATCGACACATCGCGTAGCGTCGCTCCGATAAATCACGACGCGAAGTGAGCGTGCGTCTCTTTGTTGCATGCATACGACGAGCGGCGAGCGGGATGAAGAAGGGGACAAAAAGTACCTGTTTTTCTCTCACAGCTCAGAAAGCACGCTGCTGCTTGCTCTCCTCTCGCGGTTCGCTCGCTCGAACAGAGACGACGACGGAACACCTGCTTGTCGACTTCCTGAAGAAACGAACACTCGCTTGCACACACGATGACACGACACGTCGAGATCAAGCAAGATCCTGAACGGCCGGCCGCTTCGTTCGCCGCTTATATCGCGCCGCGTCTTTGTGCGACACTCCGGCCGGCGAAGGCAGCCGAACATGCGCGAGACCGCTCGAACGGTCACCGACGCGACTCGCCCATTGGCCCGCCGTCAAGGCAGCGTCATGCTCATTGGTCCGTTTGAATGGTCGGACGTTTGCCAAGTACTGGACCGCTGCGATTCCTCGTCATCTCCCGCGACCCCTCGCGTAGGCGCATTTTGTACGCCAATCGGTCTGTTAACACCGTTGAATGTCAGCCGGAAATTTAAGACCCCCAGCCGCCCCGTGAGATTTATATTTATGACTCACCAAATACTTAAGACGCAGGCTACGTCTATGAAGATAACGAGGGCTAATAAAAACCTACTATGTGACCGACGAGTACTAACGATGAATTCTTCGTGATTATTTGATAACGGTCGATAATACCAGCCCTAATCTTTCCTAATCTTTTTCAGAATCTATCAATAGGAAAGATTGCACCGTCTGTTGCAAATAATGTGTTTTTTAGATATATATATATATATATATTCCTAATGAATTTAAGTTAAACCCGCTATTCGTTGTTAAGTTGCAAATAAATTCAATCAAACAACTCTCGAGGCGATATTCATTTAGATTGTTACTTTTAATAGTCATTTGCTCGAATGTTTAACCTTCTCATGGGCTCGCCTCGAAGATACAAATGCTCCGTGATCTTTTTTGGTTATGTCGAGAGAAAGGGAAAAAAGAACACCGTCTCGTCCGCACGATGAGTCCGCGTATTGTATTCGACGCGAGCGGCTTATCGGGCGCTAAACCGTTAGAACCGGCTTTTAAAAAGAAAAAAGATCCATTCCGGATGAATCATGTCACCGCATCCTTCGCATGTCCGTGTGTGGGATGTTGCGACCGTTGTGCAAAGCCGCGCCGCGTCGCGTTGTGTACTCGCTTAAAAATGACTCCCAAATATGGTCGAATCGTCCGCGACTGGTTTCATCGATAACGTTGAGTTATCGTCTTCTTTCCGAGTGGTAAACGTGTGGAAGACGTGGCCAACCGTGACGAGTATTCGTGCAAAAAATTATGCGATCGCCAGATTATCTTGTCATGTTTCGTTAATTTTGTCGAGTTCCGGATATTCTCCACTTTAGCCTTCGTTCACTCAGATAGCACATATTATCCTGAGATCATTCTCGATGTCCTGGCCTGGGATATTTCCCAGGCAAATTTTGAATATCTTCAGAATGATCCCGGGATGTGTTGTGCTGTTTGACTTCACATGACTCAATATTCGTGACTGCGCATTTAACTAATGACTGCTAAACTCGCAGAATAAGATAAGATTGTACGCGTCTTTTGTGCGTGAAAAATAAAACCTCGACTCCAAAGATATATATCAATTGAAAGATATATATCATATATCAATTAGATTCTACGAGATATATAAACGCGTATCAATGCGTATGTGTGATAACGCAAAATAACACGCTGTATGAAACGTAAGAGAACATTGTGAAATAATGGACTGTCGGATTACCTCTAAGGATAGTCCCTTTGTCTCGATTCGTGATAGCATGCGCGTTGAAACGTTTTGAAATCGCCTTCGCAATTACGTGGAGCGAAACAATCGATCGATTCCGATCCACAGTGACTTACGTCTGGACTGTTTGAATTGGCGCTGGAAGCCGATACGAAGACAATCGCGCCAATGGCGAACACGAACGAATACGCTTAGGATTCTCGAAGTGCAGCGTCCAATGGAACGGCTCGGTTTCTAAGGCGGAAACACCGAGAGCGACATCCACTGCACGTTTCACCCTCTCCGTCTGTCGTTTGACCAGCGGTCAAACGTTCACCGCACCGGTGTGAAGTTGCACACGATTTGTAGTGCGAAGCGAATCTAGTGTATCGCGACGTGGTTACGAGGAAGCGTCGGACAAAGAAGGTTGTATAATCTCGGCGTGAGAACACGAGTATTGATGCTGAAGAAGCGTGCTTGAGATAAAGCGTAAGTTTCCAAGAAAGGTGCGGTTGTCGAGCTAGTGTAACGAACTAAACTATTTTAATTTAACAGTTACACCGGTTACTGTTATTTAATGTAAAAATAACTACACAATTATTTAATTAAAGTAACTAACAATTTACTGCAATACTATTGTAATAGATTAATTATTCAGTTACTTGCCAGTCCAACTAATTGAATATTTATCGCTCTAATGAGTAAGTTATCAGACCTTGAAATATTAACTATATTTAACACAAAAAGCAGCTTGGCAATTAACATAAAACTTGTAAATTTGATATATGTTCTTTATTTTGACTGAATTTAAGAACATATACCAATTATATTTATAAATTCTGCAACAGTTGCAAAGCAGCTGTTTTTGTTAAACAATTATAAGTAGCTTTCTTGCATTTAAAATTGTTTTAAAAGTTTAGAAAATAATGCTAAAGATTTACTACACTTATTGCAAACCAGGACTTAGGCTTAAGGCAATAGTGACACTTCCATCGCCACAAAAAATAATGGACAATTAAAGTAATATTTATATTCTTTAATTGCTATCAACTACTTAGTTGATGGCCAAAAATTATAATTAATTACTGGACAATTATTATTCTATAACCAAAAGATTACGAACAATTAGTCGGTTATTGATAAACACCTGATTTGGATCGTAAACAGTTATTGCTGTCATAAAATTGGTTGTTGATGAAAATAATTGTTTAGTTCATTAATCATTTTCCAAATTTGGTAACAATTACTAAATATTTTATAATTTTATTTAACAACAGTTAAGGAAATAACATCATAACATTGAGCACAAAAGTGACGCATAATTAAATAAGCATGACGAACGACGAGGAATCGCCAAGCGCAACACTTCTGGAAAGGTTGGCCCCCAGTGGGGATCGCGAACATGTTGCCTCTGCTACGACCGATTATGTAGACAGTCACAGACTTCGCATCACGACTGATAGCTTCTCCAATATTAATGAAAGACCCGTCGACGATATCTCTATTGAGTTCTTCTACAAACCACATACCATCACTCTGCTGCTCATCTCCATCGGCGCAGTCATATACTCAGCCTTCACCAGGTAATTTGATATATATTCGCGACCTATGACCTCTGTTGTCATGTGATTACTGTAGTATGATTAACCAGCATACCTTTCTGTTGGAAAGTTTTATTTTTTATCTCTTGATTTCTGCTTATTTACTTTTCATGCTTTTTTAATTGTTTTCTTCACAAAATAAGGCTGTGAATTCTTTGATTTTTCTATTTCACTTTGAGATCATTTTTTTATAATCTTATTTAGTGATTGTAATTTGATATGTACTTGACTGATGCCTCCTTTTTTTTTTTAAGATATAATTTCATATATATAATACTTATTTTGTCTGCAAATTTATATTTTGAAAACAAGATATTTTGAAACAACAGTTCTTTATTTAATTTGTCAGATTAGCTTTACAAATATACATTAATATTGTCCTAAAATCATCGTCTTAAAATGAGATAATGCAGCATTCATATAGAATTACTAGACTAATTTTTTAATTTTATTTACTAGACTATCAGAGACTAATTTTTATATGAAAATAAGGACAAGTAAAGAGAACTTAATTAATTTATCACAGCTGTATATTGCAACATGGATGTATAACATCTATATGAGTATATAAATATCTTGTGAACTTCATAAATTGATGTTGACTTGTCCTTGACTTGTCTATTATAAACCATTTACTATTGTACTTTTGCTTCACAATATACTCTATGTAAATTGTTATGTAATTTATTGCTATTTTAATTCTATCCTTAATGCTTTCTTTCTCTGACACCTTCCTAAATTGCAATCTTAGTTGTAACAAAAAATGTATACTAATATGGCAGCAGTAGATAAATATATAATTATCTTATTATATAAAAGAATGTATTAACTTCTGTATATATTTTATAGCAATTTCTGTCATCGCTAATAGTCAATTAGAAAAAGATCATTTAAGAATATGTATCTTATGGGTTTAAGTCATGCACACAATAATGTTCTGTTTCCATTATTATATATATTTGTTATTATTATATATATATATATATTTGTATTCTGTTTTTATTCCTTTGAATATCTTCAATTTCAGAAATACCACCAATGTAGAGGAAAATATGTGGGCGGGTATGCTGTGCGTTATGTTCTTCTTCCTCATCGTATCCGTCCTGACGTTTCCCAATGGCCCATTCATTAGGCCTCATCCAGTGGTGTGGCGGATAGTGTTCGGTTGCAGCGTACTCTACCTTATGGGTCTACTGTTCATGTTATTCCAAAACTATGAGACAGTCAAGAGGATCTTGATATGGGTAGATCCTAGTCTCGCGTCTTTCCATATTGACATGGACAAAGAATACGGCGTTAACTGTTCAGACGTCACACTGGAAAAGATCTGGAATCATCTGGACGTGTTCGCACTCGCCCATTTCCTTGGCTGGGCCTTTAAAGCCATCTTGATCCGTCATCTTGGCATTTTATGGGCTATTAGTGTTATGTGGGAGGTAACGGAAATCGCCTTCGCTCATCTGCTGCCGAACTTCGTTGAGTGTTGGTGGGATGCGCTGATTTTGGACGTTCTGGTGTGCAACGGATTGGGTATTTGGGTCGGCTTGAAGATCTGTTCTATTTTAGAAATGAGAGAATACAGGTAAGCCTAATTCAAATTTGAAGATTCAGGAGATCCAAATTTTACATTTGCCCTGTTTTTTTAATTGAAATTATTTTGTCTATAGGATTATTATTTTTTGTACAATTTTGCCTCTGTATTTTGTCATTAAAATTGTACTTTTGCATCCTTAACTGTAGTTTTTCTTTTTCTCTATATGAAAATAGTGGTTCAAATTTGAATTATTTTATGAGTATTTCTCGTTTCCTAGTAAAAATTGGATAAGCATTAAAATTTTTATTTTTCTGGAACATAGATGGGTTAGCATCCGTGATATCGAGAGCACCACCGGCAAATTAAAAAGAGCAATGCTGCAGTTCACTCCTGGTAGTTGGACGTCAGTCAGGTGGTTAGACCCAACTTGCACTCACATGCGACTGGTCGCATTGTGTCAATTGGTGATATTCTGGCAAGTTTCTGAGCTGAATACATTCTTCTTGAAACACGTCTACGAGTTCCCGCCGTCGCATCCATTCGTCGTGGCTAGACTAGTGTTGATTGGCGTCATAGTTGCGCCATCAGTTAGGTAAGCACAGAGCAATCTTCGACGCTGTATGCATGTTATGTATGCTCAAGATAATATTGTATCCAATATATAATAGTGTATCCAATAAACACGAATAAGTGGTATTCAATAAGTATGTTGTTTTAATTACAGACAGTATTATATGTACGTGACTGATTCGACGTGCAGTCGAGTGGGAACTCAGTGTTGGGTTTACGGAGCAATCATGGTGACTGAAGCTTTACTGTGTATACGTCACGGTGCGGCCCTATTCGAGCGTACTCAAGCCCTTAACATCCTCCTGTGGCTGCTCTGCCAATCATTAGTCTCAGTACTTTGCGTATACGGCTGTGTTTTGTGGCATCAGTACCTAGAGGTAATATTGTATTTGCAAGTTTTCCTTCTATCTCTTGTGCCGTAAGAAGAGCAGCGCGCAAACGAAAACTCTGTTTCGAGGAGAATGCCGAGTAGTCTTTACAGACTACCTTCACCTTATGTTAAAATAACATAAGAACCAAGTTGTAATCGCTTTAACAATTACTTATTTATAATTTATCGTGTATTTCGTGTTCGACATATGAATTACATCTACTTTGGAATTTCGCTTGACTGAGAAAAACTCATCCAGCCAAACCAACAAAATTATATCCTATATGTCCTAGATTACTCTCAATATCTCGCAAAACGTCGTGAAGATTTTAAACGCGTTGCTCGCAAAACAGAGTTTCCTCATTCCTCTCCCCTTCTTTTACTAGCCATCGCATTGATTGTGCTGTTGAATTTTTTAAATTTTGCATTGTTCTTGTGTCGTCACAATTCTTTTATTATCTACAACGAGGAACAACGAGAAAACGAGAAATAAACGACGGATTAATAATAAGGACGGGAGTATCGCATAAACTCTCTCCTTTCTTATCTCTCTTTCGCACGAGTTTATTCATAATGGCCCCAAGTGTTACCTGAGCGATTGACCAAAGTGTCGACAATTAATATCTGTAATTAACTCGTTGCTTCCTTTTGTACGCATGGTGCTGATTGTTGCAGACGGGAAAGAAAACCACTATAAAACGGTCGGTGTCCCATCTGGGTAAGTTTGGCACGGAAGTAACGTCTTGCAACGGTACGTTTGACAATTGATTCTCGTATTCTTGCACATCATACGCACATAACACAGCATTCTCCAACAATTTGCTGAGTTTGCGACAATTCACTAAGCACTCATCCGTCACTACTTTGTCGTTATGAAATCTGTTCTGATTAGCCTAACACGACTGTTTGAGTTTAATTAGTGTTCTTAACAACGAAAACTTATATGAATTATAAAGTTTTCTCATATAATGGCCAAATAAATATCATCCTTCAAATCTATTAGATTTTTAAATTTCGAGACTGTAGAATATTTTGTTTGGATCAAAGATAGAAATAAAATATTACCTTGATCTCGGATCTTTGCTTCTCTTTTTAAATTCTTAGATATTGAAATATATATTAATACATAAGCATAATTTTGTGTTTCAGAATTTAAAAAATATATATATATATATATAAAAATTTTGCTTAAAAAATTGTAAGTCTCTATAAAAAAATAATTTCCATTAAAAATTTCTGTTGTATTTTTCATTCTATCTCATCTTTTTTCTACCGATTAATTCCGTATTTCTTATTTCTTCGCTTTTTTCGAGTTTTTTTTTTTAATATCTTTCGAAATCTCTCGAACCTCTTTTGATCATCTGTCACAGCTGAATTCACGATCATTATAGCGAAACACGCAATTAATATTATAAAAGTGTGTATGTATACATATTTCAGTGGATATGGCTCGCCGTACGAGATCTGTGGAAGCACTGGATAAGAAGGATCTCTGAAAGGCAAACGAAAAAAACTACCGAATTGAAGAAGACGATGGTGAATTATATAACTAATGAAACTTTCTAGTCGAATAGAAGAATTGCGTGTAGGAATTCGTAGGATTCCGAAAAGTGACAATGCGATGCGTGTGTGCGTGAACTGACTACTGACTACCTGTCGCGTGTCGTGGTATGAATCTCCCCTAAAGCTGTTACTTCGTTCCTGAGAATAAATATTAAATGTTACCATTTAAACCCAGCCCGCAGACGTCTCGATTTGACTGCTCAGTTATATGAGAATCGAGCATCGCCATTGCGTAACTTATGTCTCGAGAACGTTCCGAAAGTAATTATTTTGTTGTCGTATTGCTATCCTATTCATATCAACCTATTATTACTTATCATATGTATTTGCGACAAAGTTCGTTTGCCAGTGTTCTTTCTTCTTTTCCCAGCGTTAATAGTATCTTACAGATGATGCGCTTGCGGTTACGCATTTACCGAAGCATTGTTTTTAAGTTTGACATGTGACACATGTACATATAAATATTTATTGCACGAAAGTTTCTTCTTCTGTAAGAGATGGAAGAAAGAAGCAATTCTCTTCAGGATTGAATTAGAGATGCAAGCCTCACAATCTGTGTTTTATCTTGCATCGTTGCAAGGTGAAGTCCTACATCTAGATCAACATATCTAATTCAATCTTGACGAAAAGGTAGAAAAAGAAATCTAAGCGCATCGGGGAGATTTTCTTCGACTACACATCATGCGTAGGATCTCGCGTAGTTTAGCGGTCTCACGCTTCCTTTTGTCGATTAGACTTTCCGATCGTTCTCATAAATCTATTAGATCGTAACGTCTGCGGGCAACCATGCAGTCACGTTTCCGCGAACGATCCTCACAACAAGGCCTACGTGGTCTTCAAGTCTATGTACGGAAACACGCTGCAAACGTTGGTAGGTGAGATCTGCAAGCCCATCGGGCAATTCCACTCGTTAGCGACGAAAAGATTGTTCGACACGGAGATAAACACGCGGATCCGGCTCGGCAGGTCCTCGTTCTCGTACAGAGACACGTACGACGACGTTAGCGATGATTTCGTGCAATACATCTGCAAACGGCAGAATGTGAGAGTTCGATAAGTCCGATGCATCATTCCCGATGGGCCGTCTTGACGACGAAAAGAAAGTTTTAGGGACACTCGTCTGGATCCTCTCGAATCTCAGAGTCGTCGGATTTGAGGCGTTAGATTGATGTAAGAAAGATTCGTCATGTTCATTAAATGAACGAGTATTCAGACAAAATTATGCGACTCGAGAATGATTTTTGGTCGGGATTGACGTATTTCCATTATCTGAAAGATTTTCCAATCTCGATCCTCAAAAACTGTAACTTCGTACAAAGTAGAGCTCGATGGATAATGAATTTTGATAGAAGAAAATTGTGCAAAACGAACTCTTTGTGCATCGACCTAATAATTCTGAAATATTGAGTATTAAGCGCTAAGTATTCATATCGCTGCAAATAGAAAGTGCACAGATTATGTATAACTCTGACGACCCATAGATTCTGAAGCGAAAAAGTTCAAAGGATCCAGAAGAGTCTAAAAGTTTCGTGATGTAAAATCCAACGATCCAGAGATTCATGACAATTCCTCGATCGTATAATGGAAAATCTATCTAAAAATACGTTTCAAATTTTTATGGACGCTATCGTCCAAAGGTCTGAGAACCTCTGAAAGCTTCTGAGGTTTAGAAAAGGACCTTTCTAAATAAAAAAAAAACTGCTGCTAATAAAACGAACTGTGAGAACAGTACCTGAGCGTAGGCGAGATAGAATAATTGCTCGATGCGGAGTTTTATCCACGGGAGTCGCTTTTCCGCATTCGATCTCGTAAGAGCCAAAGTGTCATAGACTAGTCTGAGTCCCATGACATCAGACAACCGCTCGTTCAAGGTCAATCGCGGGATCTAGGACATATTTCAAGTGTCGATATCTCTTGCGTCTGCGAACGACTTAATAAATTAAGTTACTTAAACCAAAAACATATCGACGACTTATTTTAAACCTCATCACGAAAGTTCCTCAGCAATCTCGTTCTAAGAGTATTATGTGCATTACATGTTGCAATGTAATCTTTAATCATAGAATCTTTAATCATAGAGCACGTTGTGCGATTGATCATATGAAATTAATAATTGTATGAACATTAACATACCATAAGAGACACGGTTTGCTCGGTGAGAGGTAATGTGAAGTTCAGAGGTTCTTTGTATAAGTCATCCTTGTGGCAATTGATGTAATCGTCTAAGTTTATATCGCCCGTGTCATCTTCGTATATTGCGTTCTTGTTCGACACCAAAGAATATAAACCTGAGACGAGAGAAACAAAATAATTCTCGAATAATCGAAGAACTCAACGCAGAAAAACATTAGGAAAAAAAATTGTCATTCTTGACTCGAGCTAATGTACGGTCTTGTAAAACTGCAATACATAAGAAAAAAATTTGGTCCATTAAGAATTTATAGAATATAAATGTTAAAAATTTGCAATATCAAATGATTATTAATTTTTTCAAAAGAAGGAATGCAAGTAAAACTTACAGAGAACACTAATTGTCATTAGCAACAAGGTCAAAAAATTAAGTTATCAAAATTAATGTTCAGTGCAGGATTGTCCAGTTGTCGGATTAGATAATTATGACTTTTTATTGTGTTACCATTAGCGTCGAAGTGATGGGCGATTTGATGAGCTATTAAATTTCCGAGCGTCGCCAACAGGATGTAGTTCAATATATGCTCATCGTTTATCGAAGGCCAATCGATAATGCCGTAAGGGATCACGACAAGGTTCGAACTATATACCACTCGAGCTTTGGACTGAAAAGGCGTCGTATAATGCGCCCAACTACAATAGAATTGAATCGGGAAATATTTAAAACATGAAAGAAATTATCTGTGTCGCATCATGCGTTTCAAAGTCTAAACGTTGAATCAATTGAGATATTGAATAACGAATTATTCATATCTTACATTCGTCTTTCTTCATCAACTTGTCTTCTCAGTATGGAGTACATCAGGGTCCTGTGTCTTTTCAGCAAAATCATCGAATTGTTGAAATAATTATTGTACAGAATAACCTGAAAGTTCATTGTTAATGTACAAGATGTAACTATAAAAAATAGTCACCTACAGTGACAAATCTTTAACAGTTTGAACACGAAAATTGAGCGAATGTTCTCGTCATTGAAATATTTTACTTCCATGTATGGATATCTGATAAATAATAATGACGGTTACCTGCGACATATTATAATCAGTGTAGAGTGAATCTCTATCTCTGTAGTAAGAAATGGCAGGCAGGCTGAGCTTGAGACTGTTGACTTTGTCCAACAAAGCATTTCGTCCATTTTCATGGGTCCATTCCATTCCTTCTGTGTTCTTTTTTAATGTTTGTTTCAGATCTTTGAACGAATTGTCTATCTATTGTAGTAAATAATTATTACATGTTCGAGCAAAAAATGGGATACACTCATTTCTATGTATATTTAATATATATTTGTGATATACACTTCACTTTTCTGTAGTTAAGTTCACTCACCAATTCGTTCATCTTCCTTATTTCCAGGTCGGAAAAGGACGAAATGTATAAACTGGACGCTTCTAAGCGTAGAAGATTAATAGCTACTTGCAGACAATGATTCTTCATGTCACTGCGTCTCGACAGAACCAACTGCACAATATTTATTACATATAAATAAAATAAAATAATTTATCGATGTAAGATACAAAATTATGGCGAAGTAATCGACTAACATTGACATTGGTGATATCGGTTTGATTGAGATTTTGATCCTTAACGCAATTAAATTAATTTATTTTAATATCATTATTACAAAAACAGAATGATTAGATAAAGTATCGTTTCTTATTACCTCGCGATAAAGTTTATGTGCGTATAACCCCATAATAGCATTATTCAGGCTCATTGGATCCTCTTCAGCGAATTTTTCTAGCCCAGACAAACCGTTTATCAATGAATTGTATAAATAAATGTGTAAATCATTGTTATTTATCGAGTTCGTTTCCATTATGTCCGTTCCTATTAGCGAATGAATCAATTGCGTCCAATTCACCTACGAGAAAGAATCAAAAAAAAAAAAAAATGATACAAGATTGCTAAAACAAAAATTTAAGACATTTATTTAACTCAGAGAATGTCTTCACATTTTTATTTTCCTTTTATATCGCTAAGAAGTGATTGAAATCCTCAGCATTTTTGTACTTACAAGCATGCTCTTCCTTTGCAAATCTTTCAAACTAATTTTGTAGTAGATATTCATCGCATAGGTCTCCTGGATTTTGTCCTTCGAAGGAAAGTGCTGCGGAATTAATACGAGATTATATTTTATCATTGAATAAATATTGTTACGAAGGCATATACAGAGTTATAGAGGTAATTACCGAAAAATATCCTTGCATTATAATAAAATCGATGTCGTGGACGGTCTTTTCTATATATTGAGACTGCTGTTCCCATGTTAAGTGACTATCGTTCAAACCCTTGAAGACGCTGAATACTGTTAACGCTTCTTTGATGGATCTCAAAAATTCTTCAGTATTTTTCTGTGAAAAACAATAATTATTTATCACGTTACTTATCGTTACCTTTCTCATGTATTCATAAAACAATCGAGTAAAGCAAAAAGAAGTTGAGAGAGAGAGAGAGAGAGAGAGAGAGTTAAGAGAGATTACGAATAAGGAAGTACGAAATCCTAGATCCTTTCACATTTTCATACAAAGAATTAAATTTACAGTTATGCTCAATTTATCTTTTCGGTAATTCGAGAGACGCGCGTACATTGCACTTTTTATAACTGTCGTACAAAGCTGTGAGATTCACGTATTGCTTTTCCGTCTCAAACTCGTCTTCGGAGCATAGATCGTCTGCGCGTTCCGTCATAAAAGGATTCTCATCCTTTGGAGGGCTTATCTGTAGCGTGAAATTGGTCGAATATTCGTCGAATTTCGGCATAACGTCGAATAAAAGAGCGCTGCAAGAATGGTCCTGAGTTACGATCTTCATCGTGTTATTAGCGCGTTTCCTGAAGCACTCACCTGTGATGTGACATTAATTGGACGAACAAATTAGTGAAGTCCGTGTAATTGTTAAGCCAAGTGGCGTTTATATAAAATCTTCCCACATCTCTCAACGCATTGGTCGCTGTGAGCAAATGCATTAACAATCATAACAACGTGTGATTATCGCTCACAAATTATATTATAATTCTACTTCTCTCACGTTTATGTGTGTGTATGTGTGTGTGTGTGTGTATAGATTTTCATCTCAGATTACTTATTTGCACAGGAAATGATAAATGGCTTATTTTATTAAATATTTGATAGTCTCCCATAATTTACCCATCTCCACTCTCTCGTTGAAGTTCACAGTTCTTTCATATTGCACGCAACTGTCGTAATAAGTCGCAAAAGGCGAATGTATATTTTCGCGTTTCTCCTTCACCATCTGTCCTGGAATCAGATTCCAAGCGATCACAGAAGAACAAGTAAAGCGTAAGACATTTAATAATAAACATATCAGCTCTTCCCTATGATGTTTCATCCCTCTCAACGTAATTAATTAATTAATTAATATCGATTAAGTAATTACTATTAATTAATAATATCAATAAACGCTTACTCGCAATCCGCTGATAATTGTTGGACTGTCGCATCAAGTCGGTGTCTACCAGTTGCGGATTCGCCTCGAAGCCGCCGCAGGCGTACTCGTAAAAGTCGTCGCAAGGATCAACTAAGTGATTCATGTAGGACAACATTTTGCTGGCGATGCGCTTACAGTGCTCCGTGTTGCAAATGTCTTTTTCCTCGTCGGGAAGTGGCGATACCGTTGTAGTCATGTTGTTATAAAATGAAGTGATGTTGGTTCTTGACATGCTCGACGTAGAAGAATTAAATGCGCTCGTATAATTGTACGTGGAAGATTTCTCTGTTGTAACAACAGTTGAGCCATCGGCGAACGTTTCAGCATTTTTGCTTTGACTCCTTGCACTTGTGGTGACGTACGTCGTGTTCTCAGCTTCCTGCATAATTAAATGTTGAGAATATGAGAATTTTTTTTCACGCTAATAATAAGAAATACCATATATCGATAGTATCTATATTCTCTTTATAAACTAAGACTGTAAAATATTAATAATTAATCTAGTTTAATAGACTAATTCCTCATTAACCAACTGTTACTTATGACTTTAAAAACAGCGTTAAAAACATTACGTTTATAATGTCCGTAGTTGCAGGGGAGTCTTTGTTCAGAGACGGAGTGTAATCCTCTGTGACAAGGGAACTTCCAGTTATTACGTCATCATTATTAACTGATGTCTCGTCGTATCCTGTAGATTCTTTTTCTTGATTTAAATATTGGTCAGTAGAATATCCCGTATGTTCATCTTCCTCAGGATCGAAACGAGTTGTAGCCGCTGTTGTAGTCTGGGCAGTACGATAAATTATCGTGACGACAGATTGCGATTCCTGCGGATAATGATGTTCATCGTAGGAATGTTCAACGCTCGTACTTTCTTCTAAATCTGTCGAAGGGGTCATCGTCGAGGTCACAGCAGCAACACTGGCTTTTGATATCTCGTGAATGCCCGTAGAATTTTCTTCAAGATCAGTCGATCGAGTTGACGATGTCAAATGTGTAATATTATCAGTGGTGTCGTTGATTTCTGACATTAGATATCCATCGGTAGGATTTGCAGTTGCATCCTCCGTCATATCAAGTTCTGATTTCTCCGAACTGTGATATTCGCTGGAAGAATACTTATCAGTTGTAATTTCCTCGGCGCGCCGAGTTGATAAAGTTGAAGATGTAACGTTGCGTTGAGTTATGTCCTTAATTTTCAATTCCACATACTCGCTGGTAGAAACTGTAGTTCCACTTGTCGTGTGATCGGCTGATTGAGTGGACGATGTGGAAGTTGTAATATCATCAGTCACTATACCAAGTTCCGACTTCTGCGAACTATGATATTCATCGGAAGAATAGCCAGAAGTTGTAATTGTTCCACTCGGCGATGTTAAAACCGTCTGTCGCGGTGCGACCGAAATGTCCTTGTTCGTAGTCGCGCCTTTACCTTCTTCGAGTTGTTCAGTAATGTATTCCAAACTTTCCGTGCCTTTCTCCGTAGAGTAGTCTTCGTCATTTGGCTTAAATATCTTTTCGGTAGACACCGTTACTTTGTTCTGGGTTTTTCCTTCTTTGTAACTCTCGTGAGTATCAGATCCTTCTTCGTCCTTCTTCCAGGGGATAGTCGAGTTTTCGATGATAATAACATCTTTGATTCCCGTTAATGTCGCCTCGGTGATCGTAGCGGTTGTAGTGGCTGTAGTAGTTGTAGTGGTTGTTGATCCCTTTATGGGTTCCCCGTGGTGATACTGTGTTTGAAATCATTCAATAACATTATTAATACTTACATAGTTCTCGCAACATCACCGTGTCTCTATGTCTTCTTGAAAACATCTACATTCAATGGCATTACCTGTGAATCGTATTTGCTATATTCATCGCTGCTATACCTTCCCTGATTTCGCGTTTTCCAAGGTATGCAGGCCAGGATGAGGATGAGGCACAGGAAGAAGAAGATGAGCAGAGCACCCAGGCAGTTTCTGTACGACTGGTCTCGTTGAGCAGCTTTGTTCAACTGCCGTTTGTTCACCTCATACGTTTGACGGCAAGGCATATCTTCTTCGGCTAATCGCCACGAAAATGTACATCAACTGGAGGGATCTTTTTGCAGAGTGTGAACAACTTGTCGATGTTACGCAACTTACAAATTTCCACCGTAAAGTATACGCAACGGCGAGCGACTGTCACGTACTAAAAGCTTTAATCTTACCAGGAGACTGATTGCGGTCTCACCGACCACTTCCTTCCGAAATATTATCAAAGCGTGGAAGCTTACGCAACTCGCGTGCGAGAATATACCGTTTTGGAATAACCCGGCGACTTTTCTCCATTCTGCATGCGTTTTTCACAATACGAAACGTTTGATTTGCAGAGCTCGTCATAACGTACGTCGACGGGCCGGTAATAATTCAATTTGATAACCTAATGAGAAGCCACGCCATCAATTCGAGCACAGGATAACTTACAACGTAACTTGACTTGGTAATTAAAGAAGAACGCAGTAATTAATGGATGTTTATGGAAACGGTTTATTGACGGATTTGAAACGTGAATTAGGACTTGCACGTTTGAAGAGATTGAAGGAGGGAATCCTCAGTGAAGACGGTTGCAATAAGCTTCCGATTGTTCCATATAAAAGTGATATTCTTTCTCAAGACTTATTTACACGTTTCGAATTTGCGATTTCTGGTAGATTTATTATCTTACAACAAATAAATTAAGGAGACGCACTATATCAAACGTTTCGTTACAGCTCGGTATGTCGCGCGTGCGATGCATTTTTTACAATCTATCGTTAGAAAAGTTCAACGAACGTTAACGTTCTGCAAGGGATACTTCCGAAGTATTAATTACGACCGACAGATATGGCTGTATCGCGCCATTCACCGCGATAGAGGCAATCGCACGCTGACGAGATCGCACATTCTCGATGTGTGCGTGTGTATGTGTGTTTGTGTACGTGTGTATATAAGTTACTTATATATGTCGATAGATCGTTTATAATACAATTATCACAGATATGTAAACTACAAAATATCGTACGCGAATATAAAATGCAACCTGCGAATGACTTCGCCCATGATCTCATTGCACGTGCTACGAGACGACTGGTGTTTTATGTCTTATAGAGTTGATGTATAATTTAAATATGAATAAAAAATATATATATACGCGTGTGTATATATATGTATATGTATTGCAAAATTCTCTACTCGTTCGGATGCGACGAGTAGAACTCTACTTCACGCTTGAAGTCGTCCTCGAAGTCTATCACCGGAGAGTCGGATCGCTCGTTGGATTCGCCAGTCGTTGATTCGATCTCCTTCGACGCGGAAACCACATTTCCCGGCTTCTTCGTGCAAAGCTCTTCGTTGAAGTCGTCGGACCTGAATGTCTCGGAGACGATCTGTAAGGTATCCCGAAATCAGATATAATGGAAAAAGAAATATTTTACAAAAAAAGAAAATTGGGAAATACAAAAATATCCTAATATTAAGAATGAAGAATTACTTTTCTTTGTATTTCGTCAGCTTTCAGTTTCTCCGACTTCTCTTTATCGGCAAGCGCGATTGCAGTCTTTGATAAGGTTTGTCTCTTTGGGGTGGGCTTCCTCGGCTTGAAAGATCCAGACGCTTTCTTCGGCAGCTGCGAACTCGTATGCTTCTTGGTCTCTCCTAATTGCTCGCAATTGTGAGTGATCAATTGCTCTTTAGTCTTGAACGCCTGCAACATTAATGAAAATAACGATCTAGAGTTACTCGGCAAATTAATATCGCCGCGCGGCAGGAGAAAAGTAAACTCACATGGGCACAAATGTCACATTTGAGGCTGTGCTTATTTATTTCGTGATGTTTGAGAGCCTGCGCCCGATGGAAATTGCGGTTGCAGTGGCTGCAGCTGAACCGCTTGACGTTGTTGTGCGTCAGCAAGTGCCGCTTGAGCTTGTCCGGTCGCGAGAACTCGCTCATGCAGCCCAGGAAGCCGCGGAACGGACATTTGAGTCTCTTTGTTAGGTCGTGGATCAGCATATGACGACCCAGCCGGTCTTTCCGTTTGAATCGAGCTGGGCAATGCTGTAAAATCGCACAGGGAATATTAATCCCGACCTTACACGGCTTACTTTATACTTTATTAAAAATTCATTATAATTAAATTAAATATTAAATTATATATAAGTGAGGAAAAGAGACGTTGCAACATAAACTTGCAACACAACGTTAAATTCATAGATCAAATTTGTTAAATTATTAACAATTATTTACTATTAAAATAGTAAAATTATCTGCCTCTGCAAAACTTTAAATTTTTCAAAAATATGTAAGGATTATTAATATGAGCTTATCCCTCGACCATTCTCTTATCTTACTTACCGGACAGGTAAAAGGTGTCTCCTCGCTGTGTATTAACTTATGATTGGCCAAATACTGCTCCGTCTTGAAGGCCTTGCCGCAGTCCTCGCAGGCGAATCTCGCCGACGTCGAGTGAGTCTTGAGGTGACGGCGCAGAAACCTTTCGATGAGGAAACTCTTGCCGCAGTGCAGACACACGTAATCGTGCGTGGTGGTTTCCTGATGGTGTTGCAGCGCTTCCAGATTCGAAAACGACGACTTGCAGACCGTGCAGCAGTAGTACTTCTCCGTGGTTTTTTGCTTCTGGACGGAGTGAACGTACTGGTGACAGCCAAGGTCCGAAAGGGTGCTGAACACCTCGCCACACACATGACACCGATACTCGGAGCACTTGTGGCTACGCGTGTGTTCTAGAAAGTCTTCCAGCTCTGAGAACATCATACTGCAGCTGCTCTGCACACACTTGTACACTTTCAGCGCCATATGCGAGACGATCAAGTGACCTTTGAGGGCCTTGTACGAGTCGAACGTCTCCCTGCAGAACTGGCAGTGATACGTGCGGTCGATGCTTCCATCTGGAGGTACCTAAATGCAGTTTTGAGATAAAAACATATGACCGCATATATGTAAAAATTAAATCGAAGATTAAATATTGAAGAAAATTAATATTTAATCTTCTATTTAATTTAGATTTAATTAAAATTGATTCGTTTCATTAAAATTTTAATAAATGCTTGAAAATTAACGAGCGAGTAATGTAAAATTAAAAGAAGGAAGAAATTCAACTTGAACTAAGAATGCTTTACCTCAGGTGGTAACGAGTGTATCGCGGTGCCGGGCCACACTTTGTGCGAAGACATATGTTTCTTTACATTGGACTTTTGTGCAAACGCACGACCACACACTACGCATTGATAGGGTTTCTCACCAGTATGAGAGCGTTCATGCTGCTGCCAATAGAATTTCTTCGCAAATTGCTTGTTGCAATAGCCGCACTTGTACTGAAACAAGAAAAAAACAAGTATAAATCATAATATAAATGTTTACTGTATGCTCTAATTTATGAATTACCACTACTGTTCCAAGTTAATCAAATTTATTGTTTCAATTTGAAGCAATAAAGTCCCAAGACACCTTTAAATTTTGTGCTTGGCCAAATTGGTCGTTTTCCAATTCATTGGGCAAATTATCCTGGAGGGATGTGTCGTTGTCCTCAAAGGTGGGCTCGTTGTCCTCCAAGAATGGCGACTTATTGTCCGTCAGGGACGGTTCATTATCCGTCAATGAGGCGTTAGCATGTTCAGGTTGACTCGAAGCATCCTCTTGCGATATGTCGCTTTGAAGCTGTAACGCTGGCACATCGTTCGAATCTTCCCTCGTCCCATCGATGGAGGCGTCGTCGAAAGAGTCCAAGTTCTCAGTGCTCAAAATGATGGGTACACCGAATGTAGAATCTGCTGTGAAGTAATTAGCAGAATCTTGGTCCACACTGTAATAACAAGAGCAAGAAATAATTGTTGATTTCAATATAAAAAGTAAAAAATTCACCATTAAAGTGTCGTGAGGTAGTGCTTTATAATGAATATATTACAGGATTATAATTGTAATTGTTAAAATCAATACTACAAGAAGGATAAATGCAATATACCTAAATAACATGTCTGTCTCTTCGAGAATAATCGGTTCACCAAGTTGAAACGTCTCTTGTGAATTGTACTGGGACTCATCTTGAACAGAGTCTTCTGTATGCATCACTTGGCTTTCATCGTTTGTCAGAAACTGAGTCAAATCTACAGTCTGCTGCTGTGTCTTCTGATGTGTTCTTTTATGGAGTATAAACATTTGCAATGATGTAAACTGGCTCTTGCACTTGCCACACTGGAATATATCCTCCTCATCTTGATCAATTGCTGATGAAGAATTATTGATGATTTGAAAACAATAAATATTATGAATAAATACTGATGTATATCAATTATATATATATGTATACCTGACTGCTCAACTTCAGCTATTAAAGTCTGAGATTCCAACAAGGATTGCACAGAAGAACCATCTAATGAGACACCTAAAAGAATATCAAGTTAGTAAAATATAATGGCAATATGTCATATCATATATAAAACATCTTAGAATTATAAATGTAAATCATAGACTTACACAAAGTTAATAATTAGAAAATCAACTGTGAACATCAAATCAAATGTTAAGCGACTATACAAGTCCAGTAAACATTGGCAACAAACCATGTTATATATACATATATATATATATATGTATATCTTTGCAGATTTAATTATTTTAACCAAACTTGATTCGTTATTATTAACTATTTATGTAATTTTTATCATATACTATGAGTTACTTTTAAAAAAGATCTCAAAATTCATTAGTTACAGAAGCTTGGAAATCTACCAATTTTTTTACAATATATCTGTGAATGACCTGTATTTTTTGTATTTACTAAATCATGTACAGATGTGAAAATCTAAATGTGTGACTTTTTGAACACGTCTAAAAGATTGAGCATGTAAAACAGAGACAAAAAATCAGAATTTGACAGATACATGAAACTGCTTTGGAGATTGTTGATGTTTCTAGGGTTGGTTAACCCCACATACGACTAAGGTAGCGACGCACTTTTACCTGTCAGAGCATCGAGAATAGACTGCGCCATGTCTTCGGGAACACGATTAGCGTCTCATTTTAGCGGGAAAGCGACGTATACAGGGCTAACTGTCTCACGACTTGGTGAACACGAAGGATGAAGGGCTCCACCGAGATGTCAACATAACAAGAATACTCTTACATTTTTGTTGCTGCCGAAACGGCGTCAGTACTCTGATCGATATGTCGATTCCTAACCTTAAAGCGCAATAACGTCATGTAATAATGTAGGGTTTTTCATCGGAAATTACAGGTTTATTCTTTTCCTCTCTGCACTTGGACTGCACTACCTGACTACCACTGCACTGCAGCACCGACCAGAGAGAAGCCTGAGAGCGGGCATGGCTGCATTTACAGCGTTATGGAAAAGTTGGCTGATTCGAAGCGCCAACTGGGTCCATTTTTCATGGACATGAATTACTAAGCCAATGTCCACGATTTGTTGGTACTATTCCGTGCTATGTCCATAATTATTTGGTTCTATTCTGTGCTATGTTCACGAGCGAGCTAGATTCGTTAGATAAAAACGAAGAATCGGTCTTTGTCTCACCACCAGCGAATAGACAATCGCGACGAAGCGAGCCAGCAGCGATGTCATCGTAAGGCAGACGTCGCCGTCCCCCCCTTTCTCCCCCTTGTTTTCCTTTCCACATTGTTTTATATTCATAATTCGGAAAGAAAATAATTTCGAGAGTTCGGTTGATTTCTAGCAATGACGCGACAGAGATAACGCGCGGCCACATTAATTTATCATGACTTTTATATTACCTATAATTACATAAACGCCCATATATGCAAATTATATATAATTTACATTGTAGCCGTGTTACTTATTGTACTTTTCTTGCGTTGCATATTGCGTCGTTGCTTATTGCGTTGTTCCTGCGTTATTCGACTATACGTTCTCTATCGCGTTGCGTTCTAATTTCTCTCACGGCGTTTTTACTTCTGCGTCCTACTTGCGTTCTTGTGTTCCGCTGCTTTTCGGGGCTTTTGCCGTACGATTCGCTCGTCGGTAGTGCGACAAAGACAGAGAGCGATGGATCATCTGTGCTTTTCTAACTTACTATCTCTTGTAAGGAAATAGAATGAGCAAGAACTGTGCACGCTTTGCCGTTACCGTCAGGACGGATATAGTGTGCATACATTTTCTCAGGCATTTTCTCTTTATAGTATTTCGTTGGTGACCGCAGTGAAGTATAAATTTGTTATTTTTTAAGGAACTTTTTGCACCATTTTGCACACTAATTCTCTTTTCCTCTTCCTTCTACCAAATTTCAACTATATGCTTTTTTTCTAAGTTAAGTATACATTAATCTCTTTCGAGAAAAAAACAGACCTTATGTAAGCGTAATAATCATAAATTATAAAAATTAGACGAGGAGGAGCGATCTATGTATCTTTTTTTTTAATAAGAGAATTTTAATAAAAAGCACTGTAGATGACATGTGTAGTGACTCGGCGAAAAAGTCGCCGTAAACCTACCAACTTCATACTTCTATACACCACAGACATTCAGGTATTTATAGTTGTTTTATTTTAAAAATCCCGTTTATAGATCAAACATTTGAATTATATACGCTCCACTTCATCTGATTCGCATCTTTTGACGATATAAAATTGTATTCTCTTTAAAGGCCTGTCATCAAACGCAAAAGAGTCTCGCGTGAACGGGTGTACACAAGTAATAAAAAAACGCTTTATGACATTGAAAACATTTTATTCAGTCAGTAAGAAGCATTCTACATGATGATAATAATAATCATAGTATAATCCGTGACAATAATAATAATTAATAATCATAATTCATTCGTAATAACCACTTTGTTAAATGTACAGGTAAACTCTTTCTCTCCTCTCTCTATTACTCGCGCTCTCCGTTCTCTCAATCGCTCTCGCTCACACGTTGAATTGTCATATTATTTGTATACATAAAATGACACAAAAGTTCACCGATATAAAAATCAAACATCATACATCCTCACAAGACTATGAATGTAGTCAATAAATCAATCCTATCTCGTCTCTCCCTTGTCTCTTCCTCCCTCTCTCTCTTTGCTGCAAAGATATCTTGATATTTCTTTCTTTTTTTTATTCAGTTCGGCATTCGGCAGCGTTGTTGGATTTGAAGGACTACTTTTAAAGCCCGTAGCAGCGGCCACGCTCGCATCTTTTGTATATATATATATATATTTATTTATTTGTACACTTCAACTAGGTCCTTTTCTCCTCTCTTTCTTTCTCTCTCTCTCTCTCTCTCTCTCACTTTCTCTACCACCCTTTCCCTTTCTTTCTTTAACACAGGTAGGCAAGAATTCGTATCCAGAGACGAATAAATCCGCTCTGCGGTACCCTTCAATCAAGTCCCAATTAGAAATATTCCATAAAAAGAATCTTGGTGGCCGGTCGGTGTTGAATTGAAAACAGAAAGGAGACTGCATTTACGGCGACGCGAGCGAGACCGCCGCGGTGATTTCATTACTGTAAATCCATATTTCTATTGATTTGAGGTAGTGTATTCAATGTAATCCTATTACCTTGCTGCTATATGTTGCGTGTGGATATGTGTATCGTATGAATACTCCTTCACACCTACGCACTGCGACCGCGAGCCCAAAACGCGCGTATGTATGTGTGTGTGTGTGTATATATATGTGCGTACCGCGCGAGAAAAACGGCGAATACAAACTATCGTAGAGGCCTCGCGGAGAGAGATCGAAAGAACGTTTCGTTCTTCTATTGTAAAATAGACTCTATTATACGGGCGCGTCGCAAACAACGCGCATACGGCAGCAAATCGAAACTTCGTGGAGATATTTGTGCTGTACATATAAAAAACGCTTCACTGTCGTTCCGTCCGGGAGGAGTTTTGGACTCGCCGGCTGCGTCGGTCGTAGGTGTGTTTCAAAAATTATCGTCTATGCGTGGAGTATGAGGAAGGCCGAATGTCGGACGGATTTTGTGTGTGTGTGTGTGTGTATGTGTGTGTGTACGTGTTGTGTACGTGTGTCTGTCTGTCAGGACAACATTTCGATTTTGTTCGCATGTGTGAAAAATTGCGTTGTCGCACAGCATCGCGATGGACGAGGGCGATTTTATCAGTGTCAGCGATCGACGATCCGTCCGCGATTCGGCGTTTTCATAAACTTCATTCTTTTTTTTTTTTTTTTTACCAAATACGACAAGGCTGCTGACATTAGGCTTGCTAGCACTTGTAAATAATGCCCAGCGATTGTGCTATTTTGTTAAGTTCTCTTTAACTATTATTTCATGAATAATTTATCACATTTTTTAGTTTTTCATCTTCTTCTTCTTTTTTTTTTTTTTTTTTTAAATCGTCCTCACAGATTGCGAAAAGAGGGGGCGCGTGTGACATCGTCGCCGCGCCAAGTTGGCTCAATCTATGAACACTTCTGTAAAAAATATAATATCTATGGATGGTTGAGCCCCCGGCCAGCATACAGCGAATTAGTTTACTCCTTTGAAGGTAATGCGGGATCACTTCTGCAGGTATGAGCAATGGCTACTAACATATATTACCTAACGCACTCGATCTGTATAGAACAATTATCATCCTTTCTCCGCGCTTATTCGACTCTTTCACTACATTAGAAAGGAACATTTCATTGGGACGCCCCGACACACACGCGAGGCACCCATGTTTTAACAACATTAAAAAAATCCAACCTATTTAAGCACGGGAAACAGACGACGCCGCCGTCAACGGCGACGTCGACGTCGATCGGTTCCCGCGCGATTTGATTGTACAAATATCTTATTTATCGTTGCAGAAGTGATTTTCGCCCTAATCTTCGTTCGTCGGTTTATATCCGTTATATATGATATGTGACAGGCTCCCCCTCCCCGAGAAAAACAAACGCAGTCAATTGAAATCAAATTCGAGAAATTGACGACAATTTTGAATTTTGACACGCTCGTGTTATCCTTATATTACCATCAATATAAGTTTAACGACTCAACCCAAGAGTTATCACCTAATAATTACATTTAAACGAAGAACAACAGATATATACAATGCACAAGCACATTGTAAATAAAAACGAAAGGAAACCGAGAAATGAGACTTAACGTAAAAACATGACTCACATCGAGATATAATAGCCTCAACAGTTTCACCAGGGGAAAAACACAAACGAAACATACGTATAATAGTAAAACTAGTAACTACTTCACTACCTCTAAGACAGCGAGAAAATCCTAAGACATGCGATATCGCACGACGAAGTATCGTTTTTTGCTTTTCTTTTTTTTTCTTTTTTTCTCTTAGTTAATTTTTCCTTCGGAAGTTGCGCCGAGTGCGTGCAGTTCTAGAGAATGTCTTCGTCTTATCTTACTTTTTTTTTTCGTTTTTCATTTTCTGAATCTCGAGTTTTCTAACTTCTGCAGTTCTCTTTTTTTCTCTTGGAATGTCTTGTGATTTTTACGCTTCTGTTAACAAGTAATTTAATATCGTCTCTCCCGCTATGTTTACCTATCTCCTTTTCCCTCCCTTCTGTCTTTTCCCATCGTTATCCCTTTTCCCTATATAGCTGGAGAATATTTCAAAATAAAGCAGAAAAATGTTCTGCTTTCAACTTTTACGTGTAATTCACAATTTTCGATCTTGGAGCCGTGATCCGTCAACTCGATCCCAACGTGTTAATATAATTACGCTATGCGACACATAATTTCCGTTTTGTTTAAGCTCGTGTGTGCCCGTTCACATCTCTCGTTACCGTGTTTTTCGTCTCTCGAAAGAGTACCGTCCTCGCGCCCGACGGATCGCTCGTACTCCATAGATCAAAATTGATCTTTCGGACAACAGTTAAAGATTAAAATCATTATTAACTATAATTATCAATTACACGACCATTAGTATGTCTTATACAGTAATAAATTACCATCGTGCTATTTTTACTCCACCGTCGACACGTTGTCTTCTTTTTTTTAATTACTAAGATGTTACGAGTTATTTAGCTTAACTTAGTAACGAGTATTAGTGGCATCTGCTTTTTGTCGAGAAGAAGTCAGAAGTAAATTTTTTTTCTTTTTTGCCTTTTATCTTAATCGTTAATGCTGTATGAAACTGGGCTCTCGCGTTGTCCCAAAAGCCATCTTAGTGATGCCGTTTTTTCTTGAAACCTACGAAGTCGAAAATATTTTGCGATTAGTGGCCAATTCGATCGAGAGGTGATCAGAGAAGTTGTGGAAAGATTACTCACTCTTTTTAGCTTTGCCCTTTTTCTGAGCTTTTCTCTTTTTAGCAGACTTGGCAGATGACTCTCCGAAAGTGGTGATCTCGTCGCCGAGAGTACCCAGAGTAGTCATCTGACGACGCCTGTGCTTTTCCTGCTTAGTCACCGGCAAACGCGTCATGTAGTTCTCTTCGTATTCAATTTTTCGCTTATTCTCGCGTCCCAGAATCACTTGCTTCTCGCCCAAGCCTTGACTATCCTCCACAGGTGCGTCCAAATATTCTTCCTTCAATTCTCGCAGGACTGTGTTAGACACGGCGCGTCTGCGAGCTCTCTCGCCAGCCTTGCGGATTTTCTCCGCCATTGTTTCATCGCCGTCTGAAATTACAGTATATAGTTTAGTGCGGTTAATGAGTGAAACATTACAAGGCTGAGTGAGTAAGGAAGACAAAAATCAATAATGCAACTGAACAATGTTGCAATGATGAATAATTCGATCATATGTAAGTGAAAATCAAATGAAAGTTAACTAATGCTGTTTAATTAAAGATTTCAACCAAAAACCTTATCAAAGAGTACAAAACTGACCATAATGTACTGCAGCTAGTTTTGGTGGCACGTAAACATTTGGCTTCCTAGCCTGTATTGACTTGAAGCCTTCCGTCTCCTCCTCGTGTTCACTGTCAGACTCTTCGTTGCAGCTATCCAGTTTAGCAACCAGAGCATCAGGATTTGCTTTGAAGTTGCTGGGATCGTCGCTATTAATAGTACCGGTTACAGCAGTCTTAACAAGCTTATCTATTTGGTACTTAAGCTTGTGATCTATTGGTCGGATTTTCTCGAGGACAGTCCTGATCTCGATCAAACGATCAATTGAAGGATCATCCTCGATGCGTTCCCCGGAACATTTTCTCAGCACTACATAAGTCAAGTTTATGAGATAGGAGAGTAACATGTGATACTTCATCTCTAAGAAACTGAGACCCTTGTCCGTGGAGATCTCGCCGTTTTTCACGCGAACCAGCATATTGTCCACCAGCTGGTTCACCTGCAGGACATTGGCATTCATCTCTCCCAGCAGACGGAACGCCTGTGGGAGATCCCTCTGCTCCATCTCGTCGATAGCCTGTAAACACGCGATGTTGTCAGAATAATTCACATGTCGTTAACTATTATCCGGTAAAGTACGAGAAAAAAGGATGGGTCGAGAGTGCTTACAAGCGGTGCCATTAATTTCCTCGTGATTGTGAAGCGGTACGAAGCGTTAACGAGACGAACCACTGTTTATTTACGTCGAATTTTGTTTGTGTACATAGAATACGCAACGAGCATGGGAATATTTTAGAGAAAACGTTCACGCGTTCTCATCGCCAAGTCCGCACTCGAGTCTTCGCGTCGGCCGAGATAGAAAAGCTTAACGCGAACCGCATTTGCCCCGGTAGGGCCGGTGTTTAATTCAAGAAACGAAAAACGCGGTAAATTTCGTTCGTAGAATCGCGGTCGGTTGGCGTTTTCGGTGGGATTTTCGCGGTGAAAATCGCGCCGGGTCGAGACCGTCGGAAAAATGTCCGCCTGGCGAAAGTACGGGAAAAAAGCGCAATAATCTGCTGCCATCTTTCCTATTTACTAATGGATGACAGCGGAAAAAAAAACAATCAAAAATTCCCAATAGACCTGCCAGAAAAATGCGCTGGTTTCGGCCGGCGCGACGGAATAACGGCGTGATAACACGCGGACGGCTTACCACTCACCTGCACCATGGTTCCGAAAGAAAAATTAACCCAACAGACGCATATCCAAACAACGTAACTTGTAATTAAACGAGTCCCCACGTGGGACGATATTTTCCTTTTCGGGGGTATATTTTTTCGCTTGGAAAAGTCTGGTCAGTAGAGCGACTGTCGTATGTTGTCACTATAACACGTGTGTCATGGTCCTGACGTCATTGAGTGACCGACACGAGCCTCTTTGGATTTTTCCGACCTCGCGGGATACTTTGCGATGCGCTCGATATGCAGAAAAGTTGCGTTTTGTGTCTCAACAAGACGCGACTTCCGTTCGCACGCTCGGGGAAAAATGCGGCGCCATCTTCGAAACACACTCGCGACCGACTAGCGATTATTGACCGCCGACGCTCGTCGATGCGATCGTTTCGCGCTCGTGAGAGACGCGGGACGATCTGAAAAATCTCAGATTTCTGCAGGATATGCATTGCTCGAAATCAAATTTGAACTCGAGATCGGCTCCGTCTCTCGGCCCATCGGGGGATTTTCGCGTCGCTGATCGCTGACAGGGGTCGCGCATTGGTCGCCGACGTAGGAACTTGGTGCGATGGGCGGCCGCCGTTGGCGCGCCGGTGGTCGTGTTTCGTGGTTCAGTTCAGCGCGAAGTCAACTTCATTTTTGACGTGATAGTGGTGGGTGAATGAAGTGGTGTCAATCGAAGACGAGGCTGCGAGAGACGGCGTGGCGCGCCTTTACCGAGAATAATATTGTGTAGAATGGTAGGTGCCGGATGGGGACTTCTCAGCTCCGAGCGGGACACCTCGCGAGATCGAGCAGACGCGGCCGGATGACACACCGATCGTGCCTCGTCGCCGAGTTTTCCGTCCTCGCCGAGCGGATACCGAGTGCCCCGCGATAGCGCTGTCAAACCAAGTTGACAGCGCGATTTATCACCGACTCTCATTCCGAACGACGCTCTCCCGCTCTTGTTTCTCCGGCTGTTTCGTTTATGTTTTGTTTAAAGGCGCACAAACATTCCACCTAGTGCTCCCTGCACTCCCTGCATCTACACGACACTTTGCTATGCGTCGCTTTGACGTTTGCCGAATTCTGACTGATGAATTTGTATGTAAAACTGACGATAAGATACGTCGAGTGTAGTATTTTTATCTAGAGCAAAAACATCCGCTTCGATGCACAAGCCCGTTGCATAAACCTTTCCGCGGGTATCTTCTGACGCACGAGAGTCAACAGAAGACTGCTTCCTAGACGAAAGGAGAGATATGTGTGTCGCGAATGTCACCGATCGTATTGCATTTCGTATCGCGCTCTGTTATCGCTTGTGATTCGATATTAATTGAGTGAATTTTTTGATGCAGGGAAGATTACAGAGGAATGGTGCTGTACTAGTGGTAATATCCCTTTTGATAGGAACCAATGGCTTCTACGTGCCCGGAGTTGCTCCAGTGGAGTTTAAGAAGGGTCAAAAGATCGATGTCAAGGCTGTCAAAATGACTAGCATACACACGCAATTACCATACGGATATTATTCCATTCCATTTTGTTTGCCCAAAAATGGAACCATCTATAAGTCTGAAAATCTGGGAGAAGTATTGCGTGGAGACAGGTGAGACAGCTTGATTCCCTTAGCTTTCGCAAGAGATTTGAGTTTAGAAAGGCTGCAAATTTTATTAGCCTGTATTTTGGTGTTTTAGGATAGTGAATACTCCATATGAAATTGTAATGGGGGAAGATATTAGCTGCAGGCTTCTGTGCCATGGACCGTCCAACTTGATGAATTGGAGCGAATATAATTCCCAACAAGTTATTGATATGATCGAGCACGAATATTCTGTGCATTTGTTAGAATATTTTCTTATATTGTTTAAAAGGACTATCTTTTCTACATTGTCACTGTGTTCACCTTAAACTTACTTTCTTATTTCAGATTAATAGATAATCTACCAGCAGCCACCAAAAAGAAGGTTCACAAGGACACAAATAAAGTGGTTGTTTATCAAGGCTATCGGCTAGGTGGAAAGATGAATAACCAAGCATATATCAATAATTATCTCAATCTGAAATTAAGTTATCACAAACATGGCGAGTCAGTATTCTGTCATACATGTTTGCATACACCTTATTCCATCATGAGTCTATTGAACGCACAGAAATCATTGTTTTGCTCTCATTTATTTAGGAACGAGTTTAGAGTAGTTGGATTTGAGGTGGAGGCTCATTCCGTCGACACATCTCAATTACAGTTCGACGGGAACACCTGCATCCGGCCGGATTTTAACAAAGTGAGCCCGCAATTTGTCAGTCCCACGGGCACAAGGCTTCTATTTTTGTACTCGGTGGAATGGAGCCAGTCGGACGTAAGCTGGGCGAGCAGATGGGACATATATCTAAGCATGAGCGACGTCGAAATACATTGGTTTTCAATCATCAATTCTCTTATTGTTGTCTTCTTCTTGTCCGGTAAGACATGATGTTATATCATGAATCACCACAGTTAATCTTCTCTCTTCAATCTTCCATCTTATATTGTCTGGCAGGAATTTTGACGATGATCATGGTAAGGACGCTCAGGAGAGACATAGCTCGTTACAACGCCGGGGAGAGCGATAGTCTGGCGGGCTTGGACGAAACGATCGAGGAGACTGGTTGGAAATTGGTGCACGGAGACGTGTTCCGGCCACCGATTAACTCGCGCTTATTCGCTGCTGTAATCGGCAGCGGCATTCAGATCTTCTTCATGGCTCTCATTACGATATGTAGGATCATATTGAGCTTTAGCAACTTGCAAAATTCCATCACTTTAATCATATATTTCTATATGCATCTTTGTTCTCACAGTCTTCGCGATGCTGGGTATGCTGTCACCAGCAAGTCGAGGAGCTCTTGGCACCTGCGCTATATTTTTATACGTATTTTCTGGCTTGGTTGCCGGTTACTTTTCGGCGCGACTGTACAAGACTATGCGCGGTCGAGAGTGGAGAAGAGCCGCTTTACTGGTAAAGATAATTTAATAAACAATGCGAGAAATTGACCTCTAGTTAAGTCTAATCGAGTCTAATTGACTTCTCTGTAACTTTCTTTAATTCATCATTAGCGAGAATCACGTTAGAATCTCCACGTACGGATCGTTAATAGAGCTGTCGATGATTGCAGACGGCGACTCTTTATCCCGGTGTCGTCTTCACGACGTGCTTCTTCTTGAATTTCTTCATATGGGGTAAACAAAGCTCCGGCGCGGTTCCCTTCAGCACGATGGTGGTTCTGCTGTGCCTCTGGTTTGGCATCTCATTTCCTCTAGTCTATCTTGGTTACTTTTTTGGTTACCGTAAGCAGCCCTTCACTCATCCAGTCAGAACAAATCAAATCCCGAGACAAGTTCCTGACCAGCTATGGTATATGAATCCGATATTGTGGTAAGTTTAAAATGATAATAAACGTTTGAATTCACTCTCTTCAGTATAGACTGTTAAGGGAACAAAATCTGCTTTTGCAGCACACTGATGGCGGGAATCTTGCCGTTTGGCGCGGTATTCATCGAGCTCTTCTTCATACTGACCGCATTATGGGAGAATCAGTTCTACTACCTCTTCGGATTTCTATTTCTCGTTTTCTGCATCCTTGTGATCTCATGCTCGCAGATATCGATAGTTATGGTCTACTTCCAGTTGTGCGGCGAAGTGAGTGTAACAGAAATATCATTCAATTGAGGCTGTCTTTTTGTTCCCTTCGTGTAAATTTTAACGTGCATGAACGCACTTAACGCTCGTGAAATTTCATTTGCAGGATTACAGGTGGTGGTGGCGCAGTTTCATAGTGAGTGGAGGCTCGGCAGTCTACGTGCTAGCTTATTCCGTTTTTTACTTCGTGACAAAACTAGAGATCACTGAATTAGTGCCGACTCTCATGTACTTCGGCTACACCGCGCTGATGGTTCTCACGTTTTGGCTACTCACCGGTACAATCGGTTTCTTCGCCGCATACGCGTTCATCAGAAAGATATACGCAGCCGTCAAGATAGACTAGTCAAAATCTATCGATAGTAGTTGCAGTGACATTGGAGTTATGGAAGTAATATTAATTTTAATTTAATCGAAAGAGTATGAGAGAAAGGGCTTAAGTTTCTTCTGTAGTTTTAGGAATTATGATGAAAGTGCAGACACATCTCCATCTTCCACGGGATTTCGAATGATGAACATTTATACATTCTATGACTGATGTGTACGAATATATTCGATATATCAATATAATGTTTCTACATGTTCATCTGCCATTGACGAGCGTATAATAATGAATATATTTTATTTAATTGAGTCACGGTTTTTCCCTGTAAAGTACTTACGATTCATAGAACGCGCAAAGAGAAAGAGAGGAAAAAATAGAGTGAGAAAGAATAAAGAAAGGAAATCTAAGAGAAATTTAATGTTAACAATGGGACGTTGGCTATATCAATATCGTTCCTTGTCAACGCGAGAAGGAACTTTGTAAAAATGTTCAAGTATGTGATATTAGTGATGGTCAATAATGCAGAAGTATTACGGCGGTGTCGGGTGAGATGTGTACTCGTGAATAACGCAACGACAACGTCGGATGGGTGTATCTATCATCGTATTCCGTCACCGTTGATACATGATGATACATGTATATTTTATATTTATGAATATACGTGTTCGAAGTCGTTCGTTACTTACGAACACTCACAGTCGACGCCGTACTATAGCCGATAACGAGCCAGTTTAAAGTTATCGTTCGTCTCCTTAGCATAAGGATACAAGCGGTTTTGCAACTGTCCCCCAACCAGGTCATTGTTACGACGAGTACAGTATAATGTAAGAATAATAATATAAAAGTTTGTGTATATTTAATTACGTTTTACACGAGTCTAATTACATTTCATTCCTCAGCGATACATATCCGAGAATCCGCGTGGTAAGTTTCGTCGAGTCTCTGACAGTGTAATGGCAGTTTCTTTTCTCTTCTTTTTTTTTTATATACATGTATGTAAAATTATATGTCGAATTGTGTAACTTACACAAAGAATTCTTAGTAAGTGTTTTGCGTTTCCGCAAATAGTAGAGTTCTATGTACATCGAGACTAATGTTAATATGATATATCACAAAGTAAGTATTTTATACTATCACTAATGTAAATAATATGTAATTGATATTACGATAAAAGTGTATACAAATGTCTTATAAATATTCCGAGAATTATACCTTCATTAATCACAACTGTATATAGAGTTATTGCATTATTCGCTCGTGTTTGTAAAATCATGATTCAATAAGCAAGGAGAGCCGCGCTACTCAAGGCATCTTCAAGCGAGAATACGCAGGCCGTCTCGGTCTGAGTTTTATAATCAAATATATCATTGTGCATGTGAGGCTAACATAATAAATTATGATCACGGTAGACTCCACGGGCATGTAACACTTTGATACGGCGTAATTTCTAGGCGTGAAAACACCCTGAAATTAAAGCAGGAACATCATTTACCGAAATTATAGACATATATACAGAATGTAGCACTTAAATCGAAATGCCTAAACGTATAAAAAATAAAGCAAAATAAAACGTTTCAGACAAAAGTTATAAAAGTAAAAGACTTATGTGGTGCGCTATTGGTTCAATATATATTATAATATAATATTAATTATAATATAAAGAATTTCAGCTCAACCACAATTGTTCGTTTTCTAAAATTCTCTGACAGACGTTAAAACTGTTGGCGACTCAATCTTCCAGTATTAGATAATGAAAAGTGTTTAAAGGAATGTTATCTATTGCTAAACAATCTTATTGGTAATTAATGCTAAAATTAAAATTTACCATCAAGAGTGATGGATTGACTTTGTTGCGCCAACTGAAAGATGGGATTGTAAATTCCAGGATATCATCCCGATGTATCCTTCTACAGCCGTGATGAGTGTGCCCAGCGACGATTAATCGCGGATTCAAGATATCCAAGAGCTGCAAATGAACATTACGTAAACTTGGGTTCACGTACAAGAGTGTACTGAAATTAATCGTGAATGCAACATATAAAATAATTGAATGTACTTGTTCCGACGCCTCTTTCGACAAACATTCCCATCGCTCGCGGAATTTGATGTTCTTTATATCGTCAGGTGCTTGATCCAATTCGTTGCAGATCTCGTCAGATTCTCGATACATCGGGTAATGCTGATCAAAGAATTACTTATTCAGTAACGTAACTTTATGAGAATTGTTATTATATAAATGTTTACATATATATATCTCTGAAAAATTAGAGATAAAGAGACTGACTTGCAAAAGTATAGGCCTGCTGTATCTGGAAATTGCACTTGCATTGTTGCAATCGTTGCCCATCTTTCTTGCACATTTCAGATCTTCTGTAATATGACACGCATGAATAGTTTAATGATTAATCGATTATGTAGATCTCGACATATTATTATATGAGAACACACAGATGATAGCTCACTGGCTATTTTGTCCACTGCGATTTCAGTTGGTCGGCATAAGAAACAACCATCCCCTTCCAACGCCATACTGTTAATCAATGTGAAATGATTGTCTCTTATACTTACTCGTCGCACATTCGGGCTTTTCAGGCCGTTAATAAAGCGCTGATTACGATATGGTGTGATTGCTAAAAATACGTTCAGTATTATAAGTGATGAATTGTTCAAAACGATCAAATCAATCTACAAATTTGCTCTCAAGTGCAGTGCAAGAATTAATTCATCGTACCATAATGAAATCCTATATCGTGATTACCAGCAACAACATAGAGATATGTGTTCTTCGGTACATAAAACAAGGAATGGAATCTCTGTATATAGCTCTCAAATTCTGTAGAGCTGCACCATTGTCCCTCATCAAAAACATCACCTATATCAAAATTATCATAAAATTATCATAAAATACTAGTAAAAATTAATTTACAAGCATTTTGGAATTATATATACTACATACCTAATATAAAAACTACATCTGGCCTGTGTATTGTCATCATTGTCTGGAAAGCTCTGTACATTTGCCATTCCCTAAGCACAAAAATATTCTCTTTTGATATAAATCTTTGATAAATTTGGATGATTTTAAATAAATTTTTGATATAAATTTTATCGAGTGACATTACTGCTAGTATATCATATATTACTGATAGAAATAGCATATACTGAATTACAAACCTTCGTAATTTATCAAACCAGTGACCATTTCTAGGACCTAATAAGTGAGTATCTGCAATAAATATAGCTTTTACAGGCTTCTCAGTTGCTTCTGTTTGTGATACAGTCAGATCTTCTTTTCGAGAATCTAAAGCAGGCCAATCACACTAAAATCCAAATTGATAATTAAGATTATAAAACATAGACTAACATAAACATAGACTGACTACTTCAGGCAATTAAAGTTAGTGCATATTTAAAGAAATAAAATATTCTAGAAGCTTACCTGTGCAAGTACGATATAATATATAAGATATTCGCAATAAAACAGTGTAAATATTAATCCTAAAACCGCATTGAGCATTGTTTTTGGTAACTTTCTGCTAAGATAAAACATCTTTGAGATTCAAAGTTTGAGATTCATACAATATTAGCTAGAATTATCACAATTTTACATCAATTACACATAGTGCATATTATGGAATATGCAACAATGTGAAATATCGTCGTATTAAAGTAGATCAAATCATTTTAGCACTTTGGCACTGCATTGTTTACTCTGCACATTGTAAACAACGCAAATTACAACAAATTTCTTTTTTAAAACCTAACCTAATAAAACGCCAACGCCATCTAACGGTATCACAAAAAACTACTGCGTACTCTGATTGGAAATCTTTAATCTTGAAATGACATACAATAGCTAGTCAGTTTATAACAATGTTCATTTAAATATTATCTATAATATAAAATTATATAAATATTATCTATAAATTTCATATGTGAATCATAAAGTATTTATATTCAAAATAATTTATTGATAAATTATCAGTACATTTTGGCATAATACATAAAGTATCAACATGCTTGGCAACATATTTCATCCAAGTATTTGTCACTTCAATACAATACACAAATCTAATCTTTCATGTGAATTACAATATACCGCAGGCATTGAAATCAACATAATTATAAAGTCATTGCGTATAACATTACAAAAAATTATAAATTGCACAATATGTAGGAAAAACAATGGTGAAGTCATAACAGTGCAACAACCAAGATGATCTTTTGTGCCATAAAATATACGATATAAAAAGTTACATAAAATAAATTACAACAAACAAGCATGCGATATCAGCTAAAATTATTCTATAAACAGCTCGTATCGTTAATGATCTCTGCCATCATGACTTTATCTTGCAAGGCTAAGTCCAACTCTGTCTGATCCCATTGTAAGTTTACCTTGGACAGACGCGATTGCTTCTTGCCGACGACTTTCAGAGTTCCCCTTGTCTCTATCAGTGAACACATGCTTAAAAATTCAGAGAAATTTACTGGGCATATATTCCGTTTCGTGCAAACCTTTTTATACACCTCGTGCAACTGAAACAAACAGCCATTTTTGAAAAATTTCAGCAACAATTGTAATGCAATTCCAATGTGACTTTCAAACTTACTCTTCCAGCAGTGATATCCTTGTTTCTTCCTTTGTTCAGGATAAGCAACAGAGAGCAAAGCAGCAATTTTTGCTGAATAGGAAACATATCCTTGTTGAAATTCTGTGTGCTTCCATAGACTCCGTTTAAAACTGCAAGTACCTCTTTCAATTCAACTGGCTTTTCTGTTATTTCCATCTGCTTCGTCGAATTCTCTGTATTTGTATCTGAATTACAAATGAACAAAGAAATATTATATATGTATAGCCTTATATCACCTGAACTGTTAACTTTATATATTGTTTCATATATTTCAAATAATATGCTTTACCATTATCATTCGTCGGACACAAAACTGTCGCTATTTTTTCAGATTCGGCTAGTTCAATCACTCTTCTGCTAATGTCTAAGGCTCGCCTGATGTCCCCGGAAACCGCGGCTACTTTACCCGCCAACAATTGTATCGCGGATGGTGTAAAAATGTTGGACGCGTTCGCTTGGCTCAGTCTCGTGGATATTATATTAGATATTTGTTGTTTAGTGTATGATGCAAAATGCATTAACGTTGGCTTTAATTCGCATCTAGCTTGCAACCTGGGCAATATCCTGTCTGTCAAATCCAATGCATTGGCGATACCAACTAGGATAAGTTTGGAATTCAACAGAGATGGCCACTCAAATATCGAATACAGCACAGATTGCTTCTTGCTTTCCAACTGATCAATTTCATCTAACACAAGAAACAACATCTTGTGCTTAGACATTAGGTATTTCTCTATAATAGCCTTGTTATTTTTCCCAGACTTAGTCGAGCTGCTTATGGATAATTCTTGAATTATCTTTGCATAGATAGCAGCTGCAGACTTCATAGTAGTGCAATTAATATAGACACATTTGAACTGAGACTTGAACTCTGGCTGTTGCATTATTTTAGATAGACTAGCTGTTTTACCAGTACCTGGTGGGCCTGAGATATAAAGAGAACTCGATGTTTCCTTTTCCAGGTGTTCCTGAAAAAATTCCTGCAATTTGTTTAACTCATTTTCTCTCCCAGGCAATTCTTCTGTCTCAGAACTATGTAAGGCCAGACGTGCATTCTGATATTCATTAGAACCAAATAATTGTTTGGGCTGTAAATTTTCACTTTTAGGAGATAAATTCAATCTGTTTAAAAGAGTGGATGGCGTTAATGAAGCCTGTAACAGTTGATTTTTCTTCTGCTTAGATGGACTAACCAGATATCTTTCTGTAAAATGAGGAAAAATGCCTTGTAAAGATAGTCACACTTAGGTATCATCATTATATAAAACTCATGAAGAGAAAAAAAATATATCTACAACAGGAAATTATACATAATTATGAGAATTACCATTAGAGGCATTACGTTTGCGACGATTTGGTGTTTGAGGTGTACTGTTTGCCTTCCTTACAACTGTTTCTTTGGTGATTTCTGTTATATTTTCGACATCAGAGTCTGATTCAGACTCACTGCTGCTCAAAATGACAATCTTCTTCACGCTTGGGGTATATTTCGTCAATGTGCTTTTCGCTGTTGCTTCTGAGAAATCTTCTTTCACATCATTTTTGGGTCCGTAGAAATTGCATTTCTTCCGTATAGGAAAAGTTATAGTAGTTTGCGTGCCCATCGTGTTTTGCAAGTTCGCGCGTCGATGTATCAATAATTATCCACGAAAATATTGAATATACAGAGTTGCTGTTGCAATCCACAGAGAAAGCACAAATTAATTTTGCCTTGTTGTGCCTCAATATGAATCTTCTAGAACTCCAAACTGATAAGAAAAAATCTTTTTCCTCCCAATTGTTTTCCGCTCTCTAACCTGCGATGTCTTTGTAAGTTTCTAAGAGTTTTTCAGCTTGTCAGCGCATCCACTGATGTCTTATATATGCCAAATGTTTCATCAAATATTCACAATCATAAAATTCTGCTATCGTCAGTAACTTTCACGTCCTACAAAATTACAGCGAAGAATGTGTCATTTAGGTCGCAACGAACGCTCAAATGTGACCACCATCGATACGATGTACAGTTGGCGGGAAGGACTTTAAACGCGGGAAAACTACGGAACGCGGAATTGAACACGTGAGCTGTTCTTGGAATAGTTGGAATGCGGTCTCGGAATAACGAACACTCGATATATAATCAATTTAGGACATGCTTTCAACGAGTAATCAGCAATTATTAGATATCGTCCAACTGAAGTAGAAGAATTAATTCTATATAGGTTGGCAAAATAACAATTATTATTCTATATAGGTTGATAAAATAACAATAACTTTAAAACTGCTGGTTATAAAGAAAAAACAAGAGAATTTTTCTACTTGTTTCAATAACGAACTGTGTTTTATTTTCGACGTTGGCGACCTTACAAGTTAGATTAATACCTCGTCTACAATAGAAGTCATAAGGCTCGTCTACATTAACTGTAAGAGTAAGGCTGTAAGATTGCAAGGCACGAAATGAAATATTTTCATTCGCTGACAGCTTACGTTACAGCCTTACAGCCTTATTCTTACAGCTATTGTAGACGAGCCTATAGAGTCGTAAGTCGTACAAATTGACCAATCGCGGTCGATTATTTTTCTCTTACCGGACTATGATTGGTCAATTTCTACGACTTACGACTCTACGACTTCAGGTCATTTTACAATACGTGTCGTAAGTGTAAGCCGTAAGAACTGACCAATTATAGTCGATTATTTTTGTAATGATCGACTGTGATTCGCCAATTCTTACGACTTACAACTTACGACACGTATTGTAGAATGACCTTTCTATTGTAGACGAGGTATTATCGACGATTGGCTTAGGTCTGGTCTACAATAGGTGTTGTAAGCTGTAAGCCGTAAGAACTGACCAATTATAGCCGATCATTTTTGTAATAATCGACTGTGATTCGCCAATTCTTACGGCTTACAACTTACGACACGTATTGTAGATCAAGCCTTAAACAGAATTTGAGGGAAGTCATCTTGATTGGTTGATTCTTCTGACACATGAGAATGAAAAAGTGTTATCTTTGTATGCAAGACTTAAGGCCCTCTACCGGAACTGTGAAGTATTAAGCTTCCCTCCGCTTTCGCCTCGCCTTCCCACTGAAATCGTTTTCTCTTCCATATTGTTTTCAGAAGTCGTTGGGTATACTTGGATGTCCTAGTACTGAAATCCGTTGCAATCAAGCGTTTTTAAGGCGACTTAACAGTCTTCAACTCGTAGGATGAGAGCTAAGGTAATTATTTTGAGAAAATATATAATTATTTTATGTACAGAGTACATATAAATGTTAAAAAATAGCTATTTTATTTACTCTTGTGCCTTCACACAATGCACGATAATTTTGTGAACAAAACAAATAAATAAGTTGAATTAATGATGCGTACAGTACTTTGGCGGAATTATGAGTTTTGATTTTATCTTTTGCAAGTTTTATTTCTTTCATATAAATTTAGTTTTTACGTTAACCTGACTTAACCTCTACGGAGGAGCACTGACGCGCAAGGAATTAACGGCATGTTTGATTTACAGTGGCGAAAGAAGAGGATGCGCAGGCTAAAGCGTAAAAGGAGGAAGATGCGTGCGAGGTCCAAGTAAACGACTTCCACATGATCTTCTGTAAATATAATTTCTGTCTTATGATGCAACAAATTGATTTACCTATGTGTTGGACTTTTGTCCTCATTTACTACGTCTTTATGAATGTTTTAGGCATAAGAAGAACAAATCTATAAATTTACATTGCTTGACGAACCATCGTTGAAGCTGCAAGAAAAACTTTGCTTGTAACAAATTTCAATGGATATGTTTTTCCTGACAGAGGACATTTTATACATTTAATATTGCATTTGAATAAATACAATCATTTAAAGTTGAATATAAATTGACTTTATGATTACCATTTCCTCTACTTTAAGTACTATATTTTAAGTAGTATTAATTTAATTTTAGAGAATTTATAAATAAGTGTAAAATTTAAGTAGTACTGTAGATTCGCGAGTATATCTGAAACATGACTGGCTTTGGTAGCACAATGTAACCCAACCTAACCTAAACTAGTCAACTTTGTCGACTGTTCGAATTTACTCGACATGCGTTCGTGTATTTTAAGGAGTTTGCTTCGTTCGCGGAGGGTATTGCATGAATCTTTCATCAAGGATAAAGAAATATTAACATACTCGCAATTGAAACAATCGAGACAATTTTCAAATAATTTGGGAAAGGAATTCGGCGGAGCAAACGAGATCGACTCGCGAAAAGATGACAATAACCTTGCGGCTTCCGTTAATGCCAAGTACAAAGTCTTTCACGACGAGGAGGCAGACGTTATCCTCGACGTCACCGAGGAACAATATAAAGTCGACTTGAAATTATTAACCAAGCAAGAAACTGTTCACGATCCCTACGCTGGCATAAATCTAAAACGTGAGTACAGATTGTGTCATCAAGATGATTGTGTGTGTATATATATATATATATATATATATATATATTGTTTTACAACAGTTTTAAAATAAAATAATTTTTTCTAGGTGGTATTGCTGGCGTTTATGAAATCGAGGATCTCGTTACGTTGCTGGAACTGAACAAAGCCAGACAGATTTTTGTGGCCTCTGTGCCAAAAGAATATGCCTATGTAGATTATATTGTTGTTGTAACCTGTATGTCATTCAAACACATGAGTGCTCTTGCCACGTTTGTACGCAAAGTTTATAAATTGAAACGAGACGAGTCTGATAAAATACCTAAGATCGAAGGGGAAAATTCAAAAGAGTGGATAGCAATAGATTTAGGTATAGCTTTATAGAAATAGTCATACAATCATTAATCATTGCTGTAAAAATCATTACTTATGTTGTAGGAAACATTATCTTGCACATCTTTTCTGAATCTACCAGAGAATATTATGACTTAGAAACATTGTGGACAGTTGGCTCACAGTATGATGATAAGAGTAACATATCTAAAGAACCAGTTGATCCAATGGATCAGTATAATGCCTTTCTATCTGAACTTGAACCAGAGGAGAACAAATAATACATGTGTATATGTAACATATGTGTGTTATGTAGTTTAAAAATAAATTTGAGCTAATAAAACTCAATAAAATAATTTGTATATTATTAAATGAGATTTTATTGATAATATCCCGTGAGAAACAGTTAAGTATATTTTAAATATAGTTCATATTTGTCTTCTGTATGGACTAAGTTAAATTTAGATAAAAATCAAATATTAATAAATAATTTAATTCAATATGTTTTTAATATGAGTCCAAATTAAATTTAAATGTGATCCTATTATTAGATTAACTTGTCCAGGTGCATATATAAATCATAAGAAATCATATTAATATTTAATATGCATCTAATAATATGCAAGCAAAAATTGAATCCAAATTTGATTTTATATTTGGAACAAATAAGATTTTAATTAACACTTATAGTTTTTGAGTTTAACTTAGTCCATAGGATAAATATGATGCTACATTTAAAACATATTTAACTGTCTTCTGCGGGATTGTATTGTATCTTAATTGTGTAACATTCATACTATCAAATATTAATTACTCCCAAGTGATAATAACAAGACAGCATATATATATATATATATATATGTGTGCGAACAAAATAGCTTTTCGTATAATGCACTTTTCATACACCTGCACTCGATATACGTATATAGATGTGTTTCTCTCAGTAATGTCTTGCTGGATTTGTTTTCAAAGTAAAATAAACACATAATTAAATATCGAGGAGCAAAAAAGAAACAAAAGAGAATTATAAGTGGACAGAGAGTTAGAAAGAACATATTATATATCAATACGCTGTTAACGCATATAACCTCAATTTTGTTCACTTTTAGGTTAACGTGGATGATGTTAGCATTATATGAAAACTAATAATCATATTTGCGCATCTGTTATTTTATTTACTTACTTTTCAAAAGATGGGATTTACTGTTCATAGCTGTAAGTTATGTTGTAGTCATTAGTTATATTTAGTATTTATTGAGTTTCTTGCTGATTTTTATATTCAATGTTTACAAATAAATATTTAAACTTTTAGTTGTTGCTCTATAAAGTAAAAAAAAGGGCAATATTTACATCTCTTTGAAAAAATTGTGACACTCATGCTAACAGTGTAGCTTGTAAGATAAACCATTAGTTTGTTAAATTTTCTCAAGTATTAAAGAACATACTTTAGAAAAAGGAACAAAAGGAATTTGCAAGAATCTCTATATGACAATGTATCAATCAATGCAATACATTTCAATATATTGTATATATAGGATGACAGATTATCCTAGAAAAAGCTCAATAAAGGTATAACCGATTGTCTCTGAAGATTTTACAAGAATTTAAATATGGACGTCAGTGCATTGTTCAAAGCCAGTGTGAAGACAGTAAATTTACGTAACAGAGAACTTGGTACAACAACTAATGCAAAAGATCTCCTGAAAAGCAGGAACAAGAGTTCCTTTCATCTTAAGGCGCACAATGTGGTTGTGCAGATTTCCAGGCTGCGAGAGTTCTTATTAAAGAACCGGAAGGTTTATCTAGACTTTCATAATCACTTGTGCACTGCATCGCACATGACAGACACAGAACGTGACAAGATCGATGCCGGAGCGCAGAATATAATGAGCACTTGTTCGCAGCTCATCAAGGATCTCAAGAGGGAAGTCGCAGCGTCTGAGGTTTCGCAGCAAAACGTCGAGCATCGCGAGATCATGTTGCTGATGATAGAAGATTACCTGAAAAACGTCTGCAAGATATACTCTGAACAGAAAGCGATGCGTGTAAAAAAAACCATGGAGATGCGAAAGATTATCAAATTGCAATCTGATACCAAGCTTGTCGATCAGTCATCATCAACAAAGGCCGGAAAGTCGGCTTTGAACGCGACGCAGAAACCTACAGACGATCATGAGAGTAAAAACGACTCGATCGACTCGAGCCCGATGAAGATTCAGGAGATCAACGGAGATGTTAACACGCTGACGTACGAGGAAGAGCTGTCACCCGAAGACATCCAGATGTTTCATTCGGAGAACGAGCAGCTGTACAGTGAACTGAACACCTTGACAGAAGAGGTCAGTCAGATCGAGAGTAAAGTGGTCCACATCGCCGAATTGCAAGAGATCTTTACGGAAAAGATCCTTGATCAGGATAAAGATCTGGACAGGTTGATGACTACGGTCGTCGGGTCTACCGAGAATGTGAAGGAGGCAAATGAGCAAATTCGACAGGCGATTCAACGGAACGCCGGACTCAGAGTGTGGATCCTCTTCTTCTTATTGGTAATGTCGTTCTCTTTATTGTTTCTCGATTGGTATAATCCATAAATAACTAATTAGATCCCCAATTACTGTTATAAAGATGAAAAAAGGGATGTCGAAGAGATTCGAAGGAGAAACGCATTTGCCAAAATATGATTGTATTTTTCCCTTAAACATTGTACATAATAGATATATATATAACTTATAAGATATATATCATCTATATATATATATATATATATATTTACTTATATACACATATTACCGCCTAGTTTGTTCCACGGTTTTGTTTACTTTTACTTCGACGGGTAATTCTTTTTACCATCATCAATGTGGATTATGATACATCTTTCATAGAAGTATCCTTTACAGGCGGTACATTTATTTGTCATAATCGTGATACATATTTTTGACGAACACCTTATCAGTAAATAAATTTAATCAGTTTTTATTTATCTTTAATTAAAAAAATGCAAAACATGTGAAAATGTTTTGATGCCAAGAATAAATAAAGAATGAGACGTCTTTAGTTACTAATATTGAAATTCGTCAAACATATATTGGTGTATTTTATATCTCCCAGATTCCACTTTTGCGAAGTATAAACGAATATACAACAAACATGCAATGTTCGTATACTTCCAAGATAAGTTAGGTATAAGGAAAAGGAGAGATAACATGATGTCGCAAATCGATGCAAATAGTAATGTCCAAACAACACCGTCGCTCTTAGAATACATATATATCCGGAAAGGCATGACTATCATCAAATGTAATAAGATAAAAAAGATGTAACGTATTGTTACACGTTTTATTATTTCTTCTCGTTTAAGCGCAACGATGACTTTATGCGTAAAAAAATATATCTGAAGATCTCAGATGGATATCTCAAGATTTTAGGTAGATATCTATTTTTATCGCCCAGATTGGCCATGCTTCTTTCATTATAGATATATACGTTCTAAGATCACCGCAAATGTTTTTCACACAGGTAAATGTTCTTTGCGTCGTGTGTTGTTTTGTACAAAATCTTACAAAAGTCTAAACAGCTACATCACTCTTCTATGTCCCTTCCGTAACTTTTTAATAATAATAATGTTGCCATCACGCGTGATTGCGTCAGATTGTTACAACATCATAACGACACATAACAAAAACATTATTATCGTTAAAAAGTCGAAAGATATTGGAAAGCAATATACAAACACGAATATCGACAAATTCATTAATAGTCATGAGACTCGTCGATACGATTTGCGTTGAGTTTTTTATTGGCATATTCGAACAAAATCTTTTCGTAAATTTTGTATTTCCTATGTTTCTAGGAGAAATATTTATTGAATTGACATGAGAAAATAACGTTTTGCTGTCAAGAGATTTTCTGGGTAAACATGATCAAAATTAAATAATATTTCGTGACACTATTGATAATTAAATCATAATCGAAGTGGATAATGATGTTCAAATAAACATCACTCTTGAATTAAATAAAATAATAGCAAGATACAGAAAAAAAAGCTAAAATCGCATCAATCATTTGCAATAATTGTTGCTCTCTTGTCTTCTTCTGTGACAAGTCAGATGTATAAAAGAACAAAAAAAAAAAAAAAAGAAATAAAAATATAAAAAAACACAAGAGCGCTGGCACGATCGTTAAAAATCACACTGATTACGATCTGAATTTTCGCGAATGTATAGCGAGTCTCTTGAACAACAATACGTTTTAATTTGTGTAGTTGTACCTATAACGGGAGTGCTGGTTGTACAAGCAAATCTTGCCTTCGATTAAGCACTGTGTGACCCATGTGGTAGACATCAGTGGGATTCGAAACTGTTGTGCTCTTTCTACGGCCCACGCAGGACACCTCTGATTAGAAACGATCACCGCAGCACTGTCGAATTCCATTTCCTCGATACTTTCTGCAAAATATGACGCAAAATTCAGTCACTCGCGCGCAATGGGATGTAAATGTTATTTTAGATGTTACGTTGATCCAACGAGCATACCTGAATTCTCCGCGACTAAAACTACAGCACCCGCGTTGTCGCACACCTGCGCCCAAAACGCAGCGAACTGTTGGTCCATCAAGAGATTGGGAATTATCACCACGAGTTGTGCCAGCGGTCTGATATCAATTTGGAACGTTTCCACGTAAGCTCGCCTCTGTAAGCTCCAGCCGCTTGGAAGCATGTCCTCAGCGGAGTTCACGAGTTTCCCCTGAAAATATAATACGACATGATTTGCAACATGTTCGGACATACTAAAAAAATACTGCAGCGAGATGCTTGCTAGTGGTGAATTAATGTAAAATTCTTGTATTTCGTTAGTATCACAAGTTTTCATTCACGATAACGTGAGCACTAATGAAATTAAGTAATTAATAACGATTCCTATATATAAAACTGTATATATATATAAAGATATATATACGAATATATATAAGAATATATATAAAAATGTCTGATACATATGTAGAGAAATGTTTGATTTGATTTCCGGCTTTGTACCATCTTAGATTTGTCTCCAACGTTTTGTGAACATTCCAGTTCACTTCTTCAGGGAGAGGATGTTTCGGAGCGATCCTCTTCGGATCCGAGAATCAAATCAAAGAGACCCAATCGTATTATGTTTGCGTTCCGAATCCGGAGAGCGCAGAGGGAACTTCCACTTACCTCCAAGCAGCATCTGATGATCCACTTGTGATTGTAGGCGCGGATGCCGACCGCGAGGCAGAGTATGCTTTTCGCCGTGGTGTTTGGCACATTCGTGATGAGCTTAGTCTTCTTGTACTCGTCCTTCGGGATCTCGTTGAAGTCCTCGTAGACTCTGCCGCCACCCGCCACGATCTGCGTGTGCAGCCGGTCTCGCACGAACGGTCGTTCCATCCACTCCTGCTCGTTGTCAGTCTCATCGGTGCCTGATGCGTTGTCCTCCGTGCTTGATGCGAGGGCCTTTTCTTCTGCATCGATATCGTTGTCTTGATATCTATCCAGACACTCTAATGACGCGCAAGTGAGGATGAACGACATGCCCTTGAAGATGGTGTTGTCGGTGGGAATCGGTCCGAGAGTCGCGATCGTCAGCTCGTCCTCCACCTTCTTCTTGAAGCTGCGCTTGCTCTTGATCCTGCTCTTCGGCCCTTTCACCACTTGCTCATGCGGCGTACCGATGATCTCTTTTTGCACTCCCCACTGCGCGCACTCATCCAGCGGCACGGGCTCGATATTCGTGTCGCTGGACATGCTCTCGTTCTCGGACAACACGCTTCGTTCTTTCTTCATCTTTGTCGCCATCCCCGATACTGACGGCTCCGACGACTTCCGGTCTTGACGACCGGTCTTGCTGGACGAGCTAGTGCCGCTGTTTCTGGACTTGGGGGTCGAGAAGATAGGTGTGCCGATCCGTTTGGAGCGTCGCTTACCATCCACCATGTTATCCAGCGACACCTGACCCAGATGCTTCGGTGTGCTCGGCAGGCTCTTGTTGTCGGAGTCCAGCACTTCCTTCAGCAGCAGAGCCTGATCGGGCGACAGGAAGATGTTCTTCAATTGAACATGCAGACGCTCACCTTCGTCTGTCTCCACAGTGTAGCGCACGTCGTCCTCTGTAGTGTCCTTGCTGCTCTTCACATCTATGATGATGCCGCTGGAGCCATAATCGTTGGCCTGTGTAGTCGCGTACACTGACAAATTTTCCTTCAGAATCTTTGGTATCGGTATGACGAACTCTGGTATAAGCAACTTGACCACACTGTCATAGAATTTCACCTTGTACTTGGCCTTCGCGCGTTCGATTACCGTGCCGGGATAGTAATTATTGTCCGACCATTTAGCGAACACCTTCCTGCCGATGAGATCGTCGATCGGCAACGGCGACGAGTTCGCGAGGACGTCCGCGTTGCTGATCATCAACTTGGCTTGCTCCGCGTCGTCGTCAGGTACGGCGGCGATGTTCATTTTAGTCTTCTTCCGAGGTGTATTGTCGTCTGTCGTATTGTCCTCTGTTTTGGAATTGAACGCCGTGGTTGGCGTACTCGCGTTACTCTTACTCTCGCCGTTCGTGTGCACCTGCGATCTCGTCATTTTGCTCCTGGGTCTCTTCAGGGACTTGTTCTTCTTGGTGCTCTTCGGTGTGGTCATTTCAGAGTGTGTCGTCAACTCGATCTTCTCCGCCGGAACCTCCGGTGTCGATGAGGGCAAACGTCGCAGATGCTTCTGCAAGTGATGGTCGTCCAATCGCTCGTTGCTGATATTGTGAGTGTCCAACGCGTTCAGCTCCGCGTTTGCATAGTTCAACACGGTCATGGTTAAAAATCGGTTGTTGCCCCATTCGCGTGTCAAGCGTTCATATGTCTCATCGAAAGCCTGCTTTTCGCTCACCGACGGCACATCTTGCGATATTTTCTTCGCATGTTTCGCTGGGCCACGAGGCAAGGAGAACAGCACACTTTCCTTGAGCAGTTGCTTAGCCATAAGCGACGTGGCGCTGGATGCTGAGCTGGCGCTAGACGAACTGGTGGACGACATCATGGACAACCTCGACGGGTTCAAGTGAAACAGCTGGGGATTGCTGTTCACCGAACCAGGTGAGGTCTCCTTGTTGTCGGAAATATCGGCTAACGAAGACGACGCCGTGTCTTCCTTCTGTCTCAAAGTGGACTCCGCCATAGCTTCGCAGTGTACAGCGGTGAGCTCTTTGCTCAAGAACTCCTTGGTATTCTCGTCAACCTGCAGAAGACATCTCAGCTTTACGTACATACCGATCTCCTTCTCCACCTGTACAGTTTTAGTCAGCACGCTGTTGTGAACCGAGTCGGACTTTCTCGCGCCATCGTCGGTGTTAGATATGTCCTGCTCGTGGTCGCTTATGCTGATCAGCTCAATGCTGTCCAAGTCCTTGGAGATTAGAAGACCTTTCGCGGCCAGTTTCTGCGAGCTGAGTATAGCCGCGTTGCCGCTGTCATTTCTGTTGAGAACAGCGGGTGGCGTCTCGTAGCTGGAGAACGTGTCAGATTCGACGCTGACGGTTTTGTCGTTCCTTTTAGATTCGTCGTTACCATTCACCATCTTGTTGCTGTCCATTTTAGAATCCATCGACTCCTTGTTGCTCTCCGATACACTCTTGTAGCTGAACTCGCTCTTGGTATCGTAGCAGCTCTTGTATAACGTCTCGTTCATATCCTCGCGGGTCTTCTTGTCCGTGGCAGTCACCTCCGAATTGGCGTTGAGGCCATCCAAAACGATTTTCTCGCCGTCTTCGTGAGAATCATCGATGTTCACGACTTCCGGCTTCGGTTTGTTCTTAGCGTTGTTTGTTTGGTCGTAGATTATCTCCGTCGAAGAATCCAGGATGCTCTTGTCAGTGTCATCGACGATCTCTACGACCTCCGGTCTTGACTCGCTGTCAACATCAGTGGCGGACCTGCTCACGCCGTCGTACACGAGCTCTATGCTCTTTCGCGATTTGCAGGAGTTCGCGGCAGTCAAGCATGATGGAGATTTGTTGCGTACTTTCGACTGAGACGACGGAACCTCCTCGTCGGTCTCGGTAGGCTTCTCGGGCTTGGACTCGGGCTCGGGCTTAGGCTCGGGCTTAGGCTCGGGCTTAGGCTCGGGCTTAGGCTCGGGCTCGGGCTCGGGCTCGGGCTTGGCAGTCTCCTCGCCTCGACAAATGCAGTTTGTCGAATCTGTCATGTTGTCGTCCTCGTCGGCTACCACCGTATCTATGACTGCCTCTGTGATTGTGTCTTCTTGGATCTCCGGCGACTTCTCGTCCTCAGTCTCTTTCTTATCCGATGTGTCCGTTTGAGGTTTCTCATCGACACTTTTCGCCGCAACGCTAGATGCCGAGACGGTCCCTTTCGCCTCGCACTTGTCCTGAATATCGCTTTCATGTAACGAATTCACGGTGGCGACGGTGCTGTTGTCAGCATTGGCGTCGGCGAGTTTTGCGGAGACGTTGAGATTCTCGTCTTTTTCCACGTCGCAGCATTTCTCGGAAAAGGTCTCCTCCTTTTCCTGTTGCTCTTTGTCGACGTCCATCGTTTCGGCCGGTACGGTAGAGCTCTGTAGCGAGTTCAGAGTTAACTGACTTGCTGGATCTTGAGTTTCCTCTATTATGACGTTACTCTGCGTACTTTTGAACAGTTCGTCGTATGAATCGTCGGATTTGCAGGACTGACGACTCTCCTCTCCCACGAACTGTTCCTTAACGTTCACTACGTTCTCCATCGACGTTGTTTTAAGAACTTTGGTCGGAGGTTCTTCGAAGGATCCCGCTTTCCTTTTAAGACTCGCGCCTTCGATATCGCCCTCTGCTTTCTTAGGCGGCGTGTAACTATGAGGAGGTGTACCTTGAATAATTTCATCTTCGTCATTGTCAGTAAGCTCATCGCTGATCTCCTCACTTTTCTTGATCAGCTTGCTCTCTGTCGTCTCATCTACAGTAATCTTTTCTTCACTTTCAACTTTATCGCTTGCAGTTATTGAGTTGTCATCTGTTTTAGATTCCGGTATGTTGGAAGTCTGCTGCAAACCTTCTTTAACTATTTTTTGACAGCTATCTTCTCCCAAAGATTGTGTCTTGTCAGTTACATTCTCGTCTGCTCCAAAATCGACAAGATGAAAGTCTTGGCTCTCATTTAAAGTTGAATTTTGTGTCTCACTGCAAGTTTTTTCATTGTTAGATTCTTCAAAATATGTTTCCTGTGTATCTGGTACACAAACATCTGTTTTCTCTGAGTTCGACATTTTTTATGGCCCGTAGCAAGTAATCTAAAAATATAAATAACATGTCACACAAGATTCATAAAAACACAATTAAAAACAATATTTATATAACAATAGTGAAACTAACAATTAGCAAATGAACATAATAATCCGCTGTAAAAAAGGAATTCTGCACAAAACAAGTACTTTGTGTGTGTATGTGTGTGTGTGCTGAATTCTTTTCTAAAAGAATACTAAAAATTTATATTTTAAATTAAAACTAAAAAATACTAAAAATGTGTATCTTGAATTAAGGTAATGGCAATAAAAATACTAATAATTTATCTAAAATAGAAATATAATTTTCTTTGTTTCTAATAATTTCTTCAAAATAGAAATCCCAAGATTAATCGAATATAAATCATAGTCAAACGATTGTCTATCTTCAAATCACACATGATAATTTTACGATCTTGCAACACGTTGGTGCGCTTTTTACCGCGCGCTCTTTTTACGATCACCAATATTATCATATACGTGACTCATGCGATAGACCATGGTGTGACCACAGCCCGTGGATGGCTAAACCTCGAGCTCGATCTTAAAAAAAAAAAAGGAAAGTTGCTCGAAATGAGAGAGAATTTACAAGTCCTCATTACGATTTACGTTTCACTCGTGTCTCCGTACTCCACAAGACCACATGTTGCAATTAGAGTCGCAAATTTCAGGGTCAGCCGGGCAACGGCTATATCTCTTTCATTCGCGATTAGTATACGATTCATCATAAATGTACAATATCGCTCGTTTATCACGAGCAGCGTGTGTACGCGCTTGTTTGAGAGTGATGTAAACAACGCGGAATCAATGTGATACCGGAGAATGTGCTATATCGCGCGCGTTTCCACACAACGATCGGCGGATGTACCGCGTGCGGCGTAGCACGGTGTTTACAATGGCGACAAAAAGGTTACGGCGGGAAGCGACGACTCAGCAGCGCGGTGGCCGCGAGAAAAGAGCGCGAGATAACGCGAGAGGGCCGTCGACGATCGGCGCACGTGGCGCGGCGTCCGCCCTGGGCGGAAATTTGCCATGCAAAGCCACGATCTTCCTGTTTACACACAACCGACCAAACAAGCTCACCGCCGGCCGTCTCTCGCGCCGTCCGGCACGTTCCTCCCGTGACTTCCCGTTTTCGTTTACCGTGCGCGTCATTCGGCTTACCTGAGATCAACAACGAAGTCGCTTGGCGTTCAGAAATAACAGGTGCATCGAGGATACTCCGCTCTCCATGAAAGAGCGCGCAAAAACGATGTATTCTCGTCGTCACACGTATCGCAACACTGAGGAACGTGAAGCGATCGTCGCCATTTTGTACCGCGGGACGCGACGCAACGCGACGCGCGCGACGCTACGACGTGATGAGCGGAAATTATGCAACGGGGATTATGCGAGAGCTGGATTTGTCCGCTTGAACCGGAAATTCCGCCGCAAGCCGAAATTCCTATCTTTCGTTCGCGTACGCTTGTGCGTTTTCTTTGTTCCTCCTAATGAGAAGATTATTGCTTTTGTTTGTAACTTTTAAAGATTTAGCCGGACGTGAATACGCATAGTCGCGTTACGACGCCTTGCATCGTCTCTCTCTCTCTTTCTCTCTCTCTTTGTTGTTTTAATTGTCTTGTAGTGTGCGCTGCGGCCGTTAGGTGACACTTGGACGAGACTGGATAATTCATGCGATTTATGTGTAATGAACAGAGAGGAACCTGAGAACGGCCAACATGGCGTTTTTGGCGATACCGACTTTCCGCACTAGAGACCCTACAATAGAGAGTCTGGACAACAGAGCTTCGGCGTAATTGGCTGCATTCAGCAGACTCAACAGTTGGACATTATTAGATTTTCCACTAAATCTCGCTCCTGATTGGTAAATACTTCTGGGTCTATGAAGAATCTAACAGAATGCTCCAATCACAGACAATAATCACTAAGCGCTCTCTGATCACTTTGTTCTACTGAACGTGGCCATAGGTGCGTTCAGAAAACAAAGCGCTCACTGAGCGCTTAGTAACTATTGGTCCTTACTATTAGATCCTTACATTCAGACCAATAACGTTGACGAATTATTCAACCGTTGTATAACCGTTGTGTTTTCTGAACGCAGCCATAGGGTGCATTGGGTGCATTCAGTACTACAACCGCTCACTGAGCGCTCAATGAGCTTTTACATTTGATTGGTATATTCCTTTAGATTTAAAAATATACACCAATCAGATGCAAGAGCTCACTTAGCGCTCAGTGAGCGGTTATAGTACTGAATGCATCCAATGCACCCAATGATTGTTGACATATTTATGTCATATCACGTATATTTCATTTCTTGCCTTTCGTTGTGAGTTACTGCGCAGGCGTGCTCCGCAGGCGGAGCAGCAGCTCTCATCTTTCTCGAGTCGGGATACGTCCCGAAAGTCATTAAAAAAAAAGTGACAACCTTTATGTCCGCAACCGTACTGTGCTGCGATTCTGTAACTCGTTATTGGAGTTAACGACAGTTTCGTTATTGTTGCGCAGCTTTTCTACGGTATACAAAAGCTGCGCAACGATAACGGAAGTATCGTTAACTCCAATAACGAGTTACAGAATCGCGGTACTGAAGGCTATCACACACAACGAACTTAAGCAGTAAGACGTAAGCAGTAAGCAAATCGACCAATCACAATCGAAATTTAAGGACGCCATTTTAAAACTTACGAGAATAATTAATTGTGATTGGTCAGTTTCTTTACTGCTTACGTTCATTTGTGTGCGATGGCCTTGAATGGGTGCATTCAGTACTACAACCGCTCACTGAGCGCTCAATGAGCTTTTACATTTGATTAGTATATTCCTTTAGATTTAAAAATATACACCAATCAAATGTAAAAGCTCATTGAGCGCTCAGTGGGTGCATTCAGTATTACAACCGCTCACTGAGCGCTAAGTGAGCTCTTGCATCTGATTGGTGTATATTTTTAAATCTAAAGGAATATACCAATCAAATGTAAAAGCTCATTGAGCGCTCAGTGAACGGTGTAGTACTGAATGCACTCATTGGAGCGGTTGTAGTACTGAATGCATCCAATGAAGTTCTTCCCGCTGCGATTAGGTGCAGAAGGTGCAGCAAAGAATAGCAAATAGTCACCTACCGGACACATCACGCATGGCGGCCGCTCATACGCCTTTCTAGTTACAAGTTGAGGTTATTAAAGAAGAGCACCGCGTGTAACGTTCCCTCAGCCTGAGGATCAGAAAGGCGTATGTGTGCGATCGGTATGTGTGCAGAATATAGCACCTGCTGAAATCATAACGCCGGCGTTGATCAACACGTGCCCCACGTAGGGTGATATCAAATCCGTCTGGATAATTCGTTAAAGAAATTAACGCGGCCGTTGGTAAGATTTAAAACGACCTCAGTTAACGTCGATGGGATCTGACAACATTGGTGTCGCTTGATTTAACATAATTGTAGGATTATTCTTAAGCGCGGCTTGTCTTCTTTTTAGGTTATAATATATCTATCGTTCGTTCGCTTGACTGAAGATGTAGCGCACATAATTGATGTTGGAAATTCTTATACATGCATTTTAGAGAAACGTTTCTTGTCGCGTGCAGCATTGAACGTTTCTCGCGATTTTAAAGCGTTTTTGTCTGTATAAAAATAATGGAATTTGATCAGAACACTGTGTTGGATAGTGTGTTTGTGTTGGTTCCTATTCAATTAATCCTTGTTACATGTGTAACAATCTTCTACAGGTTGAAGTAAGTACTTTTTTATATATATTTTTGGATATGTGTGAATTGAAATTGGTATAATATATCTGTTGAGAGTTAACATTGACATGTATCCTTCAATTCTTAATATATTGGCATGTTTTAATTTATTATCAATAGAATAAGATGGCCTGTAAAAGTAAACTGTTGGTTCTGCAATCAAAATACAAAGGTTTGGAGACAAAACCTGACTTGGTGGTTGTGTCCCTCATGCCAACAATTCAACGGTTTCTCTAAAGTAAGTTGCAGAAATTTTATCTAATTTCTATCTTACACATATATAGCATACTTGAATTATATATGATCAAACACACCGTGTTTGATTATGTACAAGGAAATTTATTGTTTAATCTGTGATTAACGTGTGAATAATTTGCTTTAGAATGGTGATTACGCATATGACATCCCAGAACAATATGCAACATTTGATAAATGCACAAGATACTGCAGTTTGCCCAAACAGAACAATGCTGCCAATGTTCCAAAGAATAATCTTTGCATAGATTGTAATAAGAGAGAAAGTTTAAAATTAGCAGAATTGTCCAACTTTGAACCTAGAGATGAAAATCTTTATGATACAGAATTGAAAGTGTTCAAAGAATACCTAGAGAAAAAGTATCCACTGTGTGGTAGTTGTAGATCCATAGTATGGGATGTACTGAATAAGCAATCGTTATGGCTTATGCGCTACAAGATGCTTTTCTTCAGGCAGAAGCCAATTAATGCAATTATCAATGTAAGTATATTTGTTAGGAACATATAAGAAGAAATTTTATAAAACAATTATCATAGATAAAAGATTATCATAGCATATAGCTGTTAATGTTTTTATTAATATTTTAACAGTATTCATTTATTGCAATAAATAATTATTTGATAATTCTGTTACAGAAAGCAAAAAAATTAGACACAGTGTTTCGATTTATTACAGTGGTTCTCAGCTCAATTATCTCATACAATCACGAAGTTATATGGCTACCTTTTGGTGGATTATTCTTTCATTTATGTGCTTATTGCACAAATTCGATGAAAAGGAAAAACTCTGATATGTTATTAATAATTTTATGGTGTTGTATGACTATTCTCATACTAATCAAGAATTTAACGACGTTGCAAAACATCTGGCTCACAGCGGAACATATTACACAATATTATATGGTAAAATAATTTAATGCAGGAATATTTTAACATTGGTTGCATATTTCTTTTTTCCAGATAGCAGTATGTGCATTGCTTATAAGCTTCTTGAACATAAAACCCAGTTCGTATAACTATACGTTGACTACATCGGTATCGTTTAAGAAGCTCAAGTTGCATACACGAAATACCACTGCATCATCACAGGTAGCATACGACAATCGGAATAAAAATGACAACGTTTTAAACCAGACGAACAGTAGTATCGAATTGTCAAGCAGTGCAGGCGAATTATTCACCACAGAGATTAAGTCACACTTAGCAGTGTCTGTATTATATTTCTGTTCATCCTATATTGATCCTATATTTTTCCAAAACGTATTTTTCTTTTCGATATAACGACTTCCATCTACTCTACATATCATTTCTACTTTTAGGCCGAAACAGAAGTCGTACGCAACTACTACAAGTATCCACAACGACAGCTACCTGAGCTCTATCACCCAATGTAAAAACGACTCGCCGTATTCTTTCTGTCTGGACAACAACGTGAGCGCCCTGAGTGCGTTGTCCTTAAGCGAGGACTCATCGAGATACAGCGCGAGAACGCCACCGATCTTCGAAAGAAGGATATATGGCATGTCGACGTGCGACCTCTTCAAACGATCCAGCGTCGCGTCGGGCAGAAGATGTATCCTCTCGCCGCCGAAGCTGCAATCGGTCACGCAAACGTCGTGGGTAGCCGGTGGTTATTGGCAAGAAGGTATGGTGAGCGGCGTACCCACACTCTCGCGCTCGTCCAGTCAGAGCTCGGGCTTCGGGTCGGCTGGCTCCTCCAACTTCGCGCCATCCAGGGAGCCATCCGTGCATGAGTTCGACCGCTGCTCCGTCGTGTCGGACGCCACGCAGTCCTGTTACACGCCACGAGGAAATATCGCGAATCCTGCAAGGTTCTTTACTAGCTCAACAGCACCTCGCGCGCAATCCCGGTGCACTATGTACGACACAACCACGACGAGGATGAGGAACTGCTCGCAGTCGCAGTTGCTTGCAGTCCGAGCATGCAACAACGTGATGGCGGCGGACAATCAGGAGCACGTGGCAGCGGTAGTCGGCAACGGAGGCCGGAACGACTCAATACCGATGTGCCCGAGCCACACAACGGTCGTTACCAGCCCTGGTTTGTTGATCATGCTGCTCTGCGGTTCGCTGATATTGAACATGATAGTGCTGTGCGCTATGTTGCTTCGTTAACGACGTTGATTAGTGTTCATACGTCCGGTGTTCATCGTAATTCTGTTAACACTATTAGGTCGTTTGTGAGAAAACTTGTTAATCACCTGAGTACTCGCGTCGCAAATTCTGAGCTTCCTTTTGTTCATGTTGTTTGTTTTATTTTATCTTGTTTTTATCGCAAGAAAGAAGAACAAGGGAAGCTGGCTTCACGTACGATCTTCTATTGTTAACTGTTTGAAATTTTAACTTTGAGAATTAGGATGTAAAGAATTCGTGAGAATGGAAAATGTATATATAATATACATATATACACACATATATATGTATATATATACAAGCTTCAAGATTTATATATATATATATATATATATATATATATACATACAAAATCAACAAATCTTGAAGCAGACCGAAATATTAAATCCTTAAATTTGGATGTTTTAGGTTCTTCGGCGAATGAAAGAAGTAAACGTGATTCATATTCGACGTGCCACGCGAATACTTAAGGCAAAAAAAAATATTCGATTATTACTGCCAATTGCGTCGACCACTATCTTCCGATTTACAGCGCGCGAACAGTAGATATAACGTTACACACTGCCACAATATACATCGATATACTTTTCGTCAAACATATCTGCCGGTGTTCACTTTAGATACATTGAATTTTGTAGATGTACACACGTACTTTTACACGCTCGAGGTTTGCCCTTTACGGACGTAAGTTACAGTAGTTTCTCGATGTCGAGAAACGTGGGTTTACACGTGTATATTATATACAAAGATTTAGAGTGCATAGCGAAGAACGATTCTGTATGTGTTCTTTAGCAAAAAATACGTACATACGCGATTTTAGCAGTATAAAAGAACAATTGTTTAACACCGAAGGTTTCCATTGTTTCCTGTAACGCGAATATTATCGGCAACATCGATTTGTTCATTTGCTTTCGACACGGTTTGGACACTTTCGATGCTTCTGATGTTTCAATGAGAGAACTTGTTTTTCATCAATTGCCAGAAGTTCTCCTCCATCAAAACAAGAATGTCCAAATCGTGTTGAAACTAAATATACGTATCACGAGGACTTTGTAAAGGAAAAGAAGACGCTACTTTGTCTCATTGAGACAAGTGTAGGTATGCCTCTTCTTAATCTGTACATTAAGAAACTTGTAATGATCATGTTATTTATCGCATTTCGATTACTATATGTTTTGATATCTGCGATATTGTACAATTACATTGATGAGAAATAAAATAAGAAAACGAAATCTTTTACAATATTGCTTAGAGAATGATTTCCGAAAATTGCGATTACACCGCTCAAAATACTGGAGATCTCGTGTGGAGTAGCTTAGTAGCTCTTGTGCTAATAGAAAGCTCAAATATATAAGTATGTCTATTAAATATTAGGATTAGATATTATACTAGACAAATATTGATAAATGACACTTTAAGTATCTACATAATATGTATATACGCCGAAATAATCTCCTAATTATTTCGAGCGGTGTGTGTAGAATTAGAGATTTGACAGAAAGTTATGAATTGCTCAACTTGATATTATTAATTGCTGTCCATCGCGGGTAGGATAATTAACTCGGGATTTCACGCAGTCCACACACACATACACACACACACACACACACACACACACACACACACACACATACATACAGACATAGGTGTATATGTATAATATATTTTTATTGTATATTACCTTATAAATATATTTCTTTCGGATTATTTCCTTCTTTTGCCGGGACTATGCGGTGCGACAATAAATAAATAGGTGAATACAGTCGTTTAATGTGTCATATTTTTCTTTTTCTTGGGTTTTCTCTTCCATTAATGTATAAGCATCGTCGTTTCCTCGACAATCGCATATAATAATTAACGATAATTATCTTAAAATTACAGCTTTTTAATCCGAGGGGAGAATATTGTATTACAATTTATAGTACCTTGTTAGCTACAGCCTCTCTACACCCTGCATACAAATCTATCGCCTAAACTCTAGGAAAAATGTCTAGAATCGCTATACGATTTTTTTTTCTTTTATCTCGTACTACTTGCTGTTTCAGATGAGGTAGATCTGAACTCGATTAAGATCATAGAAGGAAACCTGCAATCGAATATTTTTGTTCACTTTTACACGCGACGTCGTGCAGCGGGAGTCGTGCGACGATTTCGCGCAAAACTATTCGTCCACGCGCAAAATCGCCGTACATCATTGAAGAAACCTTGTGTTCATTCGTTCGTACTGCACGAAAAGTAACAATCGTCATGGCTGAGTTTTTCCGAATTTTTTCGACGCATGTCTCACTTCATATCTCCATTTTCGTTTTCACCTTTTGAAGAATCACAAAAGAAACGGTTTGTTCGTTTCGCTAGCAAGAAAGGCTACAGTTGTAGATCAACCTCCTCTTCAACAGTGACTGGCTGGTGCGCACATATTGTTATAACTCGTCTACTTTGACTGTATAATAATGTGATTTCAGACACGCCGAAGACATTACGAAAATAATGTTGCTAACACCTTTGTCTTTCCTCGTTCCATACTCGTCAAATCCGTCGGCCAACTATCGTTCGATACATATACAGCGTGTATACAATATAATAAAACGGCATTATATCAAATAAGCCCGATATCGCATGCGGGATGCAATCGCTGATTATTGCACGCGATCTGCAACATGAAGAGTCGGCCGTGGTCTCTCAAATTCATGATTACATCGCAAGAGAAAAAAAAGATACACAGGAGAATCAGAGAAATCGATCCGGTATCGAGACTAATTATTCGGAAACGGTTCATCGCACGGAAAGTCGATAATCACTTTTTTGGCTTGATTTTATCATTTTTTTTTTAATTACTGGAGATGCGAAAGACGCGCTCAAGAGCCATGACGAGAAGAAATGTAGTAACGATGGATTATAATAATGCAGTAGTACATCGTTAGCATTTTTTTTTTTCTTAGCGCAACATGATTCGAAAATACATTCAACATTCTAAGGGAGAGACGCGCGTTCGTCGCGCGTCGTCGTAAGGCGTCGCCGAAAGAATAGGAAGAGAGAGAGAGGGAGAGAAACATTGTAACATCGTTTAAATGCGCGTGTTAATTTGTGTGCGATATGAGAATAAGAGTCCTTATGGTGGAACGTACGACGGTAAGTAGCTTTTTGCGAAGGAACGGCGGCGGCGGCGGTGTGGGGGGGGGACTCACTCTCTTTATGACGGATTAAACGTTCACCACGAAACTAACGCAACTGCATTACGCACGGTACAATGTATTTACGCATACATATATATTTACATACACCCGAGACAAAAATAGTTTAACGATAATTGCACTCCTTATGCACCACAACACACTCTTACTTGTCTCTGCTTACGTATGAGCAAAAACATAACTTCTCTCTTCTCCGCGCTGCACCCTCGATATATGTTTACATTATATATATCACAAAAGAGAGTCAAAAAAGAGGAGAAACGGAAGGTGACGAAAAAAAAAAAAGTAGTAGCAATAATATTAGTAATAGTTAATAGTACTTCGGATACTTTCTCACGATCGATCTTCTCGACGTGTGCATTCTCGACTGCTCGCTCTTGACGTGCACTCGCGAGAGACTCTAAGTTCAACTAAATCTATCGTCGTCGTCGTCGTCATTGGATACACTGGTAGTTTCATTTAAGCCGCGAGAATTGCCACGTGTCGAGTCAACGTGTTGTTTATACAAAAACAGTTCCCGATAGAGAGAGAGTGCATCGAATATATGCGATGATTCGTGCGCGAGCGAGGGAACGAACGTCTCGGCGAAGAGACGTGGAATCGTTTCTCGTGGAAACGATCGCGCAATAATGATGATTGATACGAGATTACGGAAACGCAGAATTATACTAAACCGTGTTATACTAAAATGCACGAGTGTGAAGGCCATCATTAACCCTTGCCCGACGGATCGGGCGATTTATCTTATTTCGATCGAATAAACGATAAGACTATTATCGACGAGCTCTCTCGTACCCTAGAAAAAGCCTTATAAATTAAATATACAAGTGACAGTTACATTTTTATATCTTTACGTGTAAACGACTCCCAAAAGAGCGTCGAAAGAAAAAGAGATAGAAGGGGAAAAGTAACACAATGTATAAATGTAATACGCGAAAGAATCCGAGACAAATCAGATTCCGCGAGAGAAAAGAAGGAGAAGATCTATAAAAGACGAGAGGGTTAACGACGACGTCACGTGCGAAAGACGTGTGAGCGAAATTTCAACAGCTCGCGACAGCGGGGACTTTCTTTTATATCTTATCCTTTTCTTTTCTCTAAGGAACATAATAAGCGAACCCGTGCATCATCGGCTGTTCACAACCAGACATGCAGGTAACTTCTGAGCGGGAGCTCGATACACACACGCACACACAGATACACGCACGCATGTAAAATCAATCACACGTCACTCTGATTCCATCTGCTCGTTACAATCACACTCGAGGCGAGAAGAAAAAAGAACAACAAATGCATGAAAAGATCGAAGCTCCATGTCGCTCTGTGCGCTTCGCAAGTCTAACGCGAGAGAAAATAAGCCTCTGACACGCGCGAATCGGAAATAAATTAAATTAAGACGCTAAGGGACAGTGAAAATTACAATTACGGAAGTTAAAAGTTACAAAGAGTAAATTAAAAGGAGCGGACGCGGGATGGGGGCCATTCGTTACATAAATCGGCGTTTTTCCCGTCGAGGAGGATACACGTGTTCTCGCAAAATTTCTCTCTTCCTAAATTAAACGCACGGCAGTACATGAATCCGCGGGCCGCTCTAGAGAGGCAATTCTACGCTTGATCGCGATCAAGCGTGCCCTCCAGCGAAATTGGTGCCGAAAAAACGCCATGTGCCGTGAAATTCTCTTATCATCTACGGGGTCGAAAGGCGGGCGAGGGAAGATAGGAGGGAACTTCTTACGGTTACGAATACTTGTAAGCTACAATCATACTCGCGCAAAGCCGCATGTCCGATCGTGTTCACTTGATCATCGCATGGTGCCGCATAAACCCGCTGAACGCGTTTTCTTTCCATTATTAAGTATTTCTCGCCTCTTTCGTTTTCGTTTACTCAGATTGAAGTTCCTCGCTTAGGAGGCTCGATCCAACGATTGCGGCAAGCTTTTCTTCCTTTCTCTCATCTTTACTATTACTCTTAAAAACGCCAAGCTGAGATACGAGCATAATTTAAATAGAGACAGACACTGCGCGAAGTATGTATAAATATTGCGAGTGACGAGAGGCTCTTTCTTCGAGTGGTCGGTCGTTCGAGTAGACATCCACTTTATCATCGAATCATGCATGACATTGTGTATAAATTAAATAATTTATAAAAATTAACTATTTACAAATCGACGGGACATGCAGCGCTGGTGTATATGTATACATACGTATATATATACATACATACATATGTATGTACACATAACACATACACACACACCATATACACACACACACACACATATATATATATATATATACGTGTGTGTACAACTTAATACACTTATTTCGTACAAATGTATACCTAAGCACATGCTTACTCCGAAGAAAAAGAGGAGGGAAAAAATATTAATTAAAAGAACTGGCGGTGCTCTCCTTGCGGATGTAGTACTATTGCCCTTATCTTAATAATTATAACATTTATGCATATCCATTATACATAAGAGCCGCTGGAATTCTTTTGTTTTCGTCGATGAAAGCGTTCTTGCATTCGTTTTCTGTAAAAGTGAAGGGTTTTGGCATTATGCTCACGATCACTGTACGCTGTTACCCATATCTGTGTGATCAGGAACATGAAAAAAAAGAGAGGAAACAAATAAATCTCAAAGTAACATCAATCAATCAATCAAATAAAATGTTGCGTCTCAAAAAATCAACGTCATCATTTTTACATAAATCATATGATTAATAACCATGAAATGAACGTCTAATTGAAACGTGAAATTAATTCGCCATGCAAAGTAGCAGTCGACCGTAAGACTTGGGACAGGAATGTCGTGAGGTTTGTTCGTTTTTTGTTTCATTCGATTATTACGCGTCAATCACGCGTATCGCGATATCGCGCAAAGGAGCTCGTGCGAAATCAGAAAAATCGTATAATTGTATCAAAAACGGCTCACTTACTCTAAAGCACAGAGCTGCCTGCGGCGACTTCATTTGTACAAAATCGAACAAACCCACAACGCAATGTAGGCGTTTTTAATTAAGTGAATCTAAAAGAAACATGACGGTATTGTATATATGTTTATATGCATAAAAGACGAAGGAAAAGTAAGAGTTTGCAAAAAGAGATAGTGAGAGAGAGAGAGAGAGACGACTCTTTAACTGGCGCTTGGCCGAGAAGTGAAGGATTCCTTACCACGATTGCCGGTTCGAATGGCGTTGACGTTGCTCAAATGATGTTGACCGGCGCGAATTGGTTTCGCGATCTGCGCGCTCGGTCCACGACGCGCCAGATTCTTTTGCCTAACAGCCTCCTTGATTCTATCTACTTCGTACTGGTAGCGTTTACGATCTCGCATTGCTCCTTCTTTGGCATCGCGCAATGCTGTCTCTAAGGCCTTGACGCGCTCCATCGTCGCCCGCAGTCTCTTCTCCAGCTTGGGCAGCTCGCAGCGAAGATCGGCGTTATCCCTGACGAGTTGCTTGTGCACCTGCGACAATTAATCAGACGAAACAAAGGGTGAGTCAACGATAACGGCGACGGACCATGCGACAGAGCAATCGGTAATTAAATATTAAGCGCGCGCGAGTTCAGAATGTACCTTCGTTAGTTGGTCCAGATTGTTCTCCAAGAAGGATATTTTCTGCTTCTGCGCGAGCGAGCCGCCGTCGTCTTCGTTGTCTTCTGCATTGATGGTTTTCTTTATTCTAGCTTGTAGATCTTGAACGAATAACTTGCGAAGATTGTGTAGGGTTTGAAGTTCTTTGGCTACCGTGTCCTCCAAACCTTTGAGATCTTTCCTTGCCTGAAGTGAATTCGATAATGAGTTGATGATATTATTATATCGGCGCTCGTTCTCCGCGACTCGTGGATAAATGACAATGATGCAAGAGAACAGTTACATGTCCGCACGAATATTTTTTTATCGAAAACGTACTTGTTCCCGACGCTCGTTCAACAGCATGAGCTCCTGCAGTTTGACGGATTTGTTAGCCTCCTCTTGCTTCAGCCGCTCGTAGTCGGCCTGCATCTGCTGGTGCGCCAGAGTGAATTTCTGATTCAGGTCCTTCAGTTCGCTGATGAGTTCCTGCTTCTCGGATAGCTCGTCCCGCAGTGCGGCGACCTTAAATCGACGTTGAATAACGTTGAATTATAAGCACGTGCGATATCGGCGATCGTTGCACATTTCTCAAAGAGCAACTCTCCGAAATAGCGATAAAAGCAATTAGGTCACTAGCTGGAATACTCTGATTACCGAGGGTCAACGATAGACCATACGAAAACTAATTTACACCAAAGTGCACGCGCGAGCTTTCTCTCTTCGAAGTTGATGCGATTTTCAAAGAGAAGAGAGAGAGAGAGAGAGAGAGAGAGAAAGTCTAATTATTGCATCTCTTTAATTAACGGGAAATTGACGGCAGGAAGAGCAAGTAACGAAGATTAAGCGGCGGACATAACGCAAGCAGCTAAAATTACGTGATTACAATATGTTTGCGTTTGTCGCAACCATCTTGTAATTACGTATTTCGACGTTAATATTTCAACGTCAGTCTCTATCTCCAATTATGTCCGGATTTATTCAGGGTTTTATTCATTGTTTGTTATTATTACATTTAGTCGGGCTTTATTTTGTGTATTAATTTTTGTAAAGTTACCAAGCTCAACCCCCATATCAAGTGTGAACTGGCAAATTTTAATATATCGTAACCGGAGAGGGTTCTCGGATACGAAACCTGTTTCTGATGTGCATCTCTCAATTGATCCATCTGTTCCTCCAGTGCCACTCGCATTTTCGTCGCTGCTTCCTTCTCCTCGGCTTTCTCTTTGTTGGTGACCGCTTGTACTTGCTCGGCGGCCTTCAATTTCGCGCATTCTTCGCGCAACGCGTCCACGTCCTCTTCCAGGGCTCGCTTGCGCGTCTCAGCCTCCTTCATCGATTCCGTCAGCGTTTGCATACGAGCCTCATGCTGTGAGATCAGCAGCCGGCACTCGGCCAAGTCTTTCTCGTATTCGGAAACCTGAGATATTGACGTAAAATGAAGTTTAATTTTAGAGATTACCATGTGGAAGAAATCGTGATTAATTTGCGACAACAGCGAAACGCGGCCACTCACTTTCTTGTTACAGTCTACTTGAAAACTTTCTAATCCTTGACACCGCTGGACTAAGTTCTTTACTTCGGACTTCATTTTGCTGATGAATAGCCGCGCCACTGTGAATTCCTCCTCGAGTTTGCCGTTGCTCTCTGGCGCAACCTTAAATAAAATTAATTACAGTTGAGAAAACGACCCGAATGTTTACATCAGGTGATTAACGATGTGTAAAACGATGACGCTTGCACATGCTTCATCTGGCGATTTCGTGTCTCTACCTTCAAATTCTCGTCGCCACCAATAGCCACACCGATCTCGCCCAGGTCTTTCAGGAAATTGGCCAGCATTTCCGCGATGCGTTTCCTCTGGTGGGCGGACATGTCGCGCAATTGTTGCAATTCCGACGCAGTATTGTTGAGAGCCACTTGCTTAGCCAGGAGCTCCTCTGTCATGGTTTCTTGTTCTTTATTCTTCAACTCGACCTGCAGAAAACGCCGAATAATTTGCGCGTCATACAAAAAGACCCTTTTTTCTCGTTCACGTGTAATTGCAGATAATTACCTCTTGCGACTTTTGGTCGTAATTGACCGCGAGCTCCTCCAATGCTTGTAGCACCTCCTTCACTTCCTCCTTGGCGCTCTCATTCTCCTGCTGTATTCGATTCATCTCTTGCTGCAACTGCTCATAATCCCGCCTTGCACTGGCAATAAGCTCTTCTTGTTCCTCCATTTGTTCCTTCAGCTTCTCGACATACTGCGACTGCTGATTGATTTCCTCATCTTTGTCATCCAATTGTTGGTACAGTCTTTCGCGTTCCTCTTCAAGCTTTTGCCTTTCCTCGTTCGAGAGAGAACCTGCCATTAGACCGCCACCGGGTGTAGCCGGCATTGGGCTGTTGTCATCCAGTTTACCTGTACAAAATTAAATGAAGAAAAATAGGATTTACATATTGAAAAACTTATAATTTGAGAATCTATTTTTTATACAATTTACGAAAATGATATTACGAAATTACGATATATTTACCTTCTATGGAGACGTTAATTGGTGTGGTAACATCCGGTCCTTCGACCAGATTAACTTGCTCTTCAGGGTTGACAGTCTCACCCTGCCGCCAACGCGACAACTCTGCCTCCAATTTGTCCACCTTGGCTTTCCATTTCGCCGCCTTCTCTTTCTCGCGCTCATAGCGCCGTTTCCACTCTTCAGCCGTTAATTCCTCGTTCACGCATACGACGTTCTTGATGGTCTTGGCGCGTTTACCTGTAACAGATATACATTTTATGAGAATCTGCCGAAAGCAGAACACTCTAAGAGGTAGAAAAGAAAATAAGATATCTCTACCGAAATCTAAAGTTGACTTTGTTTCAGATTCGTTGAAGCTAGCGGGAGAGCAACAGATGATAATTGTAGTCCTGGCATTGCCACCCAATGATTCCTGCAGTATTCTCGTCAACTTAGAGTCACGGTAAGGAATGTGAGTCTTATTGCCATCTGCCAGAGCTGAAATTACATTGCCCAGCGCCGACAATGATTTGTTAATGTTCTTCGCTTCGTCGAGCACGGTTCCTTCAGCACCGGTTTTAGAAACCTAGTAAGACATATGAGTGTATGAAAAAACAGTTCTACTCATATTTCTTGTTATATTTTGTATCGAGCATTTTTTCTTTTTGTCATTCACCTTTTCTGAGCCGGCTAAATCGACGAGATATAACTTGCCGGAAAGTTTCTTCTGATTTTCCAGATTCTCTTGTTTGACGTTAATAAGGAACACAGAATGAGAACGTGAACTGTGCTCGTTCATATTGGTCACGGCGATATGCCGATTCGATTTGCCCTCCTCTATCACTTCGAACACTTCCTCGGGACTAGAAACAAACCGTTCGGTCGCGCCTTTCACAAACGGCACGCGATTCTTGTCTTCGTGCACGCTTAAGTTAACCTTAGATACTGAAAATGGGAAGTGGTTCAATTCGTGAGATGCATACAAAAATAGCCGATTATGATCTTTAGGATACAATAAAACACTGATGTAAAATTGCATGAAATCTCACCATCAAGAAGATCTCTGATTTTATCCATATAAATTTCAAAATATGATACTTTAATATGGAACTCTAAGTTCTCCTCCATGCCATAAATGTGGTTGAAAATGTCATTGACGATTCTGGGAATGATACCTTGCTTATTGGGATCACCAATAACTCCCTCCATTGTGTGCGTTTTACCTGTATGTGAAAATTGTAATAACACAGTGTACAAGTTACTATCACTAATTTAAAAAACAAGTCTAACAAATACTTGCAAACAATCACCTTTTTATCTTTCATCTTTGAAATGAGAAAGAGAGAAAGATAAGGTGAATATTGTTTGTAAGTAGTACATCGAGTAGTTCTGCTTCTCATGAAAATTATCTCAGACAAAAACTGCAATACCTGAAGATGTTTGACCATACGCAAAGATGGTTCCATTGTATCCTGCCAGGACATCCGTGACGATAGACTTAGCTGCCTCATTGTATACTTTGTCTTGTGTAGCATTTGGCTTAAATACCTTATCAAAAAGATATACCTTTCCCTGAAATTAATACATTACATAGCATCATTCTTCATATACTCGAGAGATATCAATAAATCTGCCATCACAAAGACGTTTCTCTGGTCAAAGAAATCAATCTACTTGCAGATCCATTCGCAATTGTTCTTATTATATTCATCTCTGACATTTAACAAGTGTAATAAACACTCAGCACAATGTATCCTTTCTTCTACCTCTTCCACAAATCTCAAAGACCATAAAGCTTAGGCAATCTCCAGTCTCCGGAACTCTGGGATGAATCATAATTCCAATATACCTATACATGTCCACGCGTGATATATGCAACAATGGAGGGAGCCGATGGGAACGGAATCTCGGGCGACTGTCAATCGTTACACGCGAAATTTCCTATTCGTCGTCGCATCGACAAACGACAATCGTTCAGCCGTCTCGGTTAAGTACGCACTAGTCTTAAGTCTAAGCACTAGTAGCACATACCCCGATGGAGATGCAGTTGTCCTCGACACCGGACGGGAATTTGACGATGAACTTGGAGCCGGCCTTCTCCTCGGAATCGTTGAGCGGCCGAAACCTGCAGACCACCTTGATGCTGTCCTCGGCGGCGATCTCGCGCTCCCTCGGCGTCTCCATGGCCATCGCGAAAGAAAGAGGCGGCGACGGCGGTGGTGCGTGCGTTCGTGCGTGCGTGGGTGAATGCGCGTGTACGTGTACACGTATATATATATATATATATATATATATATGTGTGTGTGTGTGTGTGCGCCTGCTGCTGTTGCCTTCCTGGAGGTAGGTGTATCGGATGCAGCGGATGCACTCGACCCTCTTTCTCTCTCTTCCCGTCAGGCCGCTACTACTCTGGTCTGTCGCTCCTCGGATATACGCTCGACAACCGTTCGTAAGCCGAAGCGCACGGGCGACAGGATGGACGCGCGTACCGCATGAAGGAACCGTTCTTTTCGTCTCCCCGTCCCTCGTCCCTCGCTTCCTCTGCGCGACTGACTGCGACAGGCCTGTCACAAGCTCCTTTTCCTACCTTCGCAGCGCAAGATGGCGGCGGTTAAGTGGCCCGACCTGACCGACACAATAAACCCGGCCGAATGCTCAACGCTCTCTCGCAGCCGTGACGGAGCGGCTCCTCGACGGGGCGGATCACGACGACGAGCTCCACCAGGCACCGATGCGGCCTACCACCACGGCGCCCTACGATCGCCGGGATATCACGACTACCTCGATGCTGCCCGAGCCCAGTGGGGGTCCGTGCGATCGCGAGCAAGAGCGCGGCCGATACGCACGATCGCGGCGGCTACCCACGGCTACCTACTCTACAGAGAAATTTCGCGAGCGATCCGCGCCGCGCGCGATCGATGAGGGACGGTGGCGACGACGTCGGCGGCGACACGCTACACACACCTAGGACGCGTCAACGAAACGCCGCCGCGCGCGGTCGCGGCTGAGTGTGTGTGATGTGACTCGTCGTATTCTGAAACGCCGATGCCGAGTGTGCCTTTTTGATCCTCAAGCTGAAATTACATTATATTTTATGTATTATATTATTATATAATTATATTGTATGCGTATTGTATTATATTATACACACTGGTGTAAGGGAAGTGTAAGGGAGAAATGGAACGTGAAATTAAAAAGGCATATTTTGCGTGTCCGGAGTAAAGGCTGTGGGTGTGTGTGTGGGTGTGTGTATGTGTGTGTGTGAATTTCGTGGGAAGCGTGTGCTTTTAAAATACACTGAATGCTCTTGCAACTTCCAGCGACAATGGACTCTGCACTCTCATCGCGTATAATATTTTTTTATTCTTTCTGTTATATGAGCGATGGGGAGAGAGAGAGAGAGAGAGAGAAAAAAGCACGCGAGATGACACGCGCCTTTCCCGGGAGAATTCACACAACGCGTCACTGTATCGATGGATCAATGTGTTGACTTTCGCGAAATCGGCGATTTTAACGAGTTCGCGTTGATTTTCCCTCGACGAAAGTGTCAGTAAGGTGGATGACACGAGCTCCAACGATGCTCTCAGAATGTGCACCTTGAAGTTCACATGGCGATCTTCGACGAGCTTGGGAGAGCAATGCAGCTTCGAATAATCAATAAAGAAAACGTTATTTTGTGCTCTTTAATCAATGGTCACGAGGTACGAGCTGTCTAAATGCGCGTCCGACTTGAAAATTTTAAGACTGAAATATCGAGAGAGGGACACCGGTCGTCGAGTTCGATCTAGATGTTCGTGCATCGTGACCGTTTATTAAACAGCAATTGTGACATTATTTTTGATTGATTATCGGGAGTTGCAGCGTTCAAATATTCAAACAGGTCACATTCGATCCCAAAATTTCTATATCTCAACTCAAGAACTATAATTTGTTTATTTCTACATTATTGTTAAAGCTCCTGATCTCAGATAGACAAATTTCGGCATATCTGCATAGAGACTAAATTGGATAATTAAAATTAGTAGCGTAAAAACATATTATGTCGCTTTAATGGTATCATAAAATATATGTTGAACGTCTGTGTGTTGTTGCTAACATGTTTGTTTACTCGCGAGACGGAACTGTTGACTGATAATGTCAGAAGTGAGAAATCTCATGCCCAAAATTCCTGCAATTTTTAGATAAAGAAAACATAAAAGAATATTTCAAACCGCTAAAAAATTTTTCGAGCACTATGCACCTCCCTTAAAAATCAATAAAATGACTGTAATACAAAGTTGGTCATACAAAATGATGCACATGACCAGGCCCCATATTGGAGTCATTTTATGATTGTTGATTCAATCATATTACACAATCAGTACATAAATTCTATCAAGGGAAAGAGGCATAGTGTTTGGAACATTTTACAAGTATTTTTTCATACAAGTATCCCCGTATTTGAAAGCGGCAAACAAGAATTTTCAGCGTGTCATTTGTCACTTCTGACATCACTATTCAATATAGCTGCGGCGAGCACTCGGAAGTCTTAAATTTTGTACGCATATTGTATACGAGGATTGAATGAATAAATGGAGTAAAAAATTAAACGCACCAGTCTTTTCTCTTAGAGTTCAAAGTTTTTCCACGTTTCTCATTTGAAGGAAATTTTACTGGAAAGAACAGGCATTTATGAAAGGAAAAACCTTGCGGCTTCCGGATGTAAAGAAATACTTGATTTGAAATGAATTGGAATGTTCACGAGAGAGAGAGAGAAAGAGAGACGTCGGAAGTCAAATAAAAGAAAAATCTACTTGTTCCCTTTATTTCCATAGAATACATACCTGAGTATCTCCCTAGTCTTTCCTCTGAGCCATTGTAAAAAAAGGTGAAGAAGGTAAATGGATAGAAACATATGGCGAAAAAGATAAAATGCTTTCATAGGTCAAAATGTAATAAACTAGGAAACTTGCGAGTCACAAGTCGTGATAAATTACATGTTATAAAAAGCGCGACACACACAAGAACTTGTGAGGGTATATTGTACTGGATACGTTCGCAAATATTTCTCGGGTGTTTGACCTTACATCAATCCCTGTTGTAAAGCTCTTGAAAGTTAATGAATGAAAAGGAATGAAAAATAAAGAAAGTTTACTTATATGAATGTTTTTCGAAATTCCCTGGAAGTTTCAAACTTCATTTTTTTCGAGAAGCTCGTTTGAAATTTATATACACATAAAAAGGTCAGAGAGAAAATATATCAGGAGTGAAATTTTGCTGCTGAACTACCAACTGTCTCTCTACTAATCTATTTTTAATATTTAATATCATTTGTAATATTTTATATGCTCTAAGATTATAGCTAGTTTATAAATATATAATAATCTTTATTGCCAAAAATAATTATTTCCCTCAATTTTTCTTACAATGTGTTCTTGTGTCATCCTTTCTTCTGTATCTTACATCATCTTTTTTTCTATCTCTCACATCCTCCTTCCTTCTTTCCCTCACATCGTCTTTTCTTCTATCTCTCGCGTCCTCCTTTCTTCTATCTCTTACATCGTCCTTTCTTCTGTCTCTCACGTCTTTGTCTTCTTTCCTGCGTTTATGTTTCCTGTGTTTCGAAGTGTGATCCCTGTCTTTGTGTTCCTTCTTTCTTTTTTCCTCCCTATTTTTACTATTGTCATAATCCCGTCCACGTGATGTCTCATGCCTCCTCAATGAAGGCAAGTTCTCTTCATGTTTCTTCGTTTTCTCGTCTTCATCGAAATATCGGATACCTTTTCCTTTACCCCGCCAACGCATTTTTGCGACTGACTGTGAGAAGTCAACATGTATCCTTCTATCATCAATCAGAACATTATCCATTTTGAAATATGCTTCTTCACAGCTTTTGCGATCAGCGAATTCAATGAATGCGTACTGCAAGGAGTCTCCTGTTTGATGGTCTCTTATAACTTCACAACTAAAGTAAAATTAATATATATAAACAACATATAGTATCGCATGAATTATAATCAATATTAATATATATATATATATGTATAACATTAAAAATAAAGCATTTCTATACCCTATGATTTTCCCGAAACGGTTAAAGATAATCTCAAGGTCGTCGTCATTTGTCACTGGATTCAATTTGCACACAAACAAGACATTCTCAGGTGGAGCTATGTCTGCGTCTGGTATGTCGCCTACGATTTCTAATATCGTAGCTCTTGTTTTTGCCTCTTTATCCTTTTGCATCTCTAAAATCTCCTCTGTAGTCATGCCAGTTGTATCATCAATTACTTCATCTGCTCCGATTCTATCACTCTAAAAACAAGACAAATCTTTTTAATAAATATTCTTAAACAAAAAGGATGAAAGAATAAGACAAATTTGTAAGCAGTTTTATATGCAGTATACCATTAGAGCCTCTTTTGTAGGTTCAGGACTTCTGTCGGGAACCATGAGTCCTACAGGATCATCAAATGGGTCTTCTAAAATAACTGTATGTGATATCCGTATGTCCTGATATGGTCTATGATCTCCATCACAAATGGTTTCATTAAACTTCAGAATAACATCTAGTCCTTCAGCGATCTCACCAAACACACAATGTTCATTGTCTAACGATTGAAGCTCTGATCCCAATGTGATAAAGAATTGAGAGCCCAACATATTGTTACCACAATTGACCATGGAGAGCAGACCTATCCTACTGTGTTTGATCTTCGGCATTTGTTCAGCTTCATAATACCGAGCCTTTTCACCAAGTACAATTCCATATATACTCTTCCCTCCTTTTCCAGTACCAGTGGGATCTCCAGTTTGTGCGATAAAGTTGCTCTGTACCGAGTGGAAGAGGTTCCAGTTATAATACTTGAGTTTACATAGTTTCAGGAAGTTTCGTGCGGCTGTAAAGATAAAAATAATCATGTGACCTGATGTAAACTTGATATGTATGAAATTAGACGATATGTATAATGTAAATGTAGCATTTAATGCACTAGTAATTAACAATTAAATTATTGAGGAATATTTATGATATGTTTACTTTGAGGACGCTGTTCAGTATAGAGATCTACGGTGAAATCTCCTATGGTCGTTTCAATCACCACTGCCATTTTCCTCTTCGAGTCTTTTTAATTCTCGCCGATACTCAGTTAATATTACTACGTAAATACATGTATCGATATTTCACATTACATATTTATTGCCACGATATAAATAAAGAAAAAATTTTGGGAGGTAATTTTTGCAGTCCGCCAAATATTTTGGGTTATGTATACGGTTTGCGTGTAACGACGAGATATCTATAAAGACTGTAAAAAGCCAGCGGCACACGATGCTTGTTTCGTGCTGGATTGCATGCTGAATGAAAATACTGCGTTCTGATTAGTACATTTCCGAAGATGGAAATGCACCAATCAGAACGCAGTATTTTCATCCAGTAAGCAATTCAGCACGAAACAAGCACCGTGTGCCGCTGGCTTTAATCTTATGAGATTTATTTGTTGATGGAGCACAGCGTGGCTGGCAGGTGGAGCACCAGGTTTCGTAATCCAGGAGAACCGGGTTCGAGTCCCGATAGGCCACTAAAATAAACTTGCGCCTCCATCTCTCGTGCTAAGAGGTAATCCTAAATGTGTGGGAAGCTTTGGGTTGGGCGCCGCTCAGTCTTTCGGAACAGACGTTAGTAGACAGTGGGTCCCATTCCAGGCCGCTGAGATCCCCCCCCACTGTGTGAATACACTTCAGAGTACGCGTTTACTGACTTGTGGTAAAAACGTGTTCACTCTCACGCCGATCTATATCGACTTTAGATCTGGCTGGCATTCGACTTTATAGGGAACTTTAAAAATATGTTCTCACAGTTCCTAGTATCATTATTATTCGGCCTCGGAACTAGATGCAAATATGACATATGTTCTATTAAAAAAAGGAAGAAATTTGTCAATGAATTGTTGCATGTTAATAATATTATCTATAGTGATTGAATTAATATGTGTCTATTGAAGATAATTTAAGGATATGTCATTTATTTGTAAATATCTTTAATTTATCGTTGATTTACTCATATTAATTCAATCACTATATATAATATTAACATGCAACAATTCATTTTATTTTTATTTCAAGTTCTTAAGAAAAAAATATTCTGTACACCTCTGCAGATGATTTTCTTGATGACAATTATAATTACAAGGCAATTTTCCCTTTTTAGTCCAAAAACGGTAAATACCTTTGCTTATTTCACAGATTTTCACAAAAGGCTTTTCTATCCTTTCTATAAACCCTTATTTATTTATAATATATATAAACAATAAAATTTAAAATATATATATATTTTTTATATATATATAACAATTAAAATATAAATATATTTACCTAAAATTTTCTTAAAAAATTAACAGCATAATTTGTTTTATACACATTTATAACATTCTGATTTACTCAAGTTGATAGAATTGAATACAGATAGAATTACACAGATTACACAGAGAAACAGTGCAACTACTATTTTTTGTTCCATTGAAACAATAGAATTTTAGACTCGACTCTATTATTCACTGTTAGCATTCACAGTATTATTTTGCTGTTGTCCGATCTTCGATGATTAAAAATATCAGAATACTAAAAATAGTATTAATAACAAATAACAGAATAAGATCCAAATAGATTTTAAATTACTATAATTTCAATAAGTATAAAACATTCAGTATTTTAAGAAAAATATATTTTTAATTATTGTTATCGAACATTTTCAATTAATACTAGTAATTATAAAAAAAACTTTTTCAATTTTCTATTTCATGTCTATCTCCATCTTTATATTTTTGACATAGTATTTTTCTGATTAATTAACTTTTTCTCAGTTTCGATCGGTATAGATTCGTTTACTACTTTATGCTGTACAAAAGATAGTTTGTTTTTGTAAATGTCTGGTATTAAGCATTCAAGTATTATGTGAGTAATCGCACCAGTGAATCCCCAAACACGATGCTTACCACCCAAATAACTCGGTAAAATCAATCTATTTTGGAAACGTGTAAAACGAAATAATTCAGGATCACAGAGTTTTTGTAGACTAATTACAAACGCTTCTTCTACTTCATCAGGATTTATCTCCAGATCTTCCACCACAATCTCACCAATGTAAGCCAGTACAGGTGTAACATTGATATCATATTTTCCAATCGTGTTCCCTTTGGCCCACACATCAATCTTCTTCTTGGGAATCTTCAGCTCTTCCCAGGTTTCCCGTAGAGCAGTCTCTATCAAATCAGCATCTTCTTTATCTCGTTTACCACCAGGAAAGGATACCTATGAAAGATGTTTAGTGAAAATTAAGTTCTATTTATTATTTTACAGTAGATTTAATACATAAATTATGTAATATCATAGTTCATAATATTATACTAAGCCAAGAATTTTGTTTCAAATATAAATATAAATATGTGATAAAATAGCTAAAGATCATTAAAAGAGCTAATTAATTTGCTGGATTTTTAATAAGTTAATCAACCTGTCCTCTATTGGTTGTGAGTTTCATGGATCTCAGTGTATACAAGAGACCAAGTTCTCCATTGTGCATACATAATGGAACTAAAACAGCAGCTTCTGGGACAGCTTCTTCTACCTTAGGTATCTGATATTTCTTGAACTTCTCAATGAAAGATTTTCTATTTGATTCTGAGAGTACTACTTCAGCCTTTAATCCAGGATCCATGTTGATACAATGTTCATATGTCACAGACTAGAAAAACAAATACTTCTTTCATTATAGAAATAATATAAGATAAATGTATATCATATGTATAAATGACATTATTTGAAATATATTAAACATTACATGATATTAATATGAAACACATATTACTATATGAAGTACACTAAGTACGTTAATACATTATATGATTAAATCAATTTGTTATGTTGTATATAAGTGTGCATATGATACTATGCCCACATATGTTACAGATTTCTGCTCATAAAAGCAATCAAGGTTGTGAAGAATAACTAATTGAATAGATAATTGAAAAGAATAAGTGCGATATGTTGTCGGTATATTTTGGAGACTTACTTTTAAGTTGCTTAAGAAATCTGTTACCTAACAATGATATGGCATATTTGTAGTCATTGTACGTTATGTACAGTCATCTGATGTCATTTCAAAGCGAACTTTGTACGTTGCATTATATTCGCGCCATTAATAGCGCTATGATCATAAGTCAATTGTGTGTCGAATGGCAGCGATGGTAATATTTTATATAATGTCAGTATATTTGTTACATATGTGAGATCACAATTAGCTATTCATTTTCGGCTATTATCAATAATAACGAAACACTTACAAATGCACGTGATAAAACACGGATCGATGTCGCAAATAACCTCATTAATAATAAAACAGTGATAAATCAGCGATATAAATGGCAACACAGACGTCAATTCGCAGGATAAAGATTAATAAGTGAGTTCGCTTAATCATTCATAGATGTCTCTCTGAATCTATTTTTAGGCCGGATTGGCAGAAATTATTACAAGCAGAAATCAATCAGAATTCGTGCTGGTAGTCTATCTCTTTCTCTTGAGAGAAAGATAGAAGAAAGAGATAGACTACCAGCGCGACTTCTGATTGGCTGCTGCCTTTCTGCTTTCTATTTTTCTGCCCAGATGTGAATCCTCCCTTACATTTTAAAAAAAGCAATATGGCTTTTACTGTTTCATCGGTGGTATGACTATCAATTATCGAACTTTTCATCAAATATCGAAATTCAAATCATGCGAAATTTAAATGGAAATATACGAACTTCCATTTAGTCGGAAATTTGATACGCATCTCACTCACACGACAACGTAATGTTTAAACGTTGCGTTTAAAACTCTCTAAAATTGTGTCACAACAATGTTAATTACTTCCCAGCACATTTCCAATTCGCGAGAGTTAATAATTTAACATATTTCGAGCTAATGATATATAACGTCTAATGATATATGATGTATAGTATTTTATGTATTCTTCGATAGATTCTTATATTTTTAACAATTAATTAGGTTATTAAAAGATGTAATGACACGTTTGTTTATATGAAGTTTATTTTAAAAATTTCGACAATTTGTTATAATACACATACGCGCGTTTCTCGACTACGCGCGTGGCAATTCACAGCACTTACGCGACACACATACAGCACACGCACGCCCGCATACATTACACGTTCACGCACAACTTATTCCACTTTAAATACCGGCCTCATCACATACGTAATAAAAAATAATAATTATAATGGAGCGAGTAAGCGTAATCATCGCGGTTGCCGCCATTCATCAGACGGCGACGATACAAAAGACATATTACGAGCATTGTGTGACCCGAGATTTCGATTATTTACGAAACTCGAGCAGCCGAAGAGAGACGATATGGACGATGAGCAAGAGAGGAGCAAAATGATATCTCTATGTATTCTACGTGAGAACGTGAGAAGTGCGAAAGATGTGAAAATAGAGAAGATAAAGTTTCAGACTCCGTGAGCTCATCAGAGCAATACGTCGTTGGGTCGGTCGTCAAAAGAATTCGCGCGGTTCCAGCAGGACTACCCTTAACATAAATAACGTGTGAGTGTTCCTTATTCATGAGACTACTTATAAAAAATAATTAAAAAAGAAGATGCTACAATGTAACAGTTAGCTGCGTGTTGCATCGTCCATCGAGAACGCACGATAAAATCAAACGCACAACATGCTTCGCACGTTTCATCTAAGTTCTCCGAACTTCTGTTGCATTCTATTGCATTAATGATGAACAAATTGACGCGTGGATTGTCCATCGAAATGCAAATCGCACACGTCGGCAACTCACACCTTGCGTCCGCAACGGAATTAAAAATTTCAACACTTTCGTCGTGATTTCGCTTGACACTTATCTTCGCATTCATGGATGCTGTGTGGACTTGATTAGTGTCTTATTTATGAAACTAAAAACCGCGCGAATTTTCTTCGTTGTTTGATAGTCCGAGGATTCTTAAATCCGTATCTTCAGAGAAAAGACGACGGACGAGTCTAGAATTTTCTCATCTTAACTTTAACTTAACTCTGAAAAATACGATTCCAAAACAACTGTATGGAAACAAGTTGACCCGGTCGTTGCGTCAATAATTCGCAATCGGACTCGGTTGCACAGGTGAATGGAAGATCACATGTTGGAGTTCGCCTCCCGCCACGTGACTTGATTGCCGAGATTCTGCAGCCTGACGCTGTTGCCGGGGCTGTCTTCACCCTCGTAACCGGCGTTCACGTGTCCTGCGTGTCCTTCGAACACGTCCTTCACGGAGATCTGACTGCTCCTAGACGGACGACCTTGGATCCCGAGTGGATTGCCGGCCACGCCGTAGATGTTGTTCGCGCCGAGGGTCTGCATCTGCGACTTCCTGCGCATCGCCATTATGCTGTTGCGCCTGCCCTCGAAGGCCTTGAACGCTTCCGTCGTGCGTCTGGTCGACATGTTCCTCGGCAGACCTGAGGAAATCGAATGCCCTATTTAATGTCAATTTCCTGCTCGAGTCTTCTATCCCATTCTACCTCATTCTGCTGAAATATTCTGTTTTATGTGTTATTCTATTTTAATAAATTTTCCTATTCTTAATTTTTCTCATTATTTAATTTTAACATTATTTTATATTTTTCGTGTGCGCTAAGTGTGTTACGTGCGTTTTCGCTCACCCGCGCCTTCGGACATGCTGAAGAAGCGCTGCCTGAACGCCACGTCAAGCGTATTGATTGCCTGCGTCTTCCTACGACTCTTCTCCAGGTTTCTGATAGTTTTTCGTCTACCGGGCCCGCTGCCGCTGCCCTCGTCATAGTCTCCTTCTATTCCCTCCAATCTCTGCAGGTCTCTCACTATGTCGACCGCATGTTTCGACAGCAAGGCTTCCTCCGAGAGATCCTTCGTCTGCGAAGAATCAGGTGTGTTGATGAATGTTAGATGAATGTATTGTACGAGAATATAACATATTTTCAAAATATGTTAAATAAAATGAGCAAATAATGTATTGAAACAAAAAATTCTATTAAACTTAAACAAATATTTGTTCGAATACGACTGTGTGAATACATTTATTCAAATTAAGTGACTAATTTCTAAAATGAAATACAGAGGTTCTCTCTGAATGTAAATTTGTTTCTTGAATTTTGGAAAATAATTGCTTAATTTAAGTAAATGTATTCACAGTCGTATTCGAACATAAATATTGGTAATTTAATTTTAATACAATTTTTTCTCAGTGTGGGTACACGCAGACATACCTTCTTGCAGCAGTCCAAGCTCGTGCTGGCCAGGATATGAGCCAGCGTGCCGAAACGGTGGAACAACATCGCGGTGAACTGTATGACCAATATCAGCGCGAAGAAGAAGACGAACACAAGACCGATCGGCTCGAGTTGCAGGTATTCCTTCGTGATGTGCACCTGCAGGATTGTTCGCGTGTACAATGTCGCCTCGCTATGCGCCGTGGGGTGTTACATTTCGAAAGGAAGATGCTCGATGGCGTATTGACGATTGACGATTCGAATTCTTCGATTCTCCGACATTCGCGAATTCTATTTTATCTTCGATGTGATTTGCAATCGTAAATTCGGTACTTTCGGAGATCACGTTTCGAATTATCTCTTCGCCATCGGGAGTCATTCCCTCGCGAGGATACAGATTAAACACATTAACAAACAGTTAGCAGTTAAAGTTCCGCAATCGTCGAGTGCCGTTCGTGCGTGTTAAGAATCACACACCTATGTACATACATATACAGACAATTATGACTGTAGGAACAAGTCCGTCGAACGTTGAACCCCGATGAGAGGACACTGAAAGCATCCACCGCCTTAAAGTGTACGTTAGTGGTGCCCGTTTGCTGCCACTTTTGGCGTATGGTGCATATGTCAGTGTTAGACACAACGTGAGAGAGAGAGAGAGAGAGGAGGGGGGGTGGAGGGGAGAGAGAGAGAGAGAGAGAGAGAGAGAGAGAGAGAGAGAGAGAGAGAGAGAGAGAGAGAGAGAGAGAGAGACAGAGAGAGGAAGAGGAGAAGAAGAAAAAGGAGATATATAAAATTGTACGTCCTGGGATCGTTAGATTCCTGAGAACAAGAATCTGCGATCCCGAGACTCTCGGACGAGGATAAATTTCTAATTTCGCTTACGGCTATTTGCTAGTTCTTTTTTCAATAGTAATTACAACATTCACTAACAATTTTAACGGTGGTAAAATAATATTTTCTTCTTTACGTTTTTGTAGGAATATTTTGTTGCGCTTTAGGAAGGCTCAGATTATCAGCTTTCATTTCTGAGAAACATCTGTCCTCGCCTTCGCATCAGACACGTGTTTTAATCGTATCTTGTAATTAAATTAATGCGATCTCGTTTAATCTCACGAATTAGACACAAATAGATTAATCCGCCTTGATGAGAAGGGGATGTGAGTCGAGCAAACAGAGGTATATATGAGGGATATATGTGTATGTGTATGTGTGTGTGTGTGTGTTATCACGACACTCAGGCGACTAATCTCTGGTTATTCTTCTAGTCAGTCAGTTTAGAAATCACCTCCCACGCGTTCCATTCGACCCAGGTGTACCTATGTGAGAATATTAATTCGGCACCTTCCACGTGCTGTCGAACGAGCAAGTTGTTAATGACAAAATAGAGACATATATACACATATATATATATATCTTTCGTGAGTCGAGCAGGTGCAACGTCGTCACGGGCTCGTCCCAGCCGACTTATCAGGATACCCGCGCAAATCGACTCAAGGATGTAAGGTACAAACCGACCTACTAAACATGAGAAATCGTCTGAACTCGGATTATCGCACTCAATATTATCGCTCTTAAAAATCCATCGTTACTTGTCTAAATAAATTTTTTAGTATGTAACGCAGAATTTCTTCGGATTTCGTTTCTCTCATCTCACATTTCTCGAGTATTTCGTCTTTCATCGGAGAGACTCGTCGGAGCGTGAATCAGGAATAATAGTCGTGAGACGAAATTTGCCACTGCCAATGCAGCACGGGTATCCAAACGAGTCGGTCAGGGTGCAACGAGACACCGTGTACACAGGACATGGACACCGCTTGTTTCCCCCTTGATGCTTGATCGGATACCTCCGAAGTCTCTTCGACGTAGGTGATGTTCGTCTTGACGCCAAGTGGCCAGATAACGTGCAGCTGATCCTTGTTCAGCTGTAGCAAGAATACGATCAGAACGAACAAGGCATTGAACATTAAAAACGCGAACACGCTCTTGTTCCTCAGCTCAATCAGATCGCTGGCGATGCGGGCCTGTGTTGTGTGCGCGGGGGAGGAGTAAATGCGAGAAAAAGACAAAACAAAAGACGACACAGATTAGAATAGTAAGGAAGAAAAAGCTCCGTCGGTCTACCCGCCGATCCGTCGATCTCTCGCTTTTATCTCGCCGTCGTTTCTCTCTCGTTCGTCTGTAAATGTTGGCCAGTGAACCGTTTGCGCGTGGTCAGAAAAAGGAAAACGGACTTCGGCAGCGATCAGCCGGCGTTAACAACGTCGTGTTAGTCGATCGAATTAAAAGGCGGAAGATAAATCGTCGATCGAGGATCATCGTGGGCGCCGACGGAGCCAGCTTTACCTCCGAGGTGCTTTCGTCATACGTGATGTTCGTCTTGATGCCGAATGGCCACTTGATGTGCAACAAGTCTTTGTTCAATTGCAGCAGAAAGACGATCAGGACGAAGAGGGCGTTCATCATAAAGAACGCAAAGACGCTCTGGTCGCGTAGGTCCTTTAGATCTTTGGCGATTCGTGCCTGACGTGAGCAGCATGGCGTGATTAATTAGTTATTATGCGTGCGTGACTGTTTGAGACGAGTACGCTTCCCGTGAGAGTCGAGGCGAGGATTTCTCAATTTTTCACTTAAGTACCTTGAATCGTTAGCAACTTTTTCAACTTTTTCTCAGCCGGGTATCTTTAAACATTCGCAATCTTTCTTTACGATTCTTGTAATTCACCACTTGGACGATTGTCTCCCAGTCGGTCGCACCATTGGTCTCGTTTGTTTAACGGGAAAATCAATCGTCCGAGAAGTGTAATTAAGGTAAATTAAACTAAATCACTTTCTTCACCCCCGATCGACAACAGCTTGCAGTGACAAAGACGTATCGCGAACTCTATCACGAGCGATCACGTTTCGATTCTGTCAGATCTAAACTAATCAGCGTCAATTATACTAATTGCATCTCCACACATAAAAGTCTTCTATGTATAACAATATTAATCAACTTGAATATTGAAATTTTTCTCTCCTATACGTTTTTGCAGAAAAGAACGCATCGGGTCGGAGACAGAAATGAACTGGAAGATTAAAGATCGCGGAAATTTCGAATTTTATAGAATACAAAAATTTTTATCAGAGATAAAGGTGATAAAAAGGAGCAAATGAAAATCTGTGTCGTTCGATAGTTTTACCTTCTCCGCCTTGTCTTCATCGATCGGATAGAGATACTTCTCCAGCAGATCTTTCCAGAACAGTTCCTCCTGCATCGACAGCACGTCCACTTCGCCCTTCTTCAGACCCTCATCGCTCAACCAATACGGCCTCGTGAGGAAGGTGCCGCCATCGCGATTGCCTTCGGTGTTCTGACTGGCCACTGTTTCGGTGTCGCTGTTGCAGTCGTTGTCCTCGGCCGGGTCCTCGCCGATCGCGTCCAAGTGATCGGCGGTTCGCGAGCCCACAGAGGAGGCTCGTCTGCGACCGGACGAGTGTCCGTGAGGATCCACCGCCCTGCGAATCGCGTCGGACCATTGCAACAAAATAATTCTGAATCTTCCGATTAAGAGGACTGGAGGGTCAGGTTACTGAAAAATCGTGACTTGTTTTTGATAATATTTTGTGACAAACTGAATAAATGTGCAAGAATGAAAATTTTAGATATATTTATATATCATATGAATAACATATGAAGAGTAGAAAATTTTGTTTATTAACAAATACTCATATAAATATACCTTCACTTAAATTTTAAACGCGCTTAAAACTTTTCTCGAAATTTTATTGTTCAACTTTTTGCAACGATTTCTCCGAAACTGAGCTTCGTATCGATTTGAAATTTTAAAGCAATAATATTTGTTCATCTGTCTCTCGGATGAACCATGGACAATTACGTCAAAATATTTCATTTCGAGATATTAATTTTTTTATTGTGAAAGAACTGAAAAATTTGAATTTTTTCCTAATAATAGCTGCCATTTTATTAATTTTGTTCGATTTTTTTTTGTAGTGGTTTACTGGATAATGATGAGCCTCCTCAAGATTTCTAGCTAAAATTTTAGCTATATATATCGTATATTTATATGAGTATTTGTTAATAAACAAAATTTTTCTACTCTTCATATGTTGTATAAATATACCTAAAATTTTCATTCTTGCACATTTATTCAGTTCGTCACAAAATATTATCAAAAACAAGCACGATTTTCCAGCAATCTGATTCTCCAGTCCTCTTAAGCGCGTACAACTCATTGAACTCGTCCATTTTAGACCCATCATTTTGTAGAACGGTATTTTTGTTTCCAGTTAATTATTCTACTTATACGCAATTATAACTTTCGCTTAATCCATCGCATTTATCTTATTGAGTCATTTATCTGTATTATTAGACACCGCGGCAACATCTAAGCTAATTATAATTTTTGTTATTGCTAAATCATCAGTACTTCATTTCTCCTCTCTCTCTCTCTCTCTCTCTCTCTCTCTCTCTCTCTCTCTCTCTCTCTCTCTCTCTCCCTTTCTCTGTCGCCCCTCCGTCAAAATCGTTTAATTTTCTGTTATCTAAAATGTTGTTCAATCGTTAGATTAACACTCGATTTCAAGATCGGTCGCGATAATCTTTCGTTGCTCCGTGGTTGAAGAAGAAAATCGCTCGTTTCGTCCTCTCACCTCTCGATCGTTTCCAGCCGTTTTCCAAGCTGCTCCAAGGACTCCGCGATCGCCACCAGCTGCTGCTTCTCGGCGGACGGCTTGCCGTGGGTGCACAGCAGGCACTTGAACAGACCCGCCAGCGAGATCTCGATAGAGCCTTGGTCGTCGTCGTTGGTGCCCGCGCCATTTTGCAGGAAGCCCAGCAGGGACTTCTGCTTGGCCTTCCGCTTCGCCTCCTCGGCCTCCCGTTTTTCCTGCTCGAGCTCCTGTCGCACGAATAACGGTGACAGATACGCGACGACACGCGGTCTTCGCATCGTTACTTCAGATCTCTCGGCAATTAGCACAAGTCGATCGGCCGAGTGGAACATCGACAATCGTCAGTAACGAGTATACGAGTATTAAGAACTAATTGGTAATATCGACTCAAGTTACGTTCTTAAGAACCGTTACCCGCCATCAAAGGTCAAATTATTATCTGCAGATTTCTCGGTGATGCACTTTTAAATATCCTCGTGCAACAATTGCGGCGTTCAATGAGCTAATTAGAGCACCACCGGAGTAACTGCGGCGGAAGTATCAATAATATAATAATATTAATTGCGTATGCACGAAGCATGGTAATTAACGAAAGCGAAGGTGCGAACGCCCACAACGTGCGGGACATTCTCACGGCGGTGGAGGTGCGCCTCGGTATTAGTTGAATTAGTCGGTTAGTCGGTCAGGTTTGGATTAGTGTGCTAATTACCGCGCGGCTCTTCTTCATCTTAACCTCCCTCGTGCCCCACGAGATGTTGTCCAGATTGCAGAGCGAGTATATGATTAGTAGCATGTACATCGACGGCACCGCCAGGTAATAGAGTAGACCGTGCAGCAGGCAATTGACCTCGTACGGGTGCAAGATGGCCGTGAATATGAGCTGAACCGCCACGAGGAACAGGAACAAAGCGGTCGGCGACATCAGGCTGTCGTTCACGATGTTAATCGCGAGCGCGACGATCACCGCGGTCATCACTATCCCGTAGAGGGTGCTGAATATTGCGGCTATTATCACCTGTCGTGATCGTCGATTATCGACCGTGTTAAGTGTTTTAACCGCTTCGCCCTTTCTCTCCTCTCTTTTACCGCAAAGCGACACATGTCGAAGCGACGAAGCTGAGGCGACGTGTTCGCACGACGACCAAGCGAACGGACGTAGGATCTATGCGACTCTCGATGGAATGATTGCTTCTACGTTGCTGGACGGACGCGCTTCTCTTCGGCTTAATGTCACTAATGCTGTTGTAACACCGCTTCAACGTTGGATCACCCTTGTTAGATCGTCTAATGTTATCACATCAAAGTTGCTTTGTGGTTAAACGACTGGCTGGTCCAACAAGTGGAACCTTGCAAAATATTAAGAACAACAAGCCGGGACAACCGCGAGTTCGAAAGGTTCACCCTTCCCTAAGCCCCGTACGTGTTACACCGAAGACCCTCAGGGTGCAGACCGGATGATGACCGACTTCGGGTTTCGGTCAAAGAAAAGAAATCGAGACGCTGAACACGAACCTTCTTGGTCTTTTTTACTTGGACTTCCCGGGTGCCCCAGGATACAACGTTAAGATTGATGATGGAGTAGAGTATGAGGAGCAAGTACATAGACGGAATGGACAGCAGATATATGATGCCAGGCACGATGCACCAGAACTCCTGCGGGTGCAGGCAGGCTGCTATGAAAAACGAGCTCGACAAGGATATAAGAAAGATCGCCGAAGGCGAGCCTATGCCGTCCTCGCCGAGCTGTAGAGCTGTACCAACGATCACCGCCATCATGATCATCGCGTACGCCGTTGACAGGATCTGGGCGCATAAAAGCTGAAAACCACTCACTTTTAATCCATCTCGTAGCATGACTACTGCGCGAGCCGTCTCGGACGAATTTTCCACACGTAGAACTTTTCTAAGGAAATCGCGACCCCGACCATCGAAGAAATCTGTGTTTCACGGTAATCTCATCAATTAAACATTGTAACTGAGAAAGTTGCTTCTCGCAAAAGGACGAATCACGAATGAAGGACGAATACAATGAACGAGAGAAAGCGAATACGCATACACATGGAGGTGCGACTAATAATCGGAGGAAGACATACCTGTATGTTGGCTTTACATGTGAAACAGACGATCATGAAGAGTAAGATGGGAATGATGTTGTAGTAGAAGCTGGTCCAGTTGTCAATTTTGAAGGCCGCCACAAAGGCACCCACCAACATGAGGAAGATCGTACCAGGTCCTAGGATCGTGCCACCTATTTCGTGACGTAACAAGAAAAAGAACATGATGAATAAATAATTTGATAATTATTTCAATATTTTGAATAAACATCCGTAATATTAGAGTAAAGCGAACTGAATCGATAAGATGCACTCACCCATCAGCAGAATCTGATAGGAGATATAAGGCAGCGAGATGTTGTCGTTGATTTTGATGGTACGCTTCGCATCCATCAGCAGATCCATGATGTTCGCGATGGTGGAGGGCACCCAGCGGCGCCGTTGGTTGTAAAACTCGTTGAATCCTTCCGGCGCATGAGTGTAAGCATCGCTCGCGGCTGAGTATTCCACCTGCGGCAGTCAAGAAAATCAGTTATTTTGTGAATAACGCGGTAATAATAATACATTGTTTGCACAGCAAAAACGCTCGATACGTACTCTATACCCTCGCTGTAACAACAACGTGCACAGCCAACGATCCTCGCCTTGATCGTACTGCACGTAATGCCTCGCTTCGTCGGACCTGGTCGTGTACTTCTTCATCACGTTGTCATCCATCAGAGCTTTGCCTCTGAACAAGGAGAAGCATCCTGGGCTACAGAGTACGCAGCCAATCATGTGCTCGGTGGCCTTTTGTAGCCAATGGCCGATCGCGTATTCGAACATTTGGTACCACACCATCGGTCCTGCATAAGGAATGTTATCTTCGTCATCGTTACAAATGAGATATATAGATATATAGATTATGATTTTGCTGAAAAATCAAAAGTCTCATTTCTCTGAGTTTCTATAAATAAAATGCATATCATTTTACTTTGCGTTTTATTCTGCGTTATTACTTCACTGACTTTTGAATCGCTAGATCGCGAAACTTACCGGAACCGACCGGGTGGATGCGGCCGCACGCAGCGCCCAGATTCTTATTCTTCTTCATCAGATCCACGAGGAGCTTCACCGCGGCCGGTTGGAAATCGATGTCACCGTCGAGCGTCAGCAAGTACGTGTTCTCGGCGATCACTTCCTTGCGATCGACGCTGATCGGCAATTCCATCAGGCGATGTCCCAGCAGATAATACATGTACATTACCTAAGCATTCAAGGACGAAACGCTTCGTTATAGGACGATTTCAATTTTGTAATTGAATGCAATAAGTAAAATCGGTCGATCAAGTTTCGCTCTAAATGATTATTAAGTAGAGAGATTCATTAAAGCAAAGAGTTACCTGGCTCCACCGCTTCCTATGTCGGATTTTGCTCTTATCCTTCAGATGAGCAATCATCTTCGTCTTGCCAGGCAGGGTCCAAACCAAACGACCACCGTACGGAGTCGGATACTTCTTCGGTGCTCTCACGTGCATCCTCGTCTGGTGCACGTCCGACGCTGCCTCGTCCAATGTGCCTACCAGTAGTTTCACGAACCGATTCACCTGCGACTCGTTCTCGTCGTGATCGGACAGTTCGAACGCGTCGTCGAAGAATATATGAGCTGCGGAAACGCAACCATTTTCTTATAAGTAACGAACAACGATCGATACGCGTCGCTTCAATCAGATTGATATCAGATCGTACTCTCGAATTCGTAATAATCAGGATCGACTACTCTCAGGTACTTCTGGGCGACGCGTCGCGCACATTGGTCCTCGTCCAGCCGCAGAATGCTCTTCAGGAACTCCATCATCTCCTCCTTGTTCTCGTGCCACATAGTAGCACAAGCGTAAATCCTGGTTACGTGGTCGCTACTTTTCACTGCGGACGGAGGTGTGGTCGAGCCGTCCGTCTGCTCGTAGATCGTCTCGTAATCCCCGTCTCCCTTCTCCTTCTCTATCTCCGCTAGATCCTGATCGTGAGATTGACAATCAACAAATCGGTTTCAAAACCAGTGAATCCACTTCTTCCAACCCGCCTATTTATTTTTTTGAGAGTACTCACTTCGACTTTGACTTCTGGCTGATCGTCTCTTCTCCTGTTGAGTCCCATCGACTGGTCGATCAGTAGAGAATTGTACATCGGCACCACGAAAAGTTTCTCCGTGGCCGCGAGACGTTCGCATTTCGGTGTCCAGATGTGCAAGGTAATCCAGGTTTGCGACAGCAGCCAAAGCAACCAGACCCAGGCATATTGCTTTGACACGAACTCGTTGAGGAAGTACATCGGCGGCGATTCATAAAACAGATAATCCGGAATGGTGCCGTGGAAGAAGCAGGGATCGCCGTTACGGATGCCACATGCGGCGATCAGCAATGAGATCGAGACCGGTATGGTGAGGTTCACTGGGAAGGCGTAGCTGAAGCCCTGGATCAGGATTTTGCATGCAAACTTGCCTGAAAGAGAAAATAACATAGTAGCTCAATCTTTCAATGTCGGTAAATGTGTTTCTAGCGAAGACATTTTGAATATTTTGCTCTACTAAAAACTTTTCATCACACACTGGGGAATTTTAAAATGCTCGCGTTCTATAAAAAAGAAAATTAACAAATTAAAAATTTACTATAAATTTAAAAAATTTTTTAATTATTCAACGTTCAAATCACTCTATTTGCAATGCAAGTTTTCTGCCTGAAAAATGAAGTTAGAATTGAGGCCATTGATGGGTCAACTTTGACTGGACTCACTTACCGAAGACATAGGCGAAGTAAGCACCGAAGACCTGCAGCAGGAGTACGTAGATCGGCGTGCTGAAATCGGCGTTGATGGTCTCGGTGGCGTCTCCGCCTGCGATCAGAATCTCCGTAAGATCGGGCGAAGTGCCGGAGGTGGCGGACTTGATGGGCGTCACAGTGATCTTATGCTCGCCGAAAGCGCTACTCAACATGGTGAACAAATGACCCACGTTTTCCCCCTTCACGTAGAGTATCACTATCGTGCTGATGAGAAACGCCACGATCTTCCACACCGACACCAGCATGTAGGTGAAGTATCGCGTCAGTCTCATTTCCTTCTTCACTCTTCCGAGTGACCTGATTAGACCTGCGAGGAGAAATTGCGTAATTGGAAGAAACATTTGTAAAAGCCTCGACTCATTCCCACGAGCCTACTTTCCTTCATTTTGCAAATCGTTCTTGGAAAGAGACGGAGAGAAACTCGGAGAAAATTATGTAATTAAGAATTTGTTATTAAAATTTCCACAGTTTCGTGTTCAATTGTTGTTGGTCTAAGGGAAAGATTCGGGATTTCTGTAAAAGCTGCTCGCGATGGAAAATCAGCAGACTCACCGATGCGACTCTGCGTGGAGACGTAATTCTCCCACCAGCCGCAGGAGACGAGGAACAACGCCACCGGAATCAGCCACAGGGACCTCCTAGAGCTGTCCAACAGCGGCCAGAGAAAGAAGCTGGTCGCTTGAGCGGCCAGAGCGGCGATGTCGACCAGAACGAGGACGAATCGCTTAGACTCATCTTTGCTTTTGTTGCGAGAAAGTAAGCCTGTAACGTATACGAGCAGCCGAGTGTGATTCGCATTGCTTATCGCGTGCTTATTACTTTCGCGCGTGCCATAAATTCGATAACGCGAAGGCGGGACGCGAAAGTCAAGAGCAAGCGCGACGACGCGACGGAGAGAATCGTTCTTGTTTCGCAAATGAGCAGACACTGGAAGCGCCGTTCGCGTTACCTAGCAATCCAGGCACGAAGCACACGCAATTGGTCAGCATCGCCCCTTTGACGACGTCCAGTTCCGGTAGCACCGCCAGGAACATGAGGGCGAGCCCGCCGACGTGGAACGTCTCCATGATGAAAACCAGGAGAAAGTGCGCGGACTGCGGCTTCTTCCACGACTTGAAGATGCACATGCGAATGCTGCGGATTAGAGTACCGAACTCCGGCACCGCGAAGGCGATTATTATGCACCATATCCACGCGATCCTCTCCTCCTCGGGCAACACCACCATGTACTGATTCTCCCGATCTGCGGGAAAGCGGCGGTCATTAGCATGATTGAGCGTGTGGGACGAGCAAATAATTGAAAGCGGCGAACACGAGAAACCGCTACCGGTTTCTTGAAGATCGCAAATGGGAGGAATTCTCATTGAACTTTTATTCGCCCGAAGGTCTCGCTTTACTTCCGGAATCGTCAAGTGTCATGCCTCATGTCAAAGCAGGCATTTTCTTCTTATTCTGTAGGTTGTTCCCGTTCGAAAATCGTCGATCGCGTCAGTGTTGATTAAATTAATTCGAGTCACCGCATTAAAAAAAGCGCAATCCAATTGACGCTCACCTAATTGTCTGTTGCAATAAATGATTTTTCTGTCCTGTCGCAGCTGCGATGTCATGAAGAGGATCGTTCCTTTGGCGACCACGCCGCTTCCCAGCACTATGACGAAGACGAACAGGTAGACGAGGACCTTGGTCACTTGCACCATCCTCTCCAGGCATCTCTGGTTCGCCATGGAACCGGAGTCGATCTTCGGCGGCGGATTCCGGAACACGTCCCATCCTTTCGTTTCGACGACGGTGCGTTGGCTGCGTTCGTAAACTCGATTAAGCAAATGAATCGAGGGAAACTCGATTGGAATTTACTTGAAGAATTTCTCAATCCCACTTTTTCTCCTCCGACTTTAATTAGCCTCTTCAATCTGATCTTTTTCTGTCTTTATTGCGAGATCCTCGAGCGCCAGCTGCCGAAGGAATCATTAGCGATTACGAAATCGTCCTTACCTTCCGCCATAGTCCTGAGTCAGAGGAGTGCTTTCACCGTCCGAAAAATCGTCTGGCCCGGTCATCGCGCCGCCTCCGGGTATTACACCATTCTGATGTTGATTTTTCGCCATCCTGCACATCAATTTACTTTATTCTCAGCTGCGCTTTCGAGCGATTATAATCGGCGATTTTATCGCGTCGGTATATCTTAGTGATGAAAAGTGGAAAGATTGTGAGAGTCTGGGGAGAACGCGCGCGAGGATCAAAAGCATCCGCTTGAAAATTTTAATTAAAGTCACATAAAACATTATATATTAAACCGAAGCTATTAAAGTCATCAGAAATGATAAATTCCTCGCGCAACTTGGAGGAGAGGGGGGCGGGGTGAAGCCAAACGCAATAAAATTCCATGTCGCTCAACAGATTCCGAACTAATTTGATCTCGAGAGAGTTTCAGTTCGAAGCTCAGCCGCGAAGACACGCGAAATGCTGAAAACTAGAAAGCCACGTTAAACGATGACCTCGACATTTTTCATCGAGGGGAAACCGACGTTAAATCGCTCTACCGTTAATATCGCAGTCGCCGCAGTTATGACACGCAGGGGCAGTACTCTCCGTGCATAAATAAGTCAGTATATTAAAATCACACATTCCCGCCCCCGCCCTTCGCGGCCCACGATCCCCGTTTCCTTGCCGCGGCAATAAAGCGGCAGGCGCGATCGAAGCGAGCGCAACGTTAATTAATTCAAATCGCCGACGAGACGAGATCGCGTCCGATGACCTAACGAACTTGGACGCGCGGACTTGAGCGCGTCTTTTTCTAATTATTTCTCCTGCAGCATCTGGCCGGCGCGGCGGCAGGCTTTTCATTCCGATGAGATCGCAAGAGAGAGAGAGAGAGAGAGAGAGAGAGAGAGAGAGAGAGAGAGAGAGAGAGAGAGAGAGAGAGAGAGGAAAGGGGAGAGCGAGGAGAGAACAAGAGAGAGAGACGGCTAGACGGCCAACGTGTGTCTTTGTTCGCGCGGATCCGGGGTTTCTGGTTCCTGGACACTGAAAGTGAAAGGGAACGAAACGTTGGCAGATAACGTAGCAAGGACGTCCACTGCAACTCGCCGTTCTCGGTTGCCGCCCTCGACAGCCTCCACCGCCGCCGCCGCCGCCGCGGCACGTCACGTGGTCGTGTATTCGTGTTCGGTATTCCGCTCGACAACCCCCGCACACCCCTCGTCCGAAACCCCGAGCTCGGCGCCGTCGCTAGTTCCTACGTGCGCACCCTTTCGGATTCTTCTTTTTTTCGCACGAGCGCGCGAATCTCTCCTTTGTCGCTTTTTCGTACGCGCGCGCGCGCGCCTCTCGATAAGGAGACATGCCGCCGCGCAGGATGCTCCGACTAGCTTCGCGCAGGATTCGTAAGCCTAGAACGAGTCATACGAGTGTGTGAATCTTGAAATGAATTTCACGGACACGCGAACTCCTCGCGGGCAATCCTCTCCCCGAGTTTTAATCGCAGCCGAGGATCTCTCCTCGAAGATCTGTTTTACGAGACAGCTGTCGCGCGCTGCGAAGCCGCGGGGAAAGGCGCCATCGACTCACATCAGCGCGTCATTCCTTTTTATCATTTTTTTTTTCTTTTAAGACTCTCTGAGAGACTTTTAAGAATCTCCGAGACTGGTTTTCGAACGCGAGCGTTTCGATTAACGTCCGCTGTGTCTACGCGTGTCTTCGTAGCGCCGAAGATCTCACGACGTCGTGTTCCGCGACGTCCGCTTGAATTTCGCGTGGGCTTTTTTCTTTAGGATTCCCCGCGAGTCGCGCATCGGAACCGTGCGGCAGCCCCGTATATACCGTTAGCTACCAATCCGGAATAATAAGTTTCTGGGACGATGCGCGGCGTTTTGGTGCAATGAACTGTCACGCTTGCGAAAGGAAATGCGGTTGATCGGTGACAGTCGGCAGACAAGCTTTCTTACGCTCTTAACAATCACTTAGCTGTGCGCGATCATTATGACCGCTTGCTCGTCTATCCATTAAGGATAATAAAAAATTGCCGCAATAAGAATTACGGTGTATCAGGAACAATAGGGGATTTATATAAGGCGGAAACAGACGCACTTCTCGAAGAAGAGCGTATTAAAAATTCGATATCTACATTCACAGAATATTGCGCGATTTTTGCTGATAAGACGGATAACTGCTCTGTCGAGGTTGACAAAGGATTTGCACGGCGAAGAGTTCAATTTATCAAAGATTAACCAGTGCTCCGCGTATGCGATAAAGATACAGTCAGTCGAGAATGTATATTCGGGAGATACGACGGCGGAAAAATCGATTTATCGGCGATAACGAAGGATTTTGAGCTGAGCGGAAAAATGGATCGTCGAAAATGATAAAACATCTATCTATCGCTTGTTTATCTCCCCCTCTCCACTTCTGCCTCTCTCTCTCTCTCTCTTTCTTGGATCAAAGTCAAATTTCCGAAGGTTTCCGCAGAGAATCAGCGGGCTGCCGCTGACGCGAGATCAGCCGGGGAATTTCGCGAGTGCGAGCGAACGTGAGCACAAGCGCGAAGCACAAGCTTGAGTCACACATAGCGCAAAGGGGAGCCACGTTCTCGCAGGAACGCGAGGTCACGAAGAAAGGAACGACCTTGCCGCGGAGGATATATTTCGAGAATGGACTTAACGAGTGGACGCCGCGAAGGGAAGCGCGACGATCATCAGCCGGATCATCCAGTTCATCGCTCCCACTCGATCGCTCGTGAATCAACATTTTTCCCGCCTGCCCGGCCGCGTGTTTCTCCCGCGAGCGGAGGATCTCGCCGAGCGGTGCAGTACCCACGATTTCTAGGCGATTACGTGTATACTCTCGCCTGCACAGCGCAGCCTGCACCACGGAGCAAAGATCCGTACCGGTTTCAACCGTGCAGCCGCGCTCGGATGCAGCCAGTGCTCGGATATCCGGTTAATCGACTCGCCATGCATCATGCCACTTGGAGCCGGCTGAGTCGTCGAAAGATTCCGGAATTCATCGCTTGCGATCGGACCGACCTTCTCGGGAGGACTCGATTTTCTCGGATCCAATTCGCTACGCGGCTTCATTATTAACGACATTGTGTATCGCGCTAAAATGTACACGAGGATGACCGGACAAAGGACAATGATGTTGCATGACACAATGATATTATCGAGGAACGACTGGCGATTGGCGACGGGGACCGACGAGCGGGATGAAAATTCACCCGACGAAAGGACCGAGATCCGAATGTATCGAATGTGTATCGAATGCAACATTCGATCGAGATTGATTTAGCTCGATCGTTGGACCGAGCCGCGATTCGACTGGCGCGTCGAGAAAAATCTTACCTCCTGCTTCTCACGGTTTCGCGCCCCGGTACGAGCTCGCTGCGCGGAATTTTCCAACGGAGAAAAAGTCCGGTTGTGCTATTTTCTAAATTCCAGCTAACACGTAATCGTGGCTCGCAACAATCCGTGTAGGGCGTATAAGTTGCGCGAAACTCGATAGCAGCCGCACGCACGCCTCGTAATAACGCTCTTACTTTCTCTTCTTCCCCGTGTGTCGCGCACTAGTAACGGTGTAGAATCTATTTCTACGCCCGATGACAGTTCCTTCGATCCATTATGACTGCGGCGGCGGCGGCGGTGATATCTCGAGCGATTCGCGAGCGGGTGAGAGACCGATCGACCGACGGATGTGGAGAACGGTTCATCGGTGGTCTCTTCGACGAGAGACAACTCGTCGGAAACTCGTCGGAGCTTTTCTCGTTCTACGCTGAGAAACTGAAAGGGAGAGAGAAGGGGGGGGAGAGGGAGAGAAAGAGACAGAAACGCGGAGACGGAGCGCGATATTGGTGGAAAATCGCCGCGCGCGGTTTATGCTCGCGATAACGAGATAATGTATCTTTACGATATGAGAGAGAAAAAATTGGAAATGTGAAATCCTTATCGCGCGAATTCAACCGTTAAAGCGCAATAAACGCACGCGTGTTTTCCGCATGGCCGGCAATTAACGCACTGATTGCACACGGCTGATCGGTATGACGTGGATCGATTCGTCAGATACTCTTCTTCCTCTCCTCTTTCCCCCCTCTCTCTCTCTCTCTCTCTCTTTGTCTCACAGCACGATGACTCTGGCGAAAAAGCATCTGGGGAGAAAAACTCGGTCGCAACTCCGGTCGGCCGATTTGTCGGGTGATTGCGATCTAAGGCAAACGAAATCTCGATAGATCGCCTCGCAATTACGCGGATCAACGATAGTGAAAGTAACGCGCGCAAGGTCGCAACATCGTCCTATAAATATCTAATTATCACCTCAACCGTGCGCGATCTCTCCTCCCTCTCTCTCTCTCTCTCCCTGGCTCTCTCGCAACATACACCGTCACGGAGATTCGCACGCCGCCCTCTTATCCACCTCGCCGATGAAGACGATCAATGGACCTCCGTGAGTAAATACGGGACGTACGAAACCGTTTCGACACGCGGCGATTAGCATTCGAGTCGTCCTCATTGTACGCGCTCATTACGCCCCCGTCCTCGGCGGCTCCGATCGTCAGATTTTCGACTTCCTCGCAATCCACCGGCGCGGCGTGCGAAATCGCGTGCGATCTCGGCGGAGGAGAGAAGGGATCCCGATTCGAGCGCGCGTTTGATTCTGTTCGCACGCGATTTCAATGCGCCACCGTCGACGTCGATGCGCTTCGCTCGTCAGACTTCGATTTCTTCCGCGCGCACGCGCGCGCGCGTTCGAATGTTTCGAAATCACCTGAGATTTCGCGTTTCCAGTCTCGGCTGTGCGGCTCCAGCGATTGCCACTTGAGTTGTCATTGCTGCGCGCTTTCGTCACGCAGTCACCCTCGACAATCACTCGAGAGAGAGAGAGAGAGATCTCCTCGGACTCGCGCGAAATCTCGGCGCGCTCGCGCGATTCCACCGTGGCATTTTCGCCCTTCGATTTGTTGGGTCTCCTAGACTTTGCCACGCTCTATCCACGCAAGATTTCGCGATCTCGTGATCTCGTGATCTCAGGCTTTTAGCTCGCGCTCGGTCCCGCTATGCGCGCAGTTTTCACGTAACGGCGTAAATGGGACACGAAACAAATCTACTTTCATTTCTGCTCGCGGCGGCCAGTTAGAGGCTAATAAGTTGAGAAGTTAACCCACTGAGGTTAGAATTATAAATACAGCGTCCGTTTTCGTCGAACCACAAACGTTCCTACTTTCTAAAGACCTCCGATTGAAGCGGGAAGCCGTTAAACGCTCGGCGATCTAACGTTCGAACGTTCGCGTGGGTGAAGAATCCATAAAAGTCGTTCGACGCGTTGAACTCATATCGTTGTGATAAAAAAACTCTTCGCGTTGAACCTCCTCCCACTGTTATCTTTATTCCCCCCCCGACAGTTTCGGACAACTTTTCTTATTAATAATATGTATCAATCCGCGTCGAGAAACTCTAATATGCGCGGAAATCAAATGCTGAGGAGAATTGTTCTCGTAACACGTTACGATAAAATTATTCATAAAGAGAGATTAGAAGAAGAAGAGCAGAAAAAGAGCTTGATTAGTTGTGAGAGATAAGCGTCCGAATCGCTAATGAGAAAATCACACATTATTAGTGTCTGCTATCGCGCAGATCGCCGAGAAGCGAAAGGGAAAAAAGCAGCATGCGAGAGAAGAACATTAGCTTCCATATACCTAATGCGGACGTGGGGCTGGCTTTCTGCTAAATCCTTATCCCGAGTATCCTCGCGATGCAGGTGGTCATACCGAGGCGGTGACGGTGAAATCGAAGGATCGCGTGCGCTTCCTGGACGTATATCAGCTGGCTGGACGTTCGGCCGATCGGTGTGTTGGCTGGCCGCTGGTCACTCTCTTTCTCTCTCTCTCTTCCCTCACGTGTATCCGTGTCTTCCGCGCGGAAACGCGTGTCCGACGAAGCAGGCGAGGACCGTCGACGGTTCGGTCGAGGCGAGGGTGAACGTCGCGAGGCGGACTGTCGACGACGGCGACGAGGGAATCGCGCAAGATCGCCAGAATCGGTCAGGTGAAAGCGGAGCCGAGGTGAGCGCTGGCCGAACGACTGCCATGGCATCGTCTACCAAGGTACCAGAAGCCGTTCTCAACGCCGTCCCCCCCGCCTGCTGTAGTAAGGCTAAGTACTTTCACGAGAGTAGGTAGAGAGCGAGGCTCGAGAGGCGAAAGAGTGAGAGGTCCGAGCGCGACGCAATTCGCGAACGCGAGTCGCCTGCCTTCGCGTTCCGTGTTCCCGGAATTTTCGATACCTGCGAATATCTTCCGAATCCGACGGATTTTTCAAATATCGCAGCTTCGCTGCCGCGTTTCGACGATAGTCTTCTCTCGGCAGATTCGAAATGTCAAAGCTCCACCGATGCGCGCGCAGACTCTCTCGCCTCAGAGAGAGAGAGAGAGTGTGGAATGTCGTCGGTGAATAGGCAACCGGCAACTTCTGCCAACCATGAGAGTGGATTGCATATTTGTAGGTGCGCATATGCACCGGTCGGATAGGCAACCATCCGTCAACCGTGAGAATAGGATTGTCTGTCTACAAGCGCACGAGCTTGCAGCGGTCGAGTGCGTTTAACATCGCTACTTTTTTGGATGTAATTCTGGGTGGACATTCTATATATATTTATATATATAATATTTATATGTCGGTTTTTGAAAATAATTTGCAAGAGATAACTTCCACGCCTTAGATTATGCTATATAGCAAACAGGACTAAATAAGTTATCTCGATGAATTGTATGAATTTTATTAACACTTGTAAATAAATATATTAAAATAAATATATTGTCTTTCTCAATTGTCTTTCTCAAAGGATATTTCCGGCTAATATCGCTTCAAACGACGTTTGAGTATTTTGTATACATGAATCATAATCTCAACAGTTGAACGTAGTCGGCAGAGTTGCATCTACAATTTTCATATTAAGTGATAAACGTCTGTTGACACATCTAATATCATATCTGACTGACATATCTGATTCTTCGTAACTATCTTGACTATAAATTATTTCGTACTTATGTTTTGTTTTAAAATTGATGTTAAACTGTTTAAGTATAAATTATCCAGAGTTCGAGAAAACAAGGAGAAAACTTAAAACTTTTATTCTATTCGAGCTAGACCACTCTTTTATCTTTTTTAGAATATCTATCACTATATATATATATATATATATATATATATATATATATATATGTCCAGAATGCAAGAAAATATAAGATAAAATAATATAAGATAATATAATATAAAAAATTATTTAATAGTGATTATATATTTTTTTTATTTATATTTTCTTATATTCTGGATGATTCAAATTGCACATATTAAAAGTGCTGTTAATATCTCATATAAAAACCGTACATAGTCAAAATATTTATTATTAAATATTATTTAAATAAATAATATACAAGATTTCCCGGAGATCAGTCACGCCGTAATCCAATCATTGTAATTAGCTAACAAAAACTTGTATAGCTTAAGCAATGGTAAAAATCAGGAAATTCAAACTTATCCAAAAAACTTGGATGCAATATCTGTAACAGATTACTCTCTTTGGAAAACGATAATGAAGGTCAAACGACCTTCTCGCCCTTTACATAAAAATGACAATACATGGGCTAAAAGTGACAATGAGAAAGCTGAAGCATTTGAAATAAAGGAACTATTAAAGTGGTGGGAGAAGTGTTTCTTAAATCAAACTCATCAATTAGATTTGCCTGTAAACAACTTCACTAAGAGTGAAGTGAGTGAGTAAGTGAGGCGATAAGAAGCATTACCAGCATTATAAATGAAACAAGCAAAATACTCGGCGGAGGGCAATGAAGCATATTCATAAAGGAATCGATAGTGACTCGTCATCGAAGATAAAACAAACTCTGATGATTTTTATCGCAGAAAAATAATTCAGCGACTATAAATATTAAAATCACTTAATAAGCAGGAAATTGTCGACAACAACACGAATAAATTTGAGTATGAGCAGCTAGTCATAATAAACGGTTTTAGATAGTAGAATTGCTTCATGCTAGAATTCCACGTCATTGACGAATATACGAGTAGATAAAATAATATGTCAACTAATCAACTGTATTTTATCGTTTATTACACTCGCTCGGTACGCCTGCACTCACACGCTTCACCAGCGACTTTTTAAAGATCAAACAGATCGTAAGGATTAGTTGCACGGTCGAGTTTAACTGTCGAATCATCCACGACCTATTTTGTTGAAATTGTTCTACGAAGAGTTCCACACCGAGAATCGCGGGACGAAGAAGTTGTCTACGTAGTGAATTAACTCATATGTGTCATACACACACACGCGCGCGCGCGCGTACACGCGCACGTACACATGTGATTTTAAGATAATTTTTTCTATAGAGCTGCGTATAAGACGAGCAGACCAAGTTTTGTCTCGCTTCGATATGTTTACTCAACTTGATCTCAATCTGAGATCCATTCGGTCTTCGAAAAAACATCAAATAAATCATCGTTTTATCGTAGAATTTGGAATAACAAACATCGGCATAATTCAAACGTGAAGTAAAGATATGTGAAGTAGAGAGAGAGAAAGAGAGAGAGAGAGAGAGAAAGTTTCTACGTTCATTTTTCAATAACATGTTACCTACAATTGAATCTCGAAATTGTATTAAAAATCTACAACATGTATACGCAACGTGAATTATTAGTTTGCAACATTATCAGCACATTCCAAATGCGGTCTAAGATCGCGTGGATAAGTCGGATTTTCGAGCGAGTTCCGATTCTACACAAAAGAAGAAGATTACTTAAATTAACATACCATGATAAAGTCGAAGTTTTAGTTGAGGGCAGCGATATTTTTAGAAACCGGATATGCTTTACGAGAAGCAGATCTTCCGTTTCCTTCATGGAAAACACGTTTGTTTCAGTATCGCGTTAATATAACCGAAATTCTGCATATACGCTCCTCCTTCCTCTCCACGGTCTTTGAAAACTTTCTCGCGCGGACATTTTTTTACGCGCCATCGTACAATCTCAGCGCAACGGGATGCGATTTTTACAGTGCTCGGCTCGTTGTTGACCAAATAAGACGGTGTCATAGCGACTACCGGCGGCGAAAGCACCCGGTCGCCGTGGTATGCGTGAAAGACAATTGATGTAATCGCGAACGACGTCGCTGTGTAGCCACTCATCGAGAGTTATCTCACGAAGTGCGACTGTCCCTTCTGCTAGATCAGTGCGCATTGTACCACACTGTACCGACGTTAGTGATTATAAGTGCCGCTGCTCATTGGCCCCTTCGGCCAGTTCGCGTGTACGAAGCGAGACTTGAACAGTCGTGCCTGGTAGAGTCGCCTGGTAAAGCATGATAGTGTTCGCGTCGGGTCGGGTCTTCTCCTGAAGAAGAAGACTCGAGCTCAGTCCGTCAGAACTCGACCGTATCGTACGATCGTACTAGAACTGCAAGTTCTCGGATCGTTTGTTGCGGATTTTCGTCTCGAGGAGCCGCTCGCGCCTTGAGCGTACCGCTTCTCCAGCGAAGTCTATCGTCTCGTCTTTATACAACGAAGATCGCTATGATGCGATTTTAGGGAAGAAATTCGACGTTGATTCGGTGATACATGTGAATCCGTCGTTAGTGGCGGAAGTCATCGGGAAAACTCGCGAGCACTTTGCCGACCGTACAATTCATCTCGAAGAATATGGAGGACGTTGCGTCTTTCCAGGATATTCGTTGCCGGAACGGCGTGTCCAAGTGTATGAATGCCGGGAAAGGTAACGTGCGAATCGATTGATCGGTTAGACTAATTGGTACACGACACGACTCAGAATCGCGTGTTGATTTTATTGAAGTCCTGAAACGACTTTTATATAGCCAAGCGGTAACATTGTTTTTATGTTGACCTTCACATTGGTATATTTATATATTTAATGTACATTTCCAATCTCTACTTCGCACTATAGACTTCGAACGACATTTAGACTGGCCTATCCATTTATTTTTATGTAACTGCGTTTCACTTCGCGCAACTTTGAATATTGATACTTCTGCAACATCATTTAATAACATTTTTTTTTTACCAAATAGGTAAATGCGTTTTATCTGTCGTAAAATCGTCGTCCTTTCCATCCACTTGGATAAATATCTTTTCTGTCGTGTTATTTACATATTATTTATGAAGTTTTTGTAGAATTCACAATTTACGAGATACGTAAGTATCGTGAACATGCTATGAACATAATGAATAACAAGAGTCCGCGTGACTCTCTTAGATATCAAAGGCCGAAAGCGTATTTTTAAAGCGTAACTCGAAAATTCTCTAACGTATAAAAACAAGACGTAACAAGCAAGAAGAACTCAGAGAGGAAACAGAATTATAATAATAGAAATATGCAATAGTAATAAATAACACTGATAACAAAAATAAAACAGTAATAAATAACGTTAATAATTTACGTAAATTATAATAATTATATTAAGAAAATTACAAATTGCGGGGAAGATCGGATTTTGTCTCAAATAAAATTACCGACTTCAGTTTTGTTGGAGATCAAAATTGAAAAGGCCCTTTTCTGCGAGCAAAGCGCCTACCGTAATCAGTGATGACTACTTCGAGTAACGAAAGTTATTCGGACGTTGCGCAATTGCTTTCTCAAACTTATTCCGCGAACATCACAGACTTACTTTCATATCATATTATATTAGTCTAATACTTATTACTCTAATTTACTATTTACGATATAATTTTCCTCTTTTCTCTTTCTCTCTCTCTCTCACTTTCTAGACGTTAACGGAAGTATGTCCCCAAATGTCCAACGCGAGGTGACTACTAATAGATTGCTGAAAAGTATGCAGGTATGAAAGATAAATATGTTCTCATCACGTTCGTAATAGAAATTGATTAACGTGGATTAACATGGATTCAAGCTCAAAATTTCGCACGGCGAAATTGTCATTCATGAAATTACAATTAGACATGAGATGCAATTAAACATTAGATATCTCTCGTTACATATGTAAAAAAAAATAAGACACCGAACACACACGTACATAGTTTCTCTTCACGCGCAGGAAATGAGGGAGGACGTTTTGGAGCAAGTAAATGATCGTATTAACGATATGATGTCGGAAGTAAGGCAGAGAATAGTAACGGAGAAGGAGGTCCCCGCTAAAGAGAACAAATACGATGACAAAAGGTAAGAGACCGAAGCAGGCGTTGAAATAAAGAAACGGAACAAAGTGATGTCTAAATGATAAAAATAGCCGGATATTTTGAAAAATGCAAGTATCGCGATAAGGTAGCAGCACCAGCAGTAGCTTTATCAGTTAGTAAAAGTTGTTAAATACAAACTATTACGAAACAATTTCATTATCAACATTATCCGACGAACTTTCTACTTGATAAAACAAGTTTGAAAACAAGCGACCGAATGCGGCGAATGGAAGATCGCTTCGCATTCTAACGCATCCGCAAGTCTACAATGTTAATATATTTAATATATATATATAAATAATATATATTTTATATATATATATAAATAAAATATATATATAAATATATATTTAATATATATATATAAATAAAATATATATATAAATAATATATTTGATGAGTTATTTCGTTATAACAAGCAATTAATATCTCACCGCGGAAAAGACGACGATATCGCGCTGGGATGTAAATGAAAGCATTTCGCGTAAGTTAAGAACCGCGTGATATTACATAAATTATCGTCGGTCGTAAACTCACGTCAATTCTCCCGATTTTTCAACACGCTCTCTCGTAAAGCATCGATCACTCATTAAGCACCGATAACATGTCGGTTAATAGCAAGTCATTGTCTATGTTTGCGTTTCTGACATTTTACAGGCAGTCCAACGAGGAAGGTACGTTACCAGCTAAGGTATTCCTGCCGAGGAATTCGATGCTCACCGATCTCATGCAGATATCGCACATCCAGACGGTTTACAACATATGTATGATGACTTTCATACTCTTGTTTCTCAATACCGTTGCACACGATCTCATGGACACGGGGATGTAAGTTCAGAAAAATATCAACGCTTTTAGGCTGACGACATACATGCGTATTACGAACGTGCGCGTCGATCGTTTTGTTTTCGCCTGAGGTTATCGATCACTGCGACTATCTGCTCTTTCTACATTACGTATCTTCGCGGCTAAATCAAGTCTTGCATCAATAGTTTGTCTTATCGTTGAAAATTTGTGGTGTCTTATTCCGCCGTCCAACTAATCACGTGAAACTCGCTTCGCGAGGAAACCCTCCCTGCACAGAGTCGTCTCGAAGTTTTCCCCAACGAGGAAATAGATTCATCGTGGAAAATTATAACTCGAGATTATATTTTCTTTTCTTTTTGGAATCGTGATTCGCACTATCGTCTGTCAAATACGTTATGGCAAAAACCACGGTTCATCTGAAATGTAACGAGCCATCGGACTCAAAACAGATCACATGGCAAACAATGGCCGCAATGGTTGGAAAACTACTCGCGACATTAGCGTTAATTAGTCATTAAAATATCTCGTATCTATCTCAAGTACATCGAAACCCTTGTTAACGGGCAAATTTGACCATTGTAGGCTCTTCGTCGGAACTTGTACGGTGCAGAAGGCTTTCGGAAAGTTCCCCGTGTGTTTCTACATATGGTTACTCATGAAGATCTCGACGCTCGTTCTCTACGTGCCGTTCAACATCTGGGCGTATCAGCGGATCGAATTCTCGCCGAAATGTAATCTCAGTTTGCTCGATTTTACCGTCAAATACCGACTGAAGTCTTTCCTAAGCAAAGCTACTGGCGAATAAGTCACTCGGCAGGGATTAAGAAGTATATCGACTATCGAAAAGATACATTAATATCAACAAACAATTAAAATGTTTAAGTTCCCGAAGTGTCGAGGATAAAATGTCAGTCAACAATATATGCTTCGGCTTAATCTATTCATTTTTACAATGTCTTTCTCTCTTTACAGCTCTCCTTCAAAAGGTTTGGGATTATGCGTGGTTGATAACCTTCATATCTTATCAAATTCTCTTCGTCGTTTTTCCGACCAAAGCGCTGCTCGACGAGGATCTCCCTGTAGCCTGCAGCGTAATTATACTCATGGAGCAAGTACGCATGTTTCACGGTCTTCACTCAACTTAATACAAACAGAAGATCTTTTCTATTTTGTTCCGCGTGTCACATCCAGTTAGAATATTGATGCTGATATGATCGCAGATATAATAATTTAAGTGGTTGACCTTGCAATTCGATTCTTCTTATGTAAATCGGAAACGTAATACCGCTTTTTCAGACACGCCTAATGATGAAGAGTTACGCCTTCGTTAGGAACGTAGGAGCTAAATTTGTGTTGTACAAGTCGCACGCTGAAACTCTAAAACCGAGCAGTCCGAGTTTCTCGCACTACCTGTACTTTCTGTTCGCGCCAACTCTGATATATCGTGACAGTTACCCTAGGTAAGACGATCTCGAGGATCATGTAAGATATAAAGATGTACTGGAAGGAACATGAACGTGAGCGCGATCGCTTTTCCAGGACGAAAGAGATCAGGTGGAAGGTGGTGATTCGCAGTTTCATTGAACTCGGTCTGGTGATCTTCTACCAGGCCTTCATCATGGAGCGTTTCGTGGCGCCCACCTTCCGCATTTTCGGCACACAATCCTTGGACTGGAGGTGGTACATGAAGAGTATCCTCAGCGCGATGATGCCTGGCATACTCATAAGCGTCTCCTCATTCTACGGCTTGCTACATGCCTGGATGAACGCCTGGGCGGAGATGTTGCGGTTCGCAGATCGCTTGTTTTACAAGGTGAGCTTCGTGGTTACTCAAGTCCACATTGTGTACTGTCGTTATCCTTAAGAAGCCTACATAAAGCTTCCAGAGCATATAGAATATTTCCACGAATTTCTGAATGACATGTGCAGAAAGATAAGATGTTTTTCAGAACTTCAGTCTTTAAGAACTCTTCAAGATATCTTTAAGATATCTTGGAACTTTGTATCGCTGTTTACCTTTTGTAGAACACTACATCGCTTCAAAAGCGCGTAACTTCATGACTGTCTTGTAAAGACTGTCGTCTGTGCGAAGCTTACATCTTCCATTCATGTAGTCACAATCAAGTCGATATCATCATTATTACCATTGCAGGACTGGTGGAACTGCACATCCTATCGTGCGTATTATCGCACTTGGAACGTCACAGTGCACGACTGGCTTTACACATACGTCTACAAGGACATGTACGAGATCCTCTCGCCGCGCAACAAAGTCTTGGCGACCTACGCCGTTTTCTTCATTTCGTCCATCTTCCACGAGTACATACTGGCTTTCACCTTCCGTTTCTTCTACCCAGTGTTGCTGATCATGTTCGGCGGCTTCGGTTTCGTGCTGATGTTCAACAGATACTTCACTGGCAATGTCTTCATGTGGACGAGCCTCTGCATCGGCAAAGGTATCGCGGTTAGCATGTACGCGATGGAATACTACGCTAGGATAAATTGTCAGCCTTACGACGACAAATATCTGGATCTGGTGCTGCCGCGAAGCTGGTTCTGTCGACCGCTCTCCGGCACATAGAACGCACCGCAGATAATGTATGCGTGTATATATATGTGTGTGTATATATATACCGGGTGTTTCAGACCACCCGGGTCACCCGATTTTTTCGTTAACGCGACATTTTAGAGAAAAATATTTTAGACAAAAGTTGTAGGGCTTTAAAGGGCTTCTATTTACTGATGCTATGAATTTGACCTTGGGATAACCTTGAAAAGTCCAGTCAAGATCAACATAAAAATCTTAAATGGATACCCCAATTTTTTATTACATCATCTTTTTCTAGCAATTAATTTGAATAACTTTTGTCTGAAACATTTTTTTATTTACTTAATATTTTTTGAGATATTTAAGGGAAACTTGATAACTTTTTCAATATTTAACTCACGATATCTCGTTAATTATTTGTCAGATTAGACTCTTTGCTCTATTTAGTCTCAAGAATATATTGTTCCAATAGCGCGCTGAATTTGGTTAATTTGATGATTTTAAAATTTCCAAAAATCAGCAAGTTAACAAAAATTAGGGCGCTATTGTAAACATACATTCTTGAGACTAAATAGAGCAAAAAAGTAGTCTAGTATCGCTTTTTCTTCTGACAGATAGTTAGCGAGATATCGTGAGTTAAATATTGAGAAAGTTATCAAGTTTTCCTTAAATATCTCAGAAAATATTAGGTAAATAAAAAAATATTTCAGACAAAAGTTGTTCAAATTAATTGCTAGAAAAAGATGATGTAATAAAAAATTGGGGTATCCATTTAAGATTTTTGTGTTGATCTTGACTGGGCTTTTCAAAGTTATTCCAAGATCAAATTCATAGCGTCAGTAAATAAATCCTTTGAAGTCCTACAACTTTTGTCTGAAATATCTTTCTCTAAAATGTCGCGTTAACGAAAAAATCTGATGACCCCGGTGATCTGAAACACCCGGTATATATATATATATAATACACATACATACATACATACATACATATATATACATATACATGTATAAGAAAACAAAAAAATTTAAGGTTCTGTTGATTAATCAAGTAGGACACACAATTGTATTGTTCCAATACCCACAGGCGTAAGCAATATGCGCAAGTTCTTTATTGACTTTTTAGTTATTCTTTTAATATAAGCACATATGTGTGCGGCCGCGATGATTTCTACCACATTTTGAGATTTATAAAAACAAAATGAAAAAGACAAAAAAATGAAGAATCACAAACGTTCGATCACGTACGATGTCGATGAGTCCTTCCTGTTAAAGTTTACACGTTTGGCAAAGTGTGGAACTTACCAGTAAGTAGCAAATAAATCAATAGAAAGTACCAACAACGACGCGAAGCGTTATCCGTGTCGCGTTCGGATGATTGGAAACGAAAGAGAAGAAGAAAAGAAGGAAAAAAAACATTTGCATTTCACGGTCAACATTGCATTGCAGAAGGTAAAACCGGTAGCCGGTTTAGAGAGAATTGAAGCATTCGCTCTGGAACGAGGAGAATATGACATATCTGTACATTTGTAAAAAGGGATAGCCTTTATTATCGAAACCTACGTACGCCCCCCGAGCGCAGCGAGATAAGGACAACGCGACGAAGATATGTGTGTGCGTACGCGTCACTTCTTTGTCTTCGTATGATACAAATTCAACTTACGCCATATAGTTCGATAATACATATACACACACTCTGTTGTTCTTTTTTCTATAATATATAAATATATATGTATATATTATATAATACATCCTCCCTCTTGGTTTCTTCCTTCGCGCGACTCGAGCCGCGGCGAATGACTCGTTATTAATATGTAATTATATATTTACATGGTGACACACACACACACATACACACACACACACACTCACACGCACTCTCTCGCACTCTCTCGCACCTCGGCACGCGAGCGTCCAGTTGAAGAGAAAGGAGACAGATATACGTCCCGCGTATGTATATTATCCAAACATTTTTTTATTTATACAACATTCACATGGCTTTTGATTCCCGTCTGCCGATCGTTGATGACATCGATGATTTATCAACCCTATGTCTATGTTTCCAGAACATACATACCCGCACACACACACACACACACGCGCGCGCGCACAGCGATGAACACACGCATACACACACTCATTCGCAAAAATAATCTGTATAATAATTGCGAAGCGCAACTTACCTTCGGCCTTCTCGTGTTACAACTCTCTTTCTACTAGATCAAAAAATAGAGAGAAGGCGATTGTGTTCAAATTTTTTTATATATATTTATAAACATTTGTACCTATCTTCTGCGCCCGTCCACTCAGGCAGTCGTGTATGTGTACGTGTTCTCGTCGCGAAATACAATAATGTGTGCACAGTCTCTGCGAGGTGTGAACGCGTCAAGGTCGAGAACCCGCGGGAGCTGACGACCCGCGGCGACGACGGAAGCTCGCTCGGCTTCATCTCAATAATGTGTTCGCGTTAGTGTATGAGTGACTGGCTTCAGCACGTTCTCCTGAACACGGAGATGAACATCTCTCCTCCAAATCAAAGCTAATTTCACAGGTGGATTGTCTCCTGTTGGACTGTATTCTAATCAAATTACGTTCCAACTATATTTGACTAGAATTTTCACTCGAGTATTGGTTCCGAGAGGAGCGTTGCACGTCTTCGTCAACGTTTCTCGAACTTTCGCGATGTCGACGGCGAGGAACCGCCCGCGTTCAGGAGATATCGCGATGTGTCTTGAGAAGATTCATTTAACGACTTAAGGGGAACAAGCACCACAGAGTCCATTGTTTCGTTTCTCCGCGAGTCTGCCGGCCGTTTTTCGCGGAATTCCATATTCGATGAATATAGAATTTCTCTACTAAACAGTGTCATTCATTAGCGTACGGGTTAAGGAGACGAGAAAGAGAGAGAAAGAGAGAGAGAGCACGCGCGAACGATTGTCTGGAAGAATGAGTTTTGTACCTAGAATGCAAGGAAACAACGTCTCTGCGTCTCTTCTTTCCGAAAGATCGGCGCACTCTACGATTGGAATCGCGTCGGCGCGTCGCTGCGACGCGTCACCGTCGGAAAATCTAGCGATATGAAGCGCAAATGGTAAATTCTTGTGTATATGCCTTTTTAAATGAAAAATTAATATTGTATTTCTTCGATATTAATTGTCAATCATATGTAATATTATATCGATCTTAAAAATATGAATATTATACATCATATCGATATAATACAGATATTATTATATGTTTATTAATGCAAAATACAGTGATATACAGGGTGTCCAATTTTGAAGTTTACAATGCTATATTTCGCAAACCGATGATTTTATTGAAAAATGTTTCAAACAAAAGTTGTAGGATTTAGAGGGGGACATCTGATGGCTTGACCTTGGATTGTCGCTTGAAGGTCACGTAAAGGTCAACTTCAAAATCCTAAATGGAACCCTCCATTTTTTATTGCATATTCTTGTAGCCCTTGTCGAGACGTTTCCAAAACACTACCTACTTTTGTCTTTTGCGTAAGCTATTCCCAAAATATGAAGCTTCAAAGAAGTCGGCCCTTTTTAGGGCCATTATGATGTACAAATCCGACTGAGCAACCCCTCCCCGCGGTGTACATCAGGCAATGCGAATGCCGACGGTATGTCAACTTTGAAGCTTCATATCTTGGGAATGGCTTACGCAAAAGACAAAAGTAGGTAGTGTTTTGGAAACGTCTCGACAAGGGCTACAAGAATATGCAATAAAAAATGGAGGGTTCCATTTAGGATTTTGAAGTTGACCTTTACGTGACCTTCAAACAACAATCCAAGGTCAAGCCAAGGTCACCGTCAGATGTCCCCTTCTGAACCCTACAACTTTTGTTTGAAAAATTTTTCAATAAAATCATCAGTTTACGAAATATAACACTGTAGACTTTAAAATTGAACATCCTGTATATGTCGTGTAATTTATCCGCGGATAAATTTCAAGCTTTCTCTGCTCGTTGCACCTTTCCGTTACTAAATTTTTTGACGGTGATGTACTTGAAGAGGGGCAAAAGGTAAATATAATACAATACTCGCATACATTCTATTGGTTTTTCTTTTCTCTCTCTCTTTCTCTCTCTCTCTCCCTCTCTCTTTCTTTCTTTCCCTCTTTCGGTCTATGCACAGCCTTTGAAACTCTTTCTTTCTCTCATATGAAACGCATAAAGCGCATTTCGCACGACATTCCGGCGTTGCGTCATCAGATTTCTCTCTTAACAATTCGCTCGGCTCGCTGACAATCCAGAAGAAAATCCGTCCAATCTACCGCACGCAATCGCGGATACACAGGATTCCCTTGAAAAGGACAAAGCGGTTCGCACGATTCATTGAAAGTGAATGAACGCTTGAATGATGATGATGAATGTCGACGTGAATGGAGAATGCGAATGACCATATTCGAGGATCTAAACCGATCGACTTGGCAGTATTGGGAACTTACGGAACTAATTCGACGGCCGCTGAATCATCCTTGGACCGAGGAGCTGGCGAACGCTAACTAACATTCAGGACACGGACACGCGAGTGCCCTGGAAGAGTGTACACCCAAGAGCGTGAAAGACAATGGAAGGATACACGGTCGGGAGGGGGAAGGAGAGCAAGATTACGGCAATCGTCCGTTCGTCTCGCGGCGCAATCCGCAGTCCGACTGCGCCGAGCTGGGGAACGATCTGGACCGGACGAGTCTGGAATCAAGGATGAGTTTCTACCTCAGCGATTCGGTGCTCCTGCGGTGTCAAGCGAGACGCAATCGCGCAAGCAACGAGCTCGTATAGCTCTCTCTCTCTTTTCTTCCTCGTTTGCGCGAACGTACTTATGAATACATGGTTCCATAGATCTATGTATTAGGTGTAATAAGTTTTAAAGCGTTTTTAAGACAATGTAAAACGTATTTGAAAGAAAAGAACAATATATTTATTAATCAAAATATGCGCAAATATAAGAAATAAGTTTTAAAGCGTTTGTTGTGTGACGTATACTGCTGGTTTACAAATCAAAAATTCTCCCGCGGTTTTGTCACGTGACTGTAACCGGTCCAGAGTAATAAAAACGACGCAGAAGTTGGCCAGCATTCAAACGTTCTTAAACGTTGGTAGGTGAAAGATGGCAAGCGAGACAAAGCATTTATTCGTCATTGCATTCGTTATGAATTTCACCAAGAGAAAAGTGCTGCAAAAGCGTGTGCATCGATATATTCTGTTCTTGGGGAGAATACTGTATCGAAAAGCACGTGTGAATTTTGCTTCAAGCGGCTTAATTAAAGCTGCTGATTTTGAGATTAGCGATCGAGAACGTAGCAGCGCTCCGCTACCAACAGAAGGTTGAATACGAGCAATTGCAAGCATTACTGGATGAAGAAACTGTTACTGCTGATCGCTACAAGCAACAATTGCTGCGATTGGACGAGGAAATCAGTCGAAAACGTCCATTTATTGGCAAAGGATTGCGTCCCGTTAAAATTGCTCCATGATAACGCCAGACCGCATGTTGCAAAATCGCTCAAGGAAACGTTATTGACGCTTGGCTATGGGAAGTTTTGGAGCACCCGGCGTATAATCCCGACAGCCCCTTCAGGCTATCATTTGTTCCGATCCATGCAAAATACTTTGTCTTCAGTTTACTTCCGAACATTTGACGAACTGCAAAAATGGGTTGACTACTTCATCGTGTCGCACGACCGATGGCAAAAGGTGATAGATAATGACGGCGCATATTTTGATTAATAAATATATTGCTCTTTTCTCTCAAATATACGTTTTGCATTGTCTTAAAAACGCTTTCAAACTTATTTGTATGTGTGTGTGTGTGTGCGTACACCTAATACAATCTAATTTAAATTAATTCATACGCTAGTCAATTCGTACTTGATACTGGAACTTTCGCGCCTCGTGCGCGATCCTCAGGTCGACCACCGCTCGCAGTTGCGGCCGATACGACTGAGATTCTACGACGCTACTCGGCGGAAATTGATCCCCGCAACTTCACCACTCCGCGGTCTCTCTCTCTCTCTCTCTCTCTCTCGTTCATACATACGCTCGTACACCTATACACATACGTACATGGACACATTTACACCCTCACACTTATCCTCTCTGGCGAAATACAAAGTAGGTAGAACCGAACATTCGGAGAAAACAGTCCTCTCTCTCAGCTTTAGGATCCCATGTCCAACGACGTTATATATTTCAATGCAAGCGAACATTACATAACATCCAGATATCGCAAGGTCGAATAAAAACCTCGACAAGCTCGGACCCATCCAAGAAACAGTCTCGCCGGCGACGAGCTTCTCGTCGAGTGAAACCGAGAACGAAAGTGCGTGATGCATCGTCATCGCTATGTCGGTCATGCGAATGCGAGTGCGATATCATCGCGAAAGATTTACAATCGGTCTCGGCGACGAGGAAGGGGAAGTAACTTCGAGCGATCCTCGAGACGACCCATGTGGAGGTCCAGAAGACGCGTAGTCAAGGCAACGGAACCTCGAGTATTCTTACAGTTTAAGTAATCTTCATTTGCCCATCCCAACCAACGCCTCGTCCATGAGTTCGTCGTCGGTGATGCACGGCGACGCAGAGTGCGGTGAAGGCGGGATCACCCGTGGACTCGGCGCTGGACTCTTGACGATGTGCACACTGACGGAGGGACTCGCCGGTGGGAAAGCCGGTGGTGGAGGAGGCGGTGGTGGCGGAGTGTTGCGGCGCACTGGCGCCGCCTGCGTCATCGCCCGCTCGGGGATGGTCGTTAGGTGTGTCAGGCTCTTCGTTACGTCCTTGGCGGTGGAGAAGTCCAGTAACATCTCTGCCGCCTCTTGGGAGCTCGCGGTACCGCCGCCACCGCCACTGCCGCCGCCACTGCCACTGCTGCTGCCGCCGCCGCCGCCGCCACTGCCGCCGCCGCTGCCGCCGCCGCTACCGCCGCTGCCGCCGCCGCCACCATTACCGTTGCCGCTGCTCACTCCCGTGGGGTCGGTGACCTTACTGATATTCGCACCGCTGTCGGGAGTCGCGACGACTCCCGCGCTGCCGCCAGCGCTGCCCATTGATGAGAAGATCGACGACGACGACGATGAGGAGGAGGAAGACGAAGGCGGTGGTGGTCCGCACGTTACCTGCTTCTTCTCATCAGCGATCTTGTTGTATTTGACCAACGCGGCGTCAGCCGGCTTGGTACTCAGATTCAAGCTCTCGGCGACGGTGCAGCCGCTGCTCGACGGCGCGGTGGTCGCGCCAGAGCTCGTGAGGGTCCCTGCGTAAGCTTTAGAAGCGGACGATGCCAGCTGATCGGCGCCGCTCTTGCCGAGAACGCCAATCACGCCGGCGTTCGTGTCGTCCTTACTGAGAAATGGCTGACTGCTCGTCCTCCCGATTGTACCTATGTCCTTGCACGGGTCGCGAGACTCGCTGTCTATCGGCTGCATGGACAGGTTCGTCGGCACGTCCGAGTCCGCGGCCGATTGCGGCGGCAACATTAGGCCGCCGGTGTTCTCGGTGGCGAGGCTCAGCGACATCGCGCCGGCGCTCGTGGAGATCGACAGGTTGTCCGGCTTGGTCTGCGCGTGGTCTCGTCTGCTCGGCTGGCTCGGCTGCTCGTCCGCCATCAATTTGCTCGACACCGTCACCGGGTTCGATAGATTCGCGATCTTGCTCTGCTGTTCTTGTTGCTTCACCGTCAAGCCGTCCAGGGTCTTGGCAGGGTCCGGCAGCATGGACAGCTTTTCGGAACATTTCTTGTCGGCGGCGTCGACATTCGCGCGAGCCGACAACTTCGGGATCTGAAATTTGGTGTCCAACTGCTTCATCAGGCCCTCCATGACCAGCTGCGGCGGCAGACTCGGTGGCAGACTCGACATCGAGGCGTGCGCGGCTAACAACTTGTACGCCCGCTCGTTTTCGTTATCTTCGCGCAGAGCAGAAGGACTGGACTTCCTGGCGTCGCCGAGACTCTTCGAGGCGAACACCCCCTTATCGCCGGATTTCTGAGTGCGAGGCTTGTCGCGACCGCGACTAAGGTCGGTCGGCCCTGTGCCAGAGGTTTTTGGCGAGCCGGAGGACTTGGAGGACGACCCGCTTTTGGACAACGGGTTGCTACCGCCACTACCACCGCCGCCGCCGCTGACACCCCCGGCCGCACCCGCGCCTGCACCCGCACCTGTGCCCGCGGTACTTGCGCCAGAACTCGCTGAACCAGAGATCGACTTCATCGCCAGCATCTTTTGATTCAGTAACTTTGGCGAACACTGCGTAGGCTTCTTTGACGCCGGTCCTGAGTTAACTCCAGGCTTCAGGCCGGTGTGGGTCTTTGGCGAGCCATTTCCAGACGTCACGGATGATGAAGAAGACGCTACCGATGAACCGGAGGACGCACCGGTCGCGCCAGCTGCAACGGACGAGGAAGATGACGAGGATGAAGACGAGGACGAGGACGACGACGATAGCTTCAGGTTGCCTCCCGATTTCGAATCTTTCGTGCGTGTTTTGTTGATGGTGATCTTGATACCATCCGAACTGTGTTTCACCATGTATTCGGCTGGATTCTTGGAAGAGTCAATGGAAGAGTTCTTGCCGATGCAGGACTTCCCCTCAGCAATCTTTCCGGACGACCCACTCACACCACGTCCCTCCTTCTGCGGTCCGCTGCCACCACTACTACTTCCACTGCCGCTTCCACCACTACCACTGCCGCTGCCGCTACCGCCAACACTGGACGAACTCTTGGCGCTGCCGTTGCCACCGTCCTCGGTGCAATGCTGTGCGTTCTTTAATTTGTCGATCACCGCGTTCAAAGAACTCTTACGATTCCGCGCCTGTTGCTGAGCCTGCGCGGACTTGGCCGCATCCACTTGGCCAGAGGGCGGAGTGCTGCCGCCGCTGCTGGACAATGAAACTTGCGTCTCGCCAGCGCTAGTACCGGCGCCGCTACTGGGAATAATCTCCAGTTGCTTCAGCTTTCCGCTGGACGACTTGGTCTTCGGGCTCTGATGACCAGTGGACGAACTGGACGAGCCGACGGACGATGTCTTTCTATCTTTGTCGCGTCCAGAATCTTTGCTCGACGACGATGACGACGACGACGACGACGACGACGACGACGACGACGACGAGGACTTGACCTTGGACGGAGTCGCCTGGTCGGAGGTTTTACCGGACGGCGAGTTCGCCGCCGATTTGAGAGCGGACATGCTTGGCTTGCCGCTGCCGGCAGAGCTGCCGTGCTTCGGCGACGACGTGCCGTGCTTCGGGCTCGCGCTCGCCGGAACTGGCACTGGCACGGGAACCGACACAGCGACCGACACAGCTGCAGGAACCGTCACAGACATCGGCATGGTCGGCACCGGCGGTACCGGCACCGGCGCGTTATGCTTCGGGCTGCTGCCGTAGACCGGCGAGTGCTTCGGACTTTGCACCGGTTTGCTGATGGCTGACTGTTTCAATGTGGGACTGGACTTACCTACGAGCGCGAGCGAGCTTGGATGCGTCGGTGACGGGCTGAACTTTTTCACCGTGCCGGCGGGCGAAGTCGGTCGCGTCGAGCTCAGACTCGGCGGTGACTGCTCCGTCGGCTTGATGCTCACCGACACCGGCTTCAACAGTGGGTCCTGCTGCTGTTGCTGCTGCGGAGGCGGCTTCGGCGGCAGCTTGTCCGGCGGCGGACCCATCGGACTGTCCTCGCGCTTGCGTTTGCGCCGCTTCTCGAGCTTGCCACCTTTATCCTCGCTCGCGGCCGTAGTGCTCTTGCCGCTCTTGCCGCTCTTCCGCTCACGGCGCTCTTCCGTCAGGCCCTTGGACGTGGATACGTTAGCCGCTGGGCCGGCTATCGGTGTGATCGTGATTGAGCTTGGTAGGCTAGTTTGCGGCGACGAAGCGATGGGTATGATCTCGATACCTGGCCTCCTTTCCAAACCCATTCCCGTAAGCACGGAATTATAGTTGGCGCTTTGATCCAGGTTACCGCATGTGATTGGGGTGATACTTACAGAAGGTGGCACCAGGCTCTTACTCTCGTCGACGAATATATTCGTCGGGCTCGCTTTTTTCTCGTCGCGCGATTTCTTCGACTTACGTTCACGCTTCATCAACTCCTCCACGTCCTGCTGCAGCTGCTCCGCGGTCGTGTGCACCTCCATGATCTCGCCGCTTTCGTTGTCGAGATCGTAGTCGGAGCTTTTGTCGGTGCCAAGCATGTCCGTGGCGTCGAGGTTCGAGAAATCCATGCCGCTGGCCAAGCTCGCCGCCGAGGTTGAGGTAGGAGTGGACGTTCGGGTCTCCGTCAGGTTCTCTCTACCGCCGGTGGGCGTGCCCAATGGCGTCGAGTCAGAGCTCGAACTCTCCAGCAGGATCTCCGCAGCTGTCGTGGCGCCGCCGGCACCGTCGCTGGCGTCGCCTTTTCTTTTCGGGCTGCGCCAGAGACCGTCCGCCGCCTTTCTCTTGCGGGTCTTTTTGCTACGCTCACTCGCGTTCGCATTAGACAGAGAGTTCTTCGCCTGTCCTAACAGCGCACCCAACTGCAATGGATTCAGCATAGCGGAGGCATTGCCTGTCGTATCGGATTGGCCGGAATACGACGGAAAACCGATACTATTTTCCGTTCCGGCATCTAAAAAAGGCTGCTGCTGTGGTTGTTGTTGCTGCTGCTGCTGCTGCTGCTGCTGCTGTTGTTGTTGTTGCGACTGTTGTTGTTGTTGCTGTTGCTGCTGCTGCTGCGGCGAAATCTGATGCGACGACTGCTGTTGCCTCCCTCCTATACTGCCGTTGCCGTTGTTCAAGCCGGGCTCTTGTTTGATTTTCACATCGCCGTTCGTGAAATCCGGCATACCAGCGGTACCGTTCTGACCACTCTGATCCTTACCAGAGCCCAGATTGATGTTGTAGCTGCCGTTGCTGCTACCACCGCCGACGCCGCCGATCGCGCCGGTCAGAGCGCTCATCGTCGGCAGGGTGTTACGGCCCTCCCAGATCTTCAACAGCGTTCTCATCGTCAGCGGTATGCTGAGGCAACGTTGCAACACCTTGCCGGCGAGATCCGATGTCTGCTCCGCGTTCGTCATACTTACACCGTATAGCTTGCACCGAAGCGCGGAGATGTCCGTCAGATCCAGCTCCGCCGTAGCCATCGTCTCTTCGAACGGGTGTTCTACGCTCACGGATACGTGCTGCCACGACAATGCGCTTACCTCGAGTATCGTTGTGTCCGGGTCCTGCCGGGCCATCGGTCTTACGCAGCTCGCGATCAGGCAGTTGAACAGCGCCTGTTGTCGCAGGTACACGAGGATCTGCGGCACGTGCGCCGGGTGCGTGAAGGGTATGCTACACACGAGTACGCCCTCCATATTCTTGTTCTCCGTCATGAAGTAGCAGTGCTGCTGGTCCGTTAAGGTCTGCAAGCGAAAGCTCGGTGAGCCTCACGGCAAGTGTATGAGATACGTCTGGATGTTTTTCATTTGTTATTGGCAACTATTCATGTTATTATACAGCAACGTAATGCTTCAATAATGCGCCTGTTGAAGGAGAAACACTGAATGAGAGAGAAGTCGCAAAATGTTTCTCTCTCGGAACATCAACTTAAAGACAACTGTTGGATCAGTCGCAAGTCAAACGCTCAAACTCACCACATACAACCCTCTGTTATTGCGGCAGTCCAATTGCCCGTCACTCGCGTGCTGTATTATCAGGCTGAGTAACGGATGAGGCGCGGAGATGTCGCCGCACTCGAGCTCTGTGACTTTCTGTATCCTCTTCACCAGTTCCATGCAGATCGGCATCTTTTTACCTAGCTTCAGGACGAAACAAGCGGGCAGCATGGACGAGTTGGCACTAGTCAGTGGAGCGTACGATGGTGTGCTGAAATTGAGACCGACGTTGACAAGAGTTGGACTTGATTATAAGTGGACGGACAAGTATGATTTGATCGTAACGTACCTCTTTCCAGTGGGGCTCCTATTTACAGTTATAATACTAGATGTCGGTAACTTGTGACCCGTTGAACCTTCCATACAGACAGTCACTGAATGACCGATCTTTCGTTTGATGATGATGTCGGGATTCAGCGTATCATAGGTGCGATTCTCAAGATCGATTAAATCGTACGGGGAGACGAAGTACGTGAGTTTCATCGGGTGGCCGCCTCTTCTTCTCTCTAGAATTCCTGAATGACGTTTGCGAAATTGTAGCAATATGCGATGAATGTGCGAGATTGTACATTTATACATATAGCTAATTATATGTATGAATTCAAATCACTAACCAACAGGACTTTTGTGCACCAGATTGAATGGCTCCTTCATGAATGTTTGCAATTGCGCCAGAACGCCTAAGTCGGCCTCCAGAGATTGCAGAGCGCTGAAAGCTTTGCACTTCACTTTCTTATCAGCATTTAACTGATATATAGATACCAGTCCTTCCAGCTGAGTAGTGAAATCAACAAAGTCACCGCGCGACAGGCATGAAGCTAATACTTCGCAACTCTGCAAATGTAATTTTCGAGGAACTATTTCACAGCAAGAAGATCAACAGTGATATCTGCTGTACTCACTTGCTGCTCGCTTTTTCCTTCATGATGGATCTTAACCTCTCTAACATGTCCTGATGGCTCTAACAAGACCTCCAAGAAGAACATATCGGAGGATATAAATATTTCTGTGCCTGGAGGACCAGACATCATGAACTTTAATCTGTGTGATAAAACAATGATATGTATAAGCTTGATTTACTTTCACAAAAATCTGTAAAATTAAGGAATAAATGAATATTACATATAATCAGTAGATGATCACAAAATTTGCACAGCAAAAGGAAAAACTTTGTGCATAAAAAAGTTAAGTTCTTGATATACCCAGATAAGCAGCTGCTTACCCTAACTGCCTCGTTAAGCTTTCTAATCGCTCTACCATAGATTGGAAGGAGGTAACTTTGATGGAATGCTGTAAAGTATCCAAACATTTCTGCAACTGGTTTTTCTCCACGCTATCAATTGTGTACCGCTTGTCCTATTTATCAAAAGAAAAGTATATTCATCAAGATGACTCATGCTTTTGTTTACCAAGGTGTAACTCAAGTTGGAAGTTGCAAAACACAGTGAAACCTCTTTCACTCACCAACATCGCCATACGCATGTTTTTAGCAGTTTCCACCAGAGGCTTCAATGTAGAAGACTTGGAACGTAATTTCTCCATCAGCAACTCCATTTGCCATTCCTTGCCTTTGTCCGAGGTGGAGAGTTGCCCCGTGCTGGTGGAAGGCTGCCCCGCTGTGAATTATACGAGTTTCAATACCGTTTTATCAGGGATTATTGTCTCTCCCAGGAAGAGAAGCGAGGAATCATAATAATTTTACATCTCACGAGCCGAAAACTGTTTCTAAGATTTGTACAACCGTTTCTTTGAGGTTTACAGGATGAAATGTGTCAAAAGTCTTTCTCACCGTGGGGCTTCTGTCCGTTCGTCGCATCCATGTGCCGCTCTGTGATATATACGGCTATGCACGGATGGGTCGGTCGTGCTTCTGCCTCTCGTTATCGCGGACGCATCATTTACTTAATCATCATGGTGTCCGTTGATAGAAACGAACGTACGGCGTACCCGAGCCGCGTACTGAACGACCGAACTTCCCCTCAGACCAACTTCTATCCACTTCCTTCGCGACTGATCTTACTGTTCGTGAACTCCTTCGCCTAACCTAAACCTAAACCTAATCTACTTTACATCGCATGCTTGTTTACTGCTGCGTACTGTCAGATGGCGCGATAATTTTCTTTCTTCCATCTTTTTTAGGTCGAATTTGACCTGTCGGTAAAAAGGAGAGGCACGTAATTGTGCGTTCATACGGTAGATTCGGGCGCGAATTCAAAACTGAAGGAGTTATCACCCCGGCAATCGCAGAACAAAATTTGCGCTTGATGACGAGGTTGCTGGATTTTTTGTATGTTTGCAAAAAGATCTGAAACTCGTGTAACTGAAAATTCGTCGTAATACTCTTAAAAATAACATATACTGGCTTGTGTTTTACATTCTCATTACACATAGAGTCTTTATTCTATATAATAAAATTGCGTAAAAAAATAATCTTATATATATGTATATATATAATAAGTCATTTTATATACACTTATCTAGTCGCAAAAGCGTTATCTACTTCGTCGGAAGTAGACGCAATGCCGGACTTCAATAGTTTCACCACACAACTGTCGGACGGCGCATATCACACGCTGACATCGCGTTCATTTCGTCACTCGCGAGGATAAACGCGATGCAGCTTAAAGTCATGGATAAAACGTTCCTTATTAATGTGCCTTATTAACAAGTGACATAAGATTACTGCAGTCTTTGTACTGTGGCGTGTTGTTCCTGTTTATATATAAATTGTTTCCCTGATTCGCGCTTATATCTAGATCTGTATATGTATATGTATGTGTAGAAGCGTATATAAAGATGTGACATCTTGATGAAATAAGACTTAATACCATGACATATCGTGTAAAATAAATTTCGTTGTAAAAGCTTGTAACACGAGAGTAAATTCCTAAAACATAAATACAAAATATTTGAGCAAAATAACAATGAGCTGCCGTTCAATTCGTCATCATCCAGAGTCTTCCCCCACAGAGTACACTTTTGAAAACTTGTGGAACATCTGGAAGTTGATCATTTGTTCATCTTTGAGAAAAGATTTCCGAATCAAACCGACATCAGACGCAACAGTGCGAAAATCGCAGAGTCTCGTTCCAAAATTGAGAGATTTTTGGTGCCTCGCAATGAGCCGATGTACTTAACTCTCCTCAAGTACAAGAAATCCGCGGAAATCCACTCGATTATAAATTCTTAGTGCTCGGGTGGAAGGAGGAGATCCGTTTGTTCCAGAGTTTGGGCGGCGAGAGAACCTGCTCGAGAAATATATGCCTCTTCTCCTTCACGTTGAAACGCACATTGCACAGGGACTTGTCAGCCTTGTCGTCCCGGTCTATAGTCCAGGCACGCCTGTCGTCACTGTCGTTGTTGTTGAAGCGCCTGCTCTTGCACGATGAGACCGGCGCCAGATTTTCCTTGTCTGACAGCTCCGGCGACTTCTTCGACGTCGCGGGCAGATTCCTCTTGGCAGGTAACTCCAGCTCGTTGGGACTCTTCAGATCAACGAGCTTCGAGGCGCACGAGTTCTCGCCGTTCTCGACGGATACCAACGGACTCATCTCCACGTACAAGTCGCTTTCGTTCGCGTCGAAGTCGTCCTTGCAGTCCGCGAACGTCACTTGCCGCACGAGCTTGCCCCTGCTGCCCAAAATCGGCGAGTCCGACAGAATAGCGTCTATCAGCGGCGTCTTCTTGATGGACTCGATCGCGCAGCACTTGACGAACTCCCTGATCGCGTCTATTTCGCGCTTGTCGACGACGCGTGGGTCATCCGACGGCGACAGCTCGCCAACTGGACCGGGCACCGTGCCGGTCTTCAAGTCGTTATCGAACAGCACCTTGGCAAAGCGCGCTCGTGCCATCAGATTCTTCGGGTTCAGGTCCTCCCACTGCGTACCTGTGGTGTGGTAGACGTGCCGCGGCGAATTCTCCGCCGTGTACCGCCTGATCTGGTCGATCGTGCTCACCAAGGTGCTCGCGGAGTCGCGCGTGACGTCTTGGACACGTTGGAACTTGCCTTCCTCCGACGACGACGTCGCCGAATCGTCGCGTTCCTCCAGTATCGTGTCCAACGCGAGCATGCCACCCCGGTCGTCTATCACCACCGGCTTGGCGATGTACAACGTGGGGGCGTTCTGGTCGTCGATGCTCGTACGATTCGCGAATACCCTGTCGCCACGATCGTATAGCGACTTATCGTCCTTGGACGATTCCGCCAGATCGTACACCAACGTGTCGGCGTAGTCATCCTGCTTGAGGATCCCGCGCGAAGTCAACGATCCGGCACCGCATACGCCGTCCGAGTACTCCGAGCTGTAGGTGGTGCCGGTGGTGCTGGTGAGTGTGTCCCGACGCCGATCACGCACCACGCTGTCGTCATGGATATACGTCTCGATGTCGGTGTAGCCTTTCCAGCTGCGGATGCACCACGGCGGTCGGGCGATCCCCAGCGGACACACATTCTCGTAATCGTGGATCGACGTTACACAGCTCATCGTCTCGTCCCGTTGCTGCAAGTCCTTGGACGCCTTCTCTATGTCGAAGATCCTGCTGCCTTCCAGCTGCGTCGGGGTCGTCAGCCTGCCACGGTTCTTTATCGCGTCCAGCGCACCGATTACTTTGCTGCAAGAGTCCAACATGAAAGAGCTGTTCCACTCGCCATCGTCGAGGTTCAAGTCGACGCTCGACACGTCCGGGCAGAGCCAGTCCAGTTGCGTCGCGATACCGTGCTCGTAGATGCCGCGACGTTTCCGCGATGACAAGCATATGTCTACGTCGACGTCCATGTCTACGTCTACTTCCGGCAGAGTTTTCTTCTCCGTGTCTAGTGTGATGGGCAAGCAGATGCCCCTACGTTTCTGGCGATGATGAGCCTCCGCGTCGTCGGTGTCGGGTAAGCCCTGGTATAAAGTGCTCAATGTCGCGCTCACCGAAAGCGTGTTGTCCGCGTTGTCCATTGTCGTGGACGTTTCTTCTTTGTGCGCGCGACCGTGCAGCTTCTCGCACTCGGTGGAGACGCGCACGGACTCGATCTCCGCATTGTAGTTGCAGTTGACGATACCCTCTTCCGCGCAGTCGGAGATCTGCGCGACGTTCGTCAGCAGGGACTGCTTATCGGTGGCCACCTCCTCAGAGATGGTGGCTCTCGGCGAGATGTCGATGGAGTGGTGCAACGACACCAAGGAGCCGCGGTGGAACAACTTGAAGGACCTGGGTGTGTCGGTCTTGGCGGTGGCGAGATGCTCGTCGACGTCCCGGCGAATATCCCTTGTCGCCGACGTCCTCGACGGATGGAACTTGCTATAGTACAACAGCATGCTGGTCAAGCCGATGAGCATCCCGCCGACTATTGCGCTCGCGATCGCGATCATCGTGTCGACAGCGATCGAGTCGACGAAGCGCAACGCGTACATCACCAGGAAGACCAAGTTCTGCAGCGCGATCACCGTGTAGAACACCAACACGCGATAACGCGACCTGCCGTCGCACAGATTGAAGAAGTCGAAGCAGTAGATGAGTCCTATGATGCAGTTATAGATGCGCTCCTCCCACACGGTCGGACAGAACTCGGTGTTCTGCAAGATCACCCAGATCGTCATGAACAACCAGTGCAGACCTGAAAGAGAGAAAAGAGGAACGTACGGTTACGCAATGCGAAGAATGCCGATCACTCGCGGTGAATTACAATCCCACGAGCTATAATTAGCGAGCTCTCACTACGCCAGCGAGACTTCGTTTCTATCAACTCATCGATCAGCGATTTGCAATGAACGTTTTGTCACGCATAAAATAATTCCTGCAAGACAATCGATCCTCTCCTGGAAGCTTTCTGGTATATTTAATTACCAAATTGTTGCGCTCAATATTTTCAATATTTCACGATCTTGATCGTACAGTTCCTCGCCTGAGAACTTGTCGGTGTCCAGCCAACAAATGTTTATCGTTTGTGGTTTCGATTCGCGATTTCAGTAACACAGAAGCTTTTTCCGTGTCCAGTTAATAAGAGGAATGAAATTATCAATCGTCCGAAAACAATCGCGAGTCGTGAGCTCTTCTTGATTAGCGGTCTTTTATCGGCACTAAACGCGCCCGTCGACGATCGCGCTGGGCTCGCAGTGTTCGCATTCTTTTTAGTTAGAACGCTATTCCCGTCTGTCTCTCTCGGCACCGCTCACCCAGAAATAATAAGAACCACGCTCTCAGGAAGACGGCAGCCAGCACCAGAACTCCGATTCTCGACAGCAACATACCGCTACGCCACAGAGCCTGAAGAGCGAGCGCCACCCAGGTCGCGTTGTTACGCTCCCGGTTGATATTGTGCATGGCTCTCACGTATGTGCTGACGGCCCACGTGAGAGAACAAAAGGAGGCTATAGCGGACGCACCTGTGGAATACCGTTGTTGACATAAGTACTTCGTTCTTCAACTATATAAAGTATATAAAACAAACTATATAAAATAGAGCGATGTATCTGTTCTTCGACTATAAAGTACGGGGCTAGAGAAGTTGCTTTCTCCTTACTCACTTTCAAGAATGGCTCAGTTTTTTAAATAATCCGGTACCGATATTTTTCCAAGCCCGATGGGAAATCAAGAATCGCACCATTCATGGTGTCATTCGAAGAAATCGAATACGATGCGGATTGTACCGTTGCGGCTCTCGTCGTTGGATCAGCATGTGGTCGAAAAGAACAGAGGGGAGTGGAGGAAACGAAAACCAAGTTACCGCACCAATTGCATCTTCCTTTTTCTTTCACTCCAGTAGTGAGGGAGACCACCTTCTTTTCGGCTATTTTTAAATACGCCGCGAGAATTGTCGTTCATCCCGTTGTTTTATATTTAAAGCTCGAGACAACGACGTATGTGTGTCCGTCACGGCCGGTCGACCGTCGCAGGACATTCGTCGCGTTTCAAATGGAAAACAGATAAACAGCGCGATATTCCATCCGGCTTTCTGTTATCTGCGGAGGCGGCACAGAGACAAAAAAAATACACAGCATGTCGACAGCGTCCGCCGCAGATCCCGCAGACACACTCGAGCACGGCGTCGATACGGTGACGGTGACGGCCCGGTGGTGTAAATAATCCAAGTAGAAGACCAAGTTCTCATCTTGAAATAATGTCGCAGACGCTGTATAAAGTACGCTGTATAAAAGACGCGACGTGGAACGACGAGAAGTTAATAATTTACTCGCTATTGTCAAAGGTTGGATTTCATCAGCTGGTGAAGTGGCTCTTCTCGTTGAAGCAGGTATGCGCGCACTGATAAACGGTAAAAACAGGAATCTCTCGATTGAATGTATAGACAGATAGGCGAGGAAGGTGACACTCTATTACTTCGCAGAGACAAGTGACGATGCTGCAGTTGACCGCGTTGTTAACAATAATCTGCGTTACATTGTTGATACTGGCGCAGAACTCTGCGGAGAGCTCGTACACGGAGACAAACATAGAGACGACCGCGCGAGGAGAACAGATATCGTCAAGGTATGCGTGGTCCGTAACGCGCACCGCGTCTGAAATAATACCGCGAGTAATAATGTCGCGGGAGCAAATGGAGGACGCTCGAAGAGAGTTAAACGCTAGGAAGCGACGGCTGTCGAGCGTATGTGAGACCATCAGCTCGAGGAAATCCTACTTGGACGTCGCGTTGACAAACATGATCGTCGACACGTGAGTAAATTCAAGGAGAGAAAAGGGGGGAGGGAAAAGCGAGGGACAGGCGAAACATTGAAATGAGAAGCGTCTCTCTTGCTCTCTGATTCTTCTGTGATCATGTTTTTTTTACTTTGGTAATTAAGCTGTCATTCGTCAAGCGTAATATTCGACGTTAAGGGGATTAACACGTTGACTGTCAACTACGAGATATCTCGTAAGTTGTTTACTTGCCCAGGACGTCTACTACGAGTTATCTCGTCCCTTCATTACTTGCCATATTTGTACAGCTACGAGAAAACTCGTAGCATAACAGTGTAAACATGAATAGATGGCCTCAGGAAAGAGAATAAAAAATGTTTTAAAAAAAACATTTTTTAAGTTTTTTGATTATTACTATGTACTATTATTAAAGTTTTTAATAATATAACATGATTAAATCAAATTGGCTCTTTAGACCGGAATCGTGAAAAATTTAGTGGCAGTCAACGTATTAACGGTGTTAGTTGAAAATAAAAGCTGCGATTCACAAGGAATCAAAGTGTCACTCTAGACGCTAATTTCAAAGTTTCTCCCAAAGGGAACACAATGTGTCGTGGTGCCCCGTGTACAAGGCGGCGAGTTCCACGTGGATGAGTTACTTCGCCGTACTGAAGGGTATCCTGACCGACAGTATGATGGATCTGCTGCAGCACAATCTCGGTCAACTCGGTGAAATCGTGAGACAAAAGTTCATGCACGGCGAAGACCTCAATACGATGCACGAGGTGAGCTTTACGTTTTATAAGTCAGTGAAGGCCGATCCCATCAACGTTTAACTTCCATTGTGGTTTTACCGATCTTGATAATTGTATCTTCCTGTTAACAAGCTTTTCAAAATTAATATAGCATTAATTTTAAATGAAAATTCCCGGATAAAGAGTTAAAAAATGTTTAATAAACCTAGGTTATATTAAGAAACTCTTAACGTTCAAGCAACGTTCAAGAGAGGGTAGATTAAACGACCATTTGAAAAATAGTTCACACCTGATTGCAGAAAATAATGAAAACAAAGAAGTTCCTGATCGTACGACATCCACTGGAGCGGCTCCTGTCCGCCTACAGGGACAAGTTGGAGCACATGCAAGGCCGCGAATATTACTACAAACGCTTCGGCCGGCGTATCGCGTTCAAGTATCGCCTACCCGGCAACGAGACGAGATTAGAACCGACATTCGAGGAATTTCTTCGATTTATAGTGAAGGAGAAGTTCTTTGATGAACACTGGGCGCCATATTACAGGACCTGCGAGCCTTGTTCCGTGCACTATGACTATATATTGAAATTCGAGACTCTCGATCGAGATGAGAATTTTTTCATACAAGACGCCAATCTCAGTGGATATTTATATGAGAAGAATTATGCGCAAAACATCAATCCTCACGGGAAGACCACTAGAGAAATCCTCAGCGAGTACATCAAGAAGATACCGCGATCACTTCTTGACGAGATTTATAAGATCTATGAGAACGATTACAAGTTATTCGACTATTCTGTCGTCTGACGACTGTTTCAGTTATATTGTACATAGGCAGCTCAAAATTTTTATACGCAGTGTTATTGAAAGGCAAATGAATGTAGTATGTACATGAAACAATGAAGAAAAAGCTTTCCTCGAATGTTACATAAAATAAATATATCCTTAGACATTTAAAGATAAAAAAAAGGAAAAAACAATTGCACAAAAGCGCAAAAGAATAAAATTAAAGCAGGGGGAATAAATTTCTATATAATATATAACATAAAATAAAATAAGGTAATTATGCAGAATAGGTACTTTTTCGAATTTTGAGATTTTTTTGTTGCTATTGTGGTAAAATTTTTTGTTGTGACTCCAAAAGTAATAATGAATCGGGGGAGCCCGAAAAATATGCAACCTACATATTTCTTTTAACAATTTGTGGTAAACTTGTCAAAAGGGTACAGCACCTCCAATTTCGATGAAAATAGACTAATATATGTTTCAATGGTAAATATGGGGTTAAGGGGACCCACTTCTGATGACCTTGAATTTTACATATTTTATCAAGAACACCCTCCCGAGTAATATGCAAAAAGTTTTAGTCCGTGCTTACTGTTCGTTAAAAAGTTACTAACAAATGAAATTAGTGATAAGAGTTTGCACCGAGCATGTGTACACACACACACACACCGAAGGGGGCGTACAGGGAGTCCTTCGGCCCCCCACCCGCACCCCCCCTCGAGGGTTAATGGGTGAAACTCGCTTCACGTGGAAAGTCGCAATAAGTCGCAAACTCACATGTGACTTTCCATATGAAGCGAGTTTCACCCGTTGACCCTCGAGGGGGAGGGGTGCGAGTGGGGGACCGAAGGCCCCCGCAAACTTCCTTCGGTGTGTGTGAGTGTGTGTGTGTGTGTACATATGCTTGGTAAATATGTTGGTTGCATACTTTTCGGGCTCCCCCGATTCATTATTACTTTTGGAGTCACAACAAAAATTTTTACCACAATAGCAACAAAAAAATCTCAAAATTTGAAAAAGTACCTATTCTGCATAATTACCTAAAATAATTATATATAAGAATATCAAAATAACGAAAGGAAACACTTACTTGTCCAAAGTGGAGCATGATGTAATATTGCAATTATATACAGTTGCAGTATCAATTGTGGCGCAGCTCCCATGAATGATTCAAACAAATGCAACATACATATGTCACTCTCTTGCCGGTATACCCAATTCTTGTCCTTGCTAAAGCTTGACTTATTTCTTAGAGAATGCACTGCAGTATAAAACAATGTCAAGTACCTAAACAGAATATAAAGCGACACATATTTACATGTATATTGATTTTTAGTTTCTCACACTTTAGGAAAAGGGGATGTGCAAATAGATAAATACCTGTGCAAAAAGCCTAGGAGTAAAAAGTGCAACAACCAGTGAATAGTCTTCAAGGAGCCGTCGCTGCGATGCCATCTCAAACTAAATAGTTGAGTAACACAAGCGGGTAAGATGGTAAAACCTATTGCAAAGCATCCCCACTCTATGTGGCCTTGCAAAAGGTATTCCACAAATACAATGCTGTCTGTGTGCGAAAAATATTTTACAGAGTGCTTGATCTATGACGGTAAAAGCTTCCTGATAATGCAAATTTCTAAGATAGCATGCTTTGACAAAATACAGGCAAGCTCCACTACATATGAAATAATATGTTGAACAACTTTCACGGAAAAAGATACAAAAAGAGAGGATATATAAACAATTGTCTTTTCAGAAAGAAGTATCTTTTAAGATAGAATACATCTTTTAAGATAGAAGTACATCTTTTAAGATAGAAGTATACATGGTGTCTCACAATTCGCGATATTAACGACAGATTCTGCAATCAATTTATAATAAAGCTTCTCAAGAAAACTGTCAAGAACGAAATCACAATTTGTTACAAATTTTCAACTTTCAATTTTATATAATTTTGAAAAGTCTAGAAGCACTCCTGTCAAAGTAAAATTCACGTAAAAGTAGTCGAAAAATGCGATAAAATTGAAACTTAAATTTTTCGTTGCCAATTTAGTTCCAAAGTGGCTTCGTTGGCGATTCTTTCATCTCAATGTCTCACAATCGAAGAATTGTTCACGCTATGTCGATCATCACTCACCCGTCATCGACCTGTCACCGAATCTGTCATTAAAAGTGAAGCCCGCGAGTTGTGCGACACCTTGTATATGTATACGCGCGTATACATGTGTGCTCTTTGTTCACCTGTTGCTACGTCCGCGAAAAAGAAACTGACCGAAAACGCGTAGTACAGCAGATCCGTTGTGCAAAATTGATACCGCTCGGTCTGCCGGCGCGGAATCGCCGCGGCCGGCTCCTTGCCCGTCGCATTTTCAGCGCACGAAACGTCGATGCATTTTGTCTCGTTTGACTCTGCCGCCGCCATCTTCCTGCATCTTCGCCGGCGCGTTCCCGGCCATTCGCAATTGGTACTTACTCGAATTTACTCGGGCGCTTGCGCCAAGCTCGCCAACATGATCATGCTAATGCATTAGGTTTGTTTTTTATTGCTGAACTGGCTGCACTAACTTGCACTTATTCTCTTCTCTCCTTTTCACTCAACTCCTAGATGTATATTTATTTCTTTTTATGTTCCCAAAGTGTACACTAGTTCAGCGATAAAAAACAGACCTATCGTTGGGTTTGTTCGTTCTTAACTCAGTCCCCCTTTCCTCCGAATCTTCTCAAGTATTCCGTCTCTTCTTTCCAATTGCGATTTTTACATTTCTTCCTTAATCCTCGTCTTTCTCTTTCATCTAATGTACATTTCGTTACGTCTGGAAATGAAAAGTGCAACATATTGCGGTTGAAAGAACAGACCAAACCTGTAGAGGCTTTCATTTCGATTGGCGAGACTGCGTTTCAGGAGCGTATCACGCAATGGAGCATCTGGGGCGTACTGCACTCTATTGGCAGCGCCACGCGACTTTGCACCCGCGAAGTAAGTCTTCGGTACAAGAATTCGAAAGCTTGCTAGGGTGCGAGGGCCTGAAGGGCCGCAAGGCCTCGGCGTACTCGAGAATCCTCGAGGGCCGGTAACGTGCTCGCGGCGAACGGAAGCGGCGGACCGTCAGCGACCGAACTTTCTTCACATACATACTGCACGCGAGAGAGCGCATCGCGAGCATCAGAGCATTGCACACACGTCGAGCAGACGCTCCTCGGCAGGAGCAAAAACATGGCGAGTTTCGATGACTAGCGGTATATGCTATTCAGCGCACGATTCAGCGTGGATATTGTGCTCGTATTGTTATACTGTTTCTCGCTGATAAATTGTGGCAATTTACATGATAGCGCGGACGATGTTCGTGTGATTCACCGATCGATCGATCAGGCTTCGTAGCACGGGCATTTGTGTGAGAACGCTCGATTTCATATTTAACCTTCAACAAAGGAACACAGAGTCTGAGAAGCTAAGAAAAACTAGCGACGAAAGAAACGCTGAGGAAGATATCAGGCTTGGAGATTACTGCGTTGGAATTGCTAAAACGAAAGTCGCTCGGTTTTATGACATTCCATTAACTGTTACGAGAGCTGACGTCAAGTTGTATGCGGTGGTAGGTGCCAGGTAGAAGAGATATCGTCATTCGCGATGTACGGACCACTGTGACCTTTGTAACGAGCAAATGATACATTTCAGAGGCAGAATTAAGGGTGTTGAGTTTTTGATCATGACTCAACATGTATAGCTTTGAGGGAGATTACAGGCGAAAGCCCCAGCAAAATTTATCAGGAGCGAGCAGGAGGGATGAGAAGGCCGTGCTCTTGCAACATGCGCAGTTGGAGAGATTGAAGAGGGAACAGCAACGTAAGAAGCATGTGGCTGCATTGAAAATTCAAGCATATGTACGTAGCTTCATTATCAGGAAGCTTGTATGTGCGCAAAAGAGAAGAGAATTTGACGAGGCTCAACAGGTGACGGGGCGTAGGAACTTGACTTTGGAGGAATTAGTGCCGTATCTGAGAAAGCTCCTATTCTTTTATAATCATGCTCTAGATGCTAACAGACTGATATGGATCCTTCAGCATTTCCTGAAACATCAGAAGGAGATCAAATTGAAATCAGTCAATTCATTACAATGGCTATGGAGATTGCGGTAAGTTGTTTTAAAAAATACAAGGTTCAATATATATTCATAATAATATGATGAAAAAAGCATTAATGAAAGTTGGATCAGTTAGAGCTCAACTTTTGTTCTTTTTACACAAGAAGAGCAGCGTTTCGGTTTCAATTAATCCATCACTATACATATATTTTTGATTGAACACCAAGTCTAATTTTGATACAATAACTTCAATAATCATCTACGAGAGGATATTTGTTTCAAATTTACCTGCGGAATAAAAAATTTTAAAGAAACTACTAACCACGTTTTAAATAATACACAATATACTTGATACAGGTGGATCCTCCGCATCTCTATGCAGTACAATATACAGGCATTGCCAGATGGAGCCTACTCCATGGCGATACCGTTGCGCGTTCTGGAAGTGTTTACGACGCGGGAAGACACGGAAAGGATACTACGAGAGAACAGTTACCGACATCTAGAAAGTATATTCGTCTATTTGATAAAGCACAACTACTTTGAACAACTGAGGAAATTGCTGGATGAGAAAGTGCCGCCTATGCTGGAGGTGTCGTCGGTCGCGCCGACACCAATCTCCAAGTGTCTGCTGGATATGATAAAACGACCGTTAGACTTGATCTCTTACCTCGATCGTAACGAAAACTTCGCCATATTGATGCTGCAGGAATTGTGTAGAAGCATATTCTGTCCCGGTCTGTCTGATCCCATCCGCATGTTCGTCATACCAGCATTGGCGGAATACAAAGACTTCCCGTACGTCCAACTCATCAGCTGTATCAATCGATCCAACCTGGTAGCCACGATAAATCTGCTTTACTGCGTTTTGTCATTGGAATCTAACCAGATTTGTAAGTAAATAGAAAAAAATCCATTAAATCGATAATTTTAAATTAAAAGCTTTTATATAGTTCTTACTTGTTTATATACATATATATATATATAGTTGATATATACAGTCTTTTATTGTTTCTTTTTTGGCGTAATTGTTTTGAGAGAGGAAAAGAAAAAGAGATAACATTACGTAATTAATGATAAGATATCGCATTTTGATAATGAAAAATATGGTACTGTGAAACGACGTTTAAAACGAACGTTGTAATTTCATGTTCGACGAGATACACGAAATTAGGAAGTTCAAGAAATTCGCTAAGTAATCTTCATTTGCAATTATAATAATCATTTACAAGCATAAAAATAATGAAAGTATAATGGGCAAAGTACGATTGTTCAAACGTTAAACGAAGATCCAGTGGTGTTGACCATCGATCCACTATATTAACATCGTTTATTATTCACGCAGAATTTTACGCTGTAGTTATTAAATTCATATAATTCATTTATAGCATCCTGCAAGTCTGAGGACGCGCTGAGGAATTATCTGCAAGTGCTCGCGTCGCTCACCTCGACCATCATGCCGCTAATCGCCGAACAGACTATGAAGCAAGCCGATGATTCGGACAACGACGAGTCCAACACTAACGTGAGCGATCAACAGCAAACGAACGTGACACGATCACTCGAGATGCTGAACGAGCAGCAACGTGTAAGCGGCATATTATCAGCGGTGGACCGTTTCTGGGACCCTGCGGCCTTGCTGCAGCCACTGTGCGAGCTCTGTCATCACTTGTTAATCATCGACAAGCTGGCGGTCCACAAGTACAAGCTGCTCTACACTCTCGCTTTCAAGCCTATGTTCCTCAAGCATCTGTGGACGACTCTGCTGTCAGTCTGCCAGATATCGCTGTTCGGCGGCGCCACGCCACTCCTGCAAATCATATCGCGTGGCATCGCTCTCTCCGCGGAAGACACTGACAGAATAGTACCGTTGCTAGCGGTGTTCTGTTCGCTGTTTAGCTTGCTGATCGCGACCTTGCACGACACCGAGTTCTTCGTCGAGCACTCGTCCGCGGAAGAGACGTCGGACAGTGGACGGCAACAACAGCACCAACAGCAACAGCAAGCCATACCATTCACCACGTCGGAGTTGGTTGTGTTGTCGAGTCACCTAAAAGGTGTCTGCCTAGGTCTGGTGGAACTAGCATTTCCCGATACTCGACCGACAGTACGTGACGACTACAAGAACGCAGTGTTGGGCCCTGCGTCAACTGTTCAGAGTCGACACGATACGCAAATCTGGACTCACTTGTTCAAGGTGACGGTAGGACTTCTTCGACAGCTGCACACGCGCGATTTGCGGCGTCAGTTTTGTCCAGACGGTCATTGGATAGCGTCGAACGTGATGATTCCCATCGACAAGCCGGAAGACTTTGCATTCCGCAGACGTAGACTACGAGGATATGTTCCTTTCCAGAGTCTGCGAGCTTTCACGAGAGAGGAGCTGGAGGAGGGACCGCCGTTGTCCGCCAAGGAAGTTCGTACACTGACGCTGTTGCGTGAGATACCCTTCGTCGTGCCGTTCAATAATCGAGTGGTAGTGTTTCAGTCGTTGATCTACAAGGATAAAGCGGAACAGCAGGGCGAAGTGCCTCATTTTATGCTGCCGGCCATACAAATTTCCGTCAGGCGGAATTACCTGTACGAGGACGCGTTCGAGAAGCTCTCACCGGAAAACGAACCGGAATTGCGAATGAAGATGCGAGTGCAACTCGTCAATACCGCCGGGCTCGAGGAAGCCGGCGTCGACGGTGGCGGTCTCTTTCGCGAGTTCCTGTCCGAGCTGCTGAAGACATGTTTCGATCCGAACCGAGGCTTCTTCAAGCTTACCAAGGACAACATGCTCTACCCGAACCCCACGGTTCAACTGTTGTTCGACGACTTCCCCAAGCACTATTACTTCATTGGCAGGATCCTCGGTAAGGCGTTGTACGAGAATCTGCTGGTGGAATTGCCGTTCGCTGAGTTCTTCCTGTCGAAAATTGTCGGTCGACAATCCGACGTAGACGTGCATCATTTGGCCTCCTTGGACCCCATCATGTATCGCAATCTGCTGTATCTGAAGAGCTACAAGGGCGATGTGGCTGATCTCGGGCTGGACTTCACTGTGTTGTCCGACGAGCTGGGCGAGAGGCGAGTGGACGAATTGAAACCCAGCGGTGCCAATATTCCCGTAACTAATCACAATCGCATCGAGTACATCCACTTGATGGCCGACTACAAGCTGAACAAGCAAATCCGCGCTCAGTGCTATGCGTTCAAGCAGGGCATAGGCAGCGTGGTTCCGCTCGATTGGCTGCAGATGTTCAACAACAAGGAACTGCAGGTGCTAATATCGGGTGCACAGATCCCCGTGGACGTCAACGACCTTATGCTGCACACCAACTACACGGGAGGATACGCGTCCGACCACCCGACTATCACTGCCTTCTGGAAAATCGTCAACGAGTTTAATGATCAGCAGAAGGGCCAATTGTTGAAGTTCGTCACCAGTTGCAGTCGTCCTCCTCTCCTGGGATTCAAGGTACCGTATCATTACATTATAATTCTCACCGATCCAACATGCTACGTCATGTTGATCTGGAAGACACATCTTTCATTGAATACAACACATTTCATCCTGTCTCTTGGTATAATTCCTAGTTGCCAGTTTATCTTCTTACTCTCGTATTCTCTCGTTTGTAGGAACTCGACCCGCCGTTTTGCATCCAGCACGCCGGTATCGTGGACCGTTTGCCAACCTCGAGTACCTGTATGAATTTATTGAAGCTTCCCGAGTTTCCGGACGAAAAGACTCTGCGCGAGAAACTTTTGTATGCGATACAGGCGGGCGCAGGCTTCGAGCTCAGTTAAATCTATCAATTTACTTTGTTGCCGCCTTCGTCAACGACTTCGTTTGTTCGACCTCATTGTAAATACGACCCTCAAACTCCGAGTACACCAGCAGTAGAAGAGGCGAGGTATCCCCGTAGATGTTATCGTTTTCTTTTTCTCTACTTTGCAAAAAGACTCAGAGTATTCGAGGAGACCCAAGCGCGCTGAAGATGTTAATGTTAACAGGAGGGGCCAATTACTAAGTTATGATATCTACGGAGATCTTTACCGATACACTATTTGCAATTGTGCCGTTTGTAAAGAAGAAAAGAAAAGCCGAACAAAGAACGCAGTGTCTATTGTCGTGATACACGTGCGTGCATGTGTGTGTGTGTGTGTGTGTGTGTGTGTGCGCGGATATTTTTTTCAGTTCCGACTTTTCCACCTTTGGCCTACAACTGTAAATTCTGTATATTTCGATGTTTTATATATTTCACCATGAATGTGTCTCTACGACTTATTATATCCGCTTGGAGAGCGAGAGCATAGATATATGTATGTATTTATGAGATAACGTTAAGTCAGTGTAAATAAAATATCTCGAAGTTGAACGCGTTGAACCTTAATCGTATTGTTCGCGCGAAGAATCACAACCCCTCTCGTCTCATCGGATTGCACTATTCACAGCATTGGGCACAGTGTTGGAGGCATTTATTCCCTCCGAACCTTTTGCGCGTGTCAATTTACGTCACGCGTGTAACTGCTTATCATACTCGTACCTAAATGGAATATTGGGGGTTTCTGTGCGGTATTTATTGTGCCGCATAAATCCGCAACTCTGTAACTCAAAGCGTACTCAAGAAAATTAAGAAAAACTAAATTTTTGGTAGCCCCGTACTTTTCGAATTTTAAGTTTTTCTTTATTGTGCCGTATTGTGCTATACATATATGTTTGTGCTGATTTGTGCTGTAAACGCGAGACCGATAACTTCAATAACATCTGAGAAAAAAAATAACGAAAATTTGCCAGCCCCCCATTTTTGTCCGAATGAACTCAATTTTTGTTTGTAAATCCCTACAAATTTGTGTCATTTAAAGAAATTGGATATCTCCTTTTATCCAGTAGAAAAAATGTTAAAATACAAATTAACAAATAACTTTTTCTACAATGCGTTTATCGCAAGTCTGCAAGTTGTGCTGAATTGTGCTAACCGAGTACAATAAGAAACCACAGATGTATCGAAAACTACTCAGATTGCAGAAACAATTTACAAAAATGCTTAAGCATATGCTCTGAGATTCTCTCTGTGCGTACGACGCGTGTGTGTATGCGTGTGTATGCACATGTACGTCACGTACACTTTAAATGCAACATACGCACACGGACACACATTGCGGTAGAAAACGCCTGACGAAGTATAAATAAATACTAACGTAATGCTGAAACATTTTGGGAAAATAATTTTGGGTACAAAATATCATCTTGTATCATATATTTATAGGATATTAATTTTATATGTATGTATATATACTATACGTATGTAATCTTCATGATATTAATCATGTAATCATACATAATCTTAATTCTTATTTTTTTCGCATGTTAACATGTTAATTCATGTTACAAACACATAATGTGCGAGATCGTACTTGTCAAGTACGCTATTATGATTGTAGCACGGACATGAAAATGCCGCCTGAAAGTGGATGTGGCAACGTAGTTCCCTTCTCCCCCTTCCCTTTTCAAAATAGATGCAGATGGCGTTCTTTCTCAATGCGGAAAATCGGTGTTGCTGAAAACCGTATTGGCCGCTCTCAGTACCGCAATTCTGTAACTCGTTATTGGAGTTAACGACACTTTCGTTATCGTTGCGCAGCTTTTGTATATCGTAGAAAAGCTGCGCAACAATAACGAAACTGTCGTTAACTCCAATAACGAGTTACAGAATCGCACCACTGGGGGCTATATTCGTACCTGCATATCGACAGTTGGCGTCGTCGTAGCAATATTGCGCAGCTTTTTTGTTATATGAAAAACTGTAACTCGTTATTGGAGTTAACGACAGTTTCGTTATTGTTGCGCAGTTTTTCTATGGTATACAAAAGCTGCGCAACGATAACGAAAGTGTCGTTAACTCCAATAACGAGTTACAGAATCGCATCACAGGTTTCTTTCTGCTTGCGGCTAAGGCTAATATTACAATGTGTTAAGTAAAAGCGTTATTCATAAAAAATTTATTCAACAATTTTTTTTTTTACATATATACATTTGACATGTTCCAAGGCAATGCGCAATTATGTTAATAACGAGTCCAATCACCACCAGCATCGATAATCGCTTGGCATCTCCGAGGCATACTATCCACCAAATATTCGAGGGGAAGTGCCTTCCAAATGTGTCGAATTTCTCGGGAGAGCTGCTTCAAAGTGAAGACACATTTTCCTTGAAGCTTCTGCTTGATGTAGGCCCAGACATTTTCGATGAGATTAACATCAGGCGATTGTGAAGGCCAATCAAGTGTGATGATGCCATTTTCCCGTTTCCAGTCAGTGCAGAGTCGGCTCCGGTGTTTGGGACTATTGTCCTCTTGCAAGATCCATTCTTCGTCTTTTGTGATGAATTGACGTTCGGCAGTCGATAACAAGGCTTTCTTGTAAATTTGGACCATCTTGGGAGCATTGAGGTTGTCGGTACAGAGGTACAAAACGCCAAAACCCTTCTTTGAGAAACAGCCCCAAAGATGCACCTTGATTGGATGTTTGACAGTGCGCTGGACGAACTGGTTTGGGGAGGAACACCATGCCCGTGGAATAATTACAAAACCCCAAACAGAAGCTTCATCAGAAAAAACTACATTACTCCAGTCACGATCAATGTTTTTCTGGGCCCAGGCGAGTCGTTTGGCAGCATGTTTTTCGGACAGCAGTGGTTTCTTCAATGTACTCCGCCATTTCAAATTATTTGCACACAAATATTTACGAACAGTAACGTGCGATACGTCCAGTCCTTTTTGCTTCAATTTCGCTTGCCCTTGACGCAAGGACAAGCCAGGATTCCGCGAAAACAATGTCACGATCTGTTTTTCATTCTTTTTGGTCACTTTCTCTATTGAACCACGATCTGGAAGGTCGTCGACATTTTTCGACTCTTTAAATCGATTCACCCACTTCTCAACAAACGCCTTCGACTTTTTAATGTACTTGGCTGCAACTGCATAAGACATTTTTGGCCCTTTTGGGTGCGTGCAAAGAAACACGACTTCGAAACGTTTCGCGTACACATTACTCATCGCGGTTTCTGTTTCTCTGACAAAAGATCGACATAGGGCCGTATTCATAGTCCGGTCTTATATTTAAGATCGTCTTAAGTTCATCTTCAGATGCTGTATAGATCATTTCATTAGCTATAGAATATCTGAACGTGAACTCAAGACGGTCTTAAATATAAGATCCGACTATGAATACAGCCCATAGATTGAAATTTTTTCACCAAAGCGCCAAAGGCGGAGGTTCTCTGAACCTGATAAAAAAAATTTAGGTTTGTATAACTTACCGACTACGAGTAATGCCGTACACGCTCTTACTTAACACACTGTACATGTGTCGTACGACAAGCTTTTCGGATACTTTGATTGACTTTGATGACCTAATCTACAATACGTGTCGTAAGTTGTAAGCCGTAAGAATTGGCGAATCACAGTCGATTATTACAAAAATAATCAGCTATAATTGGTCAATTCTTACGGCTTACAACTTACGATACGTATTGTAGAATGACCTTTAACTTTCAGATTCGGCTTCCACGTCAAAATACACAAGATAGGTGAGTGAGCGAAATTCAAGGTGATGCTCGTCTTCTAAATAATTACCCTCTTTTTTACTGCACTGCTGAATTGCTAGAGTGTAAAAAAATATAGTTGTCTCATTTTAATTTATTGCACCAGTTCAGCAATGCAACTAAAAAGAACAGACTCTAGGAACTCTAGGAATGAAAAGTGTAATATAAGCATTTCGTAGTAATTTCGTCAGAGGCGTTGCTATCGTCAAACTCATATTTCGTGACATGAACTGTAACGTCATAATTTAAATTTCTTTTCAATACGAAAATACGGTTTCATTTAGCTTCCTTCCAGAATTCATCTGAGTCATTTGAGTTGTCACAATCCTGGAGGACAAACGAACGTTCAATTGAGGTGAAGTTGACAAAGAAAAGGTTAGATTTTAAAATATTTTTCCTTTATATCTTAACTAATGCAAGATATGGGAGAATAATCCCAAACGTATTCAGATTGTCCTAGAGTGTCATTATCAAATATTCAGGATGATCCTAAAATACTTTGGGTTATTGGAAATATCATCTCGCAAATCTAAGAATCTGCACTTCAAATTATGACGGCGTTACGCAAATTCTCGCGATCTCTATTCATTTGGCATAATTAGAATTCTCGCATCTTATGTTTTAATAAATTTTTACTCTCCGAATACAAGTTATCCGCTTGTGCGAACTGGCATGAAATGTGAAATTTGCGCAGCCGCTTTTAAATTGTTGAATTTAAAATGGAGATTTAAAATGTTGAAGTGTTTCAAAACATGTATTTTAAGAAATTACATATCATACATGGCGGAAATTGCATCATTTAACATATGTAATTCGCATTTTAAGTAAAAATATGAATTTATAAAATGGTAAACCAATTTTAGTCGGCAGCTTTAACTACAAGAGAAAACTGACTTATTTGACGAAAACCGCGCGAGAAATTGTCATCGGACTGAAAGATTCTTTAACAAAATCACATCGTGACATTGGTAGTTACGAGAAGATGATTCATCGAGCCGCTATGCTTTACTTTATTATATATCCCGTGTTTGTGTATAAATAGAACTGAAGTTGATGTGTTTAATAATATTTATTGACCTCTTCGACCAAACACTGAATAATTCAATCGTTTTGTTTTGTTGATTAAAGGGAGCTTTATCGAGTGGAATAAGTATATATAACATATAAAGAAGTACTGGGGGATAAGTGCCTCCTTCGGCCAGATTTCGGCGATGACGTATACTTTCCCTCTGCTATCGCTTTCGGCTTGACGACCGAGCCGCCACTTAAAAGTCTTTTGTTCGCCTCCGTGGCAGTTGGATTCCCGTAACTACGCATATTTTTGATCGTGGAAACTGCGTACGCGTTATTCCTGTTTTTCTTTTACTTTCGTAATCATTGACTGGCGTAGGAGATAGAGTATAATAGTTCTGCTCAGAGCCATTTATTGAGCCAGAACCAGACCGAGCCGCCAATCGCACGTGACATTTGTTTTCAGGAGCGTCCGCGTATGAAAAATACGTTGCTCACACAGCAGAAATATTCAAAATATATCACAGGGATATTCTGAAAATATTGTGATATTCTTATGGATGGGATCGTGCCAAACCGTCATTAGAATTTTAACGATAGATTTTTATATCACTTGTGAGGTACTATTGTTGGTACGTTTTTTTTCTTGAGTCATTTCCTCACTGGGCTTGTTCCAGTAAAAATTGATAAAAATGAAACATTATGACTCTATTCTAATGACGGTTTGGTGGAAAGTACGGTCCCGCGTATTTTTCATACGCGATGAGTCCTTATTCTCGAAAACTTGTGAAAAATATCGTATACGATATTTCATCAATAGGGCAATTTAATTAGCTGAGTATATCGTCCTAGACAGCACATGATCTCCTGGGAACGTCCTGTGAACGTCCTGAGGATGAAGAAACGTCCTCAGAACGTCCTTAAGACGTACTCTGGACGTCCTCTGAACATCTGTGCTGTTAGGGCGTGATATCTAATGACATTCATGAAATATTGTACGAGACATTTTTCAAGAATACGGTCCTTAAAAACGAAACTGTCGGCGGCTCGGCCGTCAAGTCGGAAGCGGTAACCCAGACAGAACAGAAAATCGTGATGACATAAAAATGACGTAAAAATGATGAGGAAAACTCATTTTTTTTCATTATGATTCAGTCATTCTCTCGTCATTTTAATGTCGTCATGATTATCTGTTCTGCCTGGGTAATAAAGAGAAAGTAGGTGCCGTGTCTGAAATCCGGTCGAAGTGGACACTTATCCTCCAGCATTGCTACAAAGCAACAGGTCTTTATTTTATCTTGCCTGATTTATTTTGTGTGGCATATTTTAAAATTTTTATTAGTTTTCTTCCAACGATCCATTACACGGTTTGAAATAACATTAGCGCAGCGAGATAAGAATGGTCAATGCAACGAACGTTATCATTGATTGCGACGCTGGTGTAGACGACGCTCTAGCACTGTATCTTTTTCTGGTCGCTCACAAACACCGAAAGCTTCGTATTGAAGCCGTGACATGCGTTTATGGAAACACCGACGTCAATAATGTAGCGTCTAACGTATTAAGAGTGCTTGAACTATTTGATAACTATAATGTAAGTAATATTATTGTGTATCAAAATTTACTTACAATAAACGAATGTTGTCTGAACTTTATTTTATCTTCATCTTATGTCTTCATAGATCAAGCTAAAAATTGTGTACATTAAATGCTATTCTTTTAGATACCAGTTCATATGGGAGCTTACTCCCCCCTGACAAGTAATAAAGAATACTCAAGAAAAAAGGAGGATCAGTTTTATGGATCAGACGGATTCGGCGACATCCTCAAGCAACCGGATCTCACAAAATTGCGATTTTCTCATGCCGTATATGCTCTACATAAATATACGTCAGATAATAAAGGTAATACACAGAGTATATTTTATCATAGTTATGTAGTACATAGTTATACCATATATAGTAATTTGCTGCTCTTTGATTGAAGGTAACATCAGCATAGTTTGCCTAGGTCCTCTGACAAACATCGCATTGGCCATAAATCTTTACAGAGATTTCAAGCAGAACATGAAAGATCTCTATATAATGGGGGGAAGCTTAACTGGTAACTTTATAATTATTCAATTATTAATTTATTATGTTGAATTGATCAAACATTTTTAACTTTATTTTCCGAATGTACTTCAAGGTCAAGGTGATATAAAACATATAACATTGAATTTTTATTCTGATCCGGAGAGTGCATCACTCGTGCTCGACAACGTCACTAAACCTATATACTTGTTGCCATGGGAAACCTGCTTGAAGTCTCGTATATCATATGTATGTATTAAGTTAAATTATAAGATCACATACTTGAAAGACTATCAAATAATTAATGTCTTATTGGTACAGGTCTTATCTGACTAGTAACATTGTAAATTAATTAGCACCATTACAAATTGATAATTTTTAGACTGTAATTGCAACCAATTTTTTAGGATTGGCGCGTAAACATACTGGGAAAAGTAAATACACCTTTCATACAAATGTTGAATAGAGTCGAAGATATCTGTCAACTCATCAGAAAGGGTCGAAAAATAGGGAGAAGCTTGGATGCCCAACATTATGTAATAAGCGACGCAATTTTAGCTGGTATTGTTATAAGACCTGACATGGCTAGGAACATTTGTGCGTGTTATGCAGACGTTGAATTACACGGCAGCAAAACTCGGGGTCAGATTGTTATTGATCGTGGATCAATGAAGAAAAACGTACATTTGATAGAGAATTTCGATTCGGAAACATTAAAACAATTATTACTGTTTGCAGTAAACCCTGACCAAAAAGACAAGTCAGTTTTATACTCACAAGACCCCACAAATAAAAAAATATTAAATGAAGACAAAAATGCATTTAAATAATTGTAAAAAGAATGAATAAATAAAAGATTCAATGGCTATAAAAGATTAAAGCATATCTTATGAATTTCTTCGATGTACAGTATATGATATTTTTTGGTTTTTAAATTTATACAAAAATATTTCTTTGTTCTCTTAATAATAAATAATAATAAATAAGTAAATAAGTTTCTAGTACTTTCATTATTAATAAATAAAGTGAAGATCATTAATGTTCCAACTATTTGTGTAATTAGAAAGCGTAATTAATCGCAACTAATTATACATAAAGTGATAAAAAATACCTTATCAACAATTAAACGAACTCTATCACTCTTTATAGTTAGAGAAGATATTTTTATATAACATTTAAATATTATTTTTTCATAACAGAAGCGGTTATTATATAAAAGTAAGAAGAAACAAACCATGGGTAAATTACAACTGTAGAAAGCAAGTCGATAAAATATATGCGAGAAACATATCGTCATGAATTCACTTTCAAGAATACAAGATTAAGGAACACGATATGGAGCTAATGACTTTGGTGCCGGACTTCAAGATAGTGCCAAATACTCGTGTACGCGTATTCTTTAGAAAATTTTATACACATCATTGCAAGAAAAATAACGAAATATAAAAGCATACTTATCTAAGAATACTTATATAAAAAATAAATTACCTAGTTGGAGTTTTCGTCTAAGCTTTTCTGCTCACTTGTTAATGTTTAATCATTTATGTAGCATTCACCGTGCGTGAAACATATTTGCGAAGTGCCGACAGAAGAAGATCCACTGACAACGCTGATTCCTGGAAGAACTGCCTGGCCAATATTGCGACGTTGGATCCTGAGTACGCGGATAGCGTCTCGCAGACATCCATTTACGCGATGGTATCTGAAGAGTAGCAAGGCGTTTTATTATGAGATTAGCCGGCACATCCAAACTTATCCCTATATGATTCATCCCTTCAGTTCATTCAGGTAGATTCCTGCAAAAAATAATACTGGGTTAAAATTCAAATTTCTTAAAACAATTTCTATCTTCATAATTTTATGACGAAAAAACTAAGCGTTATTTCGTATCTACAATTTCCCTCCACTGCTGAAGCAAAATTAAATATATGTATATATATGTATATATGTATGTATGGGTGTGTAGAATAACATGGGAAACCGTGATGACACTGTTCATCGTAGTAGCTCTGATAGTCACACCGACTCTTTTCACGTTCTACTCTGAGAATCACGAAAAATGGCATATTAATCACACGATCAACGTTGTGTTCATCTGTGACATAACGATACGATTTTTCACCGGTTACTACGACTATCAAACACAATCGATAGTTCTAAACCCAAAAATCGTAGCGAGGTATGTAACAATAACTTAAAGTAAAAGTAATCACTATTAATTACAACTATCAAACAGAACTTATGATACTTCATACTTTTAAGAAAATCATCTTATGAAATTTTCCATAGTAATGAGTATTTTATATTACAAAGCTTTTTTCTCTCTATTATAATTGATTGCTTCCCTCAAATTGTTTTAAATCTGTATTATCCTAGAGAAAATATGTAGAGATCAAAATTTTTCTATTAACTCTAAAAAATATAAATCTAAATATAAATAAAAATATAAATATTAAACGGTATATATGGAGAATATAAGTTTTTTTCCGTTAAAAACGCAACGCAAACAATTCTATCCTAATTCGCAGCAAGTACTTGAGGGGATTCTTTGTCTTGGATATATTATCTGTATTACCTTTAGAACTTCTTACTACGGTTCCCGAATCGGTATGGTACCTGAAGTCATTGAACCTGCTCAAAATATTATGGCTACGGATCATGCTCGTATATTCACGCAGACTTTATTATGTGCAGTTTACTGTGTTACCCTTTCCTCTTTACAAAAAAAAAAAAAAAAACTAATCATGTGACAATTAACATCAATAAATTGTAGATGTACGGAATAAACTTTCACTTGTATAAAATCGCGGAGGTGGGCGCTATTCTCGTCGTATGCGTGCACTGGGTTGCCTGTCTGGAGTATTATATACCGTTAGTTGTCGCTAAGTTAGCCGGATCGGATGACGAGTTAGTAAATTGATCAAAAGCACCGAGCGAAACGTCATAGGGAACGATGGTAACGAGGAAAATTTTGAAATTACAGGTCGTGGATTCGATCGCCTTACATGTTGAAGAGAGAAACCAAATTCCGAATTTATCTAGCTTGTATGCACAGAGCTCTCATTGCACTAGCCGGCTCCGCACATTACTTAAATATGTGCACGACGGAAGATATAGTGTACAATTTAATTCTCACTATCCTCGGTTCTCTCAGTTTTATTTACTTGCTAGGTGAACGAATAACATTTAAATATATTATAAACTCACTGAGCGATATTCCCCAATCTCTTTGCTCGAATTGATTCTCATTACAGCACGATTTTCGCAATTACTGACAACGTTTCACTCCACCAGCAAGAGACACTTGAAATTAACTCAACAGCTGCGGCAGTACATGAAACATAAGGAACTTCCATACTTCCTGCAACAACGGTTGCTGACATATTATAACTTTCATAACAGAAAAGGGCTCGAGAGAGACAAGCAAATTATAAAATATGTGTCACCTTGTTTGCGAGAGGTGTGTTTAAAAAAGCGTTTCGTGTTCCTTAAAATTCAATTCAATTTCAGTAACTTTAAAATTAGTTTAGTTTGAAAAAAATTAACTTACTCAACCTTGTTCCTCGAACATGTAACATCGTGCAAAATAACTTATATAATATTATGAATTACGTGCATGATATTGCACATTTAATCTTCAACGGTCTCAGAAGATTCTTTTACACAACTATACGAGTCTGCTAAATAATGTGGAGCTGTTCAGACACCTGCCGCAGATAGTAGTGACGCAATTGGCTGGCGCACTGCATTCGGAGATTCTTATAACGAATGACGTATTGATCAAGGCTGGCACACGTGGCGACGCATTACACATTATCGCCTCCGGCACCGTGGCCATTTTTAATAATATAGGAAAGGAGGTGAAAAATCAGTGATACTTTTTGTTTAAGAATTAAGCCTGCGCTCCGTTGAATTCAATATAGTACTTGTTTTTACCTTAATATATTACATTATATGTCCACATGTTAATGTAACTTCTGCTGTTACATCTGCTTCTTCTTAGTTTAGTGAATTGTAACATATGTCTTGTTTACTAATATCTTTTACATTTAAAATTGAATTGAAATGGACCAGACGCTAAATCTGAAATAGAATCGGGAAGAATAATGCATTACTTTTTTCCGCAAAAACCTTCAAAACTGTGGTGATTCGACGAAGCGCAGGTTCTTTAAATTAATCAAATTATTCATTAAACGTTCTGTGACGCACGCAGATTTGCCACTTGGAAGACGGCGCGTACTTCGGCGAGATAGCATTAGTGATGGAGGACGAGTGGCGGATCGCTAGCGTCGTGGCTGTGGAGAATTGCGAAGTGCACGTTCTTTCGCGCGTCAGCTTCCAACGCATCCTGATGCCGTATCCTGATCTATTAAATCATCTAAGAAACGTTGCGCTCACGTTCCTGGAGCAAATGCTGCCGCTCGAGGAGGCGTACGAACTAGATTCCTCGGCATTGACATCCGTTAAGATTAACATCAGTAGCATAAAGACCAAGAGGAGGGACTGAGTTGGCGAACAAGGTAAAGCAGATGCGCCCAATTGTTCTGATAACTCGATGTCCTAGCAAGAATCTTTTTAATCATCTGTTAAAAGCGAATTTAATTAGCTTTTTGAGATCAGGAGGTTCAGTGATGAAATATTAGAGTATTATCCAGTGTTATCCAATGTTAGAAATATCAAAAAGAAGAGAAATAAAAAAATTTCGTATGAGATTTCAAACGAAGTCATTATACTACGTCATCTTGTGCGACGTCATCTTCGCCTCTTTTATTCGTCTCGTAAATACTCAATTTATATTTTTTCATATTATTTAACCATTAACTATATATATATATATATATATGTGTGTGTGTATATATATATACTATATATATATTTTATTTTTTCATTTAATTTAATAGATTGAAAAGTATATCAACTATATGTTTATAACAATCGAGACAACGAAAAGTTCAACAAGTTCGTCAAATTCTCAGTATAATAGTGACGAATCAACGACCAACAATAATCGTTCTGTTTACAAACTTAAAGTGTTCATATTTCTCACTAATCACGCTATAAAATAACAGCTTTGGAGAGTCAGCGTCTCGTATGCGTGGAATGTTTTCTTCGTTTCACAGATTAGATTGAGCGAATCAAGTTTCGTTTTCTACTTTTCACTCGCTTATCTGCGGCGACCGGATCGTTTCACGCTCGGCGGAAATGGCGCGCGTCAGAAGTGACGGGCTCGTCTCCTCTGCGGGTTCCTGTATGACTGCTGATACACGGACATGAGGCGCCAATGTTCCGGATAATCGGCATCCCGGCAGCCGTGGATCACGCTGAACGGCGGTGCCAAGGTGTCGATACAGAAAGCTCGTCTAGCGAACGGCGTTCGCGGTCTTGGCACTGTCATCTTGGCCGGTGGCAGGCCGTTCCTACGGATGTCATCGCTCTTCCCTTCGACACCGAGCGCGATTCCTACGGCGGATCTGATCAGTCGTGGATCCCGTCGTCTCTCCTCGACGATCTCCTTCGATTCGCAGGCGGCACACCTACGCTCGGTGACTCGCGGCACGGAATTCATTCGCGCGGACTTCCTGCCTCGTGGGAGTTCCGCCACTTCCGCTATGGCGACCGATTTCATGCCGTCGCAGAGGCACTCGCAGCAGCATCGATCCTCCGAAGTCAAGTTCGCCTCTCGTTTGCCCTTCTCGCCCGCGCAACCGCACTCGCGATGGTCGCCCTCTTGGCCGTGAGCAAGGAGCTCGCGGTTCTTCGGTGCCGGCGTATGCTGGATCAGAGCGAAAATCGCCGGCGCCGAGCCGCCGTCAGAGCCGTCGATATGCATTGCCTTGCGCGGCTCATACACAGGATCGATCGGAGTCTCCCAGCAAATCGCCAGGTCCATCCTGGTCTTGGGCTCTTTGCAACCGAGTGCGGGTGTGAAGCGATCTCGCTTCGTCAGGACGTTCGCTCGATTCCGATGTTTGGCGTCGCAGGTAGCCGAGCAAGAACGATAGCCGTGCGCGGCAACCGTCATATTCTTGAACACGCGGTCGTCCACTTTATCCGGGAGCGGCTGGTGCTGCAGGTTCTCTGCGTGCAGCCTCTTCGCCAAGGCGAACTTGTCATAACACGAATTGGTCTCGATGGCTTCGCCTATTCCCTCGTCCTCCTCTTTTTCTCTCTTGTCCTCGTTGACGGTTCTTCTCCGTGACTTCGGGCATCCTGATGCGTGTTTCCTTGAGGTCGCAGAATCGCGACCGCATCGGCAGCAACATCCGCGAGGTTCGTTGGCCTTGCGAGCGATCGATTTGCCATGACACTCGTACGACTCCATGTGGCTCATCTTCTTCCCAAGCACCGCGAGAATTACGTTTACCAACAGAAATGATTTTAAAAGAATCTTGTAGGCTCGATGATCAACTCATTCGAGTCTCACTTGATCCATCGAGGATGGCTAAAACGAGAAATACTCGGTTCTCCTCTTCCTTTTTGCTATTCATGATATTAGACAATGACCTCTTCGCGCTTAGATCATCTCCCTCTCTTCTTCGACGGTGTTCTTCGCAGTCGCTCGTGAGTAACGGCATGCTGTATAATCCAATTCTCGACGATATCGTTTCGTTGCTGATATCCGATTAAAACCAACAGTCCTCATATCGTTTCTGCGCCGAAATAAAGACGCTCGTTCGCAGTGCTTGGTCAGCTTCCTCTTTACCTGGAATGTATACGCGCGACTGTTAATGAATTAATTTAAGGAAGAGAGAGACGCGCGAGCGGCACGTTTTCCCACGGAATGACCTCATCTTTCGATTCGGGGCTCGCCGCCCATTGAATCGTTCTTCATCTTCGGCCACTGTCGGCGAATTACGTACGAATGCCCGAACATCACCGTAGGAATGCTCAGACGGAGAACTCGAGAGTGGCGGAATTCGATGGCTCTCGGTCTCCTTGGCGACATAATAATTCGATAGCTGGTTTGCTATATTTATTAGCACCAGGCTCACACAGCAAACCGGGGAATTCGTAGACGGTCAGTGTAGGGATTGTAGCGTTCTAGGAAAGAAACGAGCTCGTAAGAAAATTGGTAATGAGGTATTATGGTTAACTATGGAGGAAAGTCGTGCGTTGGGATTTTGCTAAGGCTCCATTCTGGCTGCGTTACTGAGAAAAAAGGAAAGGTTCCCGGTAACATTCTAGGTCACACGCGAACGTCACGAGTCGCAAAACACCGGGAAGGTAGGAAACACCGATGATGACTCGTCGTTGCTCCTGCGTGTGGCTCGAAATTTTTGCATATATTACCTGCAGATCGCCGGTTGAGATCGTGCGTTGTACACACTCTCTCTCTTTCTCTCTCTCTCTCTCTTTCCCTCATGAATATCTCGAGCGACCACGCACGAGAAGGCACGCAGAAGAAAATTACGCAACTTTTTCCTTATCGCGTCTGTTTATTAGAACGATTACATCATGAGGAAAACAAGGCGAGAAACAAAGAAACAGGTCAACATAGCCGAGGAATTATTTGTAGCGGCGAATCCACGAATGAGCAAACTTGTTCTGGATCGTTGCCATTCTCCCTTCCACCTACCGTTTAGCAGGAAGACCTTGGACGCGGAAATACGACTGAAACCTACGGCTTTACGCACGAGATCACGTGCTGGCGTAAACGACGATATAATCACGAAGTCATACTCGTTTGCGAGTGTCGACACGTTATCGTTTCCGCTTCCTGAGTATTCCGCTGCAATTATGCACGTGACAACATTGGTATAGTGTTAGAACAAAGATAGTGAACAGGCCCGGTCGCGAGCAGCAGGTGTGTGCGCGCGCTAAATCATCGAAACTTTATCGAACATCCCAGTTCTCTCTTCTTCCATGCCGGAAAGTCGCAGGAAGTTTTTCATACAAAAGAAACAAAGCAACAGAATAAAGATATCAAACTTCATCCATACCGAGACGATTACTTGAGATCAGGGGCCGCAGGGATATCCAATGAAGTGTAGATGAGGGCAAAAATATTAGAGGTACCGGAAAGTCTCTTCGTTTTCCCGTGTTCTTCACTTGGCTGCCATTTTCCAGAAATAAGTTTGATCCTAATGAAAGTTGATACACGCAATAAAGAGATGTTAATTAATCTGGGATTTAAATTAATTCTGGATTAAAATCAAGGATTCGTACTGTAACCACGGAAGGCTTTAAGGCTACGAAAAGACTTTCCTGTATCATCCTTATCATAATAATGATCACGAGACTTCATAATTCGCTATCTGGAACATCCTATTAATTGCAGTTACAACCATGTGTGCGTGTGTCTGCGTGACCTGTTCATGCCGGGAAACCACGCGGCTGTGACGTTAGTTAGTGGTCAGTACGGCTTCAACTGGTGGTATGAATCAGCTGTCTCGCACAGTTTCGCGATCAGTAGGGTCGGAGAACGCCGCGCTGATCATTCGCTCCGGACAGGCGACAGGAGACGGTGCGTGATACTCAGTGCTCTGATTTCGAATATAGTAGTATAGTAGTAACGAGTGTAAGTGAGACGTGATTAAACGAGAGTGGTGAGCACAAATCGAGGTCCTTCGTTCATTGCTTCGAGACGTTCAGGTTCCTGAGAGACACCTGGACATCGGAATAAACCTGCAATCGTCACATACACGTTCAAACTCGGAGTTGAGCGCAAAATCGTGAAGTAATTTTCGTCACCTTTCGCCATATGCGAGTTCATTTAATTTAGCATTTACTCACTTCAGTCCTCTAGACTTAATCCTAATCCTTTGTGATGTACAGACTACTTCCGATCCAGTCCAGTCATCACCTATGAACGACATGATGCGCTCCAAGATTGATGGGATGAACAACAAGGATGAAGTGTTGGATATGGACGAGATACCCGACGAGATATCGAAGCCGCTGACGTTTCCTGACAATGCACATATCGTGCCACATTTCCGATCACGCGCCGGTTCGCTGGCGGAGACTGAGTTTCCAGACGTTCCACGGATGAATATCGGTCCCGAGCTGAACAATCTGAGCGAGGTTGACGGCAAGCAACCGATCGGTTTTGACGACAGAGTCATCGACGACGAGCTGCTACCGAGACGCCCGTTCTCGCCAGCCAACATCGAGAGCCACGATTTCCTTCCCGAACCACCGCTCACGCAAGTCACACCCGACGTGAACTTGTATCAGCACAAAAAGACCGTGGCTCAAGGTATGATGGACCTAGCGCTCTTGTCCGCCAATGCGAATCAGATGCGTTACGTTCTGCAGACCGATGGCCAGCATCCGTACTTCTACCCGTCGCTCATCATGATCGGCACAAGTCTGTTTCTGCAAGTCGCCGTGGGCATCGGCCTGATATGGAACAGCCGCTATAACGTCAAACAGCACGATGAGATGTGTATGGCTAATAAGGCGAATAACTGGACGGTGATCGGTATTTTTCTTGTGACGATACTTAATGTGTTCATCTCATCGTTCGGTGTCGTGGATCAAATGACGTCGACGACGACGACGGCAGCAACGGCCGCCGCGTAGCGCAGCCTGCGTAGCACTTCTCACGACGACGCGTTGATTAATTTATTATTTAATTACGATTGATGTTTCTGATGTTAATTGTTTTTGAAACGAACGAACTTTGGGAACGTTATATATATCATTTCGTCGACGCTAACTTGGACACGCTTAAAATGTATGAAAGGTTACTTGTATGCAGCGAGTTGGTATCCAGAGTACTTCGTGCTCATCTTGCTATCTTAAAATGCCAACTTATTCCATTTTTCATTTCCAATTTCTGCATACGCGAGCGCGCGTATGTTGAATGTATGTTTGTATGTGTGTGTGTGTGTGTGTGTGTATGTGTGGGTGAATTGCGCGTACATATTTTTATAATATTTATATTATCGTACCCATGTTCAGTTAGTCATGTTCAGTTATTCATTAGTTTAGTTACTCATTCGTATTTATAACTTGTTTTTTACGATATACGATAAAAATAGCTCTTTTAATGTACTGTCGTACAAGTTCTTTTTTAAAAAAGCTGGGACGATGTAATAATAATTTTTATAAACTATAAACAAATGGTATTCGTTTCAATATTTCTTTCAACTCGGCTGCCAATTGCTTCTCGCATTCTTGTAGAGAATCCTCTTCAACAATCATAAATTTAGTTATTTCATTTAAACACTTCTGAGCTTCAGTATTATTACCCTGACTTTTTTTTAAGCGTGATGGTGGATCTATGGTGTTTTCTCGCGATTCGAACGGCAACGTTTTCCTAAACATTTCCAAATATCTGCATCGTCCTTCAATTACGTGACGCAAATATGAAGCAAAATATTCGAGTTCTCCTTTTATCATCTTGCTAGAATAGGGTTTCGTGGTGTGCTCCGGAATCACGTCGGTCTGTAACGCGAGCCGTTATCATATTATCATATAATGAAAAAAGTATATTTAGTAATGAATTAAAAATGTATCGAATGTACGCTCGTCTATCGAGCCACTTCGAATGTATGACAAGACTCAAACTGCAAAATCGAAATCGGAAATTTCTCAAAATCTTAGCTATACATGTTGCTACAATTTCTCTCTACACATTTCTCAGGTATTTACTTTCCATCTACACATGCCTCATTGCATATATATTGCTAAATGTTTGAAACTTTCGAAACTTCCGATTCCAAGTAACATTCAGAGCGACTCGAGTCTCTGTATATGACTCAACATTTTGCGAATCATTAAGATTCGAGCGCTCGACACGCCACACAAATAAGAAATTATTATTTCTTTCTCGTGATTTACCATCCAATCGAAAAACACGTGCCGTATTTCCAGCCATTTGGTATGAATCTTGAGCAGCTCTTGTGCGTCATTAAATTCCCGCAGTTTCTGCTGATCCTCGGCAGAACCTTTCCCATCCAGCAACACTATACGTTTCGTTAACGCAATCTCGCACGCTTTCAAGTCCGGAAGATATTGACACGAGGCAGATTTACTTCTAAAACGTCTCACACCCACCTCGCCTATCTGTGACGCCAATCTGCTCCATTCTCGTTTCAATTCGGAAATTTCCCGAAGATTCATGTTCACTTTGCCGTTCAAGTGCGTAATTTTGTGAAGTTCATCGGATATCGATAAAGGAGCACGGCTCTTCGTCTTTCATGATAGAGAATTGAACAAAACGAAACGATTAGAGGATATAATAAAAAGTATTAAAAAATAATTTTGCTTATTTAACACAACAGTTCATATCAGATTGTTGCACATGAGATATCGGATTCTGGGAATTTTAGTCTTATAAAGTAAACTCTCGTGAAAGAGCACGATATTCTTTTGTAAATAAATAAAGGTCACAGACGTGAAATTGATAAATGATATCGATACACATGACATGATCCCGACATCAATATTAATGTGAAACATTTAGAAACTAACTTGTAAAATATCGTCTAAACTGTCGAGCCGAGCAGTGCTGGTGAGTTTCATTCGTTGAATCAAAGTCAAGACATCCTCAGTCGCCAATAGCCAAGCTAAGGCTATGAGTAAGACTCTATTTCCTCCATTGTCTTGCGGAACATAAAATTCGAACGCTGGGTAGCGCAAAATTGCAAATCTCAATAAGATGCTAACATGGCAATCTATAAATAGAATGAACAACATGTAAGATAAATTGGCAGTTTGCAGATACGGCGAAATCTCGCCGTTATAACATAATCAGCACGCTCGTTGCGCACATGACCACGCTGAGATCTTTATTCAGTCCGTGGTGTTTTGGGCTATTCAATGTAATATTATCGCAAAGCGAATAAAATAACCGCTTGGCACGGTGCGTATTAAATTCAAAAAATTTAAGCGCACAAAACTGACGCACACGTTCGCATTATTTCAAAATCAATGAGAAACATCCTTCAAATGTCGTTTTTAAATCATATTACAAGAAAGAAAAAGAAAAGGGACGTTTAAGAAAAATATGGAGAAACTGACTTTTATATCATAGGATGCTGCATCACACATACCCAATCAGAAAAGAAATATTTAAAAAATGTTTTTAGAACGTTAAAAATAATTTTAAACAAGTTATTAATGTAAAATAAATATTAAATAAACATTAATTAAACGTTAAATAAATATTTCTTCTTAATCATTATTTTAAATGAAGAATTAATGTAAAATATATATATTAAACGAACCTTAAATAATTATTTTTGGTATAATGAATGGAAAAAATGTGAAAAAATGTAAACTAAATCTTCAAAAAACGTTAAAAAAATATTCTATTAATTGGGTAGCTGTAACGTAGCTTACACGAACTTCTTGCAGAATTATCCCAGCAAACATAATATTACATAACTGTTATATAACACATGTGTTATATTGTTATATTGTTGAGTAGGAAATTGCAACTAACATGCACGTTACATGTAATATTATGTTCGCTGAGATTGGAGATACCGGACTGCCATTTTCCAAGAGTAAATTTGATCTTAATGAAAGTCGATATACACAATAAAGAGATGTTGTTAACTGACCTGGTATTGAAATTAATTCTGTATTAAAATTGAGAACCTGTAGTATAACCACGGGAACTGAAGACTTTAAGATACGAAAGGACCTTGCAACACCCGTAATAGATCGTAAATAAGAGGAGGATCGCAATTAATCGTTTTATCGTTGCGCGAATGCTTATCACCGCGCGACTTCACGTCGGAACGCGGAACGGAAGTGAATCCAGACAAACCATTTGTAACATCGTGATATCCTCTCAGTCTTGCAGCGTAATCACTCAAAATCGACAATGTATCCCACAGCTTGCATTTCTAATCAAAAAAGAGAGAAACTCACACTTACATGTAACCGACAGATTTGTCAAGTGCATCACGGGAAACTGCCGATTCAAATATGATACTTACAACCTCGTGATCCACATTGTCGTGGTAGGCTGATATAAGATCATCAGGTTCGATTTTGACGTGGATCAACGACTGAATACATTGACACAACAACTGCAACGCTTCTGCTACAGTATCGGGCATACTTAAAAGTTGTTCTCACTTCGTCCACGAATTTATCTGTCTTCTCAAGGACCCAGGTAAGAACAGAAAATCATCATGATGAATACCAAAATGACATCAAAATGATGAGGAAAACTCTTTTTCTCATCACGATTCGGTCATTTTGATGTCATCATGATTTTTTGTTCTACTTGGGAAACAGTGAAACGCGTTCTTTCGGATAAAACGACAAAGCGATGAATATATGCGCCGCAGAGATGCAAAGGGAAAGATCAATTTTGTAAACCAAATCACCATAATGCGTATATCTTTCCCGCGTACATACACCACGCACACATACATGACTTTGTATACACAAAACAATTGAAGCCTCGCCTCTCTACGAAAAATAGATAAAATTCAACATACTGTAACTTTCACCGGAATAATATAGTAAAAAGACGGTTCAGGAAATGTTATGGAGTCTGAGGTCTCTAGTTTTCAGAAACGTTCTCGACAAAATCAACCCCGCTTATTTCTTGCTGTAGCCACACACCAAGTAAATCAAGAAATTTCGGGGTGATAGGTCAGCGATCAGCTGCTAGATCGCTCGATAGCGACATCTAACATGGCTTCGCTGGAACCGTTTCATCAGTGAAAGAAATGTCGGTTAAAAATGGTTGGAGTTTTGGCTGAAACGGTTTTAATCTTGGTTAGATCTGATGGGGCCGGTAAAACCGGTGAGTCTCAAGTCTCAAGTCTATCTGAGACTATCTAAATCTGAATTGCAAATGCAAATTAATAATGTTCGGAAAAAAGAATATTCATCAAAGGAAAGAATATTATCAAACTGGCTGACACTATTGTGGACGCTTCAGTGGAAACGCAGTTACAGTCGACGATTTTACGATACACTCCATAATCTCATAAACGTCTTGGAAATATCTTTATATTTTCTATTTACTATTCTCTGGAATGTCTCACACACACACACACACACACACATCTTGTCGCGCAACAATTTATGTGAGAATAAATGTCCAGGAAGGCACTGGCGGAAAAGCCAGAGAGAAGTTCCTCACGACTCGCTTCAGCGTTGCGTTCTTACAATGATGAACAATAATGATACAGGGACCGCATATATATATCTTCGTTCTCTTGAATCAACCGAATTCGGCACGCTGCTGCGTTTCAATGCGCACTCTCCTCCGCTCTCGCTTTACACCTCTCCCGCCGCAAGAGAGAAGGAGGGAGAGAGAGAGAGAGAGAGAGAGAGAGAGAGAGAGAAAGAAAGAAGGAGAGAACGAGTGCGTGTGCGCGCACGGTCTGCGATTAAAAGCGTTCCAATCGCATTTATGGGAAATTGAGTATCCAGGCTCGTTTACCTCGCTTCTTCCACCTCCGACTCCGCCGCCGCCACCGCCGCCGCCTCCGCAGCACGTCGCGGTTTACCGCTTGCTTCTTACCGCCCCGCCTGCCGTCCTAGACCGGAAGATCCTCTCGCTCTCTCGCTCTTTCGCTCGTCCGCCTCTTCTTCCACCCGGAGAGTCCGCCTGGCCGCTTCGTTGTGGCCGCTGGAACGCAGATATAGAGCCACTCTCCGACTTGCAGACACCAGTCCGAGGAACGAGTGTGGGAGTGCAGGTCATCGTTGTCGACAGTCGACGGGTCTCGCGGAAGCTTAAGAAAATAAGCGGCTCCTCCTCTTCATCGAGATGACACCGGACGCTCGTCGTTTGAAATGGAAAATAGCGTGCCTGGCGTTAGTTCTGGTGAGAGCCATGTCTTCCCTCATTTCTCCATGATCCGGCCTGTGAATTCTCACGAGTGTGAGGCACACTGAGAATCTCAGCACGGGTACCGTCCCCAGTCAGAACCATAACGTTTGATTCAACGTTGATTGGACGTTGAAATGATCGATAAACCGTTGAATCAACGTTACCTTAAGCCTCATCGACGTCGAATCGGTCGAATCAACATTGTGCTTTTGACTGGGAGATCGAGGGGCCACTCATTTCGGTTGTACTCTCTTGCGCGTTCGAAACACTCGAGATGAACGAGCGGTTGTTGATGAACAAGTTGGCTGCGCGAGAGTGCGGAGGAGCGATCGAGTGTAGAAAGTGCAAGCAAGCGGCTCTTGCGACACTCGAGTGCGAATGTATAAACACGACTTATAACGATGTATAACGTGTGGGCTTTCGAAATTCTCTTGTTTTTATCGTGTATGTGTATGTGCGACCCTTAATCTTCGATTAAGGCGCTGGCTCGCTTTGGCGGCTATGATACATGCGCGAGTAAAAGGCCGAGACCTTTAACCCGCTAACAGCTAAATATCACGACGAGAGTGCGTATTATCACGTGAGGCAGCAATCTGAATATATATAATGCTGAGAGCGTGACAGACACACTCGTAGTGAACGAAGCGTTAATTGAGCGCGCGTAAACAACGCGGCGGTGAGTCGCGCGTTTCGCGAGTTAAAATGAAACGTGTCTAACGACTATCCGGGTCGGAAGCGTAACGTTGACTCGACGCTGAAATGGTCGATGAAACACGTTGATTAATTCGACCATCATCGACGTCGAATCAACGTTGTGGTGCCACTGACTGGGTGTTAGCCTTTTTACATTCCGTTTCGGTCCCGAGGAGAATCCTCCCCTCGCACACGTGTGTCCATTTCCTTTGGGATATGATGACACTGACGTTAATTTATGACAATCTGACTCGGTAATATTCACAGTCTACGTTTACACGAGCAGCGTAAAATACTGATTAATAATTGTCGATGCAGCATTGCCGTTATATATATATATATATATATATATATATATGGCACAAATTATGCTACATCGTATTACGTGACATGTGGCACTATTTACAACGTCGCGAACGGCCGAGTCGGTTTCACGCCGAGACGGTCGCTCAAGGCGCAGACTGCAGTATTTGTAAGTCAGTTTATCATTACATCGGTTTTACGTTACTATGTAAACGTAATTACTCTTTCTTGCACTTGTTTCCATCTTAGCTTCCACGTGGAATCCTAATCAGAGAAAAAATATTAAAAAAATGTTTTAAAAATATTAACAAAACATTTAAAAAAAACATTTCTAAAACGTTAAGAATAATTCTAAGCAAGTTTTATTAATGCAAAATAAATATTAATATTATTACTAATAAATATTAATACTAAATAAATATTAAGTAAACACTAAGTAAACATTAAACAAGTATCTCTTCTTAATCATTATGATAATAAAATGAAGAATCAATTAAAATAAAATTAAATATAAACGTTAAGTAAGCGTGAAATAAATATTTTTGGTATGGTGGAATGAATGGAAGAAATGTGAAAAAAAATATAAAATAAATATTTGAAAAAAATATTTATATAATAATTGAAAAATAAATATAAATATATGTAAATATTTAAATAATATTTAAAAAATAAAAATATGTCTGCCGATCGGGATCCCCGTCCGCTCCCAACGTCACACGTTCTTCTCCTCAATGATATATCATGTTGACAATCGAGGAGAAGGTTGGCGCGAGAAACGGTGTTTCGGAAGTAAGGACACGCGCGACGACACACGCGGAGTGTTGTGCGAGCAATCGTGTAATTACGACCGAAGCGGCGGCGATGGTGGGAATACCTGGAAATCGTGGACACGCGTAATATTTCGCGATTCGCTTCGTTGGTACGAGGAAGCGATGTACGATCAAAATTCAACGGACTCACCAGCGGGGGAGTTACCCGCACTGCGCGTAAGCGCGCGCACGTTATACCTTCAAATCATACCGTCGATGTATCATCACGATGGATTTCCAAAACGCAAAGATGACGAAGAAATGTCGTTACACGTGTACGCACATGCGCCCCAAGTATCGTCTTGCGTTCTGCCAGTCCCGTGTTTGCAGCGGGAATGAGATCAAATCAACCAAGTCGAATCGATGTTACGATTCTGACTGGGAAGTGTATTTACTTAAGTCATTAACCCTTTCACTGCTGTGAATTAACTTCCCTTGAGAAAATTATTAAAATATTTGGTAGTCCTACGTTTTTTGGGCCGCTGATTACGAATCTAAAGTCAGATTTGCAAAATTCAAAATGACGGACTCAATATCAGCGATCATGATGTACAAAATTAATGAAAATTCCAATTATTATTAAATAATGACCAGGTCGTAATGAGAACATATGATTCTAGACGATGGAACTCGATCGAGCTGGAAAAAATTTATCTGAGAAAATGTTCAATACTGCGTATTTATGCTTACTAGAGATTAAACATTCATTTTTGAATAAATTAATATTGATAGTATGGATAAGATGGAGACGACAGAACGAAAAAAACTAGGAAAATAGAGCTAAAAAATGCAAAAAAAAATCTAACCTGCAAAAAAGTACTGAAAAAAAATATATGTTTTTGTAGTACATCAGAAAAATATTTGGTGAAAATTCCAGACCTCTACATTCAATATTCTCCGAGGAATCGATTTTTCCCCCCCAAAAGAAGCATTTCTTTTCAACTTTGATTTGTTATAAATAATCACAAATGAATAATTGGGTATAAAAGCCTATTGGAGTATGTGTGCTGAACAACTATTCAGTTATCTGGAAAACTCAAATCCCCGATTAGTTCTTCAAAATTGTGTGATTCACAACGCAAAATTGAATCAAGAAAAGGTGGGAAGTGTACTTCCCACTGACAGTGAAAGGGTTAAATAACGTTCACTTGCACGCTTACCGCTGATCAAAGGATTTCCATAGAGCCGCCGGCGGATGCGCATGAAAATGCAGAAAAATAATCGCATATCTCTCGTATCACACTGCCGCTCAACATGCGCTCGATCTCGCTCTCGCATAATAACGACAGCAATTACCTGCGAGACAACGCGTAACATACCGCTTTTCCATATCGATGCGTGTTCCGCGTCGCTCTTGAGATTTTCTGGGAAAGCGACTTATTTTTAGAGCAGGAAAATCAGCCGACCGTTTCCACCGCTCGTTTAATCCGCAGGTCTGTCAGACGACACAGCAGATCGAGGGACATCCTCGTGCTAGCCAAGTAACAAAGAGACCACCGATGAAACGAGACGTCTCAAGGCAAATTACAATTAGCACCATGACGGACAGGACTTCTGATCGTTTTCTGACATCCCCGAGACCGGAGCAGACGTCCTCAAGAGAGTCCTGGGAAAGTCAAGAGAGTATGTTGCCGTCTCTTTTTTTTTTTTCTGTACAATTATCCACGAAACAGGATGTTATTCATGCGGCTGGTGCAACAGCCGGCTATCTCGGTTTGCAATTAAACCGGTTCTAAATTCCAATCTGTAATCTCTCGACTTTTGTTGCTCCGGTTCCGCTGGGTCGAATCTTTATCTCCGATATATGTGAACTCAATGTAATTTCAGTTTTTACTGCGCAGTGACTTCATAGTATTATCGAGTTATCCTCGCTAATACACGCAATGCAACCTTCAGTTTTCCGAATAAGCAGTCCGATATGTATCGCTGAATAAGCAGTCCGATATGTATCGCCGTAAAATCGGCTCGGATCCAGCGACCACATCTTGCGGATTACTCGTTGAAGATCGTGACTCGTTACGATTGAGAAGAATGGTTAATTGTGTCGCAAAAATGCGTGCTGTATACGCTCGGGGATGAACTAAATTACATTGAGATAACGGGCGGGGTATTGCGACTCGCGAACGATAAGAATAAATGAGCACTTCAAGCACGAGATCGTAGATTGAAAAATTTAAAGCCTGACTAATCTTTCAATCGTCACTTGCATTACCAAATGGTGGCTTATCTTTTAAACCTGTGACAAGTCATACATTGAAGATTGAGACTGAGATTGCATTATAATCGAATTACAATGTTCAATCACACTGTGAATAGGCTACACGTGAGAGAATGAAATTACATTACGGCGTACAAATGTAAGTATAGTCGAGATTAGAATTCGATCGATTACGATACGAAGAAAGCAAAGATCGAGGTCGAAAATTAAAAGTTTGAGTTCACGTCTACGAACGTTGCAGCAACTTTCAGTCGCGAGTTCAGATATATTTAGAATAACTTTTTCCTCGGTGCAAATATCGGAGCTATATTTGCGATGGAATGCCGCAAATCGTTAGTTCATTGTATATATAATTATGTATATTATTAATTAACAATAGAGCGTGATATATTTATAACAGCTGGAGAACTTATCATCATTCGCAGTGCAACATGCCTCGCGTCAACGTATTTGTTCAATTGATATATGTGCAAGTGTAGGAAACTTGTAGGAACTTCACGGAGCAAAGACCTCTACTCAAAGAAGTCGCTGATTTTCACTTGCAGCAGTATCGCTGAAGTATTCATTTTCTTCCTTCAGGGTCAACCGTTAGACACCAGGTGGACACCAGGTTGAACACGATGGACTCGTTGGACGGAAAAATCGTCTTCCCATCAGATGATGGCGTCCCGACGAGCAAAGGCAATATAGCGAAACCACCGGCCTGCCACGGCAGTACTTTCTGCGAGAATGTTAGACAGTATCCCAAGGACTTGGTGGACATGGCGATCCAGCACAACAGTAGCCTCAAGTTACTGACGAGCATCGATGTGATTAATTCGATTAATTTTATCTTTTCTTTCGCGGGAAACTAAGATTGCAACTGGCGTAGAAGACGTACTACTCGCATCAGTTGTCACGCTTTTATTGAGAACTAAAAAAGAAACGGACGTTTTTAGCCTCAGAATTTAGAGAACTATTATCGAAGAATCGAAAGTGCAAAAAATTTGAATGCAAAAAATGCGAAAAGTTTACCCTCTCGATAGAGATCGTAAATAATTCTGCAGTAGTTCCCTTGAGAACTCGGTGAAGATGATGCCAATTGCGATATTCCTTTACGGGAACTTAGATTTGGATTTGACTTAGTTTCTCAGTGGACACCATCGCGTCTTTTCAGGTGGCTGATATAGAACAGAGAATACATTCGCCGGACGAAGTGTCGCTTTGTGTCTCCAATGTAAGTGATCGCACGTTACTTTATAGTGAGATATACAGACAGGATGGCAGGAGAAAAAGTCGATGAATTTACGGAGACGGTTTATTCTCCCCACGTCCCCCTAAATTTCTCAACTCTTCTTCTACGTAGATCAACCTGCATTACACATAAGTGTATCGGAATATCACACTAATATGGCGAACGTGCTCTTGATCGTAGGAGAAGGTGGTTTTCCCGCAGTCCGCGGAGAACACTCGCAATGAATGGTTGTTTGTCGTGAATCAGGATAACTTCAAGCAAGGTGTACGCGTCGAGCTTTGCAGGTAGATACGCGATGTAGTTAAAAAAAAAAAAAAAATTTGAAATCGCATCTACAACGAGAGAGTTCTCCATTTCGCAGCGGTGAGGATCAGAAGTGCAGTGTATTCGACGGCCTTGTCGATCACTACCAGACCATGTGCAAGCAGAAATACATCTCTCGCGAACTAGTAGCATTAGGAGCCAACGGCAAAGTCGTTACGGATACATTTCGTTTCCCGGCGAGCTGCTGCTGCCACATAAAGTACACCGGTACTTCGAAGTCAACGAGATAAGCAGGCTGCCGGAAAGATGGAAAGTTAGTATACAAAAGAATAACGCGATACGTTTGTAAGTACAGGATATGTAAAAATCGAGCGGATGTAACGTCGCGTTATCGTTGCGTTATCCTCGGACGATCTTGCGATTTTCACGTTCGGTAGAGATCACATTCGAGAAGAAAAAAGAAGAAACTATGTTCATCTTGATTTTGAAATTCGATTATACGTACTCGACCGTCTTTATTAATTAGTATGATTGCATATAGCAAGCAGGTCTAACCGCAGCAACGGAGATTTCGCAACTCTCTTACCCGAGAGAACGATTCCGTCCGTTGCGACATGTATCTCCTTTCGAACTCTTTGATCCTTTCCACCTAAAAACAGAAAAGAAAGAAAAGAATCGCGGTCTTGAGCAAAAAAAGAGAAAAAAAAATAAACACAAGCTACTGTCGAAGTCAATTTTGCACATTATTCCTCTGTGTCTCCTCCGAACGAGAAGCATCCAACTTATTCCTGGAACATAATCTTGTCTTTCTACTTGCCTCGTAGGAATCTACAGGGGACTTTTGGTGATTCTCAACGTGCAATATCCTGTGCAGCTTTGAATGCGCGACGTGGTCTCTACGAAGTCACATGTCCGGTGTTAACATAGTCAAGAGAGAGAGACAGAGAGAGAGAGAGAGAGAAAGAGAGAGAGAGAAAGCCGGCGAACTTCCGCTCGATCAGTTTCTTTCTTTCATTTTTTCCGTACTACGAAGGAAAACAATGTATTATGACAAATAGAAAATCACTAAGTGTAAGTAAGAAGATTCTTGCGTGTCTGCTTGCAATGATCTTTAACAAAGTACGACGATTGATAGCAAGTAAGTCGCGTTGCGTATCACACACGAGTTCTCATGTGTGCTTTCGCTTCTCGGGAATAATAATCAGCGACGTTATAATTCATACGACTGCAATTAACGGAGACAAGCGATCGTGTGCATATCTCTGCAAAGAGACACAGTTATTTCTGGCTTTTTCCTCTCGATAAATAATAGAAGCGCATTCTCCACGGTATTCTTCTTCTAACAGACGCGATCGAGTTTCGATAATAGGATAAAAAACTTGTACAAAATTATTATTACTATTATTATTATGTGATATTATGTGATACGATTATATGTATATACATGCGCATACATACGCACACGCATGTACATATGTATGCGCATTTATATTTGTATGTCTTAGGAATTACATTAACGTTGTATTTTCTCTTACGTATCAAGTATAGAATAAAGAAAGTGAGCTGTTCTTCTCCTGTGTGTACGTATGCCGTGATTTGTCCGCGCGTCAGCATCCGGTTAGCCAATGCGGGCACGAAAGTGCGACGTTTTGTTGCGTTTTGTCGCGTATCGTTAATTCGCGCGCTTCGCGACTTCCCTTTCTCCAGCTCTGTGTCGCTCTTGAACACATACACGCTTAGAATCGCCACCCGATATTGCTACATTCGAGTAACTTTCAACAGCAGCGGCAGAATTTAGAATGTTGTTTAACGGAGTCGCGTTTCTCTCTTTCTCTCTCTCTCTCTCTTGCTCGCCTTTCGATAGAATATACAATCTTAATGTTATTCGATATTGCAAGCGATATCGAGCTTGCCGCACATTCGGACGATCCGCCGAGAACATTCGACAAATTTTAAATATAAATTAATTTTATTTCCTTCTTGTTTCTTTTCTTTTTCAAGCGCTCAATATAATTGATTATGCGACCAATGTATAAGGAAGTCATTAAGACCCGCTGTAACAAGTTTCAACGACCTCTTTATACATCGATAATTACTCCATTACCGGAGGGCAGTCAATTATCTTAATAATTTAATCTACGGATAGCGAGAAAGGGAATACGCACAAGCGGCGTTAGAAAGAAAACGAAACGGAACGACATTCGAAAGAATCGTTGATCAATAAAGCGAATTAATCTCTACTAATACGCGAATACTCTACTAATTCAGCAACGTGCCGTTATCTTTCGTGGCTTTCGTTATAAAATTGCAAATCCAGCCCCGATCGAACGTGCGATTGCGTCGCGTCACACGTTGCGCTCTCGCAAGAGAGCGGGCACTCTTCAACGACAGGTGGTGACCACTCGACAACGTTTCACACTCACTCTTCGATCTTATCGCAATTCTGTCGCAGTTTCGCAAGAAAAGTTTATTAGCGGAGATCGCCGTCGCTCTTAACGCAACAACGAGAAAGGAAATAAATGTTGCGTATCGCGCGCGCCGCAGCGGTACTCAATCGATCATTCATTCGTTTGGCGAATGGATTCCGAGATGTGTTGCGTGTGGAATATAAAAATACATTTTACAAGGAAATATTTGTCTTATGACGAAAGTCACGACTTCGAGAGACAGAGAACAAGCACGCGCGCGCACACATACCAAGAAAAACAGTCTCGTTGCTGCACCTGATTAGTTTGAAGTTTCATTTTTCAATCTTTCTTCGGCTTGCTATTTCAGCGATTTAAGCCGCCGTCCCACTATTTGCAAGACTTATAATTAAGCGTAAAACTGTCTACTGGTTTCCAAGCCGCAATTTCTTCCGTTTGCTCGTTTTTGCGGCTTATGCTCAAACAGTTGGATATCACCAGGTTAAACGCACCGAACGAAACAGCGTGCTTATTTCTAAATGCATGTCGAGATACGTCTAAGCCCGTCGCTAAATCACACACCACCGGTTTCCCTAAATGTCACCGAGTCAAAGTGCCCCCCCCGCTCCCCCTCGCGATCGGATATGAGTGACGTTTCATGAGCACAAGTGTGTCCGTTCCGCTTAAGAGCTGAAACGGCACGCTTCAGGTCGAACCGGCGGAAAAACGGAAACTCTCCGCGAGTCTCCAGCTAATTATTAGCCGGGCGACGGGATGTTCGCAATCGCATGAGGCGAAGTTCGCGCACATACAGTCGCACTCGTCGGAGTAAATATGATGCGCAGTTTTCAGCGCGAATTCCAAGATCAACAATTATAGTCGCGTCGCTGGATCGCTTTCGTCATAGATGATGCATGAGCGCCGAATATGAACAAAGTTCACGATAACAAGCTTGCGAACACCTCGTATATAATCATATATCGCATACGAACGCAAACATACATCAAGCGCATAATTTCGTTTAATATAAGAGTGTCGTGCACGAAGCGTAAGTGACAAACATAATTCGAGAGGACGTAAACACAATCTCAACATATATGTAGTTATAAGTTCACTTTGCGCGAGTGATTTGTGCAGTTTCTGACAATACGAAATTGACTCGAGCGAACTGTCGCTAGCTCGAGAAGAACTACCACACGGCAGAGTTGGAAATATTCAAACGGGTAACGCAAGGGCGGAAGAACGAACCTGTAAACAATTGTAATATTTTGTACGTCACGAGATAATAGTGTATAACGTTACGTTTGGCAGCTTTCTTTCCGAAGAAAATTCGGACATTCGTCTAATGTACATATATTGATCTTAGATCTCTAGTCGATCACCATATAAACGCAATCGTATGCATAGGCGTAGTAATATACTCATTGTCCATTCGACGAGCAAGGAACATTGATATAAAGAAAAATAAAGAGAACAAACGAAATCAGTCGTCGTTAGTCAGATTGTAAAGCTCTCTTGCCCTTCATTTCTTTGTCTTTCTTTCTCCATCTATCTATCTGTTGTATTAAATGTCAGTCACAGGATACACTCAGGCGCATCTATGTTACTCGTAATACTATTTTCAGCACCCCTGCAATAGAGAGAACAGTTTGTTAATAAATATATCCCCAATTTTATAGATTTACTCTTAATCAGTCAATATTAATCTTCCAAGATACAAACGTATTGCCATATATTATTATATTGCATACATGAAACTATATATAAAAAAAGGCTTGTGCACAAGTCCTGCAATAATACCTGAAGTTACCAAACAATAGAGGAAGTTCCTGATATATTCTCTCTTTTGAAAATTTCTCGCGACACAAATACGCGCTGAAAGTTTGTTGAATACATTGACAAGAAACTTTCAGGGTCACTTCTCAAGTACTACACCAGAAATTTCGGTACCTCTACGGTTTCAAACCTTGAACATACCTTAGCACCGATGTTGGTGTCATATCCGCCTTTCCTCTGCATTTGTGCTTGTAAATTGGCCAACTGTGCGATGGACATGTCCACATCGCCGCTGCTTATGTGTGCGGTATGTCTGAAGTTCGTAGGCACGCCGATCATGCTTCTGTCTATCCTGAGCTTTTGATGCTGCTGCGACCGACCGTTCCGTGTTCTCGCCGGTCGCTGAGTCATACAGCACGTGAAACACTGCACCCAAAGTTCGCTGCTACCGGCCATCTTGCGATATCCTGGAGCTCCTTGAGAACGAATTGTTGTTAAATTGTAGAAGGTAGATAACCTCAAAGAAGAAGCTCGTTCTTGTTTAATCCGGCGACTCAGAGTTGGCAGGACGATAATCTCGTTCTCCGTTCTCAGTTTTCCTCTGCGCGAGAGACGCAAAACGTAGGTGATGGATGACGAACGAACGGTATTGATACAGTATAGCACCAGCGTTTAGACAAACACGCGCAACAATGTATAGGTTAGGAGCACGTCTGCTGAACGTTACGGGGCTGGATATCGTCACGAATCTTTTAACCTTTGTCTTAATTCTTTGGCGCGTTCTTAACGGCCAAGCCGAGCGAAATAAATATTTCCGTGGTACACACGACCTGTAGTCGCGAAGGACATTGTCCCTTACGAACGCAAACACAAGCAATATGAGGACGGACTCGTTTCGGCGACGCGACGAACAAAGGCGATGCGTGAGTGAGAGCGCTGTCATACCTAATGCCTGTTTTACACGCTGCGATATGCACGCCTGGACGTCAACCAATGACGCGTTCTTTGATACATTTATATTTTTACTGCGTAATAGTTAACATTCATCTCTTGCATTTGTAAAAACAAAAGAAATAATATTTTTGTGATGTTGAGACATAACTGAGAGAGGTCGACACAGCATGTTATTTTGCACAAATGCATTAATACGTATATAAATGGTATGCATGAATTTATCGCTCTGATAACGCAGTTGTCGTATTTCTAATTTTTAGCAATAAATGTACATGTAACAATAAATGTACTGTTCTGTAGAATCACGATCGATGAGCATTGCGCGGTACTTAATAAGGTAATGACAAAAAAGATATATCGTTCGTTGCCGTACCGAGACAACAATGAAAAATATCATAGCAGAAAGTGATGAAGAGAGGGCGAGAGAGAAGAGAAGATAGTACCAGCTAATACATTTTATTTAAATAAATTATGTACAAGTGTGCTCTTCTCTAAAACGAAATATTCCATCTCTATCCACGTTTCTCTCTATCGCTTAAATCATAAATTAAAATATTAATTTCTTTTACAGTAAATTGACTGCAAAGGCCTTCGCTCTTGTGTGTGTATCTTCGATATTTTCCCTCCCCCTAACATCCCCTTTCCGCCCTGCGGACTCTCTTTAACTTTGCTCTCAAAACGAGTCCTTTCTCTTCTCTTCGTCGCTTCGCTTTACGTGGGACGTTCGCCTTTTCCTAAATTCACGCAGACGTTGTTAGAATTATCACAGTCTGTCTATTTACAGCGTTAAATACTTTAACGTGATGGTCTTAATCTACAATTAATTCTCTCTCCCTCTCTTTATTCCTTTTTTTTTCCCCTTAATTTCAATCGAATATTTCGTGTCGTGTTTGCGTTTAACGCTAAACTCCAGGAAAACGCTATTTCATAGCGCTAACACGAGGCACCAGATATAAACACGTACCTTCGTAAAATATTTCAACTACATGGATTTCTTTCAGGGAGATGCTTCCCACAAGCTTTTTCCGCACAGGAAGTAAACTTACTTATCGTACATACTGAGTAATCGGACAACTTAATAATGGCGATACACACCGTAAGAGTCTCGACACGGTGTATTTACATTTAACGTACTTATACAAAAAGTCACATATTAAAAATGTCTGCCGGTTAACGCTATGTGTTCTTATATACACGGACATTTAAACGAGAATACAGAGACTCTCTTGTGGCGTTCTTGACATCGCACGATCGTTGTTTTTATTCGAATTCGACTTCGGGATACGATCAACTTGATGTTTTAATTTGTAGGACTTGATGCATTCGCACTGACGACACACACGTATCAATGACGTTACGATATATCGCACAATACCTCGAAGAATTTAGCGGATCGCATCGCATTAGACGCACATGGTGGGCACTGACGTGAATCAAAGGTCATTGTTTAGAATTCGTTTTAGAAGTCGCAAAATGCAATATCAACAATCCGTTAGATACGAAAGAGGAATTTCTGATGAATCGTAAATGAGAACGCGTAAACATAGACAACGAAAGCGAGGAAACCCAACGTGTTTCCGGATATAACCAGTATACACCAAAGATTTTGGACCCTTCTAAATGGCGTAATGTTATTATTGGTCACGTTATAGATATTGAAATTGTTTTCTATCTCTTGCTGGTCCCATCTTCGCTTTAACTCGATTGATTGTGCGTCGAGGTGTTATTATCGTCTATTATCTATGTGTTTCGAGTCGGGAATATCCAGCCGGATTTCCGCTTGCGATAATTTTCATCAAGTGTCCTGCGTTGATTCGTATGAACGATGAAGTTTAAATTGTGTGACCTCCTCAGTGCGCACTTGTGCATCCGACCGAATTCGATGTTCAATTTTGGGGGAACCTCGATAGTTCTCCGCCGGATAGGCCACCCGATTGTCCAACGAGTATGACGATCGAATCGAATCGTGCGATGTCTGCCTTACGAATAGAGCGAGGAAGCGTATGAAGTTTCAAGGTCAATCTTCTTAATCGAGTGGTACGAAATCTATTCAGGTGAGCCAATTGCTGATGACGTGAACGATACAGCGGAGAGAATTTATGTTCGTACCGGGTGTCCCGGAATCAACAAATATCTTCACGTAGTATCCAACGTCGGAATTGAGATAAGGAGGAAGAACTTACTTTTTAATATTCTTCAAGTTTACATTCTAAAGAAAACTTATTTATAAATAAGTAACTTTTAGTTGATCACACACATGAAAGTTATAATATATATAAAACTAGAAGATATAAAATATATTAATATATAAAAAATTATATAAAATATATATTTTATATATTTTATATAATTATATATTTTATATAATTTTTATATAGTTAAGTTATATTTGTTACGTAATTTTATATAATTAGATTTTATTGAACTTTTGATGCCGGATAAGACTAGAAAAAAGAATTAGTATTAATATCTTCTTCAAGAATTCTAGTCGAATTCGTCATTGCCGAAGAAGTGTTAGATTCCTAAAGAAGTTAGTTAATTCTTGATTCCGAGACATCTCGTATGTGAGCAAACATTTCACGTACGTTACAGCTCGGCAGCAAACCAAGCATTTCAGAACGGGTTTTGATATCCGCCTGAGAAGATTCATCGCGAAACCTCACAGACTTCCGTAGTTCACTCGTAAACGATAAATCGGGATATAGTCTGCCTCAAAATGGTCAAACTACTGTTCGCATGCTCCACGAATTTATTACTAAGTCAAGAGCGATAGTGAGCTAATCGTTGAAATATCAGCATAATATTCTTGTTTTGAAATGCAAGTACTCGACATGGGGAAAAAGATTCGTTAATTCGTTCGATATCGACCGTTTCTTTTCCACGAAATGACTCAAGTTATCAAGCTATCAAGCTTTGAGAACTCAACGATACAAATTACAAAACTCAACGATACAAAAATTACAAAAATTTGTAAACCTTTCAAAAGCGACATATTGCCACATTAACTACTTTAGTTCATTGACGTTTCAGTGATTTGAAAAACGAAATTTATGAACGGAAGTTACCGATTTTGAGATGCTTTCAAATTTTAGGAATTTTGTTGAAAACTGAATAAATAGATGTCAGTTCTTTTTTCTTCAATTGTAAACATTGATTTTCATACATCCAGGTTTAAAGTTTAAGGACGTTAATACTTGAAAGACAATACAATAGCTTTCATATGCTTGGTACTATGCCGTAACGACTATCTTTTATATTCACGTTCGATTTAAATAAAAATATCTATGGAGATTGCCTACCAAACGAAATGGCGTGCCTCGACCGTAACGAATCTAACGGTGGATTTCCAGTAGGAGCGTTCGTTCTCTAGGGATAAAAATGTTGCTAACACTGGAGCGCCTAGAAAACAAATTCTGAATCCTTAGTATACAAGGAGACGTCATCCTCGAGTGACAACCCGGCCGCTGTTGGACCTTAAACCAACCATGATGACGCGGTTTAACAGCGATTATCGCAAAGTTCACTGCTACAATCGCGATTATCGATTGCGCGGAAAGAAACACTGAAGCGTGACACCGTCGGGAGAAATCTCTCGATTAAAAAATATATATTCATTTATAACAAACATGCCCTCTCGCGATTCTCTCTCTCTCTAAGATCGATCCTGTCTCTTCGAATTCATTCAATTACTGCCGATTACAACAAACGGCTGGATTATCCTCGCTCGAGGGCAGCGTTTTCCAACGGAACGACGTAAGATCAGCTGCTGGGAAAACGCTGTGACAGTGCCGCAAATGTGTAGCGTGTCCTCCCTATCGGGCGAAACCGAGGAAATCGGTGAGCCTGTCGTTCCAATCGTGCAGCCAATGAGTCGGTCCGTGGCTTTGCTGACGCTGCTTGCACGGATTGATCTCCTTCTCTGGCGGCATGTACTCTTCGCTGCGTATGCAGAAGTAGCTTTTGATGGGACTGCGGCACATAGGGCAGCGGTCAAGCTTGCCGAAGCATGAGGCGCAAATACAGGTATGCCGGCATGGTAGGAGAGCACGCGACAAAGGGAAGTATTGGCACACTACACAGAGCTGTTCGCCCGCGCTGTTCCACAGAGAACCGCTATCCTGATCGCCGCCTTGACCGGATGCCACCAGGGCGCCACGACCGCCACTACCGCTGCCGTTGTTGTTATTGTTGTTGCACGGCTCGGCGAGCGCTAATGCTGGCGTCGGTCCCAGACCCGATGACACATCGCTTTCATCGTAATTGCTGGAGTTGCCTGTCGCCAGGTAGAGTTGCTGTGAACAAGAATCGCAAAAGGTGCGAACTCGCACGAGTTGTCGATGTTGATACGTTCACACGTCATATGCCGCTGATCGCTCGAAGGGACATGAGATCTCGTTGTAATTAATCACGTTTTACGCGCGAATTAATTAATGAAGTCAGTATGATCTGTACCGATCAAAGATAATCATTAAGCGACATTTAATATATTAACGCTCGACATTTCAAATGAATGTTCCACGTGAGAAACTTTGTCGGTACTCGATCATGATGTGTCATCTAACTATTATCTGTCGCGAATAACCCGAGATTTATATGTATTAACCGCTTCCTGCGCTAAATGTTTACAAGAATTGACATCGGGAAAGTCGATGTATGAGGAAATTATTTCCTTCTTTATAATTCTCGTTTCACCAGTACACCAGAGTGACAGATATCAAACTTTAAATGTCTCACAAACGAGATGTGTTTGTTTGTTATTTTGCGACCAGACGGGTCAAGGTGAAGTAGCTGAATATAGACGCGCTAAATATAGACATAGATGATTAACGACGTCACTCTAACTCTCAAATCTCACCTTTAAGCAGGACAACTGACCGTTCGCCTGTTTCAAGTACTGCGCCAAGATCGAAGTCGGCAATGTGCATACGCTGTCCTTGATGTGAACAACATTCACCAACGCCACCTTTAACATCGCATTAGATCTTAAAGATCCATATTAATTCGCTCCGCGTTTAAGACGCGTAGATAACAAACGATAAAATCCAACTACGACGACGATAACGACAGTTAACGAGTAATGAAAATCTTGCTCACGGTTTCATCCGGATGAGGATCTCTGTTGTCTCTTCGTGTGAGAAAGATCACCAAAGGGTAACAGAGCCGCGGAGGAGTGCCAAGCTCCAATTCTGGTGCTGGAAGCGACAATCTCAGCGTTTCCTCCCCGTGGGGCTGTCTACTGCAGTCTCGGTCAAGGAACGGTGTAATCAACACAGACAACATTTTTTTACCATCATAGTCGTGAGTGAGATGAAATGAAGAGCAAAATGAAGCTCGTAATGACTTGCGAAGACTTCGATCCACTTCCATCCGATCAGTTACATCCCCGCTGTGATTTCTTTCTAACATCACGTGCCCCACACGTCGTTCTCCTCCTCCTTCTTCCGCTCTTGCCGTTCGCGCCTCAACGACGCGTGTAGTCCATAGCTGAAGCACGCCACGCTCCATCTCCCGGGCTACTTGAAATTTCTTCCATGTGTGCATCTACGTGGCTTCGTGTTGCTAAGGCGCGAGCGACAAGGAGGATGACGAAGGTGGGTGACGTTCGAAAATCGCCTTGAAAGAGCAACTGATTTTGAACACCAAGACCAATACTGAATGCACCATTACGATTATTCCGATCTATTAGTCATTCTTTTTAACTTGACGTTACATCCTGGGAATATATATAACGTTATTGTGCGCTGTACAAGGTGTCGACAAGAAGAAATCCCAGCGGGACATTTCAAAAACGTAAGACGGCGATGTCGACGCGAAAATGTTGAAGGTGCGACGGTTCCCGAATTAACGACGATTTAAAATTCACGAAGCCCGCGAAGCTGACATTCAATGCGTTCGTGCGTAACGAATCTCAGAATGCTCGTGACTTGGTGCTCGTACGACGTTACAGATGTCAGTTCTGGAAATAAATGTTATTATCATGTTTGTTTGCCTTGTGCAAAGAGAGAGAAGTGGTCTATCCACCCATAAAGACAATAGATAGTGCTATTAAGACAGTCCAATGCTCACGTCTAAGTGAACAACAAGGAAATTCTTCTGACAAATTGTATCGAAGAAACTCTTTTACGTTGCAAAACTGATCGAGGAGAAACCAGCATATCAAAGATTAAATTGATGCAGAGGCCTTGAAGGATACGTTTGCAGCGGTGTGAGATGTTGCGCATAACCCTGCAGAAGGGTCCCGTTCAAGGACGCGTCGCGCAGCGTGCTCCAAGGTTTCCAAAGCGCCAGGTGCAGCTCCCTGATGCTAACACCCCAGATCGCCTGCAGCGAATACTCCACTTGGCTGGACACTTCGCACTCCACCTCTAGAACAGACGTTTCCCATTTTTTTTCTTTTTTTTTTCTTTCAACTGTATCGATCAAAAATCACTCGGCGATTATCGTTCGAGAATGAAACAATTTTATTTGCTAAGATATAAAACGACTGTTTTCGACTACCTACTTGTTACTGCTTGAGGTAGTGACAAGTCTCGTATCAAATTTTTAGTAACGAGTCGGGATCTATTCGGACAACAGTAGGATAATAGCAGAGTGTGATTAAATCAAGAAATTGAGAAACTTTGTCATTTAAAAATAACATTTCTTATGTCCCGAAAACGACGCATTACTTATTTCTTCAAAACAGAGAAAGAGAGTGAGAGAGATGCTTAATTTACATTTGCTAATTAGCAATTTGGAAATTGCTTAATTTACATTTAAAAATATCACAGGACCAACTAAACATCACAGTTAAATAAAATTTACCGGTGATATTAATGCGTGAGCAAGAAAAAAGGACAGAGCACGCGTGTTTGTATGCTTCAAAATTTTCCGATTTTTAAACGTATTATTTAATTTTCTTAAGACAATGCATTTAAATCTTGGTTATAAAGCATGCCGTGTGTTAATGATTGTTACGTGCGATTAAATCAATTTTTGCTTATTGATAACTCATTAATTCGACATCAAACATGTTGAGAACAACATGCAAAACTCGTACCTTCGGTAGAAAAGACCAGAGGAAATCGCGATCTATTTTGCACATTCCGGCTTGACATAACCAGTTGACTTAATTAAGTATCTCTCTTACAGGATATGCGTAATGCGATTCATGATAATCAATTCTTTTTTTGAAGAGAAAAACAAAAAAAATTGAAATCGCCAACTGGTCATTTAAATGTCAAGACCAACGACTGCGTAAGCTGTAATCCTATATATCGTGTACGATTTTTACTTTATTTGAAAAAAATTATATATATCGTGAATATTTAAGCTATATTTTATTAAATTAAAGGCGCACGTCGTTTTTTCATATTCTTCATCACACATACCGAGTGTCGACGTAACGACCTTACAGGTTTAATTCGCTGTAAGAATAATGCATGTGATATCTGATAAAAATAATTTATTTTTTTAAAGAACGTGAGAACATGTAAGCGTTGTCTCCGAGGCGAACATATTCCTCATTCGATACCGGCACGTCAGACATCGGAACATATGCTGTTAATGCACCATACCGGTATGGTGCAATCGCAACACGCAGTCATACAATGTTGGCGCGGAAATTCATAAAACCTGCGCTATTGCTTGCGAATTCTTGTCGGCACCTTTTCTCTTTTTTCCTTCCTTTTTTTCTGTGCGCTCGCGAGACCTGCTCACCGCAATTTAATTACGCAAACATGACGCATTTTGCAACGCTTATAATATTATCCTGCACGGCTGATTTTTTCGCCTCAAGTGAACGCATTGTAAACGCAAGAATAACCCTAAGACTTCCTCTTTTTATTTCATTTTGTCTTTAACTCACACACTACTCCATACAATACGACTGTACGCTTTTTAACAACAATGAACGCCTTTACGCCAACATCCTAAACGACCTTGCTATGAATAACTTTGAATGCCCTTAAAACTGAGCAACCTTGCTACGATCGATGCAGTCGAAGAACCCTGTTGTGACCAACCTTGAACATCCTTAAAGCTGAACCTTGTGCGATCCATATATGGGACAATTAAAGGGGGACTCAAAGGTTACCTGTATGAACATTCTGAGAGTCGGAACATCTCTCCCTCCCTCTTTCTCCTTTGACTCATCGCGAATATTGCCGGACGAGAGCTCACAGTGAAATAACGCTCTTACGGCGCTGTTATTTCACGACTAAAAATTATTGCGTAAGAAACGCACTTTCGACTTTTTTCTCCGTCTCTTTCTAGTCTCGCAGTTTTGTTCCGAGAGATGCTCACTACCACTACATCTTATGAGATTCAAGGGGGTTACCAGGTCGCGTGACACTTCGCAAGCGCTCTCCACTAATCTCGTAGACCAACAGAACGAAAGAAAAAGGAGAGGAGAGGGAGAGGAAGGAGGAGGGAGGGAGAATATCTACCTGGTAATAGGAAACAAATCGACATTCGCTGAACGAAATTATTTCTAGATTCGATCAAGATAAAGTGAATGGAAGTCTAGGTTGCAATAGCTCATAGTACAAAACCAAGTCGAATTGCGAATTGAGTTGAACTCAGTAGAGTCGAATCGTGAGCTGGCCGACCCGTCGTTAGTAGCTTTCACTTTCGTTCGCCTGGAGAAGTCCCGCGAGATTTCGAATCTATGTAAGTGTGTTTATGTACCTGTGTGTTTGTGTGTGCACAGCTGGCGACAAATTTTCGCAAATCTAGTCGCGAGTCCGTTCCCTCACATTTTCGTTCAACCGAGAGCTCGCGAGAGAGACAACGAACCTACACGAGTTAGATTCGAAAAACAGAATTCATGATTCCCAACTTGATCGTAAAACCGGCTGGCTCGCACTTTGTTCAGACTATCATTCTTGTTCCTCTTTTGATTCTTTCTTCTTTCCATTCTTTCGGCAATGTTTATGTTCGCCAAGGATACCGGGCGATCTGCGTCTCGGCGGAGTTTGTCTCGAAAAAAATAAGATACCAGTCACCTATAAGATGTCATAAAGAATGATGAGATCCCGTCAAACAACGAATTTATCACATTTTTTCGCTTTTTAATCTCGAAACTGTTCTGGCTGCTTTTTCAATACTGCGAAGGAGATATTTGCAATAAAACTGTAAAATTTCGCGGAGAAGAACGAGCTCTTGTGTGTGTGTGTGTGTGTGTGTGTTAAAATTTGTATTAATAATTACTAAATTAACTACTAATTAACATGTATTGTCAAAGTGGAAATGTCGATCAGGAAAAAATTCAAATGCGGCCGTTTCTGTACGCAAAAGGAAGGAAAAGGATAATGAGAAAAAAAGAAACGTTTCTCGTCCGTCTACGTGATCAGACGACTACACAAAGCCGGTTGCAGGTACCAATCAAGGTCATTACGACGATGATCGGTAGCAAACATGGCCATTTACACCAGTCCACAGATCCCGACCACATGCGACCTCTTTACGTTCGATATTGAATAAACTTACGGATAGAGAAGTGAGAGATAATATTCATAGCCTAATTCGACAAAAAGAGAAAGAGACAAAGATAAATCATAAAAAAATGTCTCGAACATTATCTGTAATCAAATACAATCGCTCCCGTGCAAATAAAGCCGTGCTTCTTCGACCTCGAATGATTCCTTTTATCCCGAAGATGCAAACTATTTTCTCGACAGCAGCTGATCAAATGCAAAAGGAATATTTTCGCATGAATAAAGGCCAATCAATACATTGCGAGTTGACCTGCCGAACCGACGGTTGACCCGAAACGAGCGCGACGAGCGGACTGGTTTGATTCTAACGACTCGCCGGAGCGCGAGCTGACGCAACCGCGGTTATGTAATTGAGGGGCTTCGACAATCGCTGTTAACCTGCGTCAGTCCTGACGTTGATGCGACGCGAGTTCGCTCGGATCTCTGCAGCCCAAAAGCGTAGCTTCTTCTGCTCCCTTCAAGGATGTAATGATATCGTTCGAAGGAAGCCGCATTTGAACGAACATGGCGATATATATATATATATAAATGTACCTCCGTTCTCTTTTCGAATTACAAAATCCTAAACTCGCGGATTCCAATTTCGGCGGTTGCGAGATATGAGAGAGGCCGGGCTCGGCACGAGGAAAGGACAAGCCCGGCCGCGTTCTCGATCCGCCGCTGGAACCGGCAGACCTAGCGCGACGGCGGGCTAGATTCGCGCGAGCCTGCGCCAATTGTGCGACTGGCCTTTCACCGCGAGAGTCTCTCGCAGTCGGCCGAACTGTGACGGACCGGTTATCCGCGAAAAAGGTCGAAAACATTCGCGAGAAAAGACACACGAACGTGCAATCGAGGAAAAATCGGAGATAAAAGGAATAAAGAAAGAAAGAAAAATGAAGAAGTTGGCTGTGAAAAAAAGCGGCTCGAGTGTTGCTCTTTCTTCCCATCCTTTTACGCGTCGCCTTGCACTTCTTTTATGAATCCGGGTTCGCGACATAATGAGGGAAACAGAGAGGGGCAGAGACAGACAGACGGACGGACAGACAGACAGACAGACAGACAGACAGACAGACAGACAGACAGACAGACAGACAGAGAGAGAGAGAGAGAGAGAGAGAGAGAGAGAGAGAGAGAGAGAGAGAGAGAGATGCGTCCGTCACTGACACATATCTTTGTTATGCATGATCAATTGTAATTTATTTATTTATATGGGACGAACTCATTAACGTGCAATAAGGTAAGTGAAGAATAAAGTATACATAATACAGAAATCTGCAAACAATAGACGCACGAGCGCGGTCTCGTGGTAGGAACACGATAAAAACAATTATCCCCTATCAGGCAGAACGCGGGTGTCAAACGAGCGACGAGACAGAAAGAGAGAGAGAGAGAGAGAGAGAGAGAGAGAGAGAGAGAGAGAGAGAGGAGAGGCACGAGAGAGCGGGCGGTGCGACTGGATGACCATGGAACATGAAAGTGCGTCCCACATTCGTAATCCGCGATCTGCTCTTTCGGCGTGCAGCATTTTTCGAGAACTCGTTTCGCGAATGCGCGTAGGTTCGAGTGCAGATGTTAGAGAATCGGAGAATCCTTTGTCCCCCCTTGGGAAATCCTACGATTGCAAAGACGATGACGACAATGACGACAACGCCGACGGGTGCTGGTGATTGTTCGCTGATCCGATTATGAAACGCGATGCGAACGAGAACACTTAGTCGAGGCACTCGTTCTATATATATATTTCTCTCCTATTCTTGCACAATCCTGCTCCCAACAATACGGTATTACGGTCACGCGCGTTTCAACGCTGCATGCGCTCCGTTTCGCGTAACTTTATTTTGATTAACGGTCCTAACCGACCGACTACGCGGACCGATGGATAAAGGAAGAGGATTCCGTGTGAAGAA